GTCAAAGCCTCGCATGGCTCTGACCACGTGTGCACCCTGCACGGGTATGCGGTGGACACGGCGCAGTCGCAGGTGATGCTGGTGATGCGGCGGTACCCGAGCTCCGTCAGCCAGCGCTTGCGCGGGCAGGGCCGTTTCGGGCCCCTGTCCGCCGCCAACAAGCTGCAGATCTGCTGCAACATCTTCCAGGGGCTCGCGGACCTGCACGCCATGGGCATCTCCCACTTCGACATCAAGCCTGCCAACGTGCTGCTGACGGAGCACGGCACCGCGGTCCTCACGGACTTCCAGCTGTCGCGCGAGGCCAACGAAACTCTTGGCAAGACCCTTGAGAACGAATTTGGCACCCTCAGGTACGCGCCGCCGGAGCAGATGGACCGCGACTCGTACGACAAGCCTGGCACGCACAGCGACATGTGGTCGGCAGCCGCCACGGTGTGCGAGATTCTGTCGGGGGAGAAGCCGTATCATGGCATGGACTTGCCGGGGGTGCTGGGGGCCCTGCTGACGCACAAGCAGCCGCCGAAGATTCCAGCGAGCGTTCCGGCGGCGCTGCGGCCGCTGCTGCAGCGGTGCTTCAGCCGAGACGCGCAGAACAGGCCCACGGCGCTCGAGGCCCTGGAGACGTTCGTCACGCTGTCGGCCAAGGATGTCGAGGAGGGCGGCACCGCAGCGGGAGAGGCGAGCGAGACCGGCACGATGTCGGTCGGAGCGGTGCAGGCCGGCCGCAGGGACGCCTCCGTCACGACGTCCAACGGCGACGGGAGGGTCATGCAGACACAGGTGGTGCGCAGGATGCTCGCGGACAAGACGAGGAAGGTCGTCGACTTGGACGGAGCCGTGGTCACCGTCTCGCCCGCCAAGACCACCGTCTTCGCCGAGGAGGAGTACTTCTCGGACGAGGAGTACTACGACACCGAGGTGCGTCTCGTCGAGGGAAAGAAGAAGCTGTTCGGGGGGCGGAAGATGGTGGAGACGCGCGTCAAGGTGAAGAAGACACGGCAGGTTCCGAAGACGCGATGGTCGGAGCTCGCCGCAGAGGTCCCCGCGGGCACACGCAGGACCAGGAAGGTGCGGTGGTGTTGGCGTGTCGTTGCATGCGAGCGCGCGTCCTGTGCCGGTGTCTCCTCACGACATCGCCCTAGGCACACTGGTGTGGGCGTGCGTCTTCTCTTGTCACGATTGTCGTGGATGATGATGACCCCGCGGCGCAGGTTGTTGAGTTTGGCGACGGGCTCAAGCTCGACAGGCCTGGCGTCACGTTCCGGAACGCATCGATCGAGATCGACGTGCCCAAGGCGGACGAGTACCGATGCGTCTCCCCGGAGCTCGTGGTCGTGACTGCTGCGAACGTGGAGCTCGAGAACATCTCCGTCACGGTGCGCGGCGGCGGTGCAGGTGCGATCGCGACGATGCAGACGAGGCTCTGCTCTGTCACACGACGACCGTTTTCCCAGTGCGTGCGGCGTGCTGCGGACCTCGGTGCAGTCGCATTCCCTGCAACCGCGTCATCCCCCCATGCACGTGCAGAAGCCTGGCTGACCGCAATGGCAGTGCGCAAAGGCGGCAGTGTGGCCCTGTCGAACTGCGAAATCGCTGCGCGAGGCGAGACAGGTGAGTGCTGCGGTATCACGTGCTCGTGGCCCTATCTTTGTCTGTTGTGCAGCAGCGGCGCGAGCCCGTGCAAGTTGCTGCTCGCCTGATTCACACGTAGGCAGCCGTGCTGACTGCGCGTCACCGGGGCGTGCGCGTGACTGCAGGGGCGGCGAAGTACTGTCTGTCGGTCGACGGTGGTGGCCGCGCTTCTCTCGCGAACTGCACGATCACCTGCGACCGCGCCTGCACCGGGCTCGTCGCGGGCACTGGCAGCCGCCTCGACCTGACGCAGTGCCGCGTCAGCGGCGCGGACCTCGTGGCCGCCGACGGCGGCATGCTGCAGCTGAGCGACGGTGCTCTGAGCGGCGCGCAGGTGTGCGTTGCGGCTCGCGGCGCCGGCAGCGTTGCGGAAGTCAGCGGCTGCAACATCCGACACGGAGGTGTCGCCGGGCAGGTGTCGGGGGGCGGCGCGATGGAGCTCCGGGACTGCACGGTGTTTGCCGCGCGCAGCGGCTCGAGCAGCCTGCAGGTTGACGGGCCCGGCAGCGTGCTGTCGGTGCGCGGGGGCTGCGTGGAGGGCGGGCAGCACGCGATGGTGGCGTCGGGCGGGGCGCTGCTGCTGGCGTCGGCGTGCACGCTGAAGGATTCGCTCGCCGACGCCATCATCACCAGGGGCGAGGGGACGCGGGCGGAGCTGACCGAGAGCATCACATACGAGTGCCTGCTGCACTCAAGGGAGGAAGAGGAGGACGGACCGGGCAGCGAGATCGTGATCGTGGACGAGACGGCGAGGTGCGGGGCGAGTTGCCAGCTGTTATTCCCGAGGTGTGGCGCGGTGTGCAGGCAAAAGCAAAAGGACCTGGTTTCAAGTCTGAACTTGACACAGCGCACCGTGTCGTGCTCGCAGCTGGAAGCAAGTGCTGGAGCGCAAGGAGGCGGAGCGCCGTGAGGCGGAGCGCCAGTTCGGCACTGTGGACGACCTGCGCGAGGCGCTCAACGCCGGCTCCGACAAGGTGCGGCGCCGCTCGCTGCTGCATCACGTCAACGACGCCGCGGGCGGCACGGGCGCCGACGGCAGTCCCCCGTTTCGCACCCGCCGGTTTTGAACGTGCACTGTGTGCAGGTGATCGACCTCAAGGGGTGCGAGGTGCGCGGGGGGGGCCTGGACGAGATCGAGGTGACGCGCGCCGGGGTCACGCTGCGCAACGGCACGCTGCGGGGCGTGCAGCTGGTCGTCCGGGCGTCTGCGCAGGGATTTCGCCTCGAGAGCGTCACCGTGACCGGGTACCGCTACGAGAGCGACAGTGAGCGCCCCGGTTCCCCGCTGTCGCGCCTTGCAACGCGCTGCTCCTCGCTCCACGTCGACTGCGGTGCGCGGCTGCGCGCGGCCGCGGCGCTCACGACCCGCGCGCTGTCCGGGCGAGCGCGTGCAGAGACCGTCCGGGGTGCAGTTCATGTCGTCGGGGCGAGCGGGGTCGTGATCCGGGCGTGCAAGCTCAGCGACAACCCGGGAACCAAAGCCCTCGGACTAGAGGCGATGAGCGGTGCGAAGGTGCGGTCTGTTGGCTGCGCGCGCTGCGGCGGGGCGCCCGAGGGGTGCAGCTGGCAGCGCGGGACGTGGCACTGCGGGGCGCGTGGCGGTCGCGGAACGACGCGAGCGGCGGCGCGGCGTGCGCGCGTGCGTGCAGGTGACGGTGGAGGACTCGCAGTGCTGCGGGAACGGTAGCTGCGGCGTGGCTGCGCTCCACACCGGCACGGAGGTGACGGTGCGCAACACCACCTGCAGCAACAGCAAGGAGCTCCACGGCGTGTGCGCATCACAGGGAGCGAAGGTGAGCGTGCGGGGACGGCATGCGTGCGCGCGCGTGTGCTCGTGCACGTCGGTGGCCGCGCGGCACGCCCCCGCGTCCCCGCCCCCGCTCGCTGCGTGCGCGGGTGCAGCTGCGGTGCGCGACGTGGCGACGCGAGCGACGGTGCGCGCGCGTGCAGGTGACGGTGGAGGACTCGCAGTGCTGCGGGAACGGCCAGAGCGGCGTGGTTGCGTTCCACAGCGGCGCGGAGGTGACGGTGCGCAACACCACCTGCAGCAACAACAAGTACGGTGTGGTGGCACAGAACGGAGCGAAGGTGAGCGTGCGGGGACGTGTGCAGCGGACCCGTGGCCGCGGGGGCGGTGTGCGTGCGGTGCTGTGTGCGCGGGGGTGCGGTGCTGTGTGTGCGGCGGTGTGCGGTGCTGAGCGCGTGTGCGTGTGTGGGTGCAGGTGGTGGGACGTGGACTGAAGATGAGCGGGAACGAGAAGGGGAACACGGGAACTAGCAGTGGAGGCGTGTTGGACGTGCAGTGAGGAGGGGGTGGGCGCGGTGCGGGCGCGCGCGGGGCGGCGAGGAGCGCGCGCGGAGGGTGGTGGGCGCGGTGCAGTGGTGGGGCGCAGCTGGGGGCGTGCGAGGCGGTCGGGGTGCGGAGCGGCGCGGGGAGCGCGGTGCGAGGGCTCGGCGACCGGGCGCGGGTGTTGGTGAGCGCCGTCCGGCACGGGACGCGAAGGAAACGGCACGCGCTCGGCTGCGTGTCGCCTGCGTGACGGCCCGGCGCGGATTCCGGCGTGAGCTGCGCGATACACGACGTGGCACTGCCCATATCGAAGCACGCACGTACATTTCACCGGTCTGCGCACGTGCCGTGCCAGGTAGCTCATTTGCGGCGTGGAAATACGACGCTAATTTGACTGGCAATTTTCCACACGACACTCACAGCCGCTCCTTGACGCTGCAACTGCATGGCTCGTCTAGTTTTGCGGCGACATCTCTTCTACAGAATGCGAACTACATTACCTGCAACTCACATGCGACAGAAACGCACGCGGAGGGTGGTACAGACGCACCAGTCGCGGCGCTGTTTCAAACGCGGGCAACTACGCCAGTTCCTGTCGCGTTCATCCTTTGAAATGCATCTTCTGCACGCCCAGCCTCATCTGTGAGAGTACAACAGCACTCTCAGAGACCGCCGGCGCTCAGACCGGTCGCCGCTGCCCGCCACGGCGGCCACAAGCCCACAGCAGCACCGTACAGGCACCTCGCACCCCCCGCAAGCACGTCAGAAGCACACAGGCGTCCGTCGCTCTCGAGCCTCCCGGGACGCAGGCGTCGGCCGCCTGTCCACAGCCGCGCACGTCCGCAGCGCCCCCTGCTGCAGTGCACGTGCCTCCCGACACAGCACAGCGGGCGGGAGGACACACTCGCACGCACGAGCCTCACACTGCGCGCGCCGCGATCGCCCCGTTCCATGCACATGCACCTATCGCGAGTCGTCGAACGCGTGTCTCCCGACCCCACGCGGCATCCACTTCCACCGCCACGCACCACTCCTCTGTCGTCGAGCCGCACAGCCCCAGCCGAGGCCGCGGCGGCTACTGGAACCCGGCGCCCGCCATCGCCATGTGCCGCCGCCGCTCCCCCCCGCGCTCCTGGCTCCGGCGCTCCCCGCCGTCCTCCTCCTGCAGCGACGACAGCCCCCCGCGCGCCGCCAGGTCCTGCAGCTCCCCCTGCGACACGCCGTCCCCGGCCTCCGAGCCCGTCGGCGGGGGCGGGAACTCCGGCGCGCTGCCGAGGATCCCCAGCTTCTTCGAGGAGTAAAACGCCACCGACACCACATTCATCAGCAGCGTCGTGCACACCACTGCGGCGGGGCGGGGGGGGCGCGCGGCGTGGGCGGCGGGTGCGCGCGCGTCTGTCTGCGCGCGGGAGCCAGGCGGGGTCGCGGCGGGCGCGCACGTGCGAAGGCGATGACGATGAGGAGCATCCACCACGGCGCTCCGAGAGTGGCGAGGTAGAGGAAGACCCAGGCGGCGCAGCCGGCGCCGGTGATCTGCCACATGTAGAGCGTCATGGAGAGCGGGACCTTGGCGGGCCCGGCGAGGAAGCGGCGGAAGCGCTTGGTGGGCACGCTGTAGCCCACGGCGCTCATGAGGATGGTGGCGCACATGGTGTAGATGGACGCGAGCGTGACCATGGAGAGGACGAGGAGGTGCCAGAAGTCCACGGACTTCCACGCGTCGACGAACGCCTCCGCGGCCTCGAGCTGGTCGCGCGAGGTGGCGCTGACCAGCGACGCGATGAACGCCGCGAAGATCAGCGCCTGGACGAGCACCAGCAGCTCCATCCGCGCCAGCCACGATGTCCTGCGAGCAACGAGACAGGACGCCGGCCGCGTGGGGTCCGCGGGCCAGCGCGTGCGCCGCACGGAGCGCATCCAGGAGCTCCATGGAGGTGGCGTTCCCGCGCGCAGCGGGCGGACGCGCGAGCGTTCGACCCCGCGGCGGCATAGAACAGGGACTGGAGCGCCGCAGGAGCGGCGTTCGCGCGTCCGTGCGCGCGCAGGGGCGCGTGCAGCGCGGGGCTCACTTGAGAAGGTCGTCGTCCGCACACCAGTCAGCGCCGTTGTAAATGTCGAAGTTCGTCGGCCCGGGGTTGCCGAGCTTGGCCGCAGTGGGCACGTCCTGCTGCCACCCCTTCCAGAAGTTGAACTCCCGCGGCCGGTAGCTCTCGTGCCACCCGCGCCGCCCCAGTCGCCGCTTCGCCGGCGAGGCCGGCATCTCCGGACCCGCTCCGGCGCCGTTGGCGCCCCCACTCGTCGCGTTCGACGCTCTCGACTCTGCAGGCCAGGCCGCGGCGCTCTGAGCAGTCAGCGCGCGCACACATTCTCGCTGGAAAACGTTGTCGCTCCGCAGCGCTCGAAGTTCCGCCAAAAGAACGCCTTTCCCGCAGAAAGCAAATATAAATCGATGCAAGATGCGACAACCGCGCACACGGCCCGGAATCCCCCAACACAGGCCCGCGCGCGGCACATCTGCACCCTCTCGTTGCTGGCACACTGCGCACCTGGAACGCGCCCGCTCTCGATGCGGCCGGGCGACAGGAGCCGCGTCATGCTAGGCTACGCGGTATCGCCAGGTCGAGGAGCTCGCGCTCGGCGGCCGCACGGCCCTCTCGAGCGGGGCGCTACGGCGTGCGGGCGTGCGAGGTGAGTGGCACCACACGCAGCGGGGCGCGACGACGGCTCCCAGGCGCTCTCTTGCGGCGGACGCGTGTGTCCCCTGGCGTCGCCAGACACAGTGGCGCGCGCGGGCGGCGCTCGCTGCCCTCGAGCACTTCCTGACGTGGCGTCAGAGTATAACACACCATGTCTGTCGGAACGGCACCGTGCCGGGGCTGGTGTGCGGCGCCGCGCGGCTCCCGGGCCGAGACCGTCGCGCGGGTGCGGGGGGCGCTCGAAGGACGGCAGGTCGCGGCGGTGCCGCTGTCGCGCAGCGATGGTGCCTCGCCCCTCCCTGGGGGTCCTGCGGGGCGCCACGCCCTACTTGCAGCAGATGCTGGCAGCGAGCGGGACGTTCGTGAATAGGGCTGTGCATCGGTGGGGTTCAACGATCCACGGAAGCCTCGGAGGGGGCGGCCGGCGGGGCTACACAGCAGCACGTTCGGTTGGTGGCCCTGGCCGCGGGATCACGCCATGAACTTGGACGTACGTGCACAGAAAGATGGTTTGACACATGGTTATGTTGGTGCGGTTGGTCGCAGGGCGGTGATGTCACGAACCACGCTGTTCTGGCCCTCGGAAGCAACATGGGCGACCGCACCGCGCTCTTCCGCGCCGCTTTGGCGGCCCTGGAGGCCCGCGGAGTCCGCCCCGTCCGCTTCTCGAGCCTCTACGAGAGCTCCGCTTGGGTCGTCACCGACCAGCCGGACTTCTTGAACGCCGCGGTGCGCGTGGAGACGGATCGCAGCCCCCACCAGCTGCTGCAAGCCTGCAAGGACGTCGAGGTCCGCGCACGCCCCTCCCCCGCTCCACACGCCTCACGTGGCCCTCGCGCGGCACCGCAGACCCGTTGCGCGGTCCGCTTTGCCACCGCGGCGAACCACGGTGCGATTGTCATGCGCGACGGTGCAGGAGACGCTGGGGCGGCTGGAGGGCGAGCGCGTGTGGGGGCCGCGGCCGATCGACCTCGACATCATCCTGTTCGGCGGCCAGAAGATCGCCGAGGAGCGCAAGGACGCGTGGCTGCAGATTCCGCACCCATTGTGGACGGAACGATCCTTCGTGTGGCGCCCCGTCGCGGACCTCCACGACGAGCGCGACCTCGCGCACGCGACGAGCATGCCCGTTGAAAAGCGCCTCCTGCTCACCGCGATCCAGCACGCGCACGAGCGGGCCAGGCGGGCGGACGCGGCGAGTGCACAAGCCCCTGCGCCGCTGGTCGCCGCCGCTGCGCGCGTCGAGGCCGCGGCGGGGCACGGCCACCGCGCGAGCGCGGCCGAGGCCGTCAGCGAGCTGCTCGACGCCGACGGGCTGCACCCGCCGCGGAAGGAGCTGCGGCGGGTGCTTCCAGCGCCGGGCGTGAGGGGGGGCGTGTGGGAGTGGGAGGGGCGCACGCGGATCATGGGCGTGCTCAACGCGACGCCCGACAGCTTCAGCGACGGCGGGCTGCACGCGTCCGCGGCCGACGCGGCCGCCGCGGCCACCGACATGATCAACAACGGCGCCGACATCATCGACATCGGTGGGCAGTCGACGCGGCCGGGGGCGGAGCGCGTCTCCGCCGAGGAGGAGGCGCAGCGGGTGGTGCCAGCGATCGCGGCCGTCGCGAAGCTGTGCAGGGAGAGCAACACGCTGCTGTCGGTGGACACGTTTTACGCCAGCGTCGCCAAGGCTGCGGTGGCGGCGGGCGCGAGCTGCGTGAACGACGTATCGTCCGGTAGCATCGACCCGGACATGCTGAAGACCGTGGCGGAGCTCGGGGTGCCGTACGTCGCGATGCACATGCGAGGCGGGCCGCAAACGATGCAGCTGGACGCCAACACAACCTACGCGGTGCCGCCGGGCGGGTCGATCGCGGACGCAGTCGGCGCGGAGCTGAACGCGCGGTGCGAGGCGGCGGTTGCGGCGGGCATCGAGCCGTGGCGGATCGTCCTCGACCCGGGGCTGGGGTTCGCGAAGACCCCGCGGGGGAGTATTCAGCTGCTGGGGGGGCTCCCGCGGCTGCGGCGGGCGATGGTCGGCGGGTGCCTGCAGCGCGCGCCGCTGCTGGTTGGCATGTCGCGGAAGGGGTTCCTGGGCGAGGTGGCGGGGCGGAGAGTGCCGGCGGAGCGCGACTGGGCCACGGCGGGCGCGGCGGCGGCGGCGGTGCGGCTGGGCGCGGACATCGTGCGCGTGCACAACGTTCCGGGCGTGCGAGACGCCGTCAGGGTCGCGGACGTCCTCCACAGAGGCTTCCCTGCGGACGCGGCCACCGCCTGAGACGACACTGGCCCGACGACACCCAACCAACCAAACAAAGCAACCTCTTGATGTTTTTTGCGATTTCCAGATTGTCTTCTCGACATTGGCTTTGCCACAGTAGACACAAGCGAATGCCGCTGCCTGCCTGGGGGCCGGACCGTCGCTCCGCGCCTCGTCGTTCCCCGATGCATGCAACCCGCGTCTCTCTGTGTGCTCACGTCCGATCTCGGGGCGCGCGGGCACCGCGCACGCGTTCCGCGCGCCGGGAGGTAGGGCACGATCGCGCTCGCGAGGGGGCGCCGCGCTGCGGGTTCCGGCCGCCTGAATCGCGGGCGGCGGCGGAGGTGTAACTCTGGACCTACCACGTGCAGACACCGCGGCGCCGCAGCGGCCACGAGCGCGCCGGGGCCCTGGAAGCACTGCTCGAGCCCCGGGCAGGGAGCACGCTCGTTCGCGGGACGCAGGCGCCGGGGTCTGCGTGAACTTGTCGCGGTGTCAGGGCGCGGTGAAGGGGTCGTGGGAGTGTTTGTTGAAAGGGTCCGGGACCGACCACGGACCGTTCCGGGGCAACCAATGCCATCGCGTGCGCGCTGCGGGATATAGACCTCTCGACCTTGCTGGACGGTGCCCCGCTGTGTCAGTCCCGCCCGTACAGAGCCCCTGTCGCCGCGCAGCAGCCCCCCGTTGCAATCATTCCGCCCCGCAGCGCCTCGCGAAAGCGCGCCGCTGAGTCTCCTGTCCCGACAGAGCAAGAACAGAGCAAGAAACACGCAATGGCTGCGACAGGTGCGCACGCGAGACGTTGATCCCGCCTTGCGGCTGGCCTTTTGCTCCTATGGGACCACTGCGCCATGCTGTCATGCTGCGGCCTCAAGAGCCCGATTTCCCCGCGCGATAGGTCCGCTACATACTGCTCTTTGTTGTTTGGTGCAGCATCGTCGCTTGTTTGCCGCACACGCTCCTGGCGTGCACACGGCTGACCAGCCGGGTCACAGGGCGAGAGCTGCGAATATGCCGGTGTTTGTCCCGATGCAGGCACGGACGCGAAGTCCAAGTACATCGATGCGCGCTTCAAGCACATCAACTCCCACTTCGCGGGGGCCATTGGCGTCGACGAGCTAGTCGCCAGGTTGGTTGGGGAGCCTGTGTCGCCTGCACGCACCCTCGTTGCGCGCCGTGCTTGCATGCTTCAGACCTGATATTGTTCTGCTTATGTTCATGCCAACGACGGCGGATATACGTCAAGAACGCGCACGCGCGCGCTCGAAACCGCGCACAACTTTTTTGCCTGCTCCGCGCCCTCGCCGCCCTCTCACGGCCGTTCCGCCCGCCTTCGTTCGTCCAGGGCCGAGGCCGCGCTGTACGGCTTCGGGTTCACGGGCGAGAACTCCATCGCGCTGTCCAACCTGTGCCGTGACGAGTCCACCGCGTACCTGCGCAACCGCATCGAGAACGTCTTCGGGGCGTCCTTCTCGACGCAGTCCCTGGGCGCCGTGCCCACGTTCGGCCTCACCGGCCTCGGCGCCGGCACGGGCCACTCCCCCACGGACCCCGTCACCGGCAAGGAGCGCTACGTGTTCTTCTCCTTCCCCCACATCGCCATCGACGCGGTGCGCGGCCCCGCCCGGCGCGAACGTCACGCGCCCGACGTCGCCCGAGTCACCATCGCACCGCACGCGACGTTGGGCTCATGCGCTGGTCGATGTTCGGCGGTGGAACACGAAACGAACACTCGATTGCTTTGGTTGTCGTGTTCGGAGTGTCGTGGCGCGAGCGACCCGCTGACGCGCTTCCGTGCGCGCGTCGTTGCCGCTGCAGACCGGCAAGGTCGGTCCGATCGTGCGTCCGGGGCGCCCGAAGGTCAGCGGCGCGTGCGGCGCGTTGGTGGCGGCGCTGGGCCACATCGGCGCGAGCGGCGTGGAGGCCGAGTGCAAGAACCCGGGCACGCACGACCCGCTCGACATCGAGTACTCCATCCTCAAGCAGAAGATGGCCCGCCAGCTCAAGACCGAGGGCGTCACGGACGTGTCGAAGATGAACCTGGTCGACTTCACCAAGGTCTGCGAGCGCCTCGTGACGCAGGAGCTCCGCGAGATGATCGCCAAGGGCGTCGACAGCTCCAAGGCCGACTGGGCGCTCATCACGGGCGTCCAGATCCACAGCTGGGCCGGCGACGCTGCGGCGGCGGACGCGGACCTGGAGTTTGTGTGGCCCACGGAGTTCACGGTGTGCGTGGGCGGGAAGGAGACGAAGCTGGAGTGGTCCGCGGTGCCGAAGCTGCCGCCGCGGCAGATGGCGGTCCTGGCGGCGCAGCAGGCTGCGCCGTTCGACGTGACGGGCGAGCTGGCGGGCGTGTGCGCCGCCGGCGCGGCGAGCGGGATCGCGCGCCCGGAGCGCCTGGCGGCGGAGCGCGCGGAGGCCGACAAGTTCGCGAAGCTGCTCAAGTAGCGCGTGGGTGCTGAGCTCGTGGTGCTGGTCTGAAGGAGTGCGCTGTCAATCGAGGATTCCCGAACTGCGGTCGCACGGGCGAGTTGAGGACGCTCGGGGGGTCACAGCTGCGGACGCCAGCGATCCGGCGGCTGCGTGCCGCAGCGTCGTGAGCACCGGTGCGTGTGATTTGATGTTTCTAATTATCAATAACTTCAATAACAATTATGGTTGCCGGTCGAACTCGGCTTCAGTGGCCGCTGTACAGCCTGTTCCTGAGGTCCTCCGGGAGGTGCTCCGGCTTGAAGAAGAACCCGCGGTACACGCCCAGCGCGCCGAACCCCGTGGCGAGCGCCAGCGCCGTGGCCCGAGGCCGCCCAGGGGGGATCCTGCTGTTCTGTTTCAGCACGAAGTAGAACGTCGCGCCCGAGAGCCCGATTCCTGCGACGCGGGGCGCCCGCGAGGGAACACGGCCCGTGAGCGACGCTGCGGCAGCCGGAGCTTCTAGTGAGCAGCAGGTGGTGCCCCTCGCACCTGTCAGACAGCCTGAAATCCGGCAGAACATGCAGTCCTTGATTCCTTCGTGCGCCTCCTCCGCGCTCGACGGCCCGGCGCCCGCAGCCCCCGCCTCCCGCGCTGCTACGCGCCCCCCCCCTGAGCGCCTAGCACCCGCCATCCCGGACACTCCCGCCGCGCCCAACAGACCCCGCACCATGTCCTCTGTCTTCTCGCACAGGCCGCAGTCCTCGTCGTCGGCCGCCCCGGTCGATTTCGGCGACGCCGCGGCCGCCTCCGCCGGCGACGCTGCCGCCCACACAGGCGCGGGCCTCTGCGCGAGCGCGTCCGCCCTGCCAGCCAGCCTGTCGAGCGCTCCCTGCGAGATAACTGCCAGGAGCCCCTTCTGGCCGCGCTCTGGCTCCATGTTCACGCCCCGCACCACGAACCAGAGCAGTGTGTGCTACGTGTGCCTCAGCAGATGGATGCAATGGGAGATGCGGCCCGACAGCTCTCTCCAGATCGACCCTGGGCACGAGCGCGAATCAGCCGCTCTGCGCGCCGCGCGCACGCATCTCCCCGCGCGAGATGGGGGGGTTGTGTTTCCGCATGACGCGCTGGTAGGAATGTCACACCCCCCCCGCACCTTGGGGCGTTGAATGCCGACGCCGCGCCCACATCTGCACGTGTCTGGGCACTGGCAACATGGACGCGCGATGAGCGGGTGATGCTGCGCGCCACCTGCAGGCAAAAGAGCTGCTGCGTGGTCCCTTGCGCACGAACTCGCCCGCGGCGCCGACCAGGGCCGTATCAGGCGATGGCATCCGATCAATCAGATGCGTCACATGCTGAGTGGGAGCGGCAGCAGCTTGAGATGGCCCGCAGCATCATCTGTCGCACCCAACTCGACTCCGCACCACTCACGGAGCACGGCGCGCACGAGGCCGCGCCGCCAGGCGAAGCGCCGCTGCCGGACGTTGAGTCACCGAGCTTCCAGCAGGAGCTGCGGCGCAGAATCGCGGGCGACGGCGCGCGCCCGTCTGGCGCGCTCGCGGGTGCGCACCTGCACTGAAGCAGAGCCGCGTGCCACGCGCGCTTCCCCCGCAAAGCTCCACCCGACTGCGCCACGCGGAAGCCACTAGCTGAAAGAGTCGATGGCTGCCACGCCGCCGTCCGCAGGTCTGAGGCTGGTCGGCGGCGTTGACATCAGCGCAGTGCACGCGCCGGGCGAGGACGCCGCGGCGAACGCCACGCCGCAGCGCGCGTTCGCGGGGCTCGCCGTGCTCACCTTCCCGGCGCTCGAGGTGGTGTTCACGGAGGAGAGGGACGTCACCCTGACTCAGCCATACTCCCCCGGGTTCCTCGGCTTTCGGGAGGTGCGCACTCACACAGTTGAAAGCACGTGCCTTGTCGCATCGCTGGACGCCGCGTGGTGGGGACGCCGCGACCGTTGGCTGCGGCCTCAAGCTCTGTCGACCGCCATCCGACGACTGCGTGCGTCCTATGCACCAGTGTGCTGCGCCCGCGTGCACGCTCGCGGGGCGCCGCGCGACGTGACGACGCCGCGCGGGCTGGTAGCACGCAGTCGCGGCGCAGATCGGCCCCGTGTTGGTGCCGGGATCTCGCATGTTCGCAAACAAATACCATGCTACGATGTGTTTTGTGTTTATGTTGCCATGTTTCGTTGTCTCGGGAAGGAGTCCTCACGGTTCAGCGTCCCCGCGCGTGCCACGCAGGTGCCGCACCTCCTACCGCTGCTCGAGTCGGCCCGCAAGGCCGGCTGCTACCCGCAGGTCGTGCTGTGCGACGGGTTTGGCACGCTGCACCAGCGCGGGTGCGGGTCCGCGTCGCACCTGGGCGTCGTCGCGAACGTCCCCACCATCGGCGTCGGGAAGACCCTCAACGCCGTCGACGGCCTCAGGCACGCGTCCCCCTCATTGGACCCCAGAAATTAGACCCACCAACAAATACCTTTCCTTGAACACCGTCTGCTAGCACGTCCATGATGGGCGCGGTTGCCGCGCCAGCGCGCCCCGCGCTCGTCGCGCACACGCGCGTCTCTCACTCGGCGCTCCGCTCGCGCCCTCGTTCGCGCAGCACGAGCGGCGTGCGCGACATGATGCGCGCGGCCCTGGCCACCGACGCCGCCGCCCCCGCCCGCGACCGCGGGGCCAAACGCCCCTCGGAGGACACGCTCGTCGTCCGGCCGCTGCGGGGCCAGTCCGGGCGGCTCCTCGGCGCGGCGATGGCGGGCCACGCCGGCAGCGAGGTGCCGCTGTACGTCTCCGTTGGCCACCGCGTGAGCCTCGCCAGCGCGGTCGAGGTCGTCGCGCGCTGCTGCCGCCACCGCGTGCCGGAACCGATCCGCGTGGCGGACCTGCGGACGAGGGAGCGGGCGCGCGAGGCGCACGCCGCGCCGCGGGCGCCGTGACGCCACGACGATCGGCCGCGCCCGTGCGCGCAGCACTGGCGGGGTTGGGCGGTGCACACACACGTGCGCGGCAGCCGCGTGCTGTTCCGCGACGTGCTGCTGCTGGCAGGTGGCGGGGATGACGGCGGGCGGGCGTGCGCCGCTGCTCACCTCGCGCTCGCGGCACCGTCGGGGCGCTGGGCGCAGCGTGCGTGAGTGGCTACCACACATGCTGCGGCACGTGCTGCCACGGACGCGATCGTGCTCCACGCTCGCACCACGCGCTTCCACGCACCAGATTCTGCGCGTACGGCGCGCAACTCGGCGCAGGGTCGACGCCCCGTGCGCGCCAGCGAGCGGGTATGCCTGTGCCCCGCGGCGCGGTGGCAGCGCACGTACGCGAAGGACAGGGCGCGAAACAGCGGACGGCGAGGCTCTTCTGGCATCAAGGAGGGCGTCGAGCGCGCTCCGAGGGCGGGGGCCGGAGCCTTCGGGCGTACAAGCCGCAACGTGAGGGGCGCGGCGCTGCCGTCGTCGTTGGAGCGTTTTGAGGCGCTGCGGGGCCTACGACTGCGCGGTGCGGCCCGAGCGTGCTCTTGTGGCTGCACCACGCACGGCGCATGCGAGCGGGGTGCGTTGCGCGGCGCCGCGGCGTGCTTGTCGGACCACGCCGTCTGTGGCTTCGATGCAGGGGGCTGTGAGGGGGGGCCGCGGCCTGGGCGCGCCGGTGGGTCTCGAGGGCAGACGCCCGGCTGCGGCGGACGCACATTATTCACCGGGCGCTCGCAAGGCTCGAAGGCACACCTACACGTGCTGGTGAGCGGTGCCCGCCCCCTGTGCATCCGTGCCTGGGTCGCTTGGGCGGGGGGCGCGGCACGTGGCGCAGGCTGCGAATGAGCGCCCCCCGCCCGCATGGTCCCGCACGATCTTGTTGCCGCTGGGCATTCGTGGCGCGTGCTCGCGCTCCAGAGTCGGGACGCGGCGCGACCGAGGCCCCGTGCGAACGGTGGGTCTGGTCGGCCGCGCTGTCCGTCGGACGCCGCGACCAACCATAGCGATTCCATCTTTCTGCAGGAATTCTGCGCGACGCCGCAACGATGCTTTGCGCCGCGGGCGTGGTTGCCGCGCTGCTGTTCGCTCCGGGGCTGCTGATGCTTCTCTTGGGGCTCGGGCTGCAGGCGGGCAATGCACGCGACGTCCCACGGCGTGACGGCAACACTACCCATGGGCACGCCGGCGACCGAGGCGTGCGTGCGCGGCTGACTGCATGCGTCAGGGCGGCCTTGGGCGTCCTTGTGAGTCCCCTTGGGATGGTCGCTGCGAGGGCGCAGGAACACCGGCCGGTGGACACGCCGGCGACGGAGTTCCAGATGCCACGGGCCCTGGAAGAGCTGCGCGAGTTCGTCCGTGAGGAAGTCACGGATGCAACGATGGAGCTTCGCAACAGGGTGCAATGTCTCGAGGCGACGGTGAACCATCTCGAGAACCGACTCGGGTACGGCCTCCAGCTGCGCAGTGTGCTTGACTGGCGTACCGAAAGTTGCCGCTCGTCCACCGGACGTGCCACGTGCAGCTCCGCGTGCGCAGTGCCGACGAAGCGGTGCACAAGCATGTCGATGCGAGTGTTCATCTACGCGCATGCAGACCTCAAGGGGACGTGGGCCAAGAGATTCACATGCTGCAAAACGCCAACGACGACTTGAGGTGCGTTCAGTCGCCCTTGCTCCATACGTGTGGGCTGCCGCGTTGACTGAGACTTACAGATCGGGGTGCCCCGTGCGGCCTGCGAGCGAAGAGATGCGCGCAATCTGAACCCTCCCGCGCGCCCGGTCTGCGCGCGCAGGCGGAGAATGAGCGACAACGAGGAGGGGATGCGGAGCGCCCGTGGAGATGCTCGGCAGGCCCTTGCCGATGTGACCGAAGCGCTCAAGGTCGGTGCCCAAGAGATTCACATGCTGCAAAACGCCAACGACGACTTGAGGTGCGTTGAGTCGGCCACTGACCACACGCGTATGGGCTGCCGCGTTCATGGACTCGAACAAAGAGATGCGCGCACTCTAAAGCCTCCCCCGCGTCCGGGCTGCGCGCGCAGGCGGAGAATGAGCGACAACGAGCAGGGGATGCAGAGCGCCCGTGGAGATGCTCGGCAGGCCCTGGACAACACGATCGAATCGCTCGAAGTCGCGAACAACGCATTTACCGCCGCGAATCAGGCGCAGAGTAACTCGGCGGAGGCGCGGGGTATCGCGCAGGCGGCGCAGGAGGATACGCAACAGGCGCGCAGGGACGCAGATGTGGCACGACGCGAAGCCGCGCAAGCGGCGATCACCGCTCAGAGAGCCGAAGCGACCGCTCGACAGGCGCGCACCGAAGCGCAGCAGTCGCAAACGGTCGCTCAGGGGGCACAGACGATGGCGCAAGGCGCGCTCAACGCAGCACAGCGAGCGGAAGTCGCGTCCCAGAATGCGGTGGAAACGTCGCTCCAAGCGCACGGCGTGGCAGGCGCTGCACAGGTCGCCGCTCAACAGGCGAGGGACAGGGCCGAGGCCGCAGAGGGCACTGCGAACGCTGCCAACGACACATCTCAGCAGGCGAACGCCAACGCCAACGAGGCGCTGACGGTCGCCGGCCAGGCCCGCACGGACGCGCAGCAGGCAGTGCAGACCTCCGTGGCTGCACGGGAGGCCGCCGACGGCGCCAACCACGCAGCAATGCAGGCAATTCAGACGGCTGGGCGGGCTGAGGAGCGGGCCATCGCTGCAGACGGCACTGCGAACGAGGCGCAGGCGACCGCAACGGCGGCCCAGGAAGCGGCCACCACTGCCACGGCGACGGCGAACGATGCCCAGAGGATGGCGAACGCTGCTAGCGACACCGCGCAAGAGGCTGCCAACGTTGCTGAGAGAGCGAAGAACGTCTCGAACGAAGCGCATGTTGCGGCGCACCAGGCGACGAGCACCGCGCAGGCGGCGGCCGAGTCCGCGCGGGCGGCAACAGATGTTGCGCAGGGAGCGGAGCAGAACGCGACCCAGGCGCGGGAGGTGGTGCAGCAGGTCGAGGCGAACATGCAGGGCGGGATCGACCAGGCGATCACGGTCGCACAGGAGGCGCACAGTGCCGCGGCTGCCGCAGAGCAGGCGGCGGCACAGGCCAGCCAGACGGCCGGCACGGCACACACCTGTGCACAGAACGCGCAGGCGAGGGCGAATCAGGCCCACGACACGTCGGTTGAGGCGCAGCAGAGATCGGAGGCGGCGCACGCTGCCGCGAGCGAGGCGCGGGCGGCCGTGACCGCGGCGCAGGTGGCTGCGAGCGAGGCGGAGGCGGCTGCGAGCCAGGCGCGGATGATGGGCGATGATGATGATGGGCGGGTGGGCCCAGGCGATGCCGCGGGCTTCACCACCCCCCCGCGCGAGCAGGGCGCAAAGCCACAGCCGATGGACGGAACGCCTCCAACGGCAGGGTACGCCGGCGGATCGCGTTCGTCATGACTGCGGCTGCCACATTCGGTCATCCCTGTAGTGGCTCAGACACCCCGCAAGGCGACGTGTGGGACTTCGAACTTCACACTGAGGGACACTCAGAGCCATCGGCTCTGGTAGGACCTCTCACACGCGCAAGACCACATCATTTCAATTGACGATCGAGGTGGAATTGCATCACTTCCCCCCCTTTTCTTTGACAACCTTCTGTCCTCGATGAGCTCATCTTCGGACACCTGCGTCATCTCCCAACAGATACGCAGGCCCTATTTCTACGTCCCTGCCCATTCCTTGACCCCGCCCCGAACCGATTCCCCCAACAGCCACTCAATTCGACGATCAGCGCCAGTTGCAATACCCATCTTTCTGCCCCTCCTCTCACGGGCACGTTGCCAGCGACCACGCACTGCGAACCTTCGCCCGCCTGGTTCCCGCCCGCGTTGACGGCCTCCAGATCTGCTGGGGGCGTGCATCTGCCCCTGCCTGCACATCTGCCTCATTGTTCACTCATGCTCTCCCCTTGTGATCCTCAACACCATCCCAGTGACTCCATGCGCGTCACCTCGCGCGGACCGCCACTCCCACTGGGAGGGAGTGCGTGCGGCGAAGCCGTGCAGTACCGCGCCATCTCCGTCTCGGTGCCCAATGACGTGCAACACCTGTCCGCGAACGATGCGAGCGCCGGGGGCGTTCGCGACAGCGGGGCCCAGAGACAGCCCGACGCAGCGACAGCTCGTCGCACGCTGCAGGAAGATCTAGAGTCGCGGCCCGGACACAGGGTCGACTCCCCGCCTGAGCTGGCGAAGTTGTCATGCGAGTGCTGCGGCCTACATGAGGGCCCGCACGCGGTGGCGCTGGGCAATTCAGCGCACGCGTGCGACAGCGTTCCGGCCCTGCGCATCGGAGCTTGTTTATTCACGTTGCACACGGCAGAATCGCGCGTCGAATCTTCGAGCAAACCACCCGAGTCGTGTGGCGCGTCCTGGGGCGCGCGCAGCTCCGCAAGGAGACCCGCATTGCCTCACACATCTCTGAGGAGCTCGCGACCTTTCGTAGGCCCGCTGCCCGCGATGCCTGGCGCCGCGCACCGCACGACCAGTGCCAGGAGGCAAGGGCGCGGGGGCCTGTTCGCGTGCTTCACGGGGAAGCGCAAAGATGAGCCCGACGGCCTCGCCATGTACCTCGGCGAGATGGCGCGGGTACGCCAGGAGGGCGCCGCGGCGCGAGACGCGGACACAGGGCGCGAGGTGGGCCAGAGTGCCGTGTCGCCCGCGCGGGGCGTTCCCGGGGACGCGCTGCTTTCCTGCCCGGCCGAGGTGCTCAACGACATCCTCGCACGCCTAGACGGACGCGCGAAAGCGAACGGTACGCCCTCCGCGCCACACACGCGCACCGTCTGGTTGTTTCCGGCCCAGAATCGCCCTCGACAGCGTCCCGCAGCGGCTTTCCCGCATCAATCACGCCAGCACGCGCACGTCTCACGCAGTCCTAGTCGCACGCGCGCCACAGAATCCGCGCGTGCGCGTCCGCGGCGCGCGCGCCCCCTCTACGTGTCGGTTGCTCCTCGTGCCGCGTCCCATGGCGAACCCGCACGCTCCCGCCCCCTCCGCACCGCGCAGCTCGCGCCTGCTCGAAGCACGCGCGCGACGCGGTCGACGAGAAGGCGGTCACCGCGGTATCGTGGCCAAGCACGCGACCGTTAGAGGCGGCGCACCTCGCCTTGCTCGCCAGGCTCCCGCAGCTCGAGTCCGTCGCGATCGAGCACGCGCCCGTCACGCCGGACTGCGTACGTGCCGTCGCGGCCGGCGCCAACATCAAACGCGTCGTGCTCGGGCACGGGCGCGGCCGCATCGACCGGGGCCTTGGCAGCGCTGCCTTGCGGCCGCTCGCGCGGCTGCCGGCGCTTGAGGAGCTCGCGATCGCCGGGCTGACGGAGCTCGATCTCGGCGTGTTCGCGGGCCTCAATCTGCGGAAGTTGCGCGTCAACCACACACGAACCATCCGGGGGTTCGACACTCTTGCTACCATGACGAATCTCACGGAGGTGGACCTGTCCCTCACCGGTGCGTGTGTCCCTCCGCCGCACGCCGCCGCCTACTCACGCGCAAGGCCGCAAAACATCTTCTTCGCGACCAACAATGAAATCCGGCCCTGTAGCTTCTACACCTTGCGCGCACACACACTCTGCCGCTCGTAACCAGCGATCTGTGCTGTCGACGTGCGCGTGCAGGGGCGTGGGACATGGACATGAAGGCGCTGTCGCGCTGCGTGGGCCTGCGCGTCCTGAAGGCCGCGGGGTGCCCCGTGACCGACGCCGGCGTCGCGCACCTGGCGAACTGCCCCGCGGGCCTGACGAGCCTGACGCTCGACCGCTGCGAGCACTTCGCGGGCGAGGCGCTCAAGGGCCTCGCCGCCACGCTCGTGACGCTCAGCCTCAGGTGCGCGCCCCACACCCTCGCACTCTCGCACCGCGCACACACCGCCGCCAGCACTGCGCTCTCGCTGACAACGGCGCCCGCGCACCGCCGCCAGCACTGCGCTCTCGCTGACAACGGCGCCCACGCCCCACCGCGTGCGCGCAGGGACTGTCCGAGCCTGACGCAGGAGGCGCTCCGCCACGTCAGCGCCGCGCCGCACCTCGCCACCCTCCGCCTCGATCACTGCCCGCAGATCGCCGACACGGCCATCTTCCACCTCTCCGGCCACCCCAAGCTCCGCACGCTGTCCCTCAAGTCCACCTCGATCACCGACGCCGGCGTCGCCGCCCTGCGCGAACTCCCCTCCCTGTCAGACCTGGACCTCGACTCCTGCCAGGTCACCAACGACGGCGTGCTCGCGCTGCTGCCGCTGGCGGGCCAGCTGCGCCGGCTGTCCGCGCCGAACACGCGCGCGTCGCTGGTCGACCTCAAGGACCTGCAGCGTGTGTCGGGGGCCACGGAGGCCGCGGGGGCGGCGCCGGGGACGGTGTCGACGCGGACGACGCAGGAACTGACGCGGCGCGAGGTGCAGGGCGCCGGGGAGGTCCTCGTCGGCCCCGTGGGGGTCCCTGTGCACTGAGCGCACTCGTGGGATGCGAGCGTCTGCGGGGAAGTTTTTTTTTATCTTTCTATCTATATTCGTTGTTTCATTTATGTCGGCGAAGTTGTGAGTGGCTGGCGTGTAGGTGTGCTTGCGCGGACGTGTTGCGTCAGGTGCTTGGCTCTCGTTGCGTCCACGCGGTGTGAGGCGCGCGATGTCATGCGTGCGCCCGCTGACGGAGCTAAGCCAACAGTCAACGCGGTTGCCGACTGCATGAGGGACGTCATGCCTGGCGCAAAGTATTATTCGCCTTGCGCGAGCCCATCAGCGCACTCCGCCACGCCCGTGCGCCGCAGCAACGTCACAGATCTCCGCGTCACGACCTGCCGTGCACCAACGCGCCACACACGCACTCAACCCCCCCTTCAACCACCAAAACTCCCCCCCCTCCGCCACAGAACGCCCCAGCCCTCCACCGACCCATCCAGCCCCCACCCTGCGTCGCCCAGCCCCTACCTCACAATATACAATACACCCCTCAGAGCGGCATCGAGTCCCCGGGGTTGATCCGCATCGGCTCGCCCTTCCAGTCCAGGATCCACCGCCCCTCCCCCATGCCCTCCACGGGGTCCCCCGGCCGCGGCAGCCCCGCCCCCACGTCCCCGTCGCCCCCCGCGCGCGGCTTCCGCCGCCGCCCCGCCTCCCCGCCATCCTGTCCACCCCCTTCAGCGCCCGCGCCGCCGTCAATGGGCCCCAGACTCCCCCCCGTCGCCATCGCCTCGATCTCCTCCGCGGACGGCATCACGATGCCGCCGTCGCCGGCCTCGCCCGCGCCGCCGGCGTCGAACGCGCGCCCGTCGTCGTCGCTGGATGCCGCGCCCAGCCCCTCGTCAACTAGCGCCGACCACATCGTCTCCTGGCGGGGCTCCTTGCGCGCGGAGTACGGCTTCGGCATGCCTGCGTCGAAGCCGCGCAGGGCGGGCTTGGGCGGCGGGGCGTCCGGTCCGGGCGTGAGGATGCGCGAGCTCTGCGACGTGGGGTTTGCCGCGGCCGTGGGCTTCGCGGGGGCGCCGGAGCTGTGCGGGAGCGGGACGACGTGGTAGACCTCCCAGCGTGGGGTGCCGTCGATGACGACGGACTGCGCGCGCTGGCTCCACGCGCGGTGCTCGGCTGCGGGAATCGAGGACCAAAACTCCTCGAGCTGCGCCAAGGACGACAACTCGACTTCAAGCTGCAGCGCGCACGACCACGAGAAAGACATGTGTGATCAGTGTTCGCACTCAATTCTAGGGTTCCATCACGCACGGCGGCGCAGGGGCGCCAAACGTTGCATTTGGGGCGGAAGCGTCGCACGGAATGGCGCGCAACGCGCTTTCTGTGGGCATCTGACGTCGCATTTGCCGCTCCAGTGAGAGGAGAGGTGTTTCGGACCTCGAGTCGTGACTCGGGTGCGCCGATGGTGCCGGTGCTGAGGCGCGCAGCGCCGGGAGGCAGCCCCGCCGCAGCACCAACACTCTCCACCCACTCCTGCACCAGCGCGATCGTCTCCGCCTTCTTCCCGTACCGCGCGTCGAAGACCCACCGAGCCCGGACCGCCGCGGCGCGCACGTCGCGCGCTTGCCGCGCCCGGCCGACCGCCAGCGACGGGCCGTGGAGGCAGCGCTGCGCTGCACACAACCGCATGTTTCACGGGCGACCCCGTCACGCACGCGACGAAACTGCGGCCCGGCAGCCGCCGCACCGCCCCCTCCTGCCCCGGCCGCCCGCCCGCCGCGCCAACTGCCAGTCTGACCCCGCTGCCAGGTCCCGTCACACCCCCCCCACTGACAACACCAGCCAGAACGTCGGCGTTCCCAGCGACGCAGGTTTAGGCACTCGAGTGCCGCCACGGAACACGCGTCTGCAGCTGCGAGACGCGGATCCTCCGGCGTCGCGGGGGCAAGCAGAGTCTCTCTCACATTCTTACTTGGATGCTTCAACTTGCGGCGGCAGCCCGCGCTGTACCCGCTCCTGCTCAGTCAGGAGGTACTCGAACCGCCCGCGCTTGTGGGCGCAGTCGAACGTCCATATCTGCACGAACGCGGCGGCAACGAACTGCGTCGCACACGCGGGAGGTTGCGGCTGCGCACGCGCAGGGCGTGCTCGTGGGGGCGGTCCCGGCGGGCCCGCGTACCTCGGCCTTGAAGAAGAAGACGGCCATGACCGGCATGATCGCCGTCGCGGTCTTGACCGACGCCGACACGTTGCGAAAGCCCGGGTGCATAAAGTGGCCTAAAAGGTGCATCCCGGCCCAGGGGGCGCCGAACTTCCCAGCCGACTCCGCGGCCATCGTCATCGCCATGGAAACGCACTCCGCCTGCGCGGCACCGGGAGCAGGAGAACGCAGGAACGCATGTCAGGTTTGGCCCAAGGTGGTCGGTGGCTCTGACCGTGACGGACGCGCCAACGAAGTGTCGTTCGGACGTCCTCTGATGGCTGAGATCTTGCGGACCGTGAGTTCGGGCCCAGGGGCGCTCGAGGGCGCCGTGCGCCGACCTGTCTCGTCTTGCCCTGCTCGTCGCGCTGGCTCATGCTGTTGAACAGGTTAATCCCCATCGTGCCCGCGCCCCCGCCATGTACGTGCTCGGTGGTGCCCGCCGCCGAGCGCGCGCGGTACGGCAGTGCGTCCAAGCGCGGGGCTGTCCTACAGAGAGCTCAGAGCATGAACCGTGTCGCTGTGCCCGCTCAAGACCTTGCGAACAATTTACGATCAACCAGAACGCGAGGTACAGGGCTGATGCGGGCGCGAGTGGCGCCGCAGCTGCTCCAAGCACCACCTTATGCTCCACGGGCGAGGAAACGACCCCCAATACAGCCCGGGCCGACTCTCGAGGGGCCGCGCGGCGTGATTGGGGCGCGCGGACGCGGCGCGCGTCCACTCCGCGATTCTCCGTCCGCGCAACTCGTCACAGGCGTGTTGAAAGAGTTCGATCGTGACGCTGAGAGCGAGCGCCGAGCAGGCAACGTCCCGGACTGCAGCCAGCGCCTGGGGGCGCGACGCACGGGCGTGACGTGCGCGAGTGCGCAGCCTGCCGAGGCTCCAGTGAACTTAGGATAGCATGCAGAGCCCCGAGCCCTTGCTGGACGTCGTCCGCGGCCTTTCCACGGTGAGTTCATCCCAGGATGCACCGACGCCTCGTCCTCGCTCGCTGGGGGCTCCGCCGCGACGCACGAGCTGCGCCATCGCTGCTGTGCCGTATACACGATACGCGGACAGCGTCGTTCGTGCGTCTGGGGCAGCGAGCGGCCGCTGGGGAGCCGCGTAGTCCTGGTATCATAGCCGTCGCTCCACTTGCTCGGCTTATCCGGCCCGCGCCGAGCTCCTTGCCGACGCGCGCTGCATCTTCATGGCGAGGGCTGCGCGCGGAGCCGCCGCAGCGCCTCTGGACGCCGCCACGCTCGTCGTGCGCGGAGGTTGCGTGCGCGTCTTCATCCACGCCGCAACGCTTCCGGATCGCGCGCTCCGCCCGCGGCGCAGGTGGCGTCGTTCAGCATCGTGTTCACGCAAGTCGCGGACCTATGGAAGAACTTGTTTGAGGACGACTGCTGGAAGTGCAGGGGCACGGGGCAAGTTGTGTGTCCCAAGTGCCGTGGCACGAAGGACGCGCGCACGTACGCCCCTAACGCGGTCCCAACAAGCTCTCCCTCCACTGTTCTCGCGCCCAGTCACCTCGAAATCACCCCAGCGCCCCAGCGCACACCGGCTCGGCCCCAAACTCTCCACCGCTGCGCTCTCCCGCCTCCGCAGGAAGCCCATGATGTTCAAGAAGGAGCAGGTCGACGGCGAGGTGCTTCTCCGCCTCCAGGACAAGCCGGAGTACCACTACCCGTGCAGCCATTGCGGCCCCTCGGCGCCGCAGGACTGGAAGCTGGAGTGCCTCGACGACGACGAGGACGCCGCGACGCGCATCATGAACAACCTCCGCAAGGCCATGGCGAACCGCCGCGTGCAGCCGTTCGAGCCCACCGCCGGCTGCGTGCAGTGCCCCGCCTGCGGGGGCAACCCGGTCATCCACCGACACACCCCCAACCTGACCAAGGTGCTCGGGTTCGAGAAGCCGTTCTGGATGACCACGCAGGTCAAGGCCGGACGCGTCGTGCTCCCGAACGACTTCGACAAGATCGTGCGCGCCCGCCCCCTCACCGTGACTCTAAAAACGGCTTCGCAGACATGGTTTCAGGGTCTTGGATTGCCGTAGCTGCCTGGCTTGTGTCGAGCCGCTCCGCTGCTCGGGTTGCGCCGCAGGGGAGGTACCACATGAAGGAGTATCCGAACACGAAGGACCCGGTTGTGAAGGGGCAGGAGAAGTCGGACGCGGCGGAGAGCAAGTCGGTGGTGGCCATGTCGAGCAGGGACGCGTACCGGCCAGAAGACTTCGTGTACCCGTGGATCGACGACGACGACACGGACGAGGACGAGTGAGCGGGCGCGCGCGCGGTGTGACACGGCCTGCGCGGGACAGTGTGTGTGTGTGTGCGCATGCGTCGCTGCGACGGGAGGTGGCGTCGTGTGCGTGGACAGCCGGCTACGTGCGCGTGACTGGTCGTGTGCGCGGTGTGTGCACGGGCGTGGTTCGTGGTGTGGCTGCAGCATCGCATGGTGCGAGGGACCGCGGGGGAGTATACTGGTCCCGTTCCTGCTGTCATTCGAGGTTGTTCGTCGGCGTGTAGGCGCTCTGCTGCTGCGTCGGACGCGAACTCTCTACGGGCGGCGGACGGAGGAACGCGCGGACGTCTGTGGTGCGAGAGACGAGCGGCTGCTGAGTGCGCACTGCGTCAGAGCCTGGCGGCTTTGTGCTGCGCGGCGTCTTGGGTCTCATATTCTCTCAGACGCATCCTCATGAACTGAGAAGTCGCTCACACGACTGCGTCGAATCACAGAGAAGACGATGGGACCCAGGGACGGCAGAGCTCCACCAGAGCAAGAGGTGCCTCTTCTTCACCGGAACCGCGGCGAGGTGAGGCGAACCCGAGTTGTCCACGTACACACAACTACTAGGAACAAGCTCGCCGCGTGAACCCCAAGATCTCGCAGCATGACCGCCCCGAGGCCCAGGCGTCTGTTGACGGAAGTTGCTCGCGAAACCTGGCGTGGGCGGCGTCTTCATCCACTGCGGCGCCCGCCCCGCGATCCTTGCAGCACTCTGCTTTCCTTCAGGCCGGTTCCAGGGCCCCAGTCATCAACGGGCTGCAGCAGGGCGCCCCAGGCCCGTCGCCGCTGCGCTCCCAGGCGTTCCCGGTCGGGGAGGCCGCGGACGATGACGACGACGACGACGGCGCCGACTCGGACCTCGAGTCGCTGCAGGGCGCCGGGCGCGGATGCTGCGCCGCCGGCCTCGACTTCGCGGCCCTCTTCCTGTCCCTGGGCACCATCGCGGGCGGCATCTACCTCGCCGCGCAGGCCGGCGACCTCGAGGTCCTCCACCTCGCGGTCTGGCGCTGGTGCGTCTTCTTCGGAGGTACGCCGCGAACCGCCCGGTGTTCAGAACTGCCCATCAATGACTAATTAACTTGCAACTGTTGCACGACGTGACGTCGCCCTTCGCGTCTCTGTCGTCGTGCCCGTCCCCGCGCTCAACGCCACCCGCGCGCGCCCCTGTACAGACCGTTTCCAGCGCGTGTGCGCATCGAAGCAGCTCTCACACACATGCCCCTCGCACCACTCGAACAGCTCAGTCTCCCATCGCGTGTGCGGTGCAGCGATGCTTCCGCTGCGGCACCTGAGCGAGCTGGTCGTGACGCTCGCGGTCCGCACCGTCGAGAGCAAGTACTTTCTCGAGGGCCGTCTCATGTTCTTCCTGACACCTATCAAACCCCCCCTGTCGACGTTAGTCCAGTCCGCCTCCTACACCCTCCTCTGGGCCTGCATCGTCACCGCGGACGCCGCCAAGGGCATCACGCTGCTCCACCGCAGCCACGTCGTGCTGCGCGGCCTCGCGTGCGTCAACATCTTTTGCGCAGGACGCGTCGCCGCGCAGCTGCTCACCAAGTCCTTCGCGTCGCGGTTCAACCGCGCCGCCTTCTTCGACCGCCTCCAGCAGTCCCTCGAGAAGGAGTTCTTCCTCTCGGTGCGACAGCCCGACAGCGCACGCCTGCCTCAACTGCATCGTGCCGCGCCGCGCACGCGAGTCCGACCCCACGTGTCACGCGAACCTCTCGCTCTCTTCTTGCGCGGTTTCTGCAGACTCTGACGGTGCCGCGCGTGCGCCCGAAGCGCGCCAAGCAGTCTGCGCCGCTCCTGCGCCGCCGCGCTGCCCCCCCGGCCAACGCCCCGCCGCAACTCAACATGGGCGGGCCCCGCGTCTTCGGGCACAGACCCTCCGGCTCCGGCACCGGCAAGGGCGCGCCCGCCATGCGCGTCGCGTCCAGCTCCGCAGCCGAGGCCGAGCTCCCCTCCCCCGCACACGCCCCGCCCGGGCCCCGCGACAGCCCCCGCAGCGGCCGCGGGTCGCCACGCGCGAGCAGCACCGGACGGCCCGCCACGCCGGACCCGCAGCGCCCCGCTCGCTTCGACCCCACCGCGCCGCCGGACGCCGGCAGCAGCGACGAGGAGGACCGGCAGCGGCAGCTCGAAGAAGCGTGCGGGAGGTCCGGCCACGACACGAACGCAGCCGGGGGGTCCAGCGGCGCGCCTGGGCCGGGCGTCGCGGCGGCGAGCGCCGGCGCGGCGGACCCGGCGGGCATGCGTCGCGTGGACTCATTCGCTTCGTCGGGGGTGCCGGAGGGTCCGTTGGGGAGCGGGGACCTGGGGCTCGAGGACGGGATCGTGCGCGACAAGAACGAGCTGCTGAACCAGATGCGCGACTTCATGCACTTGCGGAAGGAGGAGGTGACGGGGACGCAGGCGAGTCGGCTGGAGCGGTACGTGCGTCGGCACCACTTTGGGGTGACGTTCTCGCACAAGCTGAAGACGACGGGGGCGCTGCAGGACCCGCAGAGCATGGAGCGGGTGTCGCGGCGGCTCGCGCGGTGGGTCTGGCAGAACGTGCGGGAGTCGCGCGGCCAGGACGAGATCACCAGATCGGATCTCGAGTACTTTTTGCCGTCCGACAAGGTAGAAAAGTGCATCGCGATGCTCGACGCGACGCGGGACGGGCGCATCAGCCGCGCGGACGTGCGGACGACGGTGCGGTCGATCGTCACGGAGCGCCACGACCTCAACAAGACCATCCACGACTCGAACACCGCGGTGGGGAGGATGGGCGTGCTGATTCAGGCCGTGATCAACCTCTGCGTGTTCTTCGCGTCGATGGTGGTGTTCGAGATCGACATCGTGAGCCTGTGGCTGTCCACGGCGTCGGTGCTGCTGGCGCTCGGGGTGGTCTTTGGCAACACCCTGAAGAACATCTTCGAGTCGTCGCTGCTGCTGTTCTCCACGCACCCGTTCGACGTCGGGGACGCGTGCCTGATCGACGGCGAGTGGTGCGCGCCACCGCCCGTCAAACACACATGATCCGAGACAACCCCATCTCTGTCTGTACTAACCGATCAATCAAATTGATTGTTTGTCGCGGCTGTGGGTGGTTCCTCACGCCCTGGTCCCAGATCTCTGCACCGGTCATGCTGGCACCCTCCGCACACACACGGATGCCACTCCATTCCCCACTTTCCAATCTTTTGCCACTTTCTCCTTCTCCATTTCTTGCAGGTACGTCATCCGCGAGATCTCGCTGCTGCGCACGACGATGGAGCACGAGCTCGGCAGCCTCTGCAGCTTCCCGAACCACAAGCTCAACGACCTCCCCGTGCACAACCTCTCGCGAAGCCCCAACAAGTGGGACTCCTTCACTGCGTACATCGACCTGGCCAGCTGCACGGCGGCCTGCGAGGCGCTCGACCGCGACCTGCAGGAGCTCGCGCGGTCGCGCCCAGACTACTTCCCGGGCGACGTCCGCGTGCGCGTGTTCACGCCGACGGGGCCCGAGCGCGGCTTCAAAGCCCAGGTGTCGGTGTGGTACGAGATGGGAAACGATGGTTCCGATTTGAAGCTCGTGGGACTGATCCGGAACACGATGCACATGGCGTGCATGCAGTCCCTGAGCCGCAACGGCGTGCGTTTCGCGCACCGGCACGAGATGACGGCTGCGTGGGGGGCGACGCAGTTCGAGGATGGCACCATGTGGCAGGCCCCCGCGCGGCAGGCGGGGGTCAAGGGCGGCGCGGAGCCGCCGGCGCCCAAGGCAGCGGCCGCGGTGGCGGAGCGGCCGCGGCAGTTCCAGTGAGCGGCGCGCGCTGGCGTCGATCGCCTGGAGGGGGAGACCAGCATCCTGCTGCTTGGGACGCGGGGAAATGTCTTCGCGCCACCTCGGGCTGGGTATGACTGGGTGTGACTCAGTCGTGAATGGCAAGGCAGCATCGTGCTCTGCGTGTACGTCTCCGATGAATGACCAACTGCAAGCAGCGAACAACAAACACCGTGCCCTCCTTGACGTCGTGGACCGCCTGGAAACGTCGCCGGGGATCCGGAATGCGTTGCCGTCTGCAAGGCACCACATGCTCAATCGAACCTCTCCATCTCACACAGGCGTGCTCGCTGCGTGTAGCTACTGCGCGTGCACCAGGGACGGCCGGAAGTGGTCCGGGGTGGGCGGGCCGCCGCGTTCGCGGGCCCTGCGTCATCGCCGTGCCCCGGCCACGGCGGCGGCGACCACGCCGACCAACACCCCCCCTGCGGCCATCACTACCCCCATCCCAATGAGGCCCTCGTTCACCATGCGCTGTTCTACCTCCGACAGCAGCGCGAGCATCTGCCGGGCGCCGCCGTGCGCGGCGTCTTGGAGCAACCGCCGCGCCTGCGAACGCAGAGGGAGGCCCGCGTGGATTTCGAGTCTCGGAACCTCGATTCCCGTTCGCGCGGAACAGATCGGCGCGACGTGAGATGCGAGCCCGCGAAACGCCGGCCGCGCCGCAGAACGCTCGGCCGGAAGACGGCACGGACGGCCCGCTGTCCGCGCCGCGAGGGCAGCGCAGCGCGTGCGCAGCAAGCGCAATCGCCAGGAAAAAACGCACAACAGACACACCATCCTCGACTGCGAGCGATTCGACAGCCCAGGACTCCCGCTCGCGACAGCCTGCGTGTCCGAGCGGCTCGCACTGCTCCGGCTGCTTCGTTCCGCGCACCTTGGAGTAGCTTCCCGTGCGGAACCGGCCCACCGCGGCGATGTAAGTGAGCTCGTGGAGGTACCTATCGCTCTGACCGACGATGGCGTCGGGTTTCGAAATGAGGCCCTCCGCGAGCGCCGCACCGTCCACCACGTCGCTGTAGTTCGAGCAGTGCACCTGCGCCCACGCGAGTCGGACCTGCAACGCGCCGCGACGTGTCTCTGTCTCGCCGTGTGAGCTGCAAGCCCGCCCGTGCGCTGCGAGCCGCGCAATGCACCGTCGTGCTTCGCCGCGTGTTCTCCAAGGCTGCCGCGTGTCTGTCCTCGTCGGAGCGCCGCGCATTCGGCGTTCTCGACGCACCTGGCTGTCCTGGAGGGCCAGGGCGCGGTCCGCGGGGGAGCCCTTCGTGCTGCCGCTCGAGGACGCGAGCTGGAGGTAGTCGCGACGGCAGGCGTTGACGATCTCGCTGTCCGTCGTCGGGAGCTGGTCCCAGTCCACGAGGCTGCCCCCCGGCCACACCATGGCTAGTGCGGGCAACCACCAGCAGGGCGCGTTGGCTGCTCGGGGCGCGACGGAGCCGACCGGAGGACCTATGTGCGGCCTACGACGCGGTTATGCTTCAGTTTGCACCTATCTTCAACTCCCGCGGCCGACTCCCGGCCTCTAGGCGCGTACCAATAGGCAAGGACAGACTTTGGTCCAGCGCGTGGCGTGGTTACGGGGAGTCTCGATGGAAGGCAGCTCAGGAGCCGAGGCTGCTGCGAAAGGTTGGGAAGTGGGCGCGGGACGCCGCGCTGGGTCCCTTGTGGCCCCAGTTGGGCTGCCTTGGGGGGTAGTGGGGCGTCGAGGGGCCCGTCGCTGTGCTGACCTCGTCCGGGCTCGTTACGGCGCCGCGCGCGCGCTTTGCCGCACAACCGATTACGTAGATCCTGCGCACGCACCCGAGTCGGCGCGTAGAGGACGTGCGCGACCGCATTCGCGACACGTAGCTGCGAGCTCGCCCACCAGCGGGCTGGAGTCCGAGCACCATGGGCAAGATGCTGGTGCCCAACCATGACCCGGAGCGTCTCTCCCGGGTCATGGACGAGCGGTACAGGCTCATTGGGGTGCGAACCCCCCCGCAAACAGCGCTGCCATCCTCCAGACCACGTTGTCTCGCTCGCAGCCGGCCAGCACGGCGGCCCACGCGCCTCCACCGCCCTCCTCCGCCTTCCTCGTCATCCGACCTTCCCTCGGACGCGTTCCAACGTGCCGGCGAGGGCTTCCACGCGCAGCCACGCGCTCTAGACTGCCTTGAGCGTGCGTTCCGGCCGCTCACGGCCCCGCCATCGCGCTGCCTGTCCGTTGGATCCCGCATTCTTTCACTTTGTGTCCGTGCCGAACATCAGCGGTGTACCGTTCGGGTCCTCGGGGCCTGGCGGCGGCACCCCGCGACCGCCATCCCACCGCGGCGCTCACAGCACATGTGGCCCCCGCCAAGGCGCCCGCGCGGCCGACGCCGCAGCGCCCCGGCGCGGACCTGCTGCAAACACGTAGAACGTCCCAGCCGGGGCGCAGAAACGCCGTTGCGTCCGCGATTCCGCCGCGTGTCACTGTGGTTGCCTCTTGCGCAGTCTCAGGCGTTTCCATGCGGCCTGTTCCGGCCGGTCCACGCCTTCTCTCCTGATCTGTCGCAGCGTGCGCCACACAGACGCATTTGGCTACATGAACCGCGCGCCGGACGGCCGCGTGCGGCGCCCGCGCGCCCGGCAGCGACCTCCGTGTTGAACGCGGCCCACACCAGCGGCCCCCGCGCGCGCCGTGCAGGTCGACGTGAACGCCCTGGACGAGCAGGTCGCGGCGAAGAAGGCCCTGAAGGACCAGAAGGCGGAGTTGGAGGCGCAGGAGGCCCGGCAGGCCCAGGCGTGCGACGCGCTGCTTATGAAGTTGCAAGTGGACGCGGAGAAGCGCCGCCGGGAGCTCGCGAAGGCCGACGGGGACTTCCGCGCGACGCAGAAGCCCGACACGCGCCGCGAGTGGGACCTCAACGACCCGAAGGCGCTGTGGTCGGACCGTCCCGCGCGGGAGGGCGACGACGACCCGCGCTGCGGCCCCGCGTCGCTGCAGAAGTTCGACGGCGAGGACCTGTCGCAGGCGATGCGCGTGGCGGAGCAGCAGGCGCAGCTGCGCGAGTGGCTCGAGTCCCAGCGGACGGAGAAGCTGTCGGCGACGCAGGCGGCGGACCAGGACGCCGACGTGTGGGCGCAGCGCACGGCCGCGCAGGTCGCCGTCATGGCGGCCGCGGAGCGGCGCGCGGCGGAGGAGAAGGCGCGGCAGGCGCAGACGACGCGCGACGAGAACCAGCGGCTCGCGGACGAGCGGCGGGCGCGCGAGGAGGCCGAGCGGCGCTTCGCGGCGGCAGCTGACGAGGCCGAGATCGAGCGGATGCTCGAGGACCCGTGGCTGAACGAGAAGGACCGGATCGGCGTGGGGACGTTCAAGGGGATGGACGAGCACGAGCGCGCGGTGATTCGGGAGATGCAGCGCCTGCAGGCGGAGGCCAAGGCGGCGCGGGCGAAGGAGGCGCGGGAGGCGGAGATGGAGGAGGCGCGGCGGATGGTGATGCTGCGGAAGGAGCTGGCGCGGCAGGAGCTGGCCAAGGCGGAGCTGCTGCGGGAGCAGGCGGAGCAGGCGGCGGAGTTCTTGCAGACGCAGCGGGACGCGAAGCGGCAGACGGACGCGACGCTGCGCGACATGTTCAAGAACGAGATCCGGCCGGAGTTCTTCGAGCAGTTCGGGAAGAGCCACCGCTGAGCCGGGCGAGCTGGGGGCAGAGGTGGTTGGTGGTCGCGCAGGCGTGGCGTGGCGATGCGATGCGCGGCCGCGTGCTCCGCGTTGGACGTGCAGCGATAATGTTTCTGTAAGGTTGGCGAACGCAAGCACGGCCAGGACGCGCGTCGAGCGCAGCAGTCACAAACCTCGGCTCGAGTCGTCAACTCCCGCGCTGTCCGCGAGCTGCGCGCCGGAGCACCGACTGCGAAAGACATCCAAGCACAATGCGCGCGGCCCCGGCCTCACTCCCCGCGTCGCCATCACTTGGCCTTCTCGAGCACCAGGTATCCGTGCACGTAGTCCATGCCGTGGCCCTCCGGGTCCGCCGCGGCCTCCTTCTCGTACATCGCGAACATCTCGTCCGCGAGCGCCGCGCGCTCCTCGGCGCTGCGCTTCGTCGCGTCCAGCCCCGTCGTGAACGTCGAATTCGACCACGTACGCAGCGTCGGCACGTACCACGCCGCGTGCTTCGCGGGGTCCTTGCCGCCCGCGCCGGACCCGTCGAGGAACGCGTCGCGGAACGGGCAGCGCACGACGCGCGTCTCGCACGACACCAGCCGCAGGCCCGCCGCGTGCACCGCCGTGCCCTCCTTGAACGGCGCGACGAGCTCCTCCTTCGTCCGGTAGTAGTTGCACATCGTGGTGTTCTTGAACTCCTCCTGCGTGATCCGCCCGTCGTCGGCCATCTTCTTCCACAGGCGGTTCATCGTCGCGAACATGTTGGGCCCCTTGTCGGTGTGGCCCAGGTAGTAGCCGTTGTCGTCGATGCAAAAGTTGACCACCACGAGACGGCCCCCGGGCGCGAGCTCCGCCGCCCGCGCGAGGAGGATGCGCTCGTAGTCCTTGGCGGCCTGCGCGCGCCACGGCCCGAGCTCGTCGGGGCTGGCCTGAGTCATGTGGACCGTGCTCAGGTCGCACGGCTTCTCCGAGAGCCAGTGCATGGCCGTGAAGCTGACGCCGAGGTGCACGGAGTTCGAGGGGAAGCACTGCTCGAAGAAACCCGTGCCGGACGCCGTCACGAAGACCTTGTCGTGGTGCTTTTTGAAAGTGTCCACGCCCTCGCGCGGCGGCATGATGCCCTCTGCGAACACGCGAACAACGCGCCGCGCCGCTCCGCCGCTCAGCCCTCGAGAAAACCCAAGGCGTGGCGCGGGCCGCGGACAGCAGCGGCGGCCGTGGAGCCAGCAAGCAACCGCCTCCAAACGCCACGCTTTGTTGTGTCACGTTCCGCGCCGGGCGGGCTGGCGTGCAGGGGGGGCGCGCACCGGTGAACGCGAAGAGCGACTTGAAGTCGTTGACGGGCTGGTCCTCGTACTGGATGTGGATCTCGCGCGTGGGGTCCTGGCGCCGCACCTCCTGGATGATCTTGTGCATCAGCGGCATCGACGTGCCGCCGTCCGCGGTGCCGTAGTCCGCGACCGTGAACGCGCCCGCGGACCCCGCGGCGTTGACGTCCAGGCCGTTCAGGACCAGCGGAGCCGAGTTCTCAATGACGCGGAAGCAGCCCAGGGTAGCTGCGGGGGCGCGGGGGGGGAGAGATGAGGGGCGTGAGGCGGCGCCAGGGGCAGGATATGGCAGAGATGGACAGTGGCGGGGCGAGAAAATGGGTTTGGTGGGCTCGGGTGGCGCAGCGGAGGCGCGCACGGGCGCTGGTGTGCTTGTGCGGTGCCCCGGGAGCGTGAGGGGTGTTGCGGTTGATGTTACGCGTCGTGTGTGCGAGTGAGGGCATGGGGGGGCACTTGCGGGGTGGAATCGCGGGACGAGACGGGGGGGTGTGCGGCCGTTGGCCGAAAGCTGCTGACACCTAAGAGGGATGGGGCGGACGGCGGTGTTGCGTGGAGCAGGCAATCGAACGGCGGTAGCGCCCTGCTATTCGTGAGGATCGGGGCTGTCCGCGATCAAGAGCGCGCCTCGCGGGCGCCCGAGGCCCCGCCGCGCGCACTGCGTGATGTGGGCACCGTTGATCGGCAGGGGGGCCTATAGCAGCCGTCCGACGCACGAAATCCAACGGAAAAGCGGTCATGCTATTCGTAATTCGCCGCGATTGCTCGCGTCAAAGCAGGAGGGGCCTGACGCGGGCGGATTGAGCGGAAAAGTGCCGCATGAGGTTTCTTCGCAGCAAGCCGGGGAACCGGCCCGCGTGAGCAACTCTCCGCGCGACCTCGTCTGCACGTATTCCCAGCGCCGCTAGGCGCGATATCACGCCCTGAATTCGCGCGCCGACCGCGCCCGGGACCGAGGCTGAGGAGACGCATCGGCGCGGGCCCCTGCTGCGGCGCAGCGCCCGCACTGCTCGCGTATCCGCGCCCTTCGCAACAGAGCCGCACCTGTGGAGTACCTCCCGGAGCCATCGCTTCCCCACGGCACGTGGGCCTTGCCAAGGGCCTTGTTGTCCTGTCCAGCCATATTCACCAGCAATGTCTGCCCAGCGCGAACCCACTGAGCAACAATTGCCCGGTGCGCGTCATCCGCGACGCCCTCCTGCTCCTGCCCAGCGCGCCAGCCGCGGCCCCGGACACCCCGGGAGGGCAAACCAGCCTGACACAGTCTCTGAGACTCCCCCCGACACACAAGTGGTCACAGCAGCCACGGCGCCGCGGTGCGGCGCTACAGTATGTACACTCCCGCGTCCGCGCGTCGTCAGAAGATCCCCGCGCGGATCAGCATGCCGCCCGCCACCGCCGCCGCCGTGGTCAGCGCCGACACGAAGTTCTGCTGATCGACGACCTGCGCGAGGCCCTTCTTGCCGCACGACGCCAGAATCAGCCGCGTCGCCGCGTCCCCCTTCACGCCCACGCGCCGCATCTCCTCGAACACGTGTATCGCGCGCTCATACTCCCCCGACACCTCGCACGCCGTCAGGATCGCGTTGTACGCCCGCGTGCCGCCGCCGAACTTCGACACGCGGCCCAGACACCGCACGCCGATCCGCGGCTGCCGCGCCCGGCAGTACGCCTCGATCAGCCCGACCCACGCAGAGTCCCCCGGGCGGAGTCCCGCCGCGAGTAGAAGCTGCAGGTACTCCTCGGCAGCGCGGGGGGCGCCGCGGCGCGCGGCGTGGCCGACCATGGTCTCGTACGTCACGCGGTCGCGCGCCGGGGACGCGTCGAAGAGCGCCTCGACGGCCGCGTGGTCGCCGGCGCGCGAGGCGGCGCAGAGGGCGATGTTGAAGCACTGCTGCCCGGGGCGGATGCCGAGGGTGCGGGCGCGCGAGAAGGTCTCGAGGCACTCGCGGTGCATGTCGCTGGCGAGGAACCGCGTCATCATCGCGCCGACGACGACCTGCGCCTCGCCGCCGGAGAGCTGGTCGTTGAGCTCCATCTCCTTCCACAAACGGTACACCGCGCGCGCGCGCGGGAGCGTCTGCGCCGCGCGGATCATCCCCGCGTACGTGTGGTGGTTGAGGTCGACGGGCAGCTCCGCCCAGTTCACCGGGCCGGTCGTGGCGCCCGTCGTCGCGGCGCGGCGCCGCCCGGCGCTGTACGCCTCGAGCGGGAGCGTCGCGACGGCGTCGTCTTCGGCGTGTTCTGCCAGCCCGCTGAGGAACACGGAGTACGTCACGACCGTCATCGGCACGCCGTTCCGCGACATCCATTCCAGGAACTGCGCCGCGCGCTGCATCTCGCCGGACCGGACGATGACCTGGAGGAGCGCCGTGCAGGAGACCGAGTCCGGCGTGTAGCCCTGCTGGAGCATCTCCTGGAACACGGCGTTGGCCTGGGGGAGCGTCGGCATCCCCGCGATCAACGCCGCGGCCACGTGCGGCGTCATCCGCAGCTGGCTGCGCTTCCCAATGGCGTGGAGCCGCGGGCCGTACCCCGGGACGCGCAGCGTCTTGCACGCCTTCGTGAGCGCCGTGAGAAGGTACGGCGTGCACCGCGGAGCTGCACGCAACGAAAAGACACCTCTGTCAGACTCAGGGCCGGAGGCGCGGCGCGCGAGGCGCGATTTTGCGCAGACGCGTGCGTGGCGGCCGCGCGCGCGTACCGGTGGGCTCCTCGAGGCTCTGCAGCAGCACGTGCAGCGCCTGCGCGTCGCTGCGCGCGACGCACAGCTTGGCGAACGCCTCCAGCATGTACCCGTCCGGCGTCACGCCCTGCTCGATCGCGGAGCTCCAGAGCGCCTCGGCGCGCCGCGGCTCGCCCATCGCGAGGTGCAGGTTGACGCCCTGCGTCACGAGCACCGCGTCGATGGCCACGTTCTCGATTGCCCACTGCGGCGGCACGGGAACACGTGCGGGGGTCGGTCACGGGCGCCGTTCCGGCCGCGGGGCGCGGGGCGTCGCGGCGGTGAGTGGGCCCGAACTGGCGGACGCGTGGCGGTGTCTGGACGCAGCGTGCAGGTGGACGTGAGGGTGACAAAAGGTGTGGGGGAGGGGGAGTGCCTGGAGGACTTCCGAGGCGGCGTCGCGGTCGGGTTTGCCGCGGATGAGCGCCTTGATGGTGGCGGAGCACAGCTGCGAGTCGATGGCGTAGCCTGCGAGGCGCAGCCAGCGGTGCAGCGGGTACACGCGGGCGCGGAGGGCGGCGTCGTTCCCGAGGCGGCGGACGACGGCCATGACGCGCTGTGGCGGGACGTCGCGGACCGCGGCGAGGACGTTCGGGTCGGGCTGGTAGTCCAGCCACGTGTCGGAGCTTCGCGGGTCGAGGAGGCGCCGGAAGACGTCGGGCAAGCCTCTCTGGCTCTGCAGACACGGGACGCGGCGCGCGGCACTTGGGAAACCGTATTCGTGGAGGAAAGCGTCCGGCCTTGGTTCGCGGGGCCTGGGCCGAGGACGCGCTGCAGGAGCACCAGGCCGGCGCGCGAGCGCGCGACACGAACGCAGTTGCAACGAACTTCTATCCCGGGCGCAGAGCGGGCCGCTAGATGCGCAGGAGCCGCGGAACCCGGCGCCTGTGCCTCTGCGGACGTCATGCTAGTGCGTCCGAGCGGCCTCTCTGCGCGCCGTCATGCAAGCGACTGCGCCCTCACGCACCCTCGTGTCCTGGACGGAGCCTGCCGCGGGGTCATCGGGGTCCGCGACGATCGGCTTCTGCACGGCGGGTCGGTCCTTGATCTGTCGCCGTGTTGTAGCGCTCGACGCGCGGGGACCTGGGCGGGGCACGCCCGTCGACCGGTGCATCGTGGAATCCACGTGTGCGTGGGCGCTCCTCGCCGGGCCCGCGCGCCGCCTGTCCCCGCCGTCGCGCCGTAGCGAGGGGGAGAGGAGCACCGAGCGGCGAGCGAACATCGGCTTGGCTGTTTTCGACGGAAGGAGGCCGCACGCCGGCGCGTGGTGCACGGGGGCGGCCGCTAGAGGCGCCATTGCGCTCGTCGGAACGCGCCACGCGCGCACTTCGGCCGTCGCCCTCCCTCTCCGCGCAAGTGGACTAGGTGCAACGGGGAAGGTAGCGTGGCGTCGCCGCAGGGCACGCACGGGCGCCTCCACCGCGCTTCCTCGAACGAATTATACAACAAAAATCGCGCGCGTGCAACAACTGCCGCCAGGCTGCCGGAGCGCGTCGCAGAAAGCCGACGGGGCCCGCTCGGCCCGACACCACGTTCAGGCCCCCCGCAGCGGCCACAGGCGCCCGCGAAACCCGAGCCGCGCCCATCACCTCTCCGCCAGGTCCAAGCCGAGCACCGGCGTCACACTACAGGGCTCATATCACGCGCGTATCGATGCAAATCGCCACACAGCTACTTTGCGCGTCTGCGTCCTCCCCCGACGTCCGGCGTGCCGCACGACCGCGCCGGCGCACCTCACGGGCTCGCGCCCGCCACGTGCTCCGCCTCCTCCTCCGCGAGCGCCCGCTCCGCCATCGTCCGGAGCGAGGGCGCCCCCGTGAAGAGCCACGGCATCACGTCGGGGAGCTCCAGGAGGCTCGTGACTGCGGACACGGGCGAGCGGCCCCGCCAGCGACGTTGGCGAGGCGCAGTAGGACAGGCGAGAGACAGGAGGAGGGGTTGTGGACAGTTCCAGTGCGACTTGAGTCACGAAAACAGTAGTAGAAAACAAAATGCCGTAGAACAGACAGGACCATGCGTGCGGGCGCTTCGGGAGGGTCAGCATGAGTAAGAGCAGTGAGTACGCGACGGAACAAGAGCCCGCGAGCCGGCGGGACGGCGAATGCGGGCGTTGGCGCTGGACGGCGGTGGTGGCGAGAGGGCGCGGCTGCCTCGGGGGCGGGGGCGCACCGGCGAAGTCCGCGGCCTCGGGGCGCTCGGTGTGGGCGTGCTCGTTCACCCAGACCGTGGTGAAGCCCGCCTTCTTCGCGCCCAGGATGTTGCGCCGGCTGTCGTCGATGAACACGCACCCCTCCGCGGAGTCCAGCCCCGCCGCGGCCAGCGCGATCTCGAACGCCTCCAGGTGCGGCTTGCACACCACGGGTGCCTGCAGCCGAGCAAAGGACCATGAACAGACGAACAATCATGAACTATGCGGGCATCATGAACCTTGGTTGTTTTTCAACGCTTGTGCGCCGCGTCGGCCGGCAGGGCCGTGCAGCGGCGCGGGGGGCGCGCGCACCACCGCCTCGACGCCGTTCTTCCCGCACGTCAGCTTCGCCAGCCCCCGCTTCACCGCCTCCTCCATGACATGCTCAAAATGAATCACTTTTTCAAACAAACCCTCCGCGAACCCCAACAGCCCCAGGCACCTGCACCGCGCCCGGCGAGCACGCGCAGCTCACGCCGCATCCTCCCGCGGCCGCCGCTGCGCCGCGGCGTCGCCGGCGACCCGCAGCAGCGCGTTTTGGTGCCAAGAGAAAGAACACGCGTCACGGGCTGGTCGGCGGCGTGGCAGGGCGTCCGGCTCGACCAGCGCGCGGCCGTGACGCTAGGGGTCCGTGGCGGGGCGGTTGCGGGCGCACCTGGAGGCGTGGGCCTTGTCAGCGTTCGTGAAGACATAGCGTTTGGCGCGGATCTTCCGCAGGATCTGCGCGAGGTCGGGCGAGGCGGAGATGAGGCGCTCGTACTCCAGCGGCGCGTGTACGTGCGCGTGCCAGTCGTCGTAGTCCACCAGGACGCCCTCCTTGACCAGCCCGCACAGCGTGGTGCCATGCTTCAGGTAATAGTCGTGCCGGATTTCGACGACGCGCTCCTCCGGGAAGCCGAGCTTGCGGATGTAGCCTGCGGGCGGTGCGCGGGCGGGGAGGCCCGTGACGGCGCGGCGAGCGCGGCAGGGCAGGGCGGCACGCAGCTGCCGGTGGTGGTGCGTGGGCTCACGCGGCCGCTGCGGCGGGATATCTGGAGAAAGAGCGGCGCTTTCAGAGACTGCGAGGATGATGTCGCGGGAAGCGCATGGAAAGCGCGCGTCATCCCGCCATGCGCGCGCTGAAACGAGGCCCGGCTGCAGCGGACGGTTGCACGCGGGCCTCGCCTCTCGCTGCACGGGACCTGCGGTGCGCGGATTTTCACGCGCGGACGAAGAAAAACAGCTGCTTGGTCGCGTGGGCGGGTGCGCACCGTCAATGAAGCTGCTGACGTGTTTGGGCACCTCGGGATTGATGTAGAGAGTGTCGTCGAGGTCTATGAAGACATGGTGCACGGGGTGCGGGCTCATCCTCGGGTGCGGGCGTGCCCGGCAGTCCGCGGCGCAGCGCGGCCTGGCCGCTCGTCCCCACGACCTCGCGAGCGCCCGAATTCCGCCGCGAAGTGCCACGGTGCTCTGAGCGAAAGGAGCCGCGCGCTGTGTCGAATTCGATGGCTGCTCGCCTGAAGAGTGACCTGTCCGCGCGAGTCTGTCTGGGTCTCTCGGCGCGGCGCCTACTCAGGGCGGAAGGGCGCCCCGCGTGGCCGGGAGTCGCGCTTGTACCATCCCGCAGTCGGCAGGCGCTCCAGTCGGACACTGCCGCCCCAGGCGGACTCATGGCGCGTCGCGGGCGCCCGTCGCGGGACACCTGAGGCGAGGACATACCAGCCGAATCGTCCCGCTGTCCCCTGACGACCTGACGCACGTCTAGCCTCGACATCGATCAACCTGGGCACTTAGGGCGCCGCGCACGAATCGCGTGAGGGTCGACGTTCGCAGGACACCGCCCAAGCGGCGAGATTAGATCAAGGACTACCGTGTCGCGCGACATTACGGGAGCGGACAGCGGCAGGGCAGCTGGAAGGCGCGGCGCAAGACCTTGGCCGCTTGCGGGAGAATGGCGCCGGCGCCGCAGGGCTCGGGCCTGCGCAGGTTTCTCGATCCGTACTACGTCGGCAACGTCGTCCTATGCGCGGGCTACCTCCTCGTCCGCACGTGGGTCCTGAACTACTCGGACCTGACGTGGAGCCGCGTCCTCGTAGACAAGAGTGAGCTCCTGCAATGGGAGCGCACCGCGTTCGGGACGCTCGGGGCGGCGCTGTTCATCAAGTTCGTCCGCAGACAGTCCTTCGACGGCTTCCTCGCCTCGGCCTTCCTGTACAGCAAGGTCCGCGCCCCACACGGCCCTCCTGCTGCCCCCACGCGCACCCCTGCACACTTGCCCCGCCGCCCACGCCCGCGACGCACAGCGCTCGCGGCGAAGCATCGTCGCCCACGCCCGGACAGCGCCGCGGCGTGTCGGCGCGCAGCGCGCCCACGGCCCGCCGCGATCCGTCGTTGTTATTGCAGGCGGTGCTAGCGCTCATGGTTTGGGTGTGCGACGTGCGGCTGTTCATCTACTACATGGTCTTCTACTGGATCCACTCCCTCCTCACCACGCAGCCCCTGTACCAGGGCCCCGCGAACATCACGTATCTCGACGGCCAGCAAATGGGCCTCGAAATCACCGGCCCAAAAGCCGACAAGGTAAACACCCCCCCCGCCCTCCCAACACACCCCCGGGCAGCCACACCGCGCGCACAGCACTGCATCCGCCCGCCGCGGCCACGAACACCATCGCCCCACCTACGGACCGCACGTGCGCAGCGATCTTGAGTGCGGCGTGTTGCAACCCCCTTCTTGCGCGCGCGCGCGACGTTCCGGTGCCCGCCTCGCGCGTGCAGAGCGTCCGCTGGCTGGTCGAGTTCTACGCGACGTGGCACCCGGTGTGCGTCGCGCTGGAGCCGATTTTCGCGTCCCTCAGCGTGCAGTACGGCTGCGAGTGCCTGCGGTTCGCCAAGGTGGACGTCGGGCGGTACCCGGGCCTCGCGAGGGACTTCGGCGTCGACGTCTCGGGGCAGTCGAAGCAGCTCCCGACGCTGGTCTTCTTCGAGCACGGCAAAGAGGTCGCGCGCATCCCCCACGTGTTTTCCGACGGCTCCGTCAACCGCGGGCTCTTCCGGAAGAAGGACATCGTCAAGGGCTTCGCGCTGGAGGACTACTACAAGAAGCTGCGCTGGCGGCGGCCCAAGGGCAAGGAGAAGGCCGACGGCGCACCTGTGCGTACCCCCAACGGCGACGCGGCGCAAAAGGACGCCGCGGCGAAGAAGGCCGAGTAGATGTGATGGCGCGGCGCTACGCGCGAAGCCCGGACGTCACACGCGCGCGGCGGCGCAGCAGCGGCCGCGGAATCAACAACATTGCGCCGGCGACAGCGCTCACGCCGCTTGCGCGGCCCCGTGCGGACGCCGCTGGAGGCCCCGCGCGCGCGCGCGCGTCCGCCGGGCAGCTGTGCGCGAGCGCGCGGGCGCTGCGCGCCCCGTCACGCCGGGACCGCTTGCCGCGCTGCGTTTGCGTCCGCGGCGCTCTGCGGCTGGTTCGCTTGCGTAGCCGCCTCGCCCTCCGCGCGCGGCGCGACGTGGGCCTTCGCGGGCACGTCCGGCAGCTGCCCCCCCACCGCGTCGGCCATTTCCTTCTCCATCGCGTCCAGCTCGGCTTGCGCTGCTTCGTTGACTTCTTCCATGCCCCCCGCGCTCGCCATGGCTGCCTCGATCTCGTCGAGCCACTCCCGGTGGCCCTCGCGCTCCTCCATCAGCCTCTCGACGTCCTCCACGCGCAGCTCGTCCTGCAGCTGCTTCAGCACGGAGGAGCCCTTCTTGAGAGTTGCCACGAGCTCAGCGTTCCGCCGCGTGTCCTCGAGGTCCAGCATGGTCCGCTCGAGGTTGAAGAGGAACCCGTCGACCTTCTCGACGAGCTGCTCCTGGAGCTTGCGCTTCTTCAGGCACAGGGCGGCCTCTCTTCGTTTGCCCTGGAGCAAAAGCGTCTTCGCCGCGACGGTCTCGCGGTCAATCACGGCATCGATGCGCTCCCGCTCTGCTGTGAGCTTGCGTCGCTGGGCCTGCGGGCAAGAAGCGGGCCGCGACGCGCTCGGCACGGGCCCGGAGTCGTGTGTGCGTTGCGAGCGGGTCTTGCGGCGAACCGGGCGGGCGGGACGCGGACCTTGAGCTCCAACAGCGCCCTATCGCTCTCAGTGATCCGTGGGCGCTTCGGCTTGCTGCTCGTCAGCCCCATCCCTCCCCTCTCGCGCCAACCCGCGGACGGGCTCCAAGCTCGCCGTGTGGCGCACCCGACGCTTCCCGAGGCTATATATGCGCCTCAAGACGTAGATACGACGTATCACGTATGGCCAGGGCCAAAATTCTAAGATATACTTGAACTTCAGGCGCCCACACGCGCGAAACAAACTTCTGTCTGCACTCTTTTCACCGAAACTGGGCACGAAACGGAGCTATGGCGCGAACGCTCTGGCTGGTTTCGAGAGTGGCGCCTGCCGCTGCCAGCGGAGCGCATGGCACCGGCTCGAACGCGGCGTGGACGCCATGACGGACCGAACCCTGAAGATGCGTCGGTGACATCAGGACACTCCCCCACGGCCCCCTGGGACCGCGCGCGCGCTCGTTGCGAGCGCGAGGGGCTTGCGCGCGCCCAGTCGCGCGACCCACGGGTTCGAAGCGGGTCGGCGAGCGCGCACGGCGGTGACGGAGGTGGTCTTGGGTGCCGCACAGCACTGCTCGCGCCCTCGCGCACTGCGGGTGAAACGTGCTGTACGCGGCAGCGCACTGTGCCGGTGGATCTGATGGAGGTCGGCGGGCCGAAGGCTCTGTTCCTTTCGGGCGTGGCGCAGCAGGGCGCGGCGAAAGACGATACAGATGTGCGGGCGCCTGAGGGGGCCGACGCCGCGAGCGAGGGGGCGCCGCGCGGACTGGAAGCCCTCCTAGATACGCTCCAGCGGGTGCGGCCACCCAGCCCCACGGAAACCTGCTCTGCGGCGGCGGCGAACGCACGCGCGGCCCTGTTCGTGCGCTCTGTGCTCTTGCGAGCCCCTGCCTGCCTTGCGCGACGTTCAGGCCGTCTGTGCGCCGCAGATTGCGCGAGGATCGACGGGCCAGGCGCTCGTCGACGCTGTGGACGGTTCCTTCGACCTGCTCGACGATGAGACGCGGCAGGTTCTCGCGGTGCGCGCTACGGCCGAGAAGTCCGGGCAGGGCGGCGAGCGCGCCCGGGGCGCGATGGCGCTGGTCGCAGCGATCACCGTTGCAACCCAGAAGCGCATGGAGAAGGCGGGGGAGCGTCTGCGCGGCCTCCTAGCGGCCGCGAAGGGCGACGCGAAAGCGCTGCAATTAATGGTGGCCTCGCTGCGGCGCAACGGGCTCATCGACCGCGCGTTTATGGACGTCGTGGACGCCAACATCGACGCCGCGCAGCGCTCGGGCCAGTCGGTCAAGCTGCAGGTCCTGAAGTTTCTGAAACAAGCGCTCTCGAGTGACGGCACAGAGACAGCGCGGGGCGGTGAGGGGGCCGCGGGCGCGGCCGGGGCGCCCGAGGACGTGCTCGCGCGGCACCACGCGCCGCACGTGGCGCGCAGCGGCGCCGGCGCGGACGCGGGGGAGGGGGAGTTGGAGGTGACTGCCCCGGAGGACTTCGGCAGCGGCCGGGGGGTGTTCGCGGAGATCTCCGAAGGTGGGTCGGCGCGCGCGCGTCGCGGCCGAATCTGCTGTGTCCGCGCCGAGCAGTGCCAGCGCTTCGCACGCGACGCTCTGTTCACACACAACGCAGGACCACCACGCAAGACATGTCACATGTGTGGTCGCAGGCAAGGCGAAGAACGGCCGGCAGAAGCACCAGCTGCGCGCGCGGATCGACACCTGGGTGGCGCCGGTCGCACAGCACCTCGAGGAGCACGGGTGGGCGGCCAGCGACGGCATCCTGTCGCTGGACGGTGTGCGTGCTGTTCGGGCCGAAATCGCCGCCCTCGAATCGTACTACAAGTGCGCCCCGCCGCCGTTCCCTCGCAGCTGCGCCCCGGCGCTATACGAAGCTACTCTCCTTTTGTAGGAATTATGACTTGTAGTTAGGAATCTACAACTCATGATCATATAACGATAGGGTTCCTTCGCGGCCGCCTCCACCGCGCCGACGACCCACTGCGCCGACGATGCGCTTCTTCCGCGCGCGGCGTGCAGGCAGAGCGAGATCTGGGTCGGCAAGGAGGCGGGGCTGGGTGCGCAGATCGTGGCCCCTGACGTCCGGGGCGATCGCGTGATGTGGATGTGCGGCGGGCACGGCCGCGCCGCGGGCGTCGTCGACACGCGCGCGGTCGCCACCCGCGGCGACATCGAGCCCTGCGACGCGTCCGTCAAGCGCAGAGCCGCGAAGAAGGCCGCCGCGGTCAGCTTCGGTGCTCTCAAGGCGCTCGTGCGCGCCGTCGACGCGCTGGTCCTCGGGCAGCTCAAGGGGCGCGTCGCGCGGCTCGCCGGAGCGCACGAGCGCAGCGACGCCATGCTCGCGGTGTACCCCGGCGGCGGCGCAAGGTTCCAGCGCCACGTCGACAACACGGCGCAGGACGGGCGCGTGCTGACGGTGGTGGTGTACCTGAACCCGGCGTGGGACCGCGCGCACGGCGGGGCGCTGCGCGTCACGCACGAGGGCGGCGCGCGGGCGACGGACGTGTACCCTGAGGCGGGCAGGGTGGCGTTGTTCTTCTCTGACCGTATCATGCATGAGGTGCGGCCGTGCCACGCGCACCGGCACGCGGTGACGATCTGGTACTACGACCGCGCCGAGCGCGCGGCTGCGGTCGCGAAGGCCGAGGGGCACGGCGGGCTGTCGGCGCTGGCGATCGCGGGCGGCGACGCGCGGCAGCTGCGGGCGAAGGCGTTCATGGAGGGGGTGGCGCGCGGGGGCTGGGACGCGGAGCGGGTGCGTGCGGAGGCGGCGGCGCTGGAGGACGAGGCGGCGGGGATCGTGGGGGGTATTCTGGGGCTGGGGGGTGTGGCCGAGGTGCGCGCGGCGTTCGAGGGGCTGAGTCAGGGGGGGGTCGAGGATCTGCGCCAGGGGCTCGCGGCCATGGGGCTGCGGTGACGGTCGCGCGCCGGACGGCGGAGCGGCCTGTCGGCGCGATCTGATCTGATTCGTGTCGGGGGTCCCAACCTGAACCTGAAACATATATATATATGTATTGTTCAACTGTGTGGGGATGCATGGTTTGTCATGTGTGGGGGGCTCGCACGTCGCTGGACTGTGACGTCGCGATCGAGGAGACGTTCCAGCACCGGGGGTCGTGGCTCCCCCGGAGGCGCCTGCTCAAACTGACCCGCCACAAACAACTGTTTCCGAGAGCCTCGTGTGATGTGCCGTTTCCGTCGCGGAGCACCCCCGCGCCGAGGAGGATGTCCGTGCGTCGGCGGACACACGAAGAGACCCGCGTGGGATGATTCGATACTAATATGAATACTGCAACATTACATTTGGGCAAGTGGCTCTGCACGTCGCCAAGCGCGCGCAGCAGTCCAATGCGTCGCGCGAGCGTCGCAGCGGACGCAGGAACGTCGGCCAGCGCCACCGCGCTCCAGCGCTGCTGCGTCCTGCCAGCGCATTGTGCACCTGTGTCAGGAGGGGAGGTGTTTGAGGAGGTGCTGCGACAGCTTCGCCGCCGTCGTCCGCGGAGGCACCCGTGGCAGCACGACCTCGTCGCCAGTCCTGCGGGGAAAGCGGGGGCTGCGGCGTTCGGGCGCGGGTCCGACGGGCGCGCTGCAGGCACGTGTACGTACGTGTGCATTTCGGGCCGCGCTTGCCTCGTGTTGATTGCCGTGACGACCGGGACTTGCAGGTAGTACAGCGCCTTCCATTCCTCGTTGTCCTCGATGTCCCTGACCTCCAGCTTGGCGCCTGCATGGCCAGACGGGCGATTGCACGACGCTCGACACACCCGACGCTCGCGCTCCGGGAACGCGGCGCACGATCGTCGCGACTCGTCGTGTGCGCAGGCAGTGGACTTGGCAATCTCCGACGCGTTGCGCAGATGGTGAGTGGAGGTGTGTGGGAGGTTGGAGGCGCGCGGCCTCGCCTGTGAGCCTCGACGGCTTGAACTGCGCCGCCTCCAGCACCGCCTCGAGCTTCTCGTGCAGGCCGTCGCACAGCGGGCAGTCCCCCTTGGTGTAGAGGAACAGCTGGGCCGGATCGGTGCCCGCCGGGTTGTCGCCCTCGCTCACGTCGCCCCAGACCACTCCGTAGCTCTGAACGCGCGAGGAGCCGTAGTCCCTACGATGGTCTCCGCGCGGCGCTCGTCGGCAAGAGCGGAGACCGCACGCGCCCTGCGAGAGGCGCTGGCCGGGAGAGGCAAGCACAGGCCGGCAGCGCTGCATGGCAGCGGCTGCACCGCGGAACGCCGCACAGCGGATGATGCCGGACATCTTGTGCACCGGGCTGTCTAGCTATCAGGCACAATCAGTCCGCTGCCGCGACAGTAGGCGGTCGTTCAGCAACGCCACGCAGTTGGCCGCCAGGTGCCCGCAAGCGTCGACTCCAGCGCGATATACCTCCCGAAACGCGCCCGAATCTCGCCTCGGATACCTCACGCGCCCACGGAGGCGCGCGCGCCCTCATCCCGCGGCGGTCCTGGTCTCGCAGCACCCCCCTCTCCCCGACCGCAAGTACAACCAAGTACCACCCGTTCCTGACCCCCCCCTGCCCTGTTCTGCCGAACATCGGCGCCCCGCAGCGCCGCCGCGCCCCACACGTCGAGCCGGAAGCGTTCTGCCGCGGCTCTGTCTCGCAGAGGGCCCGGCCCGCGCTGTAGACAGCCCCTCACCCACTGCACTCGTAGGCGGACCTCCAGGTGCGTGGCGGCCGTCAACGTTGCGCACGCACGTGCGCCCGGACCTCACAGTCCGAGACTCATACCGCGGACGCCGCATTCGAGATTCGAGCGTCGAACGTGCGCGCGGCGCCTGCTCGCTTCCACCTCGTGTCCTTTTGCTGCCCGTGGCCGCGACACGCGTCGATCTGCGACGGCGCGCCGGCCGCGCGCTGCTGTATGCTGTGGCTACGCGGCGGTGGCTAGCTCGCGCGGTGCACGGCCTCTCGTAGGGCAGGGCCTGGGTGTCTGGTGCTCTCCTGATGCCCTGCGTACGCCCGACTGTGGATGACCCTGCGGTTGCGACCACGCCGAGGTCCCTCGCGTGGTACGAATTGACGCGGCTCGCGCAGTCCGGGCCGCCGGGCCCACCGTTCGGGCCTCCGCCACCGTGCTGACCACAGGCTGGCTTCCAGGCGCAATGAGCGAAGTCTCGGCGTACAAGCGCGGCAAGCTGGCCATCAAGAAGATGGTCAGCTTGAAGAACCGCAAGTACACCACGTCCCTCACCGGGGAGACCTTCTACGAGCACATGCGGAGGTGCGCGTCTCATCCTGGCCTGCGGGCGTCGCGCGCTCCTCTCCGCGCCACGCCCGGCCCCATGCGCGCGATCTCGCGCGCCGCCTCGCCCCCCTTCATCGTCTCCAACTGCCGCCGAGCCCCGCACGCACCTCGAGCGCGCCCCGCGCCCGCGCGACCTAGCCCAACTAGGCTTGCTCCACGCGCCCCGTGCTCCACCTGCAGGGCGACCGCGAAGCACCTGACCGCCCCGGACCCCTACCTGAACCGTCAGGTCATCGAGGCGATCAACGGCGGCAACGTCGGGACCCCGGAGGAGGCCCTAGAGGCTCTTTCAGGGCGCATCCTCAACCGCAAGCCGCTCAAGCAGCAGCTCGCCATCCCCCTCGCGGACCAGATCCTCCGCGAGTACGCCCTCTATCCCCTCCACGCCCTCGCGGCCCCGCGCACCGCGCCAGCGCGCCGCGCCGCCCCAGACTCTACCTCAGTGCTCTTCCCGTCGCCCGCGCCGCGCAGGTGCCCGAACATGGCCAACTTCCGCAACGAGGTCCTGCTCGACGTCGCCCGCGTCGCCACGCGGAAGGTCCCCGCCGGCACCCCGCACAGCGACCCCGCCAGCCGTGCCAAGAATGAAGCACTTGCAATGTTGCGTGGGTGGGGGCCCGAGGGCCGCGCCGCGCTGCAGAACGTCGTGCAGGGCGACGGCTACTTCGCCGGTGGCGTCACGCGCGCGAACCCGACCGCGCCCGCGCCGCGGGCCCCGTACGGCCCGCGCACACGCGCCTACGGCGGCGGGGCCCCCGTCAGCCCGTACGGGACGACGTCCGCGCTGGACACGTACAACGCGGGGATGCCAGGCGGCGGCGGAGGCGGGGCGGCGGAGGGCGTCGCGACGACGGCGCCGCACGAGCTGAGGGAGGTGATGGCGGCGGCGAACGCACACGCCGAGTTGCTGCAGGACATGCTGGTGAACATCGGGGAGACGGGGAGCCTGGCGGACCTGCAGAACGATACGCTGCTGCCGGGCTTCGAGGAGGACTGCAAGACGCAGCTGGAGCGCCTCAGGGTGCGCGTCCCGCCGCGAGCGGCACGTGTTGTGCAGTTGGCTCGCGATGGCGTGTGGGGGGAGCGTGCGCGGGCGCGTCAAGGCGCGGAGGGTGGCTGATGCGTGCGGGGGCGCTGTGCGTGCGTGCGTCGCAGGAGATGGTGGGGGGGCTCGACGACAGGCAGGAGACCCTGATGGCCGAGGCGATCAGCACCGTGGACAAGGTCGAGCAGGCGCTGAGCCTCAAGGACGCGATCAAGGAGAACCTCCGCGCCATCGGACCGGTGCGTGCCCGCCCCGCTCCGCCAAACACCCCCCAAAAACAGATCACACCCCCCCCGCCCTCGCTTTGTGTGTTCACCGCTCACGTGGGCGCGTTCGCGGCGGTCGTGGGTGCAGGAGCGCGAGCGGCAGCAGCGGGAGGAGGCTGAGCGCGTCCGGCGCGCGCAGGAGCAGCAGGAGCAGCAGCGCAAGGCGCAGACGACCGACCTGCTCGGGTGGGACGACGACTCCGACGACGACGAGTCCCCCGGCGCGGCCCCCGGCGGGAGCATGCCGCTGCCGCCCGTGCAGGAGGCGCCCGCGCCCCAGCCCGGCCCGTCGGATCCCATGGCGGACCTGATGGGCCTGAACGACCTCTTCTCGGGGGTGTCCGTGGGGGAGTCTCAGCCGAGTCAGGCGCCGCCGCCGCAGCAGGTGCCGCCGCGCCAGGAGCCGCCGCAGGTCGCGCAGCAGGCGTACCAGCAGCCGCCGTCGCGCGTGTTGCAGTCGCAGTCTAGCGGACAGCCCAACCCGTACGGCACGCCGCCGCAGCCCGTGTTTCAGCAGCAGGGGTACGGCGGATACGCGCCGCAGCAGCAGCCGCAATACCCCCCGCAGCAGCCGCAATACCCCACCCAGCAGCAACAGGGGTACGGGCAGCCGCAGGGGCAGGCGTACGGGACTCCCGGCGGGTACGGCCAGCAGCCGCAGTACTCCCCCCAGCCGCAACAGGGGTACGGCAGCTCGCCTGGGTACTCGCAGCCGCTGCAGCAGGGCGCGACGCCGCCCGCGCACGCGTTGTCGCCCGGCGCCGCGTACGTCACGCCCACCAGCGCGGCCGGCCCGAGCGGCGGCAACCCCTTCTCGAGCGCGGCGCCGCCGATGGCGACCCCGCGCACCGCGGCCGCGGACCGGGAGTTCGACGCCATGGTTCACACGCCCGTCGCGCAGCAGCAACAACAGCAGCAGCAGCAGCAGCAGCAGCAGCAGGGGGGCGGGAACGGGTTCGACCTCGGGGGCGACCTGGACGCGGCGTTCGACGCGATCGTGCGCGGGCGCTCGTGACGGCGCGCGGGCTGCGGGTGGGCGCCGCCGACAGGGCTGTTTGTGCGTGTCTCCGAGCAGCATGGGCCGGGGAGCGGCCCCGCAGCTGCGAGGGAGGCGTGTGATGCGGTGCTGGTGCTGCCCGCGCGGTGAGGATGCTCGCGCTGGGGGACTGCGTGCTGGGGGGGTCTGCGCTGCGGCTTGCGCATTGAGGGAGAGTTGCCTGCGGCACCGGAGGTGGCGGGCGCCGGCGGGCCGCGTGAGGCATGGCTCGAGGGTGGGCCATGCGGCGGCGGCACGGCCGCTGGACGTCGTGGCGGCGCGCGACCTCGATGCTGCGTGAGGTGACCTAGGGAGCTTGGTGTCTGAAGCAGGTGCTTTCGGAGCCATCACGTGTTCAACTGCGCTGATATTCCGTCAGCGGAGTCCCCACGCCCGGTCATAGCAGCTGCCGCGCCGTCGGCCGATGCGCGGCCGGCGCGGCGGCGGGCGGCGTTTGCGGGTTGAGCTAAGCCGGAGTCAGCCCCTGTGGGCGGTTGCCCGCGGCGCGGATAGTGGGCAGCGCGCGCCCGGGGCGCGGGCACAGCTCGTAGGGATCTGGTAGCATCGCTTTAGGAGACGTTCGAGGCACCGCGAGGTGTGGGCGCGATCCCATCTCCTGCCCAGGGCTCTCCGCCGCTCAGGTAGCCCCGAGGGTGCTGTCCGCGCCCGAGGCGAGTCTGGTGAAGAAGGAATCCGGGTGTCCGCAGCCGCGAGCGCGCGCGGGCGCTGACTTCGCGTCGGCAGCGACGTTGAGGTCTGTGCGAAGCGTTCGGCGCGGAACCATTCCTCCCACAGCGCACTTGGCGCGACGACTCGGGGTCCTGGCGCACTTTGTCGCGCGTGCTATCGGCTGAGGCCGCGTGGAGGGCGCGCGCGCGGGCTGGCAGGGCGCAACGATGGACCCGCTCGCAGCAGCGAAAGCCCAGCTTCTAGACTACTCCCAGCCGTTGAATGTCGAGCTGCTCGACCGGGTCACGATCACATTTTACACAGCCGCTGACCCGGGCGAGCGCAAGGCGGCCGAGGATGTCCTGCGAGCCTTCCAGGAGCACTCGGAAGCCTGGACCAGAGTCGACGCCATCCTCGAAAAGGCCAAGGACGACAACACGAAATTCTACGCCCTGCAGGCAAGCTCCCCTCGACCAACCCGCCGCCATCCCGCCCCCGCGCGCCCGCCCCGGGCCCCCCCCTCGCTGCGGGAACCGCCTCACTTGAACTCCACCGCCGCCCCCAGCCAGGGCGCGTCGCTCCCACGCCCCCAGGGCCCCGCCGCGGACCGCCGCGGCCCCGCCCCTGCGCCCCACCCGCCGCTGGCCCCGCCCGCACCTCGCGATCCGACAATCTCGCGCGCCCGCGCCCGCACGCCGCGCAAACCTGCCCGCACACCCAGCCTTCGCCCACGCCCGCGCCCCCGCGGCCCACGCGCCCCGGCCCCACCGCGGCAGCTCCCTCCCGCCCAACGCGCCCCTCCGCACCCGCTCCCGCGCGCCAGGCCCCCCGCCGCGCGCCCAGCACCGACGGCGTCCTGCCCGCCCGCACAGCGCCCCCCGAACCCGCCGCGCGCCCGCGCCCGACGCCCGCGCAGATCCTCCAGCAGGCCGTGCAGTTCCGGTGGGGCGCGCTGCCCGCGGAGCAGCGCCTCGGCATCCGGAATTACGTGTCGAACCTCATCATCTCGCTGTGTCAGGACGAGCGGACCTTCCGCGCGCAGCACGTCTTCCTGAACAAGGTCAACATCATCCTCGTCCAGATCGTCAAGCACGAGTGGCCCGCCAAGTGGCCCGGCTTCATCAGCGAGATCGTAAACGCGTCGAGGTGCGCCGCGCCGCTCCGGGCCTGCACCGCGGCCCCGGCCCCCGCCCGCACCGCGCGCCCCACGCGGGTACACCGCCCCCTCGGCCCGCAGGGTGTCGCCGTCGCTGTGCGAGAACACGATGGTCGTGCTGCGGCTGCTGTCGGAGGAGGTGTTTGACTTCAACAAGGGCGAGCTGACGCAGGCCAAGACCAAGGAGCTCAAGAACTCCCTCAACGAGGAGTTCACGCTCGTCCACGACCTCTGCATGTGGGTCCTCGACAAGGCGCAGGCCTCGGTGTCGCTCATCAAGAGCACGCTCGCCACCATGCAGGTGCGCCCCCGCGCCCGCCCTCGCGCCCCGCGCACGCGCCCGCCCGCGGCCCGCGCGCCCACGCACCCCGCCCTGCGCCGCCGCCGTCCTCGCAGGGGTTCCTCACGTGGGTGCCGCTGGGGTACATATTCCAGACCCAGGTGGTGGAGGTGCTGCTGAACCTGTTCCCGAACCCGAGCTACCGCAACCTCGCGCTCAAGTGCCTGACCGAGGTCGGCGGCATCCAGGTCGGGCCCGACCACCACGACACCTTCATCGGGATGTACGAAAGGATGGTGACGTACTTCCCCCAGGGCGAGACGATCGTGTCGCAGTACGAGAGCGCGTCGGACGAGGACCAGTGCTTCATCCAGGACCTCGCGACGTTCCTCAGCTCGTTCTTCCGCGCGCACCTCGAGGCGCTCGAGGCGCGGCCGCAGCACCACGCGTCGCTGCTGCGCGGGCTGGACGTGCTGCTGCACATCTCGTTCGTCGAGGACCAGGAGGTGTTCAAGGGGTGCATGGACTACTGGCAGCACATGCTGCACGTGTTCGCGCAGGGCGGCGGCGCGGGGGTCGCGGGCGGGCTCGTGGCGGACGCGGCGCCGCTGCACCTGGCGGGCGCGGCCGACCAGATCCACGACGTCCGGAAACAGCTGTACGACAGCCTGTTCAGCGGGATGCGCATGCTGATGATCGAGCGCATGGCCAAGCCCGAGGAGGTGCTCAGCGTGGAGGACGACTCGGGGAACTTTGTGCGCGAGGTGATGAAGGACGCGGACGTCGTGGCGCTGTACAAGGTCATGCGCGAGGTGCTGACGTACCTGACGAACCTCAACATCGCCGACACGCGCAACAAGATGCTCATGAAGCTGGCCAAGCAGCGCGACCGCTCCGAGTGGAGCTGGGGCACGCTCAACCGCCTGTGCTGGGCGATCGGGTCCATCTCCGGCACGATGCTCGAGGAGGACGAGAGCAAGTTCCTCGTGCAGGTCATCCGCGACCTCCTGGACCTGTGCGACAGCATGCGCGGCAAGGACAACAAAGCCGTCATCGCCACCAACATCATGTACGTCGTCGGGCAGTACCCGCGCTTCCTCCGCGCGCACTGGAAGTTCCTCAAGACGGTCGTGAACAAGCTCTTCGAGTTCATGCACGAGAAGCACCCGGGCGTCCAGGACATGGCCTGCGAGACCTTCCTGAAGATCTGCACGCGCTGCAAGCGCAAGTTCGTGGTCGTGCAGCAGCAGGGCGAGCCGCCCTTCGTCGAGGTCCTCCTCCAGCAGCTCGAGGACCCGCGCGAGAGCCCCATCTCCGACCTCGAGAACATTCAAATCAATCTCTTCTACGAGGCCGTGGGGCTCATGGTGGCCGTCGCCACGAGCCCGCAGCAGCGCGACAGCTACCTCGCGGGCCTGATGGCCCTCCCGAACCGCACCTGGGACGGCTACGTGGCGCTCGCGCAGCAGCAGGGCCCCGCGCCGCTGACGGACCCGGACGTGGTGCGCGGGATCGTCAAGTTCCTGGGCGTGAACAACGCGGTGTGCGCGTCGCTCGGGCCCGCGTTCGAGCCGCAGCTGCGGCGGAACTTCGAGATGATGCTGCACGTGTACCAGGCGTACTCGGATCTGATCGCGCAGGCCATCCAGGCCAACCCCGCCAACGCCAAGAGCGCCGCGGTGAAGCAGTACCGCGCGGTCAAGCGGCAGACGCTGGCGCTCGTCAAGACGTTCGCGTCGCAGTGCGACCCGAAGGGCTCGGCGGCGTTCGTGACGCTGCACGGGCACTTCGTGCCGGCCATGGAGGGGCCCGTGCTGGGCGACTACGCCGGGAGCGTGCCGGACGCGCGCGACAGCGAGGTGCTGTCGCTGTACGCGGTGCTCATCGACCGCTTCGACGGGCAGGCGGAGCAGATCGCGCCGACGGTGCTGCGGTACGTGTTCGAGAGCACGCTGTCGATGATCACGGCAGACTTCTCCCAGTACCCCGAGCACCGCCTGAAGTTCTTCGAGCTGCTCCAGAGCATCACGATGCGCTGCTTCAACGTGCTGCGCACCATGACGCCGCAGCAGCAGAAGCTGGTCATGGACAGCATCGTGTGGGCCATCCGGCACACGGAGCGCAACGTGGCGGAGAAGGGCCTCTCGCTGCTGCTCGACATGCTCCGGTCGTTCCAGATATCGCCCGACGCGCTGCAGTTCCACCAGGCGTACTACCTCGAGCTCCTCCGCGAGGTGCTGCAGGTCATGACGGACACCTTCCACAAGCCCGGGTTCAAGCTGCACACCCGCATCCTGCACCACCTGTTCAGCATCGTGCAGGACCAGACGCTGAGCGGGCCGATCTGGCCGCAGGACGGCGGCGCGACGTACGCGAACAACGCCGAGTTCGTGCGGGACTTCGTCAGCGGGCTGCTGGCGTCGGCCTTCCCTAACATGACGCAGGCCCAGGTGCAGCAGGTGGTGTACGGGATGCTCACCATCCGGGACCTGTCTCAATTCAAGAACCACCTCAGGGACTTTTTGGTGCAAACCAAGACCTTTGCCGACACCGACGGGCTCGAGCCCGCGTAGCGCGCGCGGGGGGCCGCGGCGCACGCCGCCCCGCTCCGCGCTCGCTCCGCGCCGCGTCACGCGCGCTCGCACACGCGCTATTATCATGCGTGTGTGATCCCGCCTGACGAGACAGCAAATCAAGGCCGGAGAGAGAAGTCACAGCGTCATCACTTCTGCCGTCCATTACAGCGCCGCCGCCGCCGCCGTCACGCGATCCGCTTGATGATGTGCACGCCGGAGTCGCTCTCGACCAGCCCGCTGATCTCCCCCACGGCCAGCCGGAACGACGCGTCCTCGAAGGGCCGCTGCATCTGCCCGCGCGAGAAGGGCCCCAGGTCGCCCCCGCGCTTGGCGGACGAGCAGTCCGAGTGCTGCTGCGCGAGCTCCTCGAACGACTCCTGCGCGCAGCGCACCGCGGGCGCACAGCGGCGGCTCAGGGGACGTTGATCGAGGGGACCTTGCATGTGCGCGGGTGCGTTGGGGGGTGTGTTGTTGTTGGTGTGGTTGCTCACCCCCTGCACGATGCGCTCCCGGAACGCCAACACCCCCGCGCGCGCCTCCTCGAGGCTGCGCGTGATCGTCTCGCCCTTCCAGTTCGCTGGACGCCTGCACCGCAGCACACGCACAGAGCGGCAAACGGCGTGCAGGGGTGGGCTGCGCGGCGACGAGCTGGCGGGTGCGCGGGGGCGGCAAGGCGGGCAGGACGCTGCGTGCGTTCGGCGTCCCGTTGCGGCGCACCTCGACCCAGAGTGCTTCAGCAACAGGTGAAGGCATTGGACGGTTTCCGGCTCCGTGCCGGCCCTCGCGGCGCGCTCCTCGTTGCGGGCTCGGCGCTCCGCGTCCTCTGGGCGAGCCGCGTGCGCGCCGGAGCCGCGTACCACGAACGTGTGCCTGCGGAAGCGCGCGGAAGCGGAAGCGCCGCGGCGGTTGTGAGAGGCTGCTCGCGCGGGCGCGTGGGGGGGTTTTCGGGCGTTGCGGCGGCGAGGGGCGGCGCGGGCGAGGGTGCGAAGATCGTACTCTGGCTTGGCGAAGCGCACGATCATGCCGTCGCGCAGCTGGAGCGGCTTGTGCTTGGCGAGCTGGGCGTGGTCCACGAAGGTGCCGTTCGTGGAGCCCAGGTCGATCAGGAACAGCCTGCGCGGTACGCGTACGATACACCTGCGATGTGCGCTCGATTGTTCGCGGCCCCCGCGGCGCCGGAGCGCGCGTGCGGGGCACCGAACGGTGGCACCGCCGCGTCCCCCCCAACGCGCGCCGCACCGAGCTCATCGCTCGGTGCAAGCGCTTCAGGGCGAGGCTCAGATACGCCGCTACGTGGCACGGCGCGCATACACGGACGAAAGCAGCAGGGCAGCGCGCACCGGCCGTCCTGGTGGTGCACCGCCGCAGCGTGTTGGCGCGACGCGCCCTCCAGCACCACCTGGCACGAATCCGCGTCGCGGCCGAACACGTAGTACTCCTGCGCGCCCAGGTCGATCGGTGCGCCGCCCTGCACCGGCTCCAGGTGCACGGGCGCCTGCGGCGGGGTCGCCCAGTCAGGAACCTTGAACCCCATCCCTTGTTCCCCGTCTGACGATTCAACGGACAGTCTGGCCTGCCCCGCGTGCCCACACACTGCCCCTGCGCACGCCACGGCGCGGGCATTGCGCTGCGGGGGTTCTGGGACGCGCACGCAGGCTTATACCCAGCGTCAGGCGGGCGGGTGCGCGCAGGGGCCGCGCGCAAGGGCCGCGCTGCCGCGCGATGCGGTCCCAGTACGCGGCTGAGTGAACCACGCTCGGGTTCACGAGGTCTACTACCCACTGCGGCGCGCGACGGGACGCGAACACCTCTCCGCCACGCACTCCCGTCGCGCCGCTCGGCGTCCGCCGCCGAGCCCCGCATCGCGGCACATGCCCGCGCGCACCTCGGCGCACACGCCGACCTCCCTCACCAGGCGGCCATCCAGCACGCACGCGCGTCCTGCGCCGCACCGCGCCCCTCCCAGCTCAGCGCCGCTCGCCCCCCGCCGCGCGTCACCCGCGCCCTTCCGCTCCCCCCACGCCCCCGCACCCCTTTCCCGCACCCAAACGATGGCCGAAGCGAGCGGCGACACCGCCGCGCCGGCGCAGCTGCTCTCGCACCGCATCGATTCGTACAGCGCCGTGCACATCCACGCCGACGACCTCCCGGACGCGCCCGAGGAGTTCGCGACGCGCCTGGACGCCTCCCTCGCCGCCTGGCGCGAGGCCGGCTGCCGGGGCATCTGGCTGTCGCTCCCGACCGCGCGCGCCGCGCTGGCGGGCCCCGCTGCGGCGCGTGGCTTCGACTTCCACTTCGCGGAGCCGGGGCGGCTCGTGATGTCGACGTGGCTGCCGGAGGGCGACTCGCGGCTCCCGCGCGGGCCGTCGTCGCACGTCGGCATCGGGGCGTGCGTGTGCGACCGCAAGGGGCGCGTCCTGGTTGTCAAGGTGCCTTCCGGACGCAACAAATCAACCGCCGCGAGGTGCCGCTCGCCCCGCACGCCTTGCACCGGCTCCCAGGTAACGTGCTCTCTCTCTCTCGCTTCGTCGCCGTCGCAGGAGAAGCGGTGGAAGGACATGGAGTGGAAGCTGGTGACGGGGCGCGTGGACCCCGGCGAGGACGTGACCGCGGGCGCGGAGCGCGAGGTGCTCGAGGAGACGGGCGTCGTCGCGCGCTCGACGTGCCTCCTGTACATGCGCCAGGGCCACGGGCTCCTCCTGGGCGCCTCGGAGTGCTACTTCATGGTGGGGCTTGTTGTCGAGGACGCGGCGTCGCAGGCGCTGCGGTCGCAGGAGGAGGAGATCCACGACTGCACGTGGGTGGACGCGGAGGAGTGGGCGGCGCGCCCGGGGCGGCGCCACCGGCCGATCGTGGCGCACATGAGCGATTGCGTGGTGGCGTTCGCGCGCGCCGTCCGGGAGGGCCGCGAGGCGGGGGTCGGGCTCGCGACGACGGGGCTGCTCGCGGTGAGCAAGCCCGGGGACGAGCTCGTCGCGCACCTGCCGGACGTGCCGAAGCCCGACGTGGACGGCCCCGTGGCTGACAAGTGGGTGTGAGTGTGACAGGGGGGGTGTTACGCGCGGGTGACTGTGCGATTGATTCCGTTCGTGGCCGGCGGGAGAGCTGCGTCGTTGCTCGGGATGTTGTGAGGGGGCTGCTCGTTATTGACGGCAGAAACGCGCCTGCGTGGGCGGGGAAGTGTATTCAAGCGGATTGATGTGTCTCTGTCTGACAAGCCGGCGCTGTGATGCCGGATGTGCCGCGCCGTGTGGCAGGAGGTACCACGCAGCTTCGCGGAGGCGCTCGGGTCCGCAGGCGACCGTGTGTCCCCGGCGGGCGCCCTCTGGCATCGCTCTGACGCAGCGCATATTCCTTTGAAACAATCAATGAGTGAATGTGGCTGAGCGTCGCGCTCACGAGGCTCTGACTTATCGCTGCGCGGCGGGCGGGCTCGCGGGCCGGGCTGACGGCACGGGACGGGGACGCGCGGGTATCGTAGCGGCGCGCCGAGGTGCGAGGCCTGCGTGCTCGTGCGGGGCGTGCTGGCAGGTGCAGCGGCGGACACGCCGCGCCAGGCTTGCGGGTGCGCCTGGGTCGGGCGGGGCGCTCGGGAGCGGACAAGTGTGTTGCTTGGGGACAGTTGCACCCTGGCAGACTCGGGGCGTCTCGGGGGGAATCCGGCCGAAACAGGCCCGAAAGGGTTGGAACTTGGAACCTTTCGGCAGATGTCACGCCGAAAAAGAGCGCAGAAGGCTCGACGGCTGCGATCCGGTGCGACGCGCAGCATTGGCCCATACAGTGCGTCGCACATGGACCCAGGGAGGCTCGCAAAACGTGGGTTTCCCATGCACTTACTGCACACTGTGTCGTGAAAAATAAATTCATATCTGCAATGCTAGGAAATTCCCTCCGCGCAGACCCTTTTTCGCTCCTCGAAACACCGAGGGATGTCGCCTTGGCGCAGTGGAAACGCGTCCGCTTCCTAAGCGGAAGATCCAGGGTTCGACCCCCTGAGGCGATGAAACCTTATGCTCCTGCTGCGGGCCAGGGGACGTCGACAGCGAGCCGAGCGCGCGTCCGGGGCACCCGCGGGCCACCCATGTGCCCCCTGCTGGCCCCACGCACGCTCCCACTGTGTCATCGCGCGCCGCGATGCACGTGCCTGCACTTTTGGGACAGGCGGCCGCGATGCGAAGCGCGACGCGGACGCGTTCGACCCCAAACGGCACTCACCAACTGCTGCGGCCGCCCAGCCAGACACCCTCCCTCGCACCCTCAGCCCCGCGCGCACCACATCCCGCATCTGCGCGCGGCATCCAAGTCTCCGCGCGGCAACGAGGCAGCCGCGCAAGGCGGTGACGCACACATGCTGCATCCCCCCCACCTCGCTTACCTGACGGGCGAATTCAACCCGCTATCACGTGGAGGAGCCGCCCCCCTGGCGCCGACGGATCTGCGAGCACCGAGCCCGGAAGCGCGGTGACACCGCTCTGGACTTCCGCCCGCGCCGGCCTCGCGACCCAGCGTGTGCGCGCTGATGCGCTCCTGCACGTGGCCCGACAACGTCTGCGCGCCACGACGACCTCTGCCCCAGGATGCGCGCCGCAATCGAACCACGGAGACTTGGCGAGCACGCGCTCCCCATCGGCGGGCCCCCGAGGGGGGGTTTGGACATCCCCCCCCCCCTTCGCCCTGTCAGCACCCCCCCGTTCGTCGACGTTGACGCGGAAACGATCACGCACGGAGTACGCTCTCCCCTCCGCCCCCCCTCCTCCTGCGCATCTGGCACAGCACGCAGCGCCGCTGCCGTGCAACATGCACGCGTCGGGATGGTACAGGCGCCGCCACCGGAGAACGCTGCACAGGCTGATCTCGGCCGCATTCAGCGGCCTACGGAGCTGTGAGTTCTCATGATGAGGTCCGTCGTGGTGCGCCGAGCCGTCAGACGCCCGTGCCATCCCACGCACAGCGGCGACCCTGGCGGCCGCCCACACCGCGCTCACGTGCTCGCACGCCCTGCCGTGCCCGTATCTCGGTGCGCTCCGTCCGGCCAAGCCTGTCTCGCCCCGCGCGCTCCGCACGGACTCGCGCGATCAACAGCAACAACGACAACCCTAGCACACGCTGGCCCGCAACGACCCGAGCTCGCCTCCTCGCGCGGTCCCACGCCGCGCCCTGTACCTCTCGTCCCTGTGCGGGTCCTCTCTGCGCCCCCGCGCCCGCGCCTGCTCGACACCGGCCGGCAATTGAGCCTGCGAGCGCTGCCGTGCGCTGCAACGCACGCTACCGCATCGGGCAGTCCCCGATGCGCAAAGCACAGCCCAGCTCTGCAGGTGGCGGACAGTCCAGTCCAAGCACGCGCGCCTCCGACACGCGGATCTGTGGCTCAAATGTACGCATGCGCTGCGCGCCCCACGTTTTGACACGCGCACGCCGGCCCCGCCTCACACCGCCGGTTCGCCCGGCCCCACCGGTATTTGCGCCGCCCATTTCCGACCGGCCGCACCTCAGGGCACCAGAGCACGCAACACGGAGCTGCAAACAAAAAGGTTCGATGAAGTTCGAACCTTTCCTCGCCCGTTTCCTCCGCGGTCCACCCCTCGCCGACCGCGATCGTCGTCCGGAGCGACGACGGGCGGCGAGGAAGCAGGCCCCGCCCCCCTTAAGGGCTGCGCGCACACACACACACACTGCTGGCCGCCCATCGCGCACCGCGCTGCGCACCCGCCGCTCCCGACCGCCCGCAACACCACCAGCGACACCACCACCGCCACCGCCACCACACTCGCGCACGCACCCTGCTGCGTCACACACGCCCGCCCGCACTAGCGCACAGGCACGATGTCGTCGATCTTGAGGATCATCCGCACGCACTCCGACGCGAGCCCGATCGCGCTGCTCGTCACCAGCAGCGGCTGCACCACCGCCTCCTCCATCATGTCCGTAATACACCCCTTCCTGACGTTGATGCCATCATACCGCCGCCCCTCCGCGTGGTGCTTCCGCAGCTCCGTCACCATCTGAATCGGGTCCAGCCCCGCGTTCTCCGCCAGCGTGTACGGGATCACCTCCAGCGCCTCCGCGAACCCCCGCACGCAGTAGCTCTCCATGCCCACCAGCGTCCTCGCCCACTCGCTCAGCCGCAGCGTGAGCTCGACCTCGGGCGCGGCCCCGCCCGGGATGATCGCCTGCTTCTGGCACAGCGACCGCACCACGCAGAGCGCGTCGTGCAGCGACCGCTCGGCCTCGTCCAGCATGAGTTTGTTCGACCCGCGCAGGAGCACCGTGGCCGTCTTGCCGCGGTTCTTGATCCCCGTGAGCTTCACGACCTTCCCGCCGGACATCCCGACCTCCTCGACGAGCCCCACGTCCGCGAGGCGCTCCGGGCGCAGCGAGTCGATGTGCGCGACGGGCGCGACGCCGAGCGTCTTGGAGATGAACTCGATGTCCTCGCGCTCGATGTCGCGCACGACCATGATCTTCGCCTTGGCGAGGTAGTGCCCCGCGAGGTCGCTCACCGCGTCGCGCAGGATGCTCTTCTGGATCAGCAGCACATTGCACCCCGAGGCCTTGATCTGCTTCACGAGCTTGAGGATGTAGTTGCGCTCCTCGCGCAGGATGCGGTCCATCTGCGTGTAGTCCTGCACGACCACGTTCATGTCCATGTCCGACTTGGGCGGGCTGACGTGGAACTGCGCCAGGCAGACCTTGGCGTTCTCCAGGCGCGACGGCGCGCCGGCGCCCTTGGCCGCCTTCTGCGAGAACACGAGCCCGTCGACCATCTCCGAGTCCTCGACCGTGCCCCCGAGCCGCTTCACGATGCGGATGTCCTTCAGGTCCACCGACGCCGGGCGCGCCTTGTCCAGCACGGCGTACACCGCGTCCACCGCCATCGGCGACAGGATCGGCGAGAACTGGCTCACGACCTTGCTGTTGAGCGACGTGCTCGCCGACTTGAGGAAGCTGTCCCGGTCCGTCAGGTCGATGGGCTTGGCCATGCCGTCGAGAATCTCCGCCGCGCGCTTGCTCGCCAGGTAGAACGAGTCTGAGATGGCCGTCGGGTGGATGCCCTTGCCGAGGAGGTCCATGCACTTCTTGAGGAGCGCGCCGCACAGCACCGTCACCGTCGTCGTGCCGTCGCCCGCCACGATGTCCTGGCTCTTGGCCAGGTCGACCAGCATCTTCGCCGCGGGCTGCATGACGGAGATCTTGTCCAGGATCGTCGCGCCGTCGTTCGTGATGATGACCTCGCCGTCGGCCTGGGCGACCTGCGCGCGGGGGGGGCGCGGGGGAGCCGCGTGGGCGGAGCGCGGCGGGGGGCGGGGAGAGGGTGCGCGGGGCGTGGGGGGGGAATGGCGCGGCGCGGGTGGGCGGAGAGGGGAGCGGGGGGTAGGAAGGGGGCGGCGGGGGCGCGGCGGGGCGGGTGGGTGCCGCGGGGGCGGCCCGCGGGGGTCGGCAGGGCAGGTTGGCGCGGGGAGGCGGGCCGTACCATTTTGTCCATGCCGCGGGGCCCGAGGGAGGTCCGGACGGCGTCCGCGACGGCCTTCGCGGCCTCGATATTCGAAATCCTCACATCCTTGGATCGCGAATTCTCCCTGCGCGCAGCGAGCGGGGCGGGGGCGGGGCGCGCCGGTGAGCGAGGCCTGCGTCCAGGATCGCGGGGGACGCGCCGCGGCGGGCGCGCCATCGGAGCACGCGGCGAAGAACACGAAATAACGAGACGCGCGGCCGGGGCGATCCGAGCGCGTCGGCGCGAGGCAGGAGCCGCGAAAGCACACTGGCAGCTCCCACAGGTCAGCCCGAATCGGGCGCGGCCCCCCAGGGCGGCGGATACGCGGCCGAACCGGACGCCCGGCGCCTCAGCAGGCCGGAACGCCGCTCGACGCGCGCCCAGGCGGCCCCCAGCCGCCACGGTCCCGCCAAGAAGCCCGGCGGAAGCAGCGCGTCACGCGCCCTGCGCATTCCCGCCCCGCCAGGCGCCTGGCGCGCGGTCCGCGCGCGGAAACGAGATGCAGGCGATCTGCTGGCCGCCGCGCGGGGCACGGAGCCGCCGCTCCCGCGGCACGCGGGACGCCCGGCGCACCTGTAGGTGTCCCCTGAAGCCTTCCCCTTCGCCGGGGCGGACTTGGTCGCCGCGGCCGCCATCTCTGCAACCGAGTGTGCCGAGGGGGCGAGCGGCGAGCGGCCTTGAGGGCCGGGCGGCGCCGAGCGGCGCTCCGCGCGCCCCCGGGCCCCTCGGAGGAGTGGGCAGACTGCAGCTGCTGTGCCCTGTCTGGCCGTTGGCGCGGCCGGGCCCGCGCGGGGGACGTGGGCGCGGCGTGGCGCGGCAGGGGAATAGTTCGTGGACTTAGGGCGGCGACGTCTAGCGCGCACCGTGCTCCTCGCGACCCTAGCCGAGCGCTAAAGTGCCCGCTGCGTTAGCTCACGCAGCGTGGACCCGCCCCCGGGCCGGCGAGCGCCCGCGGCCCGCGCTGCAGGGACCTGTTGACCGTGCGCGTGGCAGTGCCCTCGGCCGGGTGATCGACGCGGGCCCGATCGGAGAGCTATGTTGGGCGCGTAGTGACGCTGGCTCGCACGTACCAGGCTACCCGCGCGGGCGAGGGCCGCGCCATGGAGGGCCCCGCGGCGTCTCCCGCGCCGACGAAGCAGTCGAGCGGGCTCCTGCGCGCCGAGCGGAAGTCCTCGCGGAGCGCTGGGCAGGGAGGCTCGAAGAAGAGCTCCCGGGACAGCAAGGACGAGCGGGGCCGGCACGACCTCCTGCTGCGCTTCTTCAACTCTGAATTCTTCGACGAGTGGATTGCCGTGACGTGAGCCCCCCGCCGCGCACCCGCCCCTCGTGCATCTCCTGCTCCTTTTGCGCGCCGCCCCGCCCCGCTCCGCCACCCAATTCCACCGCGGCCGCGCCCAGCGCGTCCTCCGCGCGACAGGCGACGCCGAACCCGCGCGGACCAGCGCCCTGCGCGCCCGCACCGCCCCCGGCGCCGCCCCCTCCCGACGCTCAAGCTCGCCACCACCGCCCCCCGCCGCCCCGCCGCCCCGCCCGACCGCGCCCGCCCGCGTGAACCGCGCAGGTACCTGCACCGCAACACCTCCGACGGCGTCAACGACTACCTCTGCAACAAGCTGTACACGCTCCCGGTACGCAGCCCTGCGACACTTGGAAGGCTGGCACGGCCGCGGCCGCGTCCCCGGGCCCCCCGCCGCCCCCTCGGCGCGCCGCGGCTCGCGCCAGTCCGCCCCCGCGCGCCGCGACGCCCGCGACGCCCCGCGCCCCGCACAGCCACGCCCGCAGGCCGCGTCTCGCTGCTTCTGCCCCTGCGCCACCGTGCCGCCGCGCCGCGCCGGCTCCTCGCCCGCCCGCGCGCCCAGCCGCCTTCTCTCAACCGCCACAGCACGCGGCGGCCGGCCACGCGCTCCGCCGGCCCCGCAGCGGCCGCCCAGCGCCGCTGTCCAGGCTCCGGCGCCCCTTGCCGCCCGCTCACGGCGCCCCACGCGCCGGCCCGCACCGCAGGAGGACGGCATCGACCGGTACCTCTCCCAGCTGACGCACATCGCGGCGCAGCGCCCCGGCTCGACGCTCGACAAGTTCCTCATCGACGTTTGTGCCAACTCGCTGCGCGTCGCCATCAAGTGCTACTGGCTCCTCGCGTCAATATGCGCGGACAAACCCCCCGAACACGTACGCTACCCGCCCCCGCACCCCGCACGCCACCCCGCGCAGACCCCCACGCACTCAACACCCCCCCCCCTTCCCTGCACCGCCACGCAGCCCGTGTGGCGCCTGAAGGGACAGTGCGAGGCGGCGGCGGTGTCGGGATCGTGGGATCCGCCGTTCAGGAACTTCGTCCTCGGCGCGCCGCCCGGGCGCGGCCCCGACGACCCCGCGCGCCGCCACCGCGCGCGGAAGGACCTGTCGAGCGACCTGACGGGCACCGAGACGCTCTCGGCGCGCGCGGCGAGCCCGACGACGCCCGACCAGAACGGCGCCGGCCTGCGGCGGTCGGACTCGAGCAGCCAGCTCTCGGTGACGGGGTCGGTCATCGTGCACGAGTCGGACGGGTCGACTTTTAGTCACGAACGGCACAGCGGCGCCGACGGACCGGCGTCGCCGCCGGCGCACGTGTCGGGCCGGTACTCGCGGATCCGCGTCGAGCTCGGCGACGGCGAGGGCGTGACGGGGCTGCTCGAGCGCTCGCGGGGCGCCGCGGGGGCCGTCCCGGTGCGCGCCAGCCTGGACAGTGCGGGCGCGTCCCCGCCCACGTCGCCGCGGCTCCGCGAGACGACGTTCGGCTCGACGCTCGACCTCGTCGAGGCCCTCAGCGAGGCCTCCGCGGGCCTGTGCGACGTGCCGCAGGCGCAGCGGCCCGAGGCGCTGCGCATGGCGCTCAGCGCCATCGACAGCGAGGTGCAGGCCGCCTCGCGGCGCAGCGTCGCGATCGTCTTCCCGATGTTCTGCGCGGACGAGCGCATCGTGCGGATCCCCGCCGACGCCGCCGTCCTGCTCTCGTCGCGCGACAAGGCCCCCTTCCTATTAACGCTAGAAGTCCTGACCAAGTATCCCGAGCGTCGGAGCCCCGGGTGCTCCGCGAACGTCCTGGGCGGCGGGCCCGCGCGCGGCGGCGCGTCCGCGCACGTCCCGCGCGGGTCGCGCGGGTCGGCGGTGCCCGGTACGGCCCAGCGCGCGGGCCTGGGCTCGACCGGCGACGCGACGGCGGGGGAGCTCGCGCGGCTGTCCGGGTACACCGCGGAGGACACGGGCCGGCGGCTGTCGGCGGCGAGCAGCATCGGGGGGCTCGTGCGGCCGGGCAGCGGGACGAACCTCTCGCAGCTGAGCCAGCACCACGCCGGGGGAGCGCCGTCGCCGGGGATGATGGCAAACCTCCCCGGGCCGGGGTTCCTGGCGCGGCAGGCGTCGCCGCACGGGCACAGCCGGCAGCCGTCGCACGCGGGGTCGTCGCAGTCGGTGACGCCGCGGCACCTGGGCGCGGGGACGCCGGCGACGCAGCTCGGCGCGACGTCGACCGGCAACAGCGCGCGCAAGGGCGGCATGCCGGCGTCGGCGTCGCTGCAGGGGCTGGCGGAGGAGCACGGGAAGGCGGTGGAGCAGGGCGGGGCGGTGCGCGCGCCCGGCGGGGCGACGGCGGGCACGGTGGCGCGCGTGGCGACAGCGGCGGCGGCGCTGCGCGGGGAGGCGCCCGCCGTGCAGGTGCGGATCCGCGTGGTCGAGGAGCTGGACTCGGAGGACGAGGACGACGACCAGGGCGACGCCGGCGCGGGCGGCGGCGGGCACGCGCACGCGGGGTCGGCGACATTCGGCAACCGTCTGCTGTGCGCCATCGGGCTGTGCAAGACGCCGCTGCAGCTCGCGCGGGGCCGCGACCGCCGCCGCGCGCGCAAGCTGGTCGTGGTGGACCTCGACGTGAACGGCGGGCTCGACCTCACCGTCGCGGCGTCGCCGTACAAGGGCCGCCCGGGCCGCGGCACGTCAGGCAGCCACCGGCGCGTGCCGTCGCAGGAGGCGCTGACGATGATGCAGCAGATGCAGAAGGTCGACCAGCTGCCTCCGCCGCGGTCGTTCCAGGTGCCGTTCGCGGCCTCGCCGCTCAGCCCGACGCCGGAGGGCCACGAGGCCGGCGGCGGCGCAGCCACGCCCCCGCAGCCGGCCCCGAGCGCCGCGCCGCCGCAGCCGCGCGATCGCAACCGATGCCGCGCTGCGGCGCGGCAGCGGCGCGCGGCACGGGCGACGGCGGCGGCGGCGCGCGACGCAGGCGCCAACGCGCACGCGCCGCGCCACGCGCGCTCCGCCTCCGCCGGCACCGGCCTCCGCGAGCAGGCGCGCGAGCGCCTCATGCACGAGGCCGCGGAGGTCTTCGGCGAGCCGTGGAGCGAGCGCCTCGAGCGCCTGCGCGCCGAGAGCCCCCTCGGACACCTCCCCGAGTGGTCCGTCCGCCAGGTCATCGTCAAGGTCGGCGACGACTGCCGGCAGGAGCTCCTCGCGGTGCAGCTCCTCCGCCAGTTCCAGGACGTGTTCGCCGAGGCCGGCCTGCCCCTGTGGCTGCGGCCGTATCAGGTCCTGGTGACGTCGTCGCACTCCGCGCTCATCGAGATGGTCCCGGACAGCCTGTCGGTGCACACGATCAAGTCGCGGTGCCCGCCCGGGACGTCCCTGTCGGACTGGTTCTTCGCCCGGTGGGAGCGCGGGACGCCCGAGTGCGAGGCGGCGCAGCGGCGGTTCGCCGAGAGCATCGCCGCCTACTCGCTCGTGACCTACCTCCTCCAGGTCAAGGACCGGCACAACGGCAACATCCTGATCGACGCCGAGGGCCACGTCGTGCACATCGACTTCGGGTTCATGCTCTCGAACTCCCCCGGGAGCGTCAACTTCGAGTCGTCGCCCTTCAAGCTCACGCGCGAGTTCCTCGAGGTCATGGACTCGAACGCGGAGGGGCGCGCGTCGGAGCTGTTCGACTACTTCAAGGTCCTGTGCATCCAGGGGTTCCTCGCCGTCCGGCGCCACTCGGACCGCATCCTGGGCCTCGTCGACATGATGAAGGATAGCGGGTGCCCGTGCTTCAAGGGGGGCGCGCGGGCGCTGCAGGCGCTGAAGCGGCGGCTGCAGCCCGGGGGCACGGACGAGCAGTGCGTGCAGATGGTGCTCGGGCTCATCAGCGACTCGGTCGACGCGTGGCGGACGCGACAGTACGACCACTACCAGCGCGTGCTGAACGGCATCCTCTGAGGCTGTGGCCGAGGGGGTGCGGCTCATTCGCGTTTCGATCTACTAGGCACAGCGCAGCCGAGCGGGCCGGCCGTAGTTCGCCCGCATAGTTCTCAAATAGGCGTTGTTGTGATGTTGCTTTGGCTCGATGTGTTGTTGCGACCCGTCGCGTCATGTCCTTCCCGCGCAACGCCACCGCGCGCAGCGGCCTGCGGCCGGCCTTCGTGTCGCACCTGCTGCGTGCAGGCAACCGGTAGCGGGGCCGCTGCACGTCCTGCAGCGCATGTGTTGCGGAGTGCATGTATTACGGGTGCCTCGCACCGCGACGGCCCAACAGCTGCGCGGCCCTGCTGCCCGCTGTCAGACTACCCCCGGAGTGGCAACGCTGTTGCTGCTCTGCCACTGCCTCGGACGCGCAGGCATCATCGCCAGCCGCTGGCGACGTCGCGCACGGCCCGCGGCCTCCGTGGTGCCCGACGAGCGCGCAGCAGCAACGTCGGCGGCCCGAGCCGGTGGGGACGGCGGCGTGTTGGTGCTGTCAACCCAGCAGGGCACGGCGCGGCGGCGCGTGGGTGCCAAAGAGATGCCGACATGCGTGCGTGGGTGAGACGAGGCCTGACGAGGACAGCGTTGAGCCTGTATGTTACAAGAACTCCTAGTGCACCCCCTGGCCGGGCGAGTGCCCGGCCACAGGGGCCCTGCAGTGCTTCTGCGCAGGGCGCGCACCCCCGCCAGCGCCTCCCGTCCGACGGAGAAAAACTCAATAACTTTCGCTGCTTCGCGCGGAGCAAGCAAGCCCCCCCGGCCCGTCGGCGTCACCGCCAGGCCGTCCCCCGTGCCGCAGCACTCCACGTCCCACACATTCAACAACGCTCCTCGAAGGGGCAGCAGCCATTGGCGTTGGCCGCTCAGAGGCCCGAGGGCTTCTCCTTCTTCATGTCGTCGTTGTTGTAGGCCGAGCCGCCGTGCTTCGACACGTCGAGGCCGGCCATCTCCTCCTCCGGCGACACGCGCAGCAGGCCGGCGAACTTGAGCGAGAAGAAGAGGACCGACATCCAGAAGCACACCCAGGCGGCGATGACGATGATGCCGAGGATCTGCAGGCCGAGGAGCTTGCCGTTGCCGCCGTAGAACGCGCCCTTGATGTCCGAGAAGCCGTACGCGTCGGCAACCATGTCCTCCTTGGCGAGCAGGCCGATGATGAACACGCCCCAGGCGCCGCAGAAGCCGTGCATGGGGGCGGCCGACAGGGGGTCGTCGATCTTGAGCTTCTCGAGCAGCTTGCACGAGTAGTTGAAGACGAACGCGCCGATCGCGCCGATCAGGACGGCGGCCCAGGCCGTGACGACGGGGCAGGGGCCCGTGATGGACACCAGGCCGGCGAGCAGGCCGTTGCACACGGCGAGGAGGTCCCACACGCCGGTCTGGGCGTACGTCAGGAAGAGCGAGGTCACGCCCGCGGAGCCGGCGCCGAGCGTCGTCGTCACGGCCACGTGCGCCGTCACCTTGAGGGTGCCCGCCGACGAGATGGCCAGGGTCGAGCCCGGGTTGAACCCGTACCAGCCGAACCAGAGGATGAAGGTGCCGAGGGTCACGAGGGTCGCCGAGTGGCCGGGGAGCGCCACGGGCTTGCCGTCAGCGTCGAAGCGGCCCGTGCGGGGGCCCACAGCGATGGCGCCAATCAGGCCGGCGAAGCCGCCCGTCATGTGCACGACACCGGAGCCAGCGAAGTCGATCATGCCGGAGTCGGCGATGGGGCCCGAGCCGGTCGACTTGAAGGCCGAGATCCAGCCAGCGCCGTCCCACACCCAGTGCACGACGACGGGGTACACGAAGGCCGTCAGGAAGATCGAGTAGAGGAAGTAGGCGATGAGCGAGGTGCGCTCCGCGACCGAGCCCGAAGTGATGGTGGCGGCGGCGGCGGCGAACGCCCACTGGAAGAACCCTGCGGAGCGACAACGTGGGCGGAAACGTGTGGTGAGCGGGGGTGCGTCGTGGGGCGGGCGCCGAGGGAGGTGCGCGCGGAAGGGCGGAAGAAATCGAGAAAGTGTGGCGGTGCGCGGAGTGCGGGCCGCGTGGCCGGGGCCGGCGAGGCGGTGTTGCGCGCGCGAGGACACGAGGGCGGAGGCCCTGCGTGTGCGCCGGAAAAGGCGCCGCGCGACGCGAATGTGCGTCGAGGTACGCCGTGGAGGCCATCGCGGCGACCGCGGGGCGCGGTGGGTCCACGGCGGGGCCGGTCGGGGGCCAACATGCAAGGCCGAGCGCTGTGGCCGCAGGGCGGCGCGTGCGCCCGCGATGTTGCGCGTTCGCTGCGCGCTGCCGGTGGAGGATCGCCGTCGGAGCGGAATGTGAGGGCAACGGCCCGTGCCGAGGCGGCGGGGGCGGGAGGGGGCGCCATCAGGCTAGTCCCGGCAAGGTGCCGGAGCGCGCGACGGGCGGCAAATATCCCCGCGCAGCCGCGCGCAGCGCGTCGTGCGAAAGACAAAGAGGGGCTTGCGCGCGCCGATCGCCGCGCGTCGGCCGCCGCGCGGGCGGAAATCGGTCCGGTTGGGGAAAACGTGCCAGGGGCGGGGCCCGGCGCATGCGCGGGCGGCAACCGTGCAAGTCCGCCGCAAATCGTCGGGAAATCGACCGAAGAGCGACTATATGCAGGCACCTGCCCGAGGTGGGCGCGGAGGAGCGGGGACGGGGGCCCCAAGTCCTCACGTTTCGAAGCCGAGCCCGCTCGCGGCCGCGCGGGGGGCGGCCGCGCGGCACACTCGCGCGTCCCGGAAACATCGAACGAAGACCGGCGGGATCGCGCCGTCGGCGGACCTTGCCCGGGCGCGGCGGGGGCGCGCCGGGGCCACGGCAGGCAGGAACACGTTTTTGGCATGCAGGGCCGCTGCTGCGCCGATCCGGGGCGGGCGCGGCAATGTCGGGGCGGGAACGCACAGGTCTGGAAGCCGTGGTCCTCGCCGACGTGGTACATCGCCAGGTTACCGCAGCCGATGAAGCCGTTCGGCGACGAGCACTTGCCGTAGGCGAGGCCGAACCCGAAGAGCCACCAGCCGAGGGAGCCGGCGCACGCGTCGAGCACGTTCTTCAGCAGAATGTTCATGGTGTTCTTGGAGCGGACCGAGCCGGCGCAGAGCATGGCGAAGCCTGCAGGAGGGAAAACGTGGTCGTCAGATGATGCTCAGCGGCAGCGCGTGCGGCGGCCACGGCGCGTGCGGGCGCGATGGGACGCACCGGCCTGCATGAAGAAAACCAGGAAGCCGGACATCAGCATGTAGCCGCCGTCCAGGGACGCGGCGACCTCGGACGCATCCTGGAGCAGCTGCCGGTTCGAGGCGCTCTCCAGCGCCGTCTCGCGGGCCTCAAGGGCCGCGAGACGGTCCTCCAGGTTGTGGACGTAAGCAGCGTTGACGGCCATCGTGCTTCGGAACCGCAGAGTGGCGCACTGGGCCGCGACGCGCCACCGATGTGCGCCGGGCCAGCCGGCCAGACGCCACCCCTCCCCCTGACGTGTTTCGCGACGGGGGCTCATACGCGCGCACCAGCGATTGTACTCGATAGTTCATCATTTCAATAATGCCGCCGCGCGAGATCGGCGCGTTTCGTGCCGGGACGACGGCACACGGGCCGACATTCACCCAGCTCACGTGTCGTGAAAACGTGTCGCTGCCGAGGCCCGGCACCCGCCGCCGGCCAATGCTGCACCGCAACGCCTCTTTGTGCGAAACCGCGCGCCGATCCCACCTCGCGCGAATCCAGGCAGGCCGCGCTCGCCGCCCGCAGCTTCGGCCGGGCGCAACGTGACGGCCCACGGGCGGCGCGCGCGGCCGCCGGTCGAGGCGACGCCCGCGTCGCAGGTGTCCGAACTGTCCCGCTGATCGCGCCTGGCGGCGTGGTTACCCCCAGCTCGCTGCCAAACGGCCCTGCTCGCGGCCAAACGGCTTGCGGCGCGGACGGCGCGTTGGCGGCGCGATGGCGGCGCAAAGGATGCCGGAAGGCTTGCTGTGAGATAGCATGATGCCGTGACGCTGCCTTTCCGCACCGTACGAGAGGCGCCGCGACGCACGCGCGTTGCAACGTGCGAGCAGGCGAGGAAGGGCGTTGGGCTCGCTCGCACGCGTGCAGACGGCGTGGCGGAGCTCTAGACAGTATAGCGTAGCGAGGGCGCCGCATACCACCCCCCGAACGCGGTGTGTCCGCGGCGGTTACGGCGACACCAGCTCCGAACACGCTTTGCTGCCTCGCGGCCCGCGCGTGCGGCGTTCGTTCGACATTCGACGCCGCGGATCCCATGTAGACGAGCAATAGCGCGGAGCCGCGCGCTGTGTTTCCGGCATGCATGTCGCAATAGCGCGGACCGGCGTGCACTTGCCGCATCAGCACTGCAGCTCCTCGCGGCGGGCGCAAGCGGCCGCGTGTTCGACCACGACAGACGCACATTGCGCTCTGCGACGTCATCGACGCACACGGGCATCACGACACAGACGCGCCCGCCCCGTCACACCGCGCTCTGCCGCATCTCTCCCGCCACAGACATGCAGAGCCTCCGCGGCGACCCTCGGCGCCGCTCCGTGCACCGCGCACCGCGTTTTCCCGCTCCTCCGCGACCTCGCACGTCCGGCACGGCCCCCCACCGGCCCTACCCGGCCCGCTCGGCGCCGCGGATCCCCCCACTGGTCGACGCATACGTACCCGCGCCATCCGCCGCGCCCCTGCTGCTCCAGCGCAGCCGCCCTCGCCCCGCGCATCTGCTTCTGATGCTCCAGCATGCGGTCCGGCACCACGGGGCGCGCCGCGCCGCCCGCAGGCCCGCGCCCGCCGCGGCACAGACGGGTGGCGCGCGAGGGTCACGTGTGTGGGCGGCCGCGGACGCGGACGCGCGTGATGTGCAGCGCGGGCGCGCGGGAGTCGCGCGACATAGCATGAAGGGCCGGGCAGCGCCGCGAACAGGGGCGACGGACCGCGCCGCGCGGCGGACCGCCCGCTATAGGCATGGAGGGGCAGCGGGGCGCGTCGCTGCGTCGCCGCTGGCGATCGTGGCGACGAGCACGCCTTTTGGCGCGGACATCATCGCGTCCGCGCCGTCGAGAGAGTCCTTCTTCGGAACGCACGGCACCACCCGGTCACCGGCAGCGCCACGACGCACCCACGTCACTGACATGCTGTCGCCGCCCGCGCCGGCGATGATCGCCTGGAGCCCGCGCTCGCGTGCGCGTACATCACCGTGCGGTCCGCCGTGCGGTGCGCCGAGGCAGCAGACACCTGCCAACATGAGCACACCCATAGTCATTGACGCACGTAGGCATCGCGACGCGGACGCGCCCGGTGTTGCACGTACATCGCAAAGGTGGTGCGTGACACGCGCTTCCTCGCTGCTCTTCGACATCACACGTCCACCGCGGGCCCCACCGGCCCCCCCCGCCACCGCTACGCACGCCTCACTGCCCGAGGTATCCGCGCCAGCCCTGCTCCTCGAGCGCAGCCGCCTTGGTCTCCACCGTCTCGCGCATCTGCTGCTGGTACTCGAGCATGCGGTCCAGCACCACGGGGTCCGCTGCCCCGATGATCCGCGCCGCAAGCAGGCCCGCGTTGGCTGCAGGAACCACAACACACAAAAGAGCCGCGCGTTGAGGTCAGGTGTGGGCCACCGCGGCCGTGGACGCGCGTGGTACGCAGCGCGGGCGGGCAGGCGTCGCGCGACGTGGCACAGAGAGCATCGCAGCCTTGAACTCTATGCGTGCGTGTGTGTGTGTGTGAGTGTGTGGGCACCTGCGTTGCCGATGGCGACGGTGGCGACGGGCACGCCCTTGGGCATGCACAGGATCGACAGCATCGCGTCCACGCCGTCGAGCGGGTACCCCTTCGGAATGCACGGCACGCCGATCACCGGGAGCGGCGTTAGCGACGCCACCATGCCGGGGAGGTGCGCCGCGCCGCCCGCGCCGGCGATGATCGCCTGCAGCCCGCGCTCGTGCGCGGTGCGCGCGTACTCCACCATGCGGTCCACCGTGCGGTGCGCCGACACAATCGTCACCTGCAAACAGACACCCCCCCAAACAACCCGCGTCAACTCCGACACAACCCCCCCCCGCACGCGCCGGGCCCGCGGCCTCCACGCCCGACAGCTCCGCCCGCGCGCTCTCACGCACCTCGACGGGGATCCCCAGGTCCTCCAGGGTCTCGGCCGCAGCTTTCATCGTAGGAAGGTCGCTGTCGGATCCCATGATGATGCCCACGCGGGGGGGCGGGCCGCCGTGGGCGTCGGACGGCCCGAGCTCCTCCGCGGCCTCGGCGTCGAAGGCGCGCAGCTGCGACCGTCCCTCGGCGCGCGAGCGCGCGCACAGCGTGACGTGTCCGATCTTGCGCCCGACGGCCACCGAGCCCGTCTTGCCGTACCTGCGTGGGTGTTGCGGGGGGGGGCGGGCCGGACGACGTGGAGCGGGAGACATGGCGCTGCAGGGGGCAGCGCCCTGCCGGCGATGGCTTGTGCGTGGCAGACACCGATTCCCATCTCCCGATCACCCGTTAGAATCGAGGCTAGCAGCGCGGCCGAGAACAGCAGCGCGGCGCGCCCGCGGGACGCAACGCGCCCGATGGCGCGCGCCCGCACCACACCGACGCAACCACCACGCGGGGCCGCGCACCAGTGGAACTTGGCGCCGGGCGTCGCCAGCGCCCTCTCGATGTGCGCATGCGCGATGCGCGTGCCCTCCGCCCCCTCCGCCTGCCCGAGCACGTTGTACATCACGCAGCTCGCGCACGTCAGGCTGGTGTCGCCCAGGGGCCACCCGAGCACCGCGCGCACGTGCTGCTCGAACTGCGACGTCCGGCAGCCCTCGATCGTGTAATGCCCGCTGTTGTGGGGCCTCGGAGCCACCTCGTTCAGCGCCACGCTGCCGTCCGGCATCAAGAACATCTCCACGCCAAACACCCCCGCGCCGTAGAGCGAGCTGATTGCGCGCTCCGCGAGCCCGCGAGCCTTCGAGGCCACGACCGACGTGACGGCGGCGGGGGCCTCCGTGACGAGGCAGATGCTATTCCGGTGCACCGTCTGCGCAGCGCCGGAGCGGTGTCAATCAGCAAGCGGGCGTAGCGAAGCGACAACACGCCCGCTTACGGGGGGCGCGGCGGCGCGAGCGTACCTGCACGAGCGGGTACGCCTTGACCTCGCCCACGCGGCTGCGCGCGACCATCACCGCGAGCTCCTTCGTGAACGGCGCCCACTGCTCGGCGTAGAGACCGTGCTCGAACCCCCCTAGCTGATCCACCGCCGCCGCCGCGCCCTCGCGGTCGCGGATCACCGCGTTTCCCCGGCCTGCGCGCACGCAGACACGAGCGGCGATGGCGTGAGCTCCTCGCATCGGTCGTCGGAGCGCAGGCGCGTGCCCGGAGGGGGTGCGTAGCGCACCGTCGTACGCCATGCGCTTGGCCTTGAGCATGAGGGGGAGTCCGAAGCGCTCGATGGCCTCGTCGAGGGCCGCCTGGTCGGGGACGTCGCAGAACGACGGCACCTGGATTCCGTTGTCGGCGAAGTGCACTTTTTGCGCAAACTTGTCCTGGATGACGCGCAGCGTCTGTGGGGACGGGTGGACCTCGATGTCGAGCTCCTGCTGCACCTGCACGTCGCGGAGGCACGCGTGCGTCCGGCTCGCACGGCGCCCGGGTGTCCGCGGCGCAGGGTGCGCGTGGCGGGCGATGGCTGGTGCGCGTGACATGAGAGCTCGTACCTGCTCGATGGCGTCGACGTCGACGTGCTCGATCTCGACCGTGAGGATGTCGACGTCGCGCGCGAACTTGAGGATCGCGTCCTTGTCCCTGCGGCGATCCCCGGGCCGCATACGCGTCGGCGAAAGGGCGGCGACGGCGTCGGGACGCACGGCGGGGCGCGCGGAGGGGGCAGGGGCGCACCGGAAGGACCCGACATCTTGCTGTGCGGCAATGGAGGCGGGGGCGGGCTTCGAGGGGTCCAGGACGCGCATCCGCACGTCCATGTTGGCCGCGGCAATGGCCATCATGCGGCCCAGCTGCCCCCCACCGAGGACCCCGATGACCGCCGTGCGCGGCAGACCCTCCTCGCTGCAAGAACCGGCGGCCAGAGCGACAGCGGGTCGAGAAAGCCGGACGTTCCCGGCCGCGGCGCGGCGCACGGGCGCGAAAGAAGGCAGTTGGCTGGGTTCCTTGCCGGGGGGGCGCGCGGCCTCGGAGGTCGCGCAACGAGGGAATGTGGCGCATTGACACGTAGAAATGGATAGAACACGTCCGGTGGGGGGGAGTTTCGAGCACTATAATGCGTCAGCCGCGGGCATCAGGCCCATCTCTCGCACGGCACACCCGTTGGTGGGCGCACGAGGGCTACGCGCTCCTACCTCACGGACGACAGCAGCGCCTCTTCTCCCTCCGTCGCGCGCATGATGTGGAACGTCCTCGGGCCCCGCTCGCGCCGCTGGAGCGCCGCGGCGCGCCCCTGTTGCCGGCCGGATGGACGGCTGGCTGCAGCTGGGGCGGCCCTGCGTCTCGGTGCGCCCGGCCGAGGACCGGCAGCCTGTGCGACTCCAGCGATACCCCGCTCCATGCTTCTCCTGCACTGCTCGGCGGTCGGCGGTCCGCGGGGCCTCGAGAGCGGCCCGCAGCGATCGCCAGACCGTCTCAGGTGGGCTGGGTCCTACCTCCTGGGGCCCCCCCACGCCCCATGGCGCGCGAACGAGCGGCCTGCGCCGCGCCTGCTGGTGCACAAGTTCGCGTCCGTCGTTGCGAGGCCTCGTTGGCAGCGGTATAGTTCGAGAAAGAGCAGAGCGAGAGCAGCTGTGGGCTGTGGAGGAAGCCTCGCGTCGCTGTCCTGCGTGGCGCGGTCTGACCGGACTGGCTGCACCGAGGCGACCGTGTGGCATGGAGTAGTCATGCAGTAGCGTGCACGCGCGCGCCTTTGCAGCCCGCCGGCCTGGGCGGCAGGGGTAGAGAGAGGTGGTGCTTGGTGCGCGCGGACGGCTCTTCCTAGCGCCATGGGCGCGTGTCAGGCGGCGTGGAGTGCGTAACGATGGCGGACGACTTCGAGAAGGCGGTCCTGATCTGCTTCGACCAGCACGGGCGCTACGAGCGGGGCTGGAAGGTGCGTGCGTGCCCCACGGGCCGATACCCGCGCCGACAGCCCACCACGGCCACGCGCTTTCGGATGTGGGGATGCCGGAGTGCTCGTCTCGGCGAACGTACTGGAATTGCGGCCATTTCGTCGCCCTCGCGAGCGCTGGCGGCCCCGCCCCCTTTCTCGCGGGCTCGTCGCTCGCGCCGCCGCCTCCCGATCGATGGCATCGATCACGCCATCCCGGCTCGCTCATGATTCATTCGTCGAGGACCACAGATGCCAAGCGCGCCGTATCAAACGCCCACGGCGCCGCGCGGGCCTCTGGCGGCCTGCTGCTTCGGCCCAGGGCCCCCCGCGACGCCGAACCCGCCCACACCTTCCCCCATACTTCCCGCAGGACCAGGCCGAGACCTTCCTGAGCAACGTCCGCGAGAACCCGCAATGTCTCGAGCTCTGCTGCGAGCGCTACTCGACAACTGATTACCCAGAGGTCCAGTTCTGGTGCGCCAGGACGCTCCATGAGGTACCTCCACCGCCCCCCGGCCCCCCAGCGCTCGCGCACGTCCACACCGTCCCCGCCCGTGCCGCTGCGCCGCCGGGCGCGCGAGCTGCACGAGCACTGGCAGTCTGTTTGACATGACATGAGGCTGGATGATCGACCAACATATAGATGATCCGATCTGTTGGCGCCACGGCGCCCACAATGGGCTGCGAACCGCTATTGTATTCGTACTGTCTGACAGCCGCGCGCCGCCGCCGGCGCCCCCTCTGACCCCCCGCCGTCGCCGCCGCATCACGCGCCCCCTCCCTCCCCCGCGCCCCCGCAGGCGATCACGTCGTGCGACGCCGGCACGGGCCCGCCGCTGCCGGCCGCGGCGCGCACCTCGATCCGCGCCGCCGTGTACTCGTGGGCGCAGCACTTCGCCCAGGGGGGGTCCCAACACACCCCCGCCTTTGTGGCGAACAAGGTCGTGCAGCTCCTCGTCGCCGTCGCCGCGAAGGAGTTCCCCGACGGCACCTGGGCGTCCTTCTTCTCCGACGTCCTCTCCTGGCTCCCCGCCGGCCCGCCCGCCATCGACATGCTTTGTCGCGTCCTGCGCGCCGTGGACGGGGACGTGGTGTCGCTCGAGATCCCGCGGTCGCCGCGCGGGGCGCGCCGGTCGATGGAGTTCAAGGACGCGATGCGCGAGCGCGCCGCGCCGGCGCTGGCGCGCGCCTGGCTCGAGATCGTGCGGGCGTGTCACGCAGGGCACCCAGACTCGGCAGCCGACGTGCTGGAGACGGCGCGGCTGTACGTGTCGTGGATGGACATCGCGCTCGTGACGGGCGACAGCGGCATCGCGGAGCTCGCGCTCACGCTCGCCGCGCAGGGCGGCCCCGCCGCGACCGAGCGGTTGCGCGCCGCGGCACTCGACTTCATCTCAGAGGTCTGCGCGAAGCGGATGGAGCCCGTCGCGAAGCTGCAGCTCGTGTCGTCGCTGGGCGTCGTCGCGCGCGCGCAGAGCTGGGGCCCCGACCTCCTGTGTCCGCCTGCGTCAGGGGGGGACTCGGACTTGCCTGCCAAGGTCGGGGCGTTGCTCGGGTCGGTCGCGAACGAGATCCTCTCGGCGTGGCGGTCCGTCGAGAACAGCGTGCGCGGGCTCCACGCCGTCGGGCTCGCCGTCGACGACGCGGGGCTGCGCGAGGCGGAGGCGGCGTGCGCGCTGGCCCGCTCGCTGCTGTCGGGCGTGTTCCCGTCGCTCCTGGCCGCGATGCGGCACCCGAACGAGGACGTCGGCCCGCCCGTGCTCCCGTTCTTCCACGCGTGGGTCACTCGCGTGCGCAAGGCGGCGGACAAGGGCGAGGCGGTCTCCGCCGACGACGTGGAGCTTCTCAAGGCCACGCTCGCCGCGGCGGCCGAGCGCGCGGTGATACCGCGGGACTTCGTCGAGGACGACGTGAGCGCGACGGCGCTGATCGCGGGCGACGACGGCGAGGCGCTGGCGGAGCGGCGCAGGGAGCTGTTTACTCTCTTCAAGGGGGTGGCGCGCGTGGCGCCGGCGCTGGCCACGGACCTGGTGGCGGGGCTGCTGCGGCAGATCATGGCTCCACCGGGGAGCCCCGGGGGCACGCCGCAGGTGCGTGACGCGCTGCGCGCAACCACAGACGTGTTTTCCCATCTTGCGCGGGCGTGGTGTGTCCACGACTGCGGAGGGCCGGGGTCCCGGCGGCCGGTGATGACATCTGCCAAATGGGCGTTTCTCAAGACATTCGCAGGCCCGCCCTAGAGCGCTCCCCTTGCGCGGGTTGAGCACTACTGCGGCTTATCTTCCTTGGATGTCTGATGGCCACTCCCCCCCTCTTATTTGTTCTTCTTGTTTTTTCTACGACAGCCCCCTCCCGCACACCCTCCCCGCCCCGCGGCCGCCGCCGTCAGCGCCCCACCTTGCTGACTCAGGCCGCAATACCCCCCCCTGCTCCCAGGAGTGCGAGTTGGCGCTGTCGTTGTTGTTCAACCTGGGCGAGATCGCCCCGGAGGGCAGCCTGGAGCTGACGGACTCGGACGGCGCGTCCGAGTCGCCTGCGACGCTCGGGGACCTCGTGGTGGCGCTGATGCGGAGCCCCGTGCCGCACCTGGGCTCCTCGCGGCTGGTGACGATCGCGGTGCTCGAGTGCTACGTGCGGTACGTCAAGGTGCTGCAGCGGCGGCAGGAGTGCATCCCGAACGTGCTGTCGGCGTTCTACGACGCCGGGCTGAGCTGCGAGTGCGAGGTGCGGACGGTGTTGCGCGTTGATGCCTGTCGCTGTCGCACGTGCGCTGTTGCCTGTCGCTGCGACGGTGCGCGCTGCCTGCCCGCTTGCGGCGCGTGTGCGGATGCTCTGCGCGGCGATGATGCGTGTCTCGTTCGTCTGATGGGCGAATTGACCTACCATCGATGCTAAAAGCCATGTAGACGCAAATTACACACCACCCATAATATGAGCCGTTCTCCGCACGAGCATCCGCACCCCGCCGCCCGCACGCCCGCGCGAGGCAGCCGCGCAGCCGGAACGCCTCCCTCGCCTCGCCTCACGGCGGCCAGAGTCACTGCGGCGTAGCACACCCGTGCCATGACGTCCCGGTGCTTACGGTCGCCAAGAACGACAGGCGCCACCCACGGGTGATCGGGGCCGCACGGCGCAAGCCGCGCAGCGCACCTCGACCTACCCACTATCTGGGGCCGACATTTCAATCTCAATCGCACTCTCTTCTTCTTATCTCCCACCGAATCCACCGCGCCCGCGCCGCCACGGCTCTCACCCCCTCGCCACCTCGCCCCCGCGTTCCTCATCCTCCAGGCGGTCTCCACCCGGGCGTGCTACCTCTTCATGCGTCTGGTCAAGCCCCTGCGACAGAACGTCGGGCACTACCTCCCACGGATGCTGTCGTCGCTCGAGCCCATCATCCTGCGCATCCTGCGCACGCCGCGGGACCCCACGTCGACGCTGGCGCCGTCCAAGCTCGACCACGGCATCCCGGGCCTCACGGGGGGCATGATGGCCCCGCAGATGGGCTCCCTGCCGTCGGCGACCGACGACCGGCTGTACATCTTCGAGGCGCTCGGGTACCTCATCGGACACGAGGGGCTCCCCGAGGAGGAGCAGAAGAGCTTCATGAAGGCCATCCTCGGGCCGCTCGTGTCGCAGATACAGGTGCGACTTCGCAGCGGCTACGAACGCCGCGCTGCGCCCCGGGCGGTCCACATCCGCGCATCGCGAGCGCTGCGGCACGTGTGCGCGCGCGCTCTCTCGTTCTGAGGGAGCAGGCCGGAGCGCGGCTCGCAGTGCTCCGGCGATGCGCAAACCTGCGGCGACAACGGGCGCGAGGCTGCTTTGTTTTTTCCCTTTGTCGCCTGCGGATGCGCCTGCAGCTTGTTGTGGGCTGCGCAGAGCAGCGGAGGTTGCGAGAGGTGGGCGGGGCAGCGTCTTTGGCGGCCGGTGATGACATCTGCCAAATGGGCGTTTCTCAAGACATTCGCAGGCCCGCCCTAGAGCGCTCCCCTTGCGCGGGTTGAGCGCTACTGCGGCTTATCTTCCTTGGATGTCTGATGGCCTGCCGGACGCCCCCGCCCACCCCTTTCCCGCCCCTGTGGGCCCGGGCCTCTGCCTGCGCGCGCGCCCCCCCCGCTGCTCTCCGAAGAGCCGCTGCCTCGCGCTTTGATTCTGATCGGTGAGGCTTTTCGCCGCTCACCGGTTCCTCGTCCAGCCTCGCTCGCGTGCAGGGTGCGCTGGGGCAGGGCCTGGCCCCGACGGACACGCAGGGGACGGTGGCGGTGCAGCACGCGCTCGTTGCGGTGCAGAACTTCAGCAAGGGGTTCGCGCAGAACCTCACCAACACGTTGAGACCCGAGACAGGTGCGCGTCCGCGAGCGAGAGAGAACGGCGCTTCGACTGTAGCGCACTCTCGTCTTTTGCGCACGTCCTTGCCGCACCGCGCCGCGCCGCGCGGCCACAGGGCGTGGCGACCGCTCGCATGGCCCAGCGTAGCTCCGAGCCCACGTTCGAGCGCCGGGCGCTGATGAGAAGCTATCTATTTAGATAGGGACATCTGAGATTCACTGATGACTCTACAAATGGGAATCTCTCTGAGCCCTCCGCCCGCACACTCACGCACACCTCGCCTTCCTGCCCCCCAGCGCCGCATGCCCACCGCGGACCGCAACCGATCACCAGTCAACCCCCCAACACCCCCCGCAGGCAGCATCCTGTGCTCGGTCGTCGACGTCGCCCTCACGATCCCGACGCGCGCGCCGCGCCACCGCGAGCTCTCCGCGCGCGTCGTCAACTTTTTCCACCGCATGGTCGAGTGCCTCGGCCCGCGCATCCTGCCGCAAGTCTCGCAGCTCCTGGTCCTGCTCATGGCGCCGGACAACGGGCCGGAGGAGTGCTGCGACGGCCTCGGCCTCCTCTCGCAGCTCGCGACGCGCTTCAAGGGCGCCATGCTCGACGCGATGACGGGCAGCCTCCCGCTCGTCATTTCCCGGGTGCACGAGCTCCTGCCCGCCAGCTGGGACTGGTCGGGCGCCGCCAGCACGCCCATCAGGCGGCACGCGTCCGCGGAGCACGCGAACGGGACGCATCCAGGTGCGTGAGAACGGCCACCCGCGCCTCTGTGGGCGCCGAAGCCTTGCTGTGTGTTTCAGGCCGCAGGGTCGGCGCTGTCCGGCCCGCGCGGCCGGTCGGCGCCGGTCGCCTCTGAGCGCTGAGGACAACTGACGTTTCTCCGGGCAGCTGGGCGCGGGTCGAGGCTCGTGCTGGCAATGACCATTGAGAACAGGCTTAATCTTTGCTGAGCTCCACATGCAACACGAACAGCCGGCCAAACGCAGCGCGCTCGCTGTGTGTGCGCCGCGCCCCCGGACCCGCCTTGACCGCCCCGCCCCGCCCCGCTCGTGTGCGCCTTGTTGGTGCTGCAGGGTTCCTCCCCGTTGGGTCGAGCGAGGAGCAGCGGCTGCTCGGGGAGGTCCAGCGCGCGTACTACACGCTCCTGCTCGGGATCGTGAATAACAGCCAGGCGGGGGCGCTCAGTCAGATCGATCCGTCGGCGACGCAGGCTTGTTTAGAGGTGCGATGCGGTCGCGCGCGCGGCCTGGCATGGCGGGCGATGACGACGACATAATCGGATTCCCACTGAACGCTGCGGCCGCTTCCCAGGCCGTGACGCTGGATGACGACACGAAAACGAGCCCAGACATGTTCTCAGCGCTTCTTGTTCCTCCTCTCCGTGCTCGCCGTTGCAAAACCCCTCCCTCCCTGTCTCACCGTCCCCTTACCCGCTGCTTCCCTGCCTCGCAGGCGCTCTTCACGGGCTCCTCGCAGCACGTGGACCCCACTATGCGCAAGCCGTGCCTGCAGGCGCTCGTCGCCCTGGCGTCTGATTGGGCAGAGCAGCCGTCGCCCCCCGCGGGCCTGCAGGAGCTCATACTCGAGCGCATCGCCCGCGACGCCTGCCTGCGCGGCCTCCTCTCCGGCACGCTCGATCCCCGCGACGCCGGCGTGTTCGCGCTGACTGTGGAGGCGGCCAGTGCGCTGCGCATGGTGCACGCGATGGCGGCGGAGCAGCTCCAGGCGCTGGTGTCGCGGGACGGCGTCGCGCTGATGGGCCAGGACGGAGCGATGGCGCTCGCGGCCGCGCTGACGGAAGGCGACGCGAAGAAAGTACGCAACGCCCTCCGAGCTGCGATGCCAAAGCGGTAGCACCTTGAGAGGGTGGAACGGCTGCTGCGGGCGCCGGCGTCATGGCGGCCGCGCTCGCTGGCCGGCTGCGCGTCTTGGCGTGGCCGAGGCGCGCGGAGGTGGACAAATAGGCTCATCGCAGGCTCTTCAGACGACGCTCATTTACAAAGTCGTATATAAAGAATTCGGCCGAACGAGGCCGCGGCATTCCCTTCGTCTACATGCCCTGCGCACTGGTGGCAGCCCCCGAACGCTAGCCCAGGTTCTAGCGTCCTCGGCAGCTCCACCACGAGAGATCATCAACATTCAACCATCACAACGCGTGCAAGCAACATGCAGCGCCGTGCGTGCGGCACCGACCCGGCGCAACGCCGGGCCCGCGCAAGTGTGACACGCACGCGCGAACCGCCCAACGGTCCCCTCTCCTCATTCGCCCACTTTCCTGCCTCCGTTCGCGCTCACCACACCTGCGCACTCTGCTGCGTCTGCTCAGAGACCCTGTCCCCCGCGGTCCGACGCGAGGCGCTCCGCGCGCTTGCGCTCGGCCTGGTATCGCGACACAAGCCACATGTCTTGCAGGTCCGCGACCACAGGCACGTCGGGGTGCTGTCGAATGTAGGCCTCTTCCGCCGTCTCCCGTTCGTCGCTGCTGTCGCGACTCTCCGTCTCGCCTGCGCGGCAGGGCTCGTCGCTGGACGGTCGGCTCGCATGCCCGCCTCCTGAGAAAGGACTGCCCGCGCGGAATCCCGGCAGAGGCGTCCACAGCGAGCTCAGATGCGGCGCACGCAAGGGAGTGGAACAAAGGTCGGTCGGACGCAGGGAACCCACCTGCGAGCTCCACCGCAGCGATGCGCGCCCACAACGCGGCGACGTCGACCGGGGGCGGCTGGGAACTCGCCCCGGCTGCATCTGCAAGATTGTCGCCGTGCACCTGCACGGACAGCGGCGAACCTCGCAGCTCGCCGCCGCCCTCGACCGCGACGTGCATGCGGTACATTCCAGGTCCGGGCGGCCTGCAGCTCTTGACCACGCGAATGTCCCCCTCGGCGTTCTGCAGAGCGTTTGTAGGCGCCGCAGTGCCATCAAAGTCGATCTGTGGCATGACGTCCTTCCCGCTGCTGTCAAGAAGCCGCCACGTCAGCTTGCGGGCGAAATGCAGCGCGTCGACCGCGGCGCAGTCGTTACCGAAGCGGTCACGGACAAGGACGTCCACTTGCACGCAGTCGCCTGTGGCGATGGGCGACCCATCGCCCCGTAGCGACACGCGGCAGGACGACGGGTCCGGCGCGCTCGGCTGGACAGAGAGCATGAACGGCGACCCCGCGAGGGCCTCGTGGACCTCGGCGCCGTCCTCTGCGTCGTTGGCAACGAGGAACACGTGAACGTCATGACGACCGGCTTTCTGGCAGACGAAGTCGAGGCTGTATCGTCCGTTCGCGTCGTCCTCCGCGTCGAACGACTGTGCGCTGTCGACGTCCTCGCCCTCGCCCAGCTGCACGACGACACGGTATTTGTCTCCGCCTGCAATCAATTGGCACTCGTGGTCGCACTCCCGAAGTGATGCCGCGGCTCTCGCATGCTCACGCACGCCTCGAACCGCTGCAGAAAAAAAGAATTTGCCGCAGCCGTCCGTGCATGCGTACCGCTCAGTCGCTGGTTGCCCTGGTCGTCTCTCGCAACAATGCTGAAGTGGACACGTTCGCCCGCATCGACCGCGTCAGGCAGCCCCTCGATCCCGCTCTTCCACCCGTCGGCGCTCGACTGTACCCACTTGCCCTCGAGCCACGTCCCGCTGCACGAAACGCGAGCGACGGGCAATCATCGAAAGCTGATTTCAGCGTTAACGTTACCTCCCCCCCCTGCAGTCAAAAATGAGCGTCAAGTCCCATGATGTGCCGACTTACGTGAATGTGGTGCCGTCGGCGAAGATCATCGTTCCCTGCCCGTGCCGCAGCCCCCGGTCCCACGTCCCCGTATACACCCCCCCATCCTCGTACCAACACTCCCCCTCCCCGTGCCGCTCGCCGCCCCGAAACTCCCCGACGTACTTCTCGCCCCCGCCGACGCACCGCCCGCGCCCGTGCATCACTCCCCCCCTCACACCCCCACTGTACCTGGTGCCATCCCCCAAACGCAACTGACCGACGCCGTTCGGAACCCCCTCCTCGAACGGGCCCTCGAAGTCGATCCCGCCCCACGCAGGACACGTCAGTGCGGTGAGCGTGCCCTGTCCGTGGAACACTCCCCTCCGCCACTCCCCCTGGTACTCCCCCCCGTCGCGACGCGTCATCTTGCCCTCCCCGTCCTGGAGGCCCGCGCGCCAGCCCCCCTCGTACACGTAGTCGGGGTGCCGCATCCTGCCCGCCCCGTCGAACTCCATGCTGCCGTTCAGCGTCCCGCTGTACTCCCACTCCTCGCGCTTGTTTGTCAACGTGCCCTGCAACCACCGCAGCGCACCGATGTCAGCGCTGCGGGCGACGCGCCGGCGGACATCGTGGCAGGGAGCGCGCTGCTGTGGCTGGCAAGTCGCCGTCGTGCCTTCTCCGGTCGCCCTGTGTCCCGGTTCATGGTGCCGAGAAACACCAGATTGTTGCAAGAGAAGGTGAGCTCGCCGTCGATGGGCCGGTCCTCCATCCACACGCCTGCATGGCACGAGTCAATCAGTATGCGTCCCCAGGTTGATCGCGAAGGCAACTTTGACGCGTCCTCGCGTCGAGTGCCCACGCGAAAGAAGCGACAGGGCCCCCACACCCTCAAAAAGAGCCCCGTCTTGGAACGTGAAGCGCCCCCAGCCGCGCCGCTTGCCTCGCGTCCACATGCCCACGTACTGCCCGCTGCCCTGGGACTCGGGATAGTTGGCGGTTCCAGTCCCTTCCGGAAGATCTGCCTTCCATTCGCCGTCGTACAGCACAAGGCCATACTCGCTGGTCAGCACGCCGCGCCCCTCGCGAACGTCGTTGCGGAACTCGCCCACATATACCTCTCCGGAGACGCTGGTGAGGGTGCCTGTTCCGTGCCGGTACCTGCGAGCGCGCAACACGCCGACTTGCATCTGCGCTACGATGTAGTCCTGGGTCCCGCGAACACGGACCTTGCGCACACACGAGCCGGCCAGATGGCTCGTCCTTTTTTCTCATGCGACGGAAACAGGCGGCGAGGCTGTTCGTGCGGCAACAGGGCCGGGAACGCGCCTGCCATCCAACACGCCGCCGTGGTACGTGGAGCCGTCCTCATACGAGAGCGACGCAACCTCCTCCCAGCGTGACGCCCTGCCGAGCTCGGTGTGAGCAGGGGCGCCGGTAGTGCCGAGCGCGCGGCCCGGAGCCCCGTCATCCCGGTTTGATGATCCATTAACTGCAAGAAAGGCCAGGAAGTCGTGTTTCATTGAGTTCCGGCCACCCTGGCTCGCAGGCGAGCGACGAGCCCTATCCCTGCGCTGAACATCCGTCAGGAGCGGCCAGTTCGGGGTGCATCGCGCCCTGAAACGCGGGTCCGTTGGCGCCGTCCTCGGTAACACAAACACCCACCCGTGCCGTCTCCCGGGCGGCGCGCGAGCGCGGTTGCCTCGCAGGGAGCGCCGAGTGTCGGCGAGGATGCCTCCTGGCCTGCCTCGACGTGCTGCGCCCACGGAAGCGCTGGCATTGTGGACAGACACGAATTGCAGGACTCTTGTCTTTCCCGAAGATAGGCCGGACTCGCTTCAGAGCGAAGCATGTGCTCCTCTGGCGGCGCAGAGCGGAAGGGCACGTCGACCAGGGCGCGGAGCCACAATGTCCTGCCTGTTTCACAGGAAGTAGCCCAGGTACAACACACTCCAGGTCTGACCCGCGAAGCAACACTTCCGCGCCACCTTTGGACATTCCAGGCCCGTCTCCTCGCCACTGCGTGCTACCTGTCGCTCCCAGTGGACATCCAGGCACCGCAGGCTCCGCATACGGCGCTGTGCGAGGCGCCTTTAGTGCACAGCGTGTGCGGTGCAGCTTCCTCTGCCAGCCTACGGCGTGTGCGGTGCGCGCAGTCTCGGCGTGACTCTTCCAGGCGGTCGTAGTGTGTGTCTCCTCGACAGTATGCGCACCGGCGGACTCATGTCGCGGCCATCGTGCGCTCGCCGCACCGCACAAGCAGCCCAGGTTCAGCTGGGGCGTGCCGTGCCGCTCCAGAGCCACTCCTTCCCGAAGATCAGCCCCCCGGCACGGCAGACCCGCGACAGGACCGTCTCGCGTGCGTCGGGCGAGCCAGGACTGTCCACAACCCCGAAGGTTGCTCCCTCGAGCGGGTCTTCGGCAGCGCAGTCCGTCAAGGCGTTTTACGGCGCGATCAACGCGCGGGACATCGAGACCGCGGTCTCCCTGATCGCGCCCGACGTGGTGTACGAGGACATGGTCTACCCAGAGGCGAAGCGCGGCGGCGACGCGGTTTCAGCGATGTTCCGGGAGCAGGTGGACGCTATGCCCGATGACCTTGTTTTCGTGATCGACGAAATCACCGGTGAGTCCACCTGCCTGTCTTCATCCCTCCGTGAACGAAGAGCGCGTTCCGGGTCCTAGTCGGCGATCACGCCGTCCGACCGCGGCGCATTCGGGCAGCGAGCACACACCCCGCGCCCGGCGCTCGCTCCCGCAGGCGACCAGGGCGACTCGTGCGGACTGACGTGGCACGTCGAGCTCAAGGGCGGCATTCCCTTCCCCTTCGGCCGCGGGTGCTCCTTCTACCGCGTGGACCCCCAGGGGCGCATTGTGTACGGGCGCGACATCGTGGAGCCGACTTCCAAGCCCGGCGCGTCCACGCTCTGGCTCCTCCGCGCCCTCACGCCCATCGTCCGTGCCATCGGGCCCGCCGCCGCCAAGCCCGGCGCGGCGGCCCCGCTGCCGCTCTGGGGCGTCTACGCCGCATACTGGTGGTTCGTGATGCTGTCGCCGGCCGCCCCGGGCAACCCCGTGTTCGCGACGTCCCCGGAGACGCTCGAGACGGTCTTCCACGAGTCGCTCAACTTCGGGTTCGTCAACCCCTTTCTGCACGTCCTGGGCATCACCCTCGTCCCCGACATCCCCGCACACCCCACCAGCGAGGCGCTGTTCAACTTCGCGGCGGCGTGGGGCGCGATGCTGCTGCCCGTGATGCTCGCGGACAAGCGCTGCCCGAAGGCGGTCAACAAGGTCGGTCTGTGGACAGGAACCATGTTTTTGACCAACCTGTTCTTCACGCCGTACATGGCGCAGCGGCTGGCGCCCAAGGAGGACGACGAGGGCGAGACGGAGCCGCCGAGCGGCGCGCTCGTGCGCGGGATGGGGGCGTTCGGGGCGGTGCTCGGCGCGGTGAGCGTCGCGTGGTTTTTCTTCGGGCGACCCGACATGGGGTTCGGAGGGCCGGCGGAGCGGATCGCGCACTGGCTCAACGTGGTCACGACGGACCGCGTGGAGTACGCGTTCGTGGCGGATCTGACGCTGTACAGCATCTACCAGTTCTTTTTGATGAAGGGGGCGCCGCTGGCGCTGCGGTGCGTGCCGTTCGCAGGCATGGCCGCGTGGCTGCTGCAGGGCATGCCGACGGAGGAGGCGCGCGAGGCGTGAGACGTGCGTGAGCTGTGAGGAGCATGCGCGTGCTTTGCGCCGTCACGGCTTGTCTGCGAACGCAGACAAGGCAGGCAGGCAGCTACGCTCTCGGTGGTTGGCGCGAGGTGGGGCCGCGAGCCCTGTGCGAGATGTTGCTGTTTGGGTCGAGGATCACAGTTCGGGGGGTGGCGGGGACGCGGAGGCTGGACCACGTGGCTCTGGTCCGCGTACGCGTGGGCGATGCTCGCAAAGCGAGCTTAAAGTCAGTGGTGCGTGTTTTCAATATTCAAAGCGGCACATCACATACTCAGCTCCGTGCGATAAAGCACCGGAGATCGAAGGTAGTGAGCCACGAGGGGTAGAGCTCGCTTCCTCGCGAGGGTCCGTGGCGCGCGCTTCAAGTTTTTCTTCTTCTTTCGCGACTTGATCGAGTTTGCTCATTTCGCAAGCTCATCGTCGCAAGCTCAGCCGGCAAGAGAGCGGCACCCGAAGACCGATTGCTCCAGGCATCCGACGCCCTCGCGGCACCGGCGCACGTCTGTGCTTCCGGCGCACATCAGTCGTCCTCCTCGCGCGAGGACCCCTTGGCGCGCTTGCCGCCCCGGCTGCCGCCCTTGCGGCCCTTGACCGACGCCGTCGGGGCGCTGTCCGCGAACTTCGCGCGGCCCTTGCCCTTCTTCTTGGGGCTCTTCGGCGGCTCCTCCTCGTCGTCGTCGTCGTTGCCCGCGGCATCGTCGGCCTTCTTGCCGCCGCTCTCCACAACAGCGGTGCCGGCCATCTCCTCGTCGGTGATCTCCATGCGCTTCGCGACGGCCTTGAGCACGTCCTGCAGCGCCTTCTGCTGCGTCTTGATTCCCTTGACCTCGCGGCCAACAGCCTCGTCCACAGTCCCCTTCATCTGCTCGGTGATCTTCTTGACCACACGGCTGATGGTGCGGACCTCGTCCTCGAGCGTCGACACCTGGTCCGAGACCTGCTCGATCGGCGTCGCCTCCTCGTCCAGCAGGTCGAACTGGTGCTTGTAAATGATGCTGGTCTGCGCGCCGTCCATGTCGACCTTGATGCCCTTGGACGCCGACCCCGTGGTGGCCAGCGCCATGGCCGAGTTGAGCATGGCGTCGACGCCGCTCGCGCGGTTGCTCTCGTAGATGTCCAGGATCGCCTTGACGACCTGCTTCGCGTACTCCGTTTCAGCCTTCTCCCACACCACGCTGTACGAGGTGGCCATCATGGCGATCAGCAGGTTGATCAGCAGGATCTGGCACATGATGGAGAACACGACCGCGATGCCGACGCCGATGATCGGAGCCGTCTCCAGCAACGGTCCCTGCAAGCAACGCAGTGCGCAGGACGCAACAAGTCGGCAAGCGAAGTGCCTCGGCGGCGCGGTGCGGGCGTGACTGGCGAAGTGCAGGGCCGAATGCAGCAGGGGGCGCCTGGGAGGTTGCGCGGGGGTGGGAGCGCACCAGGACGCCGGTGCCGCCGACGCCGTCCAGCATCATGAAGAAGGTCCAGACGGCCGCCTTGGGGTAGTTGTTGAAGTTGCCTTCGGCGGCGGGCACGTCCTTCAGCACGACGAAGAAGGCGGTGGCAAAACCGAAGAAGAACATTCCGAGGATGGCGATGTATCGCGAAATGTCCTTCTTGAGCATTGTGAACACCTGCGACGCAGTCAGCCAGGCAGGCCGGGGTGGGTTCGTCACGCAAACCCGCGAGACAGGCTACTTGCCCCGAGATCCCGCGTCTGACGTGTTCGGCGGGGGAAGCAATGAAGAGACGGAAGTGAGATGGAACGAAAGGAAAAGGGCGCACCATGACGATGAGTGGTCCCATGGGCTGGAAGGCGAGGAAGAAGCGCGCGAGCTTGGCCCACGCGAGGACGCCGGCCATGGCCGAGAAGAACATGTCGACGTTGTCCTGCTCGTCGAAGTGGATGTCGTGGCCTGCAACAACACCAAGCGCCAACGCCGCGAACACGTTAGGCCCGTCCCGCACGCGGGGCCGCTGCAGTCGGCGAGACAGGAGCGTCGGCTCACTCACCGCTGTGGTCGCCGAGGTAGTGTCCGAGGCGGTACGTGTACAGCACGGTCACGCAGATGTGGAGCAGGGCGTCCAGGAGATTGAAGACGGAGCGGAAGTGGGCGATGATCGGGTTTTGCAGGATGCGGACGTCGGTGCGCGTGGTCAGGATCTCCATCCACAGCTGGTAGAACGTCGAGCGGTCGACCAGCACGTCGTCGTCGGGGCCGAACCGCCCGATCTCGTTGGCCTTGCCGCCCATCTCGGAAATGCCCGGCTGCGACATCGTCGTCTGCGCCTTGTGCTCGGAGAAGTCCGGACGGACCGAGCCGCTGGCCTGCTCGTCCTCGATGACGCTCTTGCCGCCGGCCTCGGTCGGCCGCTCTACGTTGCTCTCGCCGTAGTCGGTCTTGAAGGTTGAAGCTGCACGCAGGACACAAAGTATTCAAGTATTAATTGACCACCCGCACACGAAACACGACACGGTGCACAGGGGGCGCTTCGTCGCGAGTCCCCTTGCACGCGCCGTCCGAGGCCACGGCGGGCGTGGCGCGGGCTGCGTGTGGGTCGGTTCGTTGAAATAGGCGCACCTCCTGCGTTGGCCTTGCCCGGCGCCTCACTGGCCGCGAAGGACTGCGCCGCGCTGCGGCTGATGAAGGTCGAGGTGGGCATGATCTTCCTGCGCCGCTTCGCCAACATCTCCTTCGTCGGCTTCTGCATCAGCCTCTGCTCCAGCGTCAGTGCGTCGTCGCTCTGCTCCTGCTCCGCCGAGATCGCGTGCCACTTCCAGAACTGCAATCAACGCCCCGGATCAGCAGCCGCGCATCAGCAGCAAGTCGCAGCCGCAGAGAGCGGGTGCGAGGAAGCAAACCTCAACCCCCACACCGTGCGCGCGAAATTGCAATCGCAATCATCGCCGCGCGCACACCTTCTTGTCCAGATCGTCCTTCTTCATCTTCCGGACGCCGAGCTCCTTGGCCAGCTTGACGGTGATGTCGGTCTTCGCAACGAACCCGTTCACGTTGAGGCGACGCCACACCATGTCCAGCGCGGGGAGGATGGCTTTGATGGCCTGCATGCGGCGGCGCTCCACGATCGTGTGGCGCGCCTCGTTGAACTCCTTGAACTCCTGGTAGAGGAAGTAGGCGTTCACGGTGAACACGATCGCCTCGATGATCACGCGCGCGATGCCCGCAGAGCCGCTGTAGTAGAACGGCCCGACGTACGCCGAGAACACTTGCGCGACCGTCAGCAGCAGCACGAAAATCGCGATCGCTGCAGCGCGGGGAGGCAGCGCGCGCCACGTCAGCACGCGAGCGCGCACGCACGTCACCGCAAGGACACCACGCAATCAAGGGGCATGGAGAGCGTCAGGAGGGGGGTGCGTACAGATCGTCCCCTTGAGGACCTCCCTCTTGTAGCCGCCCTGCCACAGCGCGGCCGTCTGCTGCCGCACGACGGGGTGTTTGAGCAGCGAGTGGGCCTCAGGATTGTTGTAAATGATTTCCAGCAGCTCCTCGTTCTGGTCGAAGGGCTTGCGGTCGCCAGTCACGCCGGGCTTGAGCGTGATGGGCACCTCCACCTTGGCCGTGTTCCACCCGTAGTACAGCTGCGGCGCGCGACGGGGCGGCGGCGGCGGTACGTTGGCGGCTGGTGCTGCCGGTGCGAGTGCGACGCGGTGGGACGCGGGGCCGAGGCGTACCTTCCAGCACTGGGTGTTCTGGCCCTTGGCGCGGTGGGCGAGCATGTCGACCGGGGTCGCCTGCTTCCTGCTGATCATGCGGTCCAGGATCAGATTCTTAAAAGTGCTAGGACCCATGTCCAGCACGGCCCCGAGGCCCGCTGCGCTGTCCGACGCCGGGATCGAGAGGTCCGCGCCGAGCGACACCAGCTTCTCGAGCACGCGGAGCTGCACGCGCTCGCACGGGAACGCAACAGTGTCAGCGTTGCAGTGCACCGCACACAGGCACACACGCACGCCGGGCAAAATGGGTCTCTGCTCGCGTGTTGCGTACTCACCGCGATGTTGCTGTCGACGAGCGAGCGCTTCCAGGCGCGCAGGACGTAGTGGCCCGCGGTGAGCCCGTCCTTGTCCTTGACGTTCACCGCAAGCGTCTTCGGCGCCTTCGGGTCGTCGTACCACGTCTGCTCGGGGTGGCGCACGCTCCCGAAGAACCTGTAAGTGTAACACCACGGCACAAGCAAAGTCAGGCAACGCAGGCCAACGCACCCCGACACAACACGGCAGCGTTGAAGGTCGCAAGCGCTGCGGCAGGCGACGTGCGGTCTTGCGGGGAAGTCGTCGGGCAGCGATACGCTGCACGCATCTCTCGGCACGACATCAGGCGGTTCGTGTCGCAGCACTCACTCTTCGGCGGCGTCGAGGGTCTCGAACAGGTCGTCGAGAGTACTCTGATTCACTTCACCGATGCCATCCATAATGAAGTGGAAGATGCCCTTCGAGGCCTCGTTCGGCGCGAGCGGGTCCGGGGGAACGATATTCTCCAGCTCCAGGTCGTCTTCGTCCGAGTCGGAGTCATACGTCATCTGCAATTGGTGCCACAAGAACAGAACTGCAATCTCCGCGCCTGTCTAGTTTCGGAGCTACACGGCAGCGTGGCTCGTTCGCCACGGATGTGCCGGCGAAGTCAGGGTCGCTGACCTTGCCGCTCCCGGCGTTGCGCATGTGCCCGAGCTGGCTGACCACCCCGTACTTGCGCTGCCGCGCTGCGAGGAACAGCGCGGTCCGGCCGTCGCCGGAGTGCCAGTTCGGGTTCGCGCCCATCTTCATCAGCACCTTGACCTGCGCCCACCAACCAGTCAACGCTCGCAACGATCAGGAACCCCCCTCACGTCAGCGGACAACAGACGCGCGCGACGCACGTCGACGGCCCACGCCGGAGAATCCAGCAGCGCGCAGGTACGTGGGGGCTCTCACCCGCTCGACGTCGCCGAGGCCGGCCCGGCGGATCAGCAGCCGCTGCATGAAGTTCGGATCCTTGGCGTGCTCCATACACGCCTTGCGGTCCGCGTCGCGCATGTACTCGCCCGCGATGTCCATCGCGATCTCCGGCGCGCACTGGATCAGGCGCATCATCGGCGAGTCGCCCCCCGGCGGCGCCAGGCCCCAGGCCTCCTTGTGACACCCCGCCTTGATCAGGGCCTCGACCATTGCCGTCTGCAAGGGGGGGGTGTATTTGGAGCGGTGTCGCAGGGAGTCGAAGGCTTTACGCAGGTGCTCGCGGATCATTGCGATCAGGTCTGCGTGGGCGCGGGGTGCGGTGCGCTGCGAGGGGTTGGTTGCGTAGCGGCGGCGTGCCTTTTGCTCGCCCGCCTCGTTGAAGTCGGTGATGAAGTCGAAGAACTGGTGGACGGGCGAGACGCCAGCGCTGTCCGTCGCGCACAGGTTCGCGCCGTCCTTGCCGCCGAAGTACTTGCACAGCATCCGCAGCGTCGCCTTGGCCTGCACACATATTCACCGAGGGAGGGGCAGGGAACCGTTCGCAGGCCGCTCTGGGGCGCAGCAATCGCGCGCCGAGCACGAGTACGGCGTCGACGGAGGTGCCCCCGCGCAGCCGTCGCGAGCTGCGCCCGTATCTGTCGCAGCGACAGTCGCGCGCGCCCGAGCGCGCGTCCGCACCTTGTCGAACTCGTCCAGGCGCGCCATGCTCTGGTCGATGTCGAACATGAAGTAGTGGAACACGGAGAACCTCTTGCCCTCGGCGTCCTCGGGCTCCACGGGGTCCGGAATCTGGATCTTTGCATTCTGCAGAACAACAACACCGGTCCCCCCCCGTTCACCGCGCCGCGCAGGACCAGGCCAGGCGGCGCGCGGCGCGGCAAGGGCTCCCGCGCAGCTACTCACCGAGTTCATCCGCTTGAGGTCGGCGATCTGCTTGACGACCTGCGGGTGCTTCTGCCACGCCGCAGCCTGCAAGGCATTGATCTCCGTCAACACGAGGTCCTGCGGGGTCGCGTCGGACATCCCCGACGACAGCTCCTGGTACTTGTCCGGGTCGTGGTCCTCGAGCACCTCGCGCACCGTCGCCTTGAACGCAGGGCTCGCCGCGCCGTTGCGCAACAACTCCTTCACGCGCCGCGCGTCGCCCAGCAGCGCCGCGCGCAGCAGCGCCTCGTTGTCCTCGCGCCACTTGCGCTCCGCCTCGAGCCGCGCGCGCTCCTGCTCCTCCCACCACGCCGTCTGCTGGCTCAGCGCCGCGCGCTGTCGCTCCTCCCACATGAGTTTCCGCTCATCGTATGTCAGCTCGCCGACGTCCTCCTCCGGCATCCAGTCCTCGGGCATCTCCGGGATCTCCATCGTCGCGGGGTTCATCGCCACGCCCATCCCGCCCCCCGGCGCCCCCGCCGCGTCCATGTCGTCGAGGGTTAGCATCTCTGCCTGACCCGCACCAGCCTGCGCCCACGGCGGGCCGCCGCCCTCGCCGCCCGCGGCCGGACCGAACCGCGACGGCCCTGCAGGCGCAGCGCTGCCCGGGGGGGCGGCCGTGCTCGGAACGGAGCCCAGGGAAGCGGCGTTGTCGAGCGAGCCTTGAGCCCAGGGCGGGCCGCCCGCCGCGCCGCCCGCCGCGGATCCGTGCATGCTGCCCGGCGCCGGGGTGCCCGGGAGGGAGGTGTCCACGTCGCTGCGCGGCTGCGCGGAGAGGCCCTGCATGAGGACGTCCGTGCCGGAGAGAAGGTCCCCAGCATCTTCCTTCTTGCCTCCGGGGTCGCTCTTCTTCGGGTCCTTCTTCTGTCCCGAGGCTGCAGGAGAAATGGTGGAGAAGCCGACTAGGGTCGCGCATTGCCGAGGGAGAGGGGGAGGAGCCGCCGCCGCGGGAACCGCAGACCGGGAGAACGACCGCGCGGTGCGGCGCATGCGAGGGCCCAGGGGAGCCGGCAGTTCGCCTCCGACATCAACAAGAAACGATCTCGCTCCCGTCCCCAGAGAAATCGACTAAGATGGCTCGTGCGCGCCCGCGATGCGCAGCTGCAACCCGGCGACTTCATGCGCTATCCGCCAGGAACGCGCATGCCCACGCAAAGCCTCCAACGCCGGCTCCTCCAAACATCCACCAGTGGTCCTCGGCGGAGACCCTCGGCCCCCAGCGCATCGCGCGCGGCCTCGGCCCCCTTGGTCGTCGCAGCATGCACGGGCCTATCTCTCTGCCGCTGCCGCGCGGTCCGGCCGCGACATCACGCGATTCCCATGCGTGCGCCTCACCTGAGCCTCGCTGGGAGTCACCGGGTGCTGTCGGCGGCATCTTGCCAGCCGCGGCCTGCACGCGCTCGCAGTGACCTTACGCCTGAAACACTCGCGATGGGGCGCGAAAAGCCACCGATCGTCCGCCTCTCGCGCAATATCTTGGCGCTTCAGGGCCAAGGCGAGTCTATGGCGCCGGCCTCCGGCCCGCGTCCCCAGTGAATCGCGCGGGCGCCGCGGCATGGGGACCCCCCGCACTGGTCAGCATATAGAGTAGTAATTGACCACCCGCGCACGAAACGAAATGCGGGTGTGCTATCGTCCTGATCAAGGCGGCAGCGTGCTAGGAGTACTCGCGCGAAATGCCATGTGAGCGTGCCATCATGTGCCAAGGGAAGGCTCTGACCTGCAATCAGTTAGAGTGAGTGGCGGGCGTCGTCAGCAACAACGCGGCGAGCCGCGCGAGTACTGGACGACGCCCGCCAGCCGACGCGCCGAAGTGCTGGTCCACGTCCTAGGCTGCTTGTACCAGGGGGTGTCGGCAGCCGGCTGGGTGACAGCGGTGACTGAGTCTGCGGCATTGTCCGCGTTGTGTGGCGACGCGCCGACGGCTACTCAGCTCTCCTCGTCATCGCCGTCCCCCGCGCGTGGCCTGTCATGCGAAAAGGGATCATACCTCGGTCTAGCGGCCACGGAATACGCGCATGGCCAACATGTCAACATCGGGGGGGTAACAGAGTGCGTCATGTGTGCGGGCATGGCTGGATAGTTCCGAGCCAGCTTCGCAGCGCCGGGATCATGTATGAGGGTGACGAGTTGCAGGGCGCCGGGCACGCCCTGTCAGCAGGTTGGCCAGTATGGTCTGCAAACTGCACGTGGCGACGCACGAGGTCAGCCAGGCCCGCCGGCGTGGCAGGGCCAAAATGCGGGCTCGGGTGCGTCCGGCAGGCGGCGCGGTGGATCGCCAGGACCTGTCGCATGCAGTAACCTCGATGCGTACGCATGTAGCGCATCATGGCCGACATCTTGGCTACGTAGCTGTCGCGGTCAGTCACCTCGCTGGACACGCGGATGTGTTCGGTGCGGACGATGTTGTAAAGGTGTCGTCGCAGCAGCGCACACGAAGCGTGGGGGTACTGTATGAGGTGAATGTTCTCAGGAAACAGACCGCGTTTGTCATAGTGCGAGATCAGGAGGAAGCCCTGATATTCGGGATGCGGACGCACGCGGAGGTCTAGGAAGGAGACACCGTCGAGCGGGTTCGCTGGGGCGTCAAATTCGACCTCAAGACAGGGGGGGTACATGTTATGTATACCAGAGATGAGATCTACGATCGACGACGGGGTTTCGGGGGGCGGGGTGGGGGGGCGGGGGTGGGTGTTGAAGTAGCGGTACAGTGCGTTCGCGAGAGAGAAATTGTCGTCGATGTAGCGCCTGGAATAACGGAAAGACCCCAAGACCTTCAGCCAAGCGACGTCGCCAGTGCTCAACCAGCGGTCGCGAAACTGGCAGAGGAACGCGAGCTCATGCCGGAACATGTAGCAGTTCGCGAGGTGGGGGGAGGCCGAGAGCCCCATGGGCACACCGCAGGTCTGGTGATATACGACGCCCCCGAACACCACGTAGGCGCGTTTGACGAGGATGTGCACGAGACCATGAAGTTGCTCGATGCTCGGTGCCCATTTCCCAACCATGCCGTCCGCGTCCGGCAGCTGCGCCACCCACCACCACGTCTCCCTCGCGTCAAACGCGGGTTGCAAGTCGATCAGGAGGTGTTGCCCTGGATGCAGTGCAAAAACAGCGTCGATGTGTTCGATGACGCAGTCGATGAGGCCGGTCCCGTGGTCCGCGCTCGTCTCGTGCCGGATGTGCGTGTAGAGCCGCTTGATGTCGGCGCCCAGCAGCAGAGGTGGTTGTTGAGCATGTATCGCTGAGCGTGGTGGGTTGTCATGTAGATACGCGGTCACCATGTCACGCATGCCGCGGCTGGAGTCCACCAAGAAGGGCGCGAAGCTGCTGCAGAGGTCCTCCGGGACGCCGTCGAAGATGGAGCTCCAGACCTCCACGAGGGTGGCGTGGCACATGAGCGCGCCGAGGGCCTTCGTCAGCAGCTGCGCTGCGGGGCGCGTGATGTCGCTCGAGCAGTCCGAGATGTACCGCACGTCCACCTTGGCCTTGTGAAGCTTCATCGTCCCGTAGTAGTGCGGTAGACCACCGCACTCGCGTTCGGTGCGTATTCCTGGTAGCTGCAGGTTGTCCAACATAGCCTCCGTCGTGTTAGCGACGTTCACCACGTGCCTGGCATGCGTGATGTTGGCATTTGCCGGCTCGTTGACAGCGAAAGCGTCGTTGCTGTGCAGGTCGTGCAGGAGGACCTCGATGTAGGCGCGCCGACACACGAAAACCAAATTCCCGGCGTTCTTGTCCATGGTCGTGATGGTGAGGCGTGTCGCGTCTCGCCGCAGAGCCACGCGATCGTCGGGCTGAATGTCCGCCAGCGGCGGGGGCCATGGAAGGCGGAACCCGGGTTGAAGAGCGGGTTGGAGTGCCGTTTGCGTAGCAGCAAGTATAGCATCAATGTACGGCATGCACGCTGCCGCGTCCATGTCGGCGGCCTTGCTGACGCGTTTCGTCCACCCGAGCAGCGGCTTCTGGTAGGCTTCAACGATGCTAGCTACGGTCGCGCTCGTGGCTTGGTGCAGCTCCGGGACGTGTCGGTGCTTGGCACCGCCGACGGCGAACAAACGGCGGTACGCGGTGCTCTGGATGCCCGCCGCAGCAGGGTCCAGCGTGCAGAGGTGCCGCACAGGCTCGCCGTCGATCTGCCAGTAGGGGTCCTCGAGCGTGAAGTGGCGTCGTAGGTCCGGTCCTTGGTGTTGCGCACAGTCGCACTGCGTCGCCATGATGTCGTACAGGCGACTGCGTGCAAACTTGGCAACTCCGCTGTGCGTGCACACCGAGCGCGACAGCGGTGGAAACCTGACCGAATAGCGCGGGGCCACCAGAAACAAGCCATCCATACCTTCGCGGATACGCTCAGGTAAGAGGTTGAGAAAGTCATCATTATTGACGAGGGTTTCGAGGGGGGCGAGGCTAGCCAGGGGGGTAGGGAAGTCGTGGATCATGAGGGTACGGCTCCCGAGGTCGATGTCTGCGACGGGAGGGTAGTGGTGGTTGATGGCGGCCTGCAAAACGGTGCGGGCACTGTCCAACATCTGCTGTGTGTAAAAGGGCTCGTCGAGACCCAGGTTAAGCGCATCGGGATGCATGTGCGACACGCAGTGATGGAGGGAGAAGAGGTATTTTCCGATGTTCGCTGCCGTGCAATGGTTCACCGCGCGTCTCCAATGATCGTGCTCTGTGTCGCCGGCGCGGCGGAACAAAACAACGTCAAGAAGGAGGCGAGTCTGGTAGATATACTCGCGTGTACCGAGGCGCGGAGACATGCCTGCGATAGCGGGGGGCAGGGACAACGCTGGTGCCGTAGTTGTGAGGCAGTTGTCAGCGTCGAGGTGGATGGTACGTTGATGCGTGGAGGAGATGGCAAACGTTGGCTGGAAGAGGGTCGCCAGCGCTGGGAGCCCACTCGGGCCGGGCGGGACGGGGAAGTCGTTGTGGGGGATCGCTACGGGGTGGGGGTCAGCGGCGATTTGGAACGCCAGGGGGGATAGAGGCCATGGGGCAGCATCAGAGTGGCCAGCTCCGTAGCCGAAATTCCACATGCCCTTGCAGTAATTGAGGCCGCCGGGGTATGTGGAGCCCAGACAGCGTATCATGGTCTGCTCCCAGGCCAGGGAGTAGGTGCGGAACTTGTGGAACCAGGCCTTCAAAGCGTCCGGGCTAGTCGCCGGCGGGATGGGCACCTGGCGTGCGAAATTGATGCGAAAGAGGGGCACGATGGTGAAGTCGCGCCACGGGACATGGCCGTTCGGCGACTGCGCCCACACTCGTCGCATAAACTCGTAAAGCGGGGTGTGCACGGCGTTCGGATGGTGCGTGAATGCTGCATCAAAGTGCTCCTGCAGTCGTTCGATCGCTGTGCGGTATGTCTCCCCGACATAGTAAAAGAAGGGGTATTTCCGGCACAAGAGGACATAGACAACCCCGCGCGCCGCAAGCGGGGGGTTTGCCGTGACCGATGGTAGCGCGGCGAGGTCCGAGAGCGCCGGCGGGGGCGGTGGGAAAGGAGCGCTCGGTGGGGGGCACGGGTGCGGGTATGCGGGCGCCCGTTCGTCGCGGGGCACGTAGTCCCAGTAGGGTCGAGGGGCTAGTGCGGAGGCGGGGTGGGAGGGTGTGTGGTGGGGGCTAGGAGGGGGCCAGGCACGGGGAGATGCCTGCGGAGCAATAGCGGCCGCGATGCGGCGTGCGTGCGTGATGCTGGGTCGAAAGTTCGGGTCGTGGTCATTTAGATTTGCGACATGGTGGAACAGGGTGCCATTCGAAAGGTGGCCACGCAGCGTGCGCGCCTCGGCGGTGCCGGCCTGGTCGCTGAGACGCAACGCTGCTTGGAGCCGTTTCCTCCGTCGGCGACCGATTGGAGTGCGCATGGTGAGAGGTTTTGGGGGTGAAAAGAGGGTGGTGTGCGGAACTAGACCGAGGATGCAGTAATCAAGCCACGACGGGAGGGCGACGATGACGGGGAGAGCTCTACCTAAGTTGCGCGTTCCTAGCACGCCGGGCGGTGAGCCACGGACGTGAGACGGCGGAGTCAGTTAGCCGGAGGCAGGCTCGTCTACGCCGACGGTTGAAGGCCGGAGTAGGGAGGTAGCTCTCAGCTGGCACTGCGCCAAAGCCCCATGTTCGAGGCCCGGCGCAGCACAACACGACACACAGAGTAGTAATTGACCACCCGCGCACGAAACGAAATGCGGGTGTGCTATCGTCCTGATCAAGGCGGCAGCGTGCTAGGAGTACTCGCGCGAAATGCCATGTGAGCGTGCCATCATGTGCCAAGGGAAGGCTCTGACCTGCAATCAGTTAGAGTGAGTGGCGGGCGTCGTCAGCAACAACGCGGCGAGCCGCGCGAGTACTGGACGACGCCCGCCAGCCGACGCGCCGAAGTGCTGGTCCACGTCCTAGGCTGCTTGTACCAGGGGGTGTCGGCAGCCGGCTGGGTGACAGCGGTGACTGAGTCTGCGGCATTGTCCGCGTTGTGTGGCGACGCGCCGACGGCTACTCAGCTCTCCTCGTCATCGCCGTCCCCCGCGCGTGGCCTGTCATGCGAAAAGGGATCATACAGCATATGTCGAGGCTGCGCTCCCGCTCCCGGCCCTCGTCACGCGATCCTGGCGCGCGAACGCGCTCGAACGAATAGCTCACACGATATTACGCGCCGGTTTCGCCGAAGACGCGCGGCACGGCGCCGCGCGACGCACCGCCAAGAAAGGAACCGTCCGCGCCGCGCCGCGGGGTCAGCGCACCGCGCCGCACCGTGCGAGCGGACGCCGATTCATATGCTGCGCGGAGCCGTCCGTTCCGCGCCCCGCCCGCGCGCCCCTCACGCGTCCCGGGCCATCAACGCGACCATGTGAACGAAGGGGGGTTGCGTCATGTCAGGCACCGCGACGCCCTGGTCCACGCTCGCGCTGTACGCCGCCAGGATCGGCGCGGGGTGGACCATCACGCCCGCGAGCGCCAGCGCCGCCACCGCCGCGCACGTCCGCGCCACGCGCTCGTGCTCCTCCGCCGTCGCCGCAGGCGCTGGCCGGCGAAACGCCATGTCCTCCTCCTCGTCGTCGTCGTCCTGCGGTCGCAACGACCCGCGCGGATCGGCGCCGGGCGCGCACGCGGGCTCCGGCGGCCCCGGGGCGCGCCGCGAGGTGCGCACCACCCAAGGAGGGGTGCGTCACGGGTGCGCCACGTGGGGCGCGGGTAGGAGCGCGCGGAGCGGGCGCGTACCTGGGGCCGGTGCGGCGCGACGAAGATGGTGCCGTTGAGGCCCTGCACGACGTCCACGGAGGCCGGCGCGCCGATGGAGGTGATGTGTGTTTTCTGGGGCTTCGCGAGCGCGGGGGGGATGTGGACGAGCTGGCCGCCGACGAGGAGGCCGAACTTCTTCGACCGCGTCTGCAGCGCGATCGTGCCGTCCCGGAACGCGGACTGCACCTCCGCGCTCACCAAATCACCCTCGCGGAGGATCGTGCGCATCGCTAGCTCGTCCTCGATCGTGTGCCGCCGCTGCGCGTCCCCTGCGAGGCGCAGAGACAGTTCGCGCATGCTCGTCGGGTCCCAGGCTCGGCGGGTCGCGGGGGCGGCGGCGGAGGAGGCGGCGAGCGTTGTATTGCACCTGGGATGTGGACGCTTGAGAGCTGGAGCACGGCTTCTTGCGTCGAGCGTATGTCGACCTTCCAGCGTTTCCCCGACACCTGCGCGTCGACGGGCCGGGTTCGGTGGCGCGGTGGGCCTCTGGCGGGGCCGAGAGAGGCGTGACGTGGGGGACGACGACGGGCGCGGGCGGCGTGGCGTGACGGACGCACCTCGACCACCCTCCCCACGACGACGTCCCCGCTCTGCGCCGTGTACCTGCTCCGGAGCGGCCGCACCGTCACCAGCTTGTTCACGCGCTCTAGCACGCCGCACAAAGTGGGCACGAGGGCCCCGTCGTCGGCGCGCATGGTGCCCTTCCCAGGCATGAGCCCATCCTGCAAGCAAGATCATGCCACGGCAGCGAAATACGTCAGGCCGCAAGGCGCCAGGACCGCGTTGACAGCCGAACGGTGCTTGCAGGCAGCTCCTGGGCGTCCTGAGGGGCCGTGCGGGGCCGCGGCGCGCGGACGCGCACCTGAGAGCCTGCGTCGATCGTCTCTCCAACCGTCACGATGTTCGAAGACAGCGCGCCGTCGCTCGCCAGCACCGCCCCGCCGCCTGGCCTCTGCGGTGGACCCACAGTGATCGGCATGGCCCCCGCAGTCAACTTCCAGTGCTCTCACGTCGCCGTGGCACTCGGAGTGCCCGGAACTCCAGCTTGGACGCCGTATGGCGCGTCCAGCGGCGCCCATCGCCTGTGACAAGCGTGGTCTGTCCGCCCGACCGGCCCGCACAGGCCGCACGGCGGGCTCTTCGGCGTGCGCGGCGGGCGCTCGCGGACCGAACGGTTCGTCCGTAGCCGGCGAACGCGAACCCGCTCCCGCTGGGTCGCTGCGGTGCGCGCAGTGCCGCGCTGAAAAGGCAGGTGAATTCACAGCGCACGTAAGCATGGACTTCGACGAGCAGGGGGCCAAGGTGCGGCTTCTGGCGAGCCCGCCCGCTCCATATGCCCAAAGCACGCACGGACGTCGTCGCCCAGGCAGCTCCGCAGCCGGAAACGACGCAGCGCGGCCGTGGGACGTTCACCATGCTTTGGTCGCCGCTGGCGCCGCAGGTCACGGTCTTCCTCGTGTCGGGCCTGCTCCCGAATGGCGGCATCTATCCCATCACGGACGTCGACCTGAGCGAGACGGTCTACGACCTCAAGTGCGCCCCGAGCCTCTGACTCCCACGCATTCACTGTGGCGCCGCGGCGCTCTCCACCCCGCGCGCCCGCGTCGAACGCAGTGCTCACCGAGGTCTCTGAGACGTACTGAGCTTGCGTCGCGCCTCGAGCTTGTCTGAGGCGGCGCCCCGCCCGCGTTAGCGAGACCTCTGGGTTTGGGCTGGCGAACCCCGCAGGAGGACCATCCGGAAGCTTTTCCAGAAGAAGCTCAGGGTCGGAGACATCCGTCTGTTCAACGTCGCGACGAACCGGTGGCTTCCAGGACACGAAAGCCTCAGGGATGGCCAGGATGCGGACGACGTGGAGCCTATTTCAGGCATGTTCACAGCGCTCGCAACGCCTCGTTCGGCCATCCAGGCAGCCATCCTTGGCCCTCTGAGGACTGTACCGACGCAGAGAATGTCGTACCGTGGCGCACGAGCCATCTACGCTGCCGAGCCCCCTGCAATCGCGCTTTTTCACTCATGGTTCAACAACTGCGGGCCCGCGTTGGGTCTGGGGCCCCCTCCGTGCCGCCACGAGCGCTGGACGCCGTATCGCGGCATTTCGCGCAGCTTCCCGTGCTGACCGGCACTAGGAATGGCGACCACGTCGAGGATTCCACGCTCGGAGGACTCGACGTGCCCGCACGCGCCGAAACTGGCGCCTCATTCCTTTTGGGCCTAGGACCCAACCCGCCTCGCGGGGCGCGTGTGGCCGCTTTCCTCGCAGATTCTCACGCCCTGCGTGTTGAAGCATATTCATACGAGAAATGCCGCAGCTAGTTATCGAAAGCCGCGGCCTCCATCCGCGCAGAGAGCGCCTGGACGTTCCAGCAACTCACCGACCCGCTCCGCCCCGCACCCGCAGCGTACGACGTCGGCGACGAGACCGTCCTCCTCTTCGGCCTCGCCGACGACGGCGTCGTCAAGGGCATCCCCTTCTACGGCGCGCACGCCGACCGCCGGCCCCCCCCCCGTGACGCCGGCGCGCACGCGGGCCTCGCGACGGCGCGGGCGCGCGGGAGCGCCGCCCCGCGCCGCGCCGCCGGGACCCCGCGCCAGCCGATCTCCGCAGGCACGCCCCGGAGGCTCGCGACGCCGACCTCCGTCGCGGCGCAGCCCCTACGCGACGGAAAGAGGGCGCGCAAGTACGGTTGCAACGACGACGGGCAGACGTACAGCCGGGCGGGGACGTGGTCGCTGGAGGAGCACGAGGAGCTCATCGCGGCGCTCGAGCAGCCGGAGATGAAGGAGGCCGTGCGGCGGATCAAACAGGGCAAAGCAAGTGCGTGCGTGCGCGACGCAACGTCGTGGCACATGTCGTTGGATGCGCGCATGTGCGTGTGCGTGCGCGTGTGCGTGCGTTGTGTGCGTGCGAGAGACGCGGGGCTCCTGTGCGGGCGTGCGCGTGCAGCGAGGTTTCCGTGGGCGCGGCTGTGCGAGTCGTGCGCGCTCGACACCAAGTACATGCGGAACGCGACCAAGTGCCGCGACAAGTGGCGGAACATCGTGCTCACGATCACGACCGCGAAGAAGCCGCGTGGCGGTGAGTGCGCGGGCCCGCCGCGATCCCCCGCTCGCTCCTGCGCGCCGCGTCGCGTCTGCAGTGGTTGTGCCGGCAACCGCGCGCGCGTTGTGTCGCGGGGCGCAGAGTTTACGGACGACCAGATGCAGCGGATCAAGTACTTGATCAGGCGCGGGTATGACACTATCGTTCCCCTGCCGCGGTCGGTGCTGGCCCTGAGGGACCGCGCGTTCGCCGACGACGACGACGCGACGGACGGGGCGTCCGGGGAGGAGGAGGAGGAGGAGGAGGGCGGCGCGGAGGACGAGGAGGACGACAGCGAGGGCGGCGTCGCGGCGGCGCGGACGCTGGCCGACGGTCTGGCACGTGGGCGCGGGCGGGGCGAGCTGCGGTACAGGGGCGCCGCGAAGGCGAAGGGGAGGAAGGTGGTGCGGGAGCAGATCGACGAGGAGGAGGACGAGGAGGAGGACGACGAGGCCCTGGTGCGTGCACGGCGACGCTGCGTGTGTCTTTCCGACGCATCCTGCCAGCCGTGTCGCTTCGAGTGCGTGCAGGCGCCCGTGCGTGCGTGTGCTGGACTGACGGGCTCGGTGTGCGCGGGCCCGCGGCTGCGTGCAGCCCGCGACGCAGGTGGACGCGCTGGCTGACACCCCCCCCCCGTCGGGCGAGAAGAAGGCGGGTTCGGCGAAGAAGGCGTCGGCGAAGAAGAGCCCGAAGCCGACGCCGAAGCTCACCCGCGCGGGCAAGCGCGCCAGGGAGGCGGCGGCACACAGCGACAGCTCTTCGCAGGTACGTGCGCCGTCGCCGCCGCGTTCCCGCCGGACCACGCATGCGGGCGCCCCCCGAGCTACCGCACTTACGTCGCTGCGACGTCGCCGGCCCGCGGCACGCCACGTTCGCCAGCGTCGGGCGCGTCGCGTCGCTCCCGCTGGCGTGTATTTGCGTCCGATCGTGGCCGGTTCCGGGCCGCTGCGGCGGTGCGTTGCGGCCTGCGCGCGAGCGTGCCTGAGCGAGCTGGCAGCGGCGTTGAAGGCGTGCTGCGCTGCGTGCTGTGTGCAGGACGACGACTCGGAGGGTGACTGGCGGGCGAAGAAGAAACAAAAGGTGGCGCAGAAGGGAAAGAAAGGCTCGCGCAGGTAGTGTGGACCGGCGGTGGGGTGCAGGGGGGCCGGGGGAGCTCCGCGGGTGCGGTGTCAGGCGCGGCGCAGATGACATGTGCGGGGGGGGGGTCGGTGCGCGTGGGCGGGCCCCGGGGGAGTGTGAGAGCGAGCGGGCGCGCGGCGACGTCGTTGGGCGGGCGGAGATGGGCGGGTGCGGGCAGGAGGGCGTCGTGGCGGGACGTGAGGGTCGCTGACAGGTGTTGCTGTAGTCATACTTGGACGTCCTCGTCGTTCGGGGGGTTTTCGGGGTTCTGTGCAGCTTACGGGATGCATTAAATCACGTGTTGCCAGGATGAGTGGGTTGGAGCTCGGTGTGGCGAGGGTGCCGCCCGTGCGTGCGAGTCAGCACTGCCGGTGGTGTGTGCCGTCGCACACGCGCCCGCTGAGACGGAATCTCCCCTCTCTCGAGCACCGTCGGGCACAGGTCTGGACTGAAGCAGCCAGCACCGAGCGATCTGCTGCCCCTAGCGACGCAGAGGCCCCGAGTCCAAGTCACTCTCAGCCGCGTCTGGCCAGAGGCACGATTCGCGTGCTCGCGGAGACCGAGGAGTACCTCGTCATCGACAAACCCGCCGGGTTGTCGTTCCACCGAAAGATAGGCGAACACTCCGCCGACGGCGAAGAGCAGGACGGAACGCTGCAGGTCAGGATAGAAGATTTCACCCGCACCGCCCTGGGCGTGCAGTATCGCCCTCATCGCGCACGAACCTGCCCGACACGCCTTCTACACCTCCGTACTCACAAAATGTACCGCGCTTGGTTGCACGTCCCCCCCTTCGCAGGCTGTACGGAGGGCCCAAAGGGAGGGGTTGCTCCTTGGGAGCGCGTATCAGGGCCGGCTGCACTCCGTGCACCGCCTCGACGAGCCCACGTCGGGGGCGCTGCTCTTCGCGAAGAGCAGCGAGGCTGCGGGGACGGCCAGCGCGCTGTTCCGCGACCATTCCGTGGTAAAGTATTACGTTGCTATTTCGCAGCGTCGGCCGAAGAAGAAGCAGGGCACGGTCAAGGGGGGCATGCGGCGGTCGCGCCGCGGCGGGTGGATGCTCACGCGCGCCGTCAAGGGCGCCGACAACGTCGCGGTCACGCGGTTTCGGTCATGGTCGATCGCGGGCCTGGGGGCCGGAATGCGCGCGTACGTGCTGCGGCCGGAGACGGGGCGGACGCACCAGCTGCGCGTGGCGATGAAGTCGCTCGGGGCGCCGATCGCGGGGGACAAGGCGTACGGCACGGGCAACGGCGACCGGTTGTACTTGCACGCGGCGGCGCTGCGTGTGCCGCTGGGCCCGAAGGGCGCAGGGGTGCTGGAGGTGGTGTCGGTGCCGACGGACGGGACGTACTTCGCGTCGGCGGCGTTCCGGGAGGAGTGGTGGGAGGAGGTGTTTCTGCCGCAGGTCAGACGCACTGGGGGGGTGTGGTTCGCGGACGACCCCCTGCTGCGGTCCGAGGGCCGCTCCGACGCGTCGACCGAGCGAGCGGAGTGACGCACGCGCGATCCGAGACGTCCCCACGCACACACGCACCCGCACTGCGTCACACAAGCTCCCTACGTGCTAGCCTCTGCCATCTGCGCGCGCGAGGCTCGGTAGGCCGGGTCCGTCGCCCACGCCGCGTAGTCCCTGGTGACGTTCTCCACGAACGGCTGCTGTAACGCCTTGAGCGAGAAACCGAGCACCGAATTCGCCGTTGCCTGCACACAACAAGTGATAAGTAATAAGTAATAATAAGTAACAAGTAAGCAAGTAATAATAATAATAATAATAATTAATTCGCCCGTGGTCGCGTATGGCACCGCGCAGCGCTCAGTACGAGCTCAGCGCGGCGAGGGACCAGCACTGGCGTGGCACGCATCGCGTCGTTGCGACTCCACGCGCGCCCGCACCGCAGCTGGGCGCCCGCACAGCACAGCGTGGCCGCGACGCAATGTGTTCGCACCGAGAGCACGCCGTCGCCGAGGAAGCTGAACGGCGCCGGCGGGTCGACGAGCACGTAGATGTGCGTGTCGCCGAGCAGCTGTTCGCGGCCGTCGCTCGTGCGGCTGGCGGACAGCACCGTCCAAACTTTAAAGTCGATGCGGTCCGTAATGCCGAGGGACTCGACGAACTGGCTCCCGCCGACGACGCAGCGCTCGGCCGTGATGCGCACTGCCGGGTTGCCAGCTGCGCGTGCACGAGAGAGGTAGCCGCGCGGGTCAGCGGCGGCTTTCGCGCCTGCGGGCCTTGGAACATCGCGCTGCCGGTGCTTCCGCGCGCGCGTGATCGTGAACGCACGGCAGGAGGATGCGGCTCGTGGCAGCGGTTGTGTGCCGCGTGGCGTCCGTGCGTGCGGGCGCCGTGCCTTGGTCGATGATGGTCTCGACGAGTGCGGAGATCTGAACAGTCACCGTAAAGTCGAAGAACTTGATATCCGCGAGCTCAAGCATGAATCGCGGGCCTCCTAGTCGGTTGAGCTTCGTCCCTGCGAGGCACGACGGGCCGGCGCGCGCCTGAGACGCGACGCGGGAGCCTCGCCCAGCAGCACTCTCCAACGGCCGCCTGCGGTGCTGAGCGCCGATCCGGCGCTCTTCCGCCGCTCATGCGGTGGGACTTGGCCACAAATCGCCGCACCTGGAGGCATGTCGATCAGGATGAACTGGTCGACCGGCAAATGGATGTAATCAGCAAGCATCGTCCCGTCCCCGCCGACGTTCGCACAGACGGCCGCCGCCTTGTCCTTGACGTCCACAACCACCCTGCCGTCGTCAGAAAGCGCCCGCAGCCGCCGCGCGGCCGCAGCGCTGCGTCCTGGCCCGCGCAGCCGCTGCATGGCCCCGCGGCATTCCGCCCGCGTCGCGCCCCGCGATGGCGTCAGCGAACAAGCTCGCATGTTCGGTCGCAACGGAAGGCGCCTGGACGGTTCTCTGCGCTGGGGGCGGCCCTGGCTGCGCGCGGAGCTCAATTATGCAGCTAGTCCCTCGCACGTCCTGTGTGTGGCAGAGCCTCAGGACTCGAGTGACGTCGTCTGAACGTGCTTCGATAGACAGGCGGGGCTTGGTGGCGCGAACGCGAGGCCCGTGCAGCTCTGGCGCCGGCTGGCCGCCGGAGATGGCAATGCATGGCCGGAGACCGCGCTGCGGGGGGCGAGAAGCTGGAGGTCTGTGAAACACGACTTCCAGGCCTTCAGCTCAGTGAGACACCCGTGGCGACCCTCCACGCCCCGGCCGCGCGATGTCAGCGGGCGAGGGCGGCCGCCATCGCTAGAAGGCGAGTCCTAGACCGCGCCGAGGGCGCAGCGCAGCGTCTCGTCGACGTACCGCGGCCCCCTGCTGCTGTCAAAGAGGCGTGTCGCGGCTCCTGGGTCGCAGGGAGCGCGAGAACACGGTCACGCGCGCACGCATGATCCAACGGAATAGAGGAAGGCGTCGAGGGCCATAGTATCGCTTCTCGGGCCCGTTCGGGGCGCGGGCGCCCACAAACACTCGAGGAGTAGTCTCCTCGTTTTCGCAGCCTCCCAGCATGATATACAAGCCCGCATCGAAGCCCCGGCAGCGCGAGGCGCCGCACACGCCCGAGCTGTCGCTCACGGGGCTCTCGCTGAACGCGACCGGCGGACAGAGCGGGCACCATCTCTCTCAGACGATCTCCGCCCCTCCCGCCCACGACTTCACCGTCGCTGCGGGCGCAGGGCGCTTTCCCGGGCGTCTTCGGCCTCCAGCTCACACACTACATCGTCCAGAGCCGCCTCCGCCGCTCGACGCGCGCTCTCTCAGGTCCGTGCTGCGCCCACGCGGCTCGACACACCCACCGCAAACAGGGCCGTGTCGGCGGCGTTCATGGGCGCGGACGCGCTCCGTGTACGCACGCGCCACGCCCTCGAACTCAGCGATGCGCGTGCCGCCTCGCTCGTTCCACGGCTCCCCGGCGCCCCCGCTCCGACCGCCTGCACTAGACGCGCTGCACTGCACATCGGCTGCCTTCTCGCGCGCGTTTCGCGACTGCGCCCGAGCCCGCCGACTGGGCCGAGACGCGCGAGACCGAGACAGACGTAGCGCGACGCACCCGCGGCACTGCAGGATCCAGGGCATCCTCAAGTCCGTCGTGGGAGCGAACAACGATGGCGCGGCCGCGGAGCTCTCCGACGTCCTTTCCGAGGTGTCCCCGGCGATCTGGGGCCACTCCCGCCGCCCCACGGAAGCCTCCTTCCAGCGCACCTCCCGCAACAACTCCCGCACAGGCACGCACCGCCCCAGAAAGACACACAAAGATGCTGCGTTGTTGCGCCCCGTGCCCACGCGACGCGACGCGACCTCGGTTCCGCCCCGCCCGCAGACTCCCTGGTCCCCTCCGAGGCAGGCGACCGCGGCGACCCGTCGCGCACGCCGTCGTCGACCCGAGGGGGGTGGACTCCGTCCAGTCGCACCTCGAGCCGTCTCCGGCCCCCGAGCCTCCCCTGGCTGACGGGCCTCGACAGCCTGTCGTTGGCGCAGCGGTGGGTCGCGGCGGGCCGGGTGTCGCCGATCGGCAAGGGCGCCGTCGCCTGGGCCGAAGCTACCGGCGTCGTGGCGTCGGAGATGCTTGCCGAGACCCCTGCGGCGGGGGGGGACTCGCAGAGCGCCGAGGCCGGCATGAACGGCGCGGGGGGCATCCTGCTCGACATCAACTCGGGCGGGCGCGTGTTCTTCGTGACGCTTGGGCGGCCGCAGCACGTTGCCGGTAACGCCGGCGGTGGCGGAACGGAACAGATGTGCGCGAACGGGTTCTCCCCGCGGCGCGGCCGGTCGCCGGCGCCGGGGGAGGTGCGGCCGGGCGAGGGCCCGCCGTGCGTCGTTCTCAAGTTCTGCGCGTCGCGCCTGGAGGCGCAATCCGAGCAGTTTGGCGCCGAGCTTGCTGCGCACGTGGGGCTCAAGGCGCCCGCGTGCCGCATCGTGCGGCGGTCGGGGAAGCCCGGGAGCGAGTGGGCGGCGATCCAGGCCAGCCTGCGAGACCTCGAGCCCTGCGGCGCTGAGCTCAACGAGGAAATGACCTTCGGGCAGTGCGCTCTGGTCATGGAGTACGTTCCCGGGTCTGGACTGTTCGAGGCGCCCGCCGCGTTCGCGCCAGCGACGCTGGCGACGACCTGCGAGGATCTGGGCCGGCTGCTGCTGCTCGACATGGTGCTGGGCAACTCGGACCGCTTGCCGATGGAGGCCGCGCTGGGGTGGCGCGGGAACCCGAACAACGTGCTGTTCGCGACGGACGGACCCGCGAAAGGACGGCTCGTGGCCATCGACCAGTCGGTGCCGCGGCGACCCCCGGTGCGACATCCAATACCCGCCGCCCCCCTCCTCTTGCGGATTGCCGCAACCGGGGACGTTTCGCCCACCTGACCGGCCGCTCCCCCGCTTTCTTCGTTGCGTGCTCGCAGGGCGCGTTGCGGGAGGCGGAGGACCTCGCGGCGCACCGGCTCGCGGAGCTGTTGTTGAACGACGACTTCGTTGCGTCACAAACCCTGGGATCCCTTCTCGCGCTCGCGCCGCGGGTTCTGGACGGCGACGCCGCCAAGGACGCACGCAGCGGCCCGACCGCGAGCCCGGAGGCCACGCGCGCGTTCCAGCACGGCCTGCGCGACGCCATCAACCGCGCATCAAAGGTGCAGGGTTTGCTGGACATGATGTACGAGCACCTCAGCGGCTTCATTCGGGACTTCATCGCCGACATGGAGGGCGGGAGCGACGGAATTCTGTCGCCGAAGGCGGCTGGAGCGGGCGCGAGGTGGTCGGCGCAGGAGGACGGGAGTCCGTCGGGCGCTGGAGCGACGGCGAGCCCACGGGACGCCACGCCGACGGACGCGGAGCGGGGCGTTCCGGATCCGCACCGCATTCGGTGGATGACGTCGTCGGAGGTGTCCCCCGGCATGGGCGTGCCGTCGGGCGGGCACGGCTGCGGGTTGCATCGCCGTAGCGCGAGCCAGGTGGCGCCGCTGGAGGAGGACGCGCTGATCTCGAGCTTGGCGTCCCCGAAAGGCTCGCGGCATAAGAGCGGCAACAAGCTTTCGCGCAAGTCGCCGCTCCGCACCTCGCTCACAGGCGGCGACGACGGCGGCAGCACAATCAAGGACACGCCGATGTCCGAGCCGCCGTCCGCGCAGTCAGACGACGCCCGCGCGGCGTCCTCCGCCACCCAGGACTCGCAGGCCGCCGCGCCCGCGAGCACCGCCGCGACAGCCAGCAATGACAACGCCGCTGCCGCCAAGCACGAAGAGCAGCCCGCCGCGCCGCCTGGCGCCGCGCCGAGCCCTCTCAGGGCCGCCGGACAGGGCGGCCGGTACCTAGGCGGCTCGGGCGAGGCCACGGTGGCGCTCAAGCGCATCAAGGTCGACGCGAAAAGGGACGAGGAGCTGTCTACGAAACTGCAGTCATGGGTCGTGGCGATCCGCGAGCGGTGCAGCGAGCTGCGCGCGGCGGTCGTGGCCTGGCAGAACAAGCGCTCGCGGGACCCGAGCATCCCCCTCCTCACCACGGGCTTTCTAGACGGCACGTTTCCGGTCGTGGACACGTACGAGCTCAAGGTCCGCCTGCAGCACGTCCTCCAGCGGCTGCGGCTGATCACCGAGGCGAACGCGACGGCCACGCCCGTGAGGATCCTCCCGGGGCTCTTCCTCGGCTCGGCGGTCTGCGCAAACTCCCACCATGTGCTACGACACCTCGGCATCACGCACGTGCTCAACGCCACGGAGCCCGACGAGGTCCAGCCGCCTCCGGAGGAGGACTTCGTGTTCCTGCGCGTGCCCGTGCGCGACGCGGAGACCGTGAAGATCCGCGAGCACTTCCGTGCCGCCGCGGACTTTATAGACGCGGGGCTTCCGTCGGATCGGGGTCCGGGGGGAGGTGACGCCGCGGAGGACGGCCGGCCGGCGACGCCGCCGCGCGGGGGCGTGCTGGTGCACTGCTACGAGGGCAAGTCGCGGTCGGTCACGCTGCTGCTGGCGTTTTTGATGGAGCGGAGAGGTATGAGTTTGAAGGGGGCGCTGGAGCACGTGCAGGCGGCGAAGCCCGACGTCAGGCCGAACTCCGGGTTCATGAAGCAGCTGGTCGGGCTCGAGGAGGCGATTTACGGCAAGGTGAGCGCGTCCACGGCGGGGTCGGACCCAATTGTGTCTGCATGCGCGCGCAGAGCTGCGGTGCTTGCTCGGCTTGTTCGCGCGCTCGCTGGAACTCGAGCGACGCCGTACGTGGCGCTCGAGCGAGAGCGTCCACGCGTAGCTGCCTGCCCGGCCTCGCACGGGAAAGAGACCTGCAACACACGTTCGCCACTTGCGTCCTGTTTGTGCACTCTCCAGCCCGCCACCGCGCAGACCAGCTCCTATCCCCGCGGATCATGACCGCTTATTCCGCCCGAACGCATCGGAACAAGCGCCAGACGTGCATTGAGACCAGCTCCGGTCTCTGCACGGTACCGGTAGGCTGGACGCACGTCACAAATGCACACGGCGATCGTTCGCCGCACGTCCGAGGCCGCATCACCCCCGCTTTCCTCGACTGTCGCGACGCAGGCGTCGATGTCCGTCAAGGGCAGCAAGAAGCCCACCATGAAGGCGTGCCCGCTGTGCGGAGAGGCGGTCGGGATATCGGACGCGTCCGTCAAGGTGCACATCAAACGCGCCCACCCCGGCCACACTCCATAGCACGACAGCTCGCACCGCGCGGACGCGGCCGAAGCGTCGCGGGAGCGAGAAGGCGCGGTGTTTTCGAATCATGTTCGACACTCACAAGGCCGGGCCGCTCAAGCGCGACGGGCAGATCGTCAGCTCGATCGAGCAGGCATCTCGCGCGCCGGCGGGCGCGACCGAGCGAGCCATGTGACCCGCGCTTCCGCGTGCGCGGAGGGTAGCGAACTTGTCGCAGCTTCACCTGCGCGATTTGGGCTTCCGCAGCGACCGGTGGACCTGTTCGAGGCGCTCCCAGACCGCGGACCTCTGCGCAGTCTTCTGCGCCCGGTCCGCGCTCGCGTCGCTCAGCGGCTTGACCTTGAAGTCCAGGTTTGCGGCGCGCGGCACGGCGGCGCGCTTGCGGAAGCCTTCCTCGCCGATGCGGTTCTCGGGGCGCGACTCCCGCAGCGTGGCCTCGACGGCGCGCGCCTGCTTCGCCTCCCACCGCGCCAAGTTGGCCTCCCGCTCCTCGGCCCCCTCCTTGCGCAGGTTCGACGTCGATGTCTTCTGTGACCCGCCAATGCCCTGCAGAGCCACGAAAACCGCGCGTCACGGTCCACAGATCCCGCCCCGCACACGACGATCACGCGACGCAACGCGGGGCCCGCTCGGAACGCGATCCCGGGCCCGCAGCGGCAGAGGGGTGTGCGAGCGCATACCAGCTGCGCAAACCACGCCGAGACGAGCTCCGACGCGAGGCGGCGGTTCTCGGGCGTCTCCGCGGTGCACTTGAACAGGAACATCACGAGCTGCCCCAGGTTGGTCCGCTTCATCTGCTCTCGCCGGTCGTTGTTCACCAAATCGACGTCCAGGTCCTTCAGGACCCGCAACATCGACGAGCGCACGCGCACGTTCGGCAGGCTGCGGTCCGGCATGAGGTCCAGCCACTCCGCGATGCACTCGAGCAGCCCGTGGTTCAGGAACGTCTCCTGGAGGTGCTGTTTCCGCAGCATTGCTTCCACCTCTGGCAACAGGCGGACCTTCGCGCCCGCGGGCCGCGCGGCCTCGTTCGCGGCGCGGTCGTCCTTCGCGGCCTTCTCCATGCGCGCGAGGAAGACCTTGACGATCTGGTCCGCGTCCTTCTTCTCCGTCTCGACAACCTCGTTCTTTTTCCTACCCTTGCCAAACGCGCCGTCCACCACGCGGCGAATCTCCGGGTCCACCGGCTCCGTGGGCTCCCGCGGCTTCGCGCGCCCGCCCGTCGCCACCGTCTTCTTCCGCGCAGGCATCTCCATCGCCTCGTCCTCCTCGCCCTCCTCCGCCTGCGCAACGAACCGCGCGGCGCAGTTGCGTCACGCGCAAGCGCGAGCGTGTGTGTTCTTCCCCGCTCGGTGCGGCTCGTGCAGCAGACAGCCGCCGCGCCCCCTCGCCTCGAGGGGGCTGCGGTGCGGTGTCGGGCGGGCGGCTGCCGACAGCGGGGCGGGCGCGCGAACGCCTTGTCTCGACGGAGGGGAGCGGGGGCCTGTGCGGCCGTGGGGCGCCCTGAGCAGCGGGCGGGCGGGCGGGTGCGTGCGGGGCGACGGGGGCGTGCTGCGGTGCGGCAGCGGGGGCGCACCTCCTCTGCGGGGCGCCCTCGCTCGTCGTCCGAGTCCCCGCCTGCCCAGCGGTTGTCTTCGTCGTTCTGGTCGTCTTCCTCGATGAACTGCCGGTCCTCCTCGTTCGCGACGCCCTCTTCGTCGTTCTCGCTGTCGACGTCCGCCGCCGCGCCCTCCGCGCCGTCCGGCCTGCGGCGCGCGGCGACACAGAGACGACGGGCATCAAAGTGCGTCCGCGGGCGATCCACGGGGCGTTTCGTCGCAGCTGGGCCACCTGGCTCGCACCTCTTCTTCTTCTTCTTCTTCTTCTTCGCGCCGTCCGCGTCGTCCCTGCCGCGCTTCTTCTTCCGTTCAGCCGCCCCCGCATCGTCCCCGTCGTCCTCCGCCCGCTCCGGCGCCCTGCGCTTCTTCTCCTTCTCGTCCGCCTGCCTCTCCGCGGCCATCTTACGCACGAGCGCCTCCATGGCCTGCTTGCGGTCGGGCTTCGGCCGCGCAGCGACCTCCTCCTTCTGTTGCTCCTCCAGCTGCCTCGACTGCTCGAGCAGGGCGTCCACGTCGTCATCGTCGTCCTCCAGGTCCGCCACGTCGGGCGACTTGTCCGGAACATCTCCGCCCTGCACGAAACGACACGCGGAAGCCCCGCAGCTCGTCGCGAATCGCCAAGTCCGCCCTCAGGCTGCGTCTCTGGGCGCGCACGCCACGCACTGCAGTCCACCAGCGCCGTACATCCTCACCTGTGCGTCCGACATCGTTATCCTACGGGCCCAACGGCATTCAAGAGCAGAAATGGGCTCGCGAGCTCGCGCTGCGCCTGTCTTGTGGGCGGGAACCTCTGTGCGGGCTCTCACACGCGGAACCAGGCACGTTCGGTCGCGTCCGGTCCAGGAACGACTGGAGTGAGAACGGAGCGTCTGTGCGCGCCGGTCGGCACGCGCTCAGGTCCCGGTTCGCGCCGCGGAGGGCGGCAGAGTCTCCTCGCTGTGCTTGGGCGCGCTCGGCTCCACGGCAGAGGGGTTTCGATGCCGGGTCGGTCGTGGAGGAAAGCCCGTGATCTGCAGTGTCCGGGGCGCCGGCCCTTGGCGTCCGTGGCGCGTCAGACACAGCGCTGCGACCCCCGGTATGAGCAGGAAGGCCGCTTGCGGTCTCTCAGGAAAGCTGGCGCCCACGCGGGCTCTTGGCCCGCGGGGCCGGCGAGGCTGCCGCAGAAGAACTTGGTAGGGCTCTAGCGACGCGAACTTGGCGAACACGGAGGATCTGAGGCACGACCGAGCACCCGCCACCGCAAAACACAGCTTCGAGGTTGTAGACTGCGAGCAGCCCGCACGCGCTCCGGGCGCGCAGACGGCGACCGAATCGTGGCAGGTAGGCGAGACCTCGTCCCGGGCGCCCCGAAAATCGCGCCAGACGGGCGCTGCGCCGGCGCGGCGCTCGCCGCGCGCGCGTGGATGGCTTGACCTAGTCTGGAAGCGCCTTGCCGGCCGCCGCCGCCGGTGCCGTCCACGCGAGCGGCGTCGCGGTGCACGGCCAGCTTGTTTTAGCTCTCGCCGTGTCGGTGTGCGCGGCCGCGTGCGCTCAGCGCGGCGAGCGCGGCCGTGCGGGCTTCGGGCTGCGTCGACGCGAGCTGGCGCTTTTGGCGGCGTGGCCTTCGCCCGGCGGCGCCGCGGCCCACGAGCGATCGTGGATCGCTTTTGCGTGTCTGCCCGTGCATCGAAAGCTCTTGCGCGCGGCCTGCGTAGGCGACGCCGCGCGCCTCGGCGGTCGCTTTAGGCGCGTTCGTCGCGCGGCCCGCGAAGGGCCCGAACCGCGTGGGTTCGGTCCATTTCCACTTCAGTTCAATCTGAAGACCGATGCACGCGCCCGCATCTCGCCGCTGCGCGCCCCGCGCGCCCGCATCGCCCCGTGAGGGCACTCACCTCCTCTCGCGCCGCGCCCGCGCGCCCCCCGCTGATGCGCCCGCGACACGCCCTCCGCGCGCCCACCACGACCCGCGCTCTGCTCTCCGCCTCGCCGCAGCTTCCCGCCGGAGACCCTCGAACGAAGCCACCGCAACAAAGGAGCGTCCGCGCACACCCACTGCCCGCCTCGCGGGTTGTCGCGCGCCCGGCGCCCGCCCGCGCTCCGCGGCACGATGCCGCTCGCGGCCGACGTCCTGGACGGCGCGTCCACCGCGACGCTGACGCACCGGGCCGGCAAGGCGGTGCGAAGGAGAAGCAGCGTGGCACACAACGGCGACTCGCGGTACGACGCGTGCTCCGTCGACGGCGTGGCCGGCCTCCGCGAGCTCCTCTTCGTCCGAGCCTACATCTTCGAGTGGGCGCTGGTGCGTCGCGACCCCGCACCTTCGCCACAGCACTCAACCCTACTCGCACGCCAGCAACATGCACGCACGCCGAGCCCACGTGACGCTCCGTCCGCTGCGGCGCCCCGCAGGTCCTCGTGCTCGTCGCGTTCTCCCTCGCGGTGCCCGCCGCGTCGAGCCCCGGCAGCGCGTCGCTCGTCGCGTCCCTCTCCTCCACCGCCATGGCGCTGGGCATCCCCGCGGGCATCTTCCTGGCCGGGCAAGTCGTCCTCCGGAACCTCGTCGACCTCCACCACTCCGTCCTCACCCTCTGCGAGGCCTACGCCCTCGCGCTCACCTTCAAGCGGTGGCTAGGCGGCCTGTGCAGCGTCGCGGCGCTGGCGGCGCCCGAGGCGGCGTCGCCCGCCGCCGCGCTGCTCCCGCTGGCGCGCAGCGCCGCGCACCCGTCCTGCCAGGCCACGTACGTCGCGATCGCGACCACCGTGCTCGCGCTGTACCTCCTCGGCAAGCTGCGGGTGCTGGCGAAGCCGACGCGCGGGGCGTTCCTGAAAGCGGTCGCGGTGCTCGCGGCGCTGACGGCGACGGGGTACCTCGTGCGGTCCTCGCACTCCCTGCTCCAGGGCGCGCCCGCGCCCGCGGGCGGGTGGTCGGGCGTGGCGGCCGCGGCGCCGAGCGGCGAGACGCACGTCGGCGCCTTTCTGGGGCTCGTTTGCGGGAGCTTCTGCTACTCGCTGAACTACCCGAGCGTGCTGTCGCCGGACTCGGGCCACCCTCGCCTCGCGCCGGTCCCGCTGTCGGTCCGGGACCTCGTGTCGGGCCCGGGGGGGTCGGGCGCGAGCTCCCCGGGGGGGTCGCCGCGGTGCAGCGACGGGATCTCGCCGCGGTGCAGCGGCCACGCTGCCGCGCTGAAGTGAGCGCGCCCGACGCGGCCGCGACGCAGTCGCCGGATCGGACTCCTCCCCCGGCCCCCTCTTTTTCAACACTCCTCCCCTCCTACCCCCCACCACTGGCCGCGCGGCGGTTTCTGCGCTCAGCTCGCCGGCCCGCGCAGGGGCGGCCTCACCTTGGCCGGCCACGTCAGCGCCACGTCCGCCCATAACACACACACGCACACCATAACATAACATAACAATCAATCAAGCACTGTCAGACTCAGATAGACATAGATAGACCAGCAGGGGTATTTAACACTATCGGCGGCCCCGAGCACCTCGGATCGTCGCGTCCGTTGCCCACGCCGGCCTGCGCGAGCTGCGCGGCTCTCTGGGCATCGGCGCGCGACCCGACGCAGCCCGCCTGTGTCCTCCTGATTGCCACATCCTACCCCTTCTCACGCAATCAGTCTGTCTCAATCCCCCCCTCCGCGCGCAACTCGCCACGCAATGTCGAGCAAGATCGACGTCGTTTTACACTCCCTCAGACACCCCCCACCTCAGTAGTGTGTTCGCGCTGGGCCGGCGAGCTGTACCCGGGGCTGCACGCCGCGCGCCCCGCAATCCAGACGCGTTCCGGGTACGGAGCCCGTTCTGCGGACGTGGGCGCCACACGCCCCAGGCAAGCAGCGCAGCCCGCGCACTCACCCACACGTGCACGCGCCCCCTCAGCGTCACGACCGGCGCGGACGCTCGCACCCCCCGCGCAACTGAACAACTTCGCCACGCGAAGCCTGGCACCCCGACAACAGCAACACAGCGACACCCCCTCGGACCTTTGGTCGTTTTGACTCCCCCCTTTTTGAACCTTCCTGGCGGCCGACTCCCCCTTCTCCTCCTCTCTCCGCTCCCCGTCGTCCATTACGACGAACAGCCCGCGTCCTCCGGGCTCCCGCTTTTGACGCCTCGGCCAAACCACCGACCCTCTCCCACGGTCGTTGTGCTGCCTCACAGCAACTCCGTGTTGGTACCCGTGCACAGCAACGTATCGATACGACGACTTCTCCGGCCTTTGCGGACCGTCTTCCTCGCAAGGTCGAACCCAACCAACGCCCACGCACCGCCGCCCGTCCGTCGCGGGTCCGGTGCCGCCCACGCTCCGTTCCGCTCTACGACGCCCCTCTCGACCCCCCCCTCTTCCCCTTCTCTCGGCCGCCTCGTGCAACGTTTGCGCAAGTGCCGCCCAGCTTCAGCGCGCATAGGCCAACCAACCCACGCCTCGCAAGACGTAAAGTAGGACGCAAGCACGAAGCACTCACTCGGTGGGCGCCACAGCGCGGTAGAATCGTGCAGCGCCGCGAGGCAGTCCCTCTGTCGCACGCCCTTCGTCTGGGGGGGTGTCTGTCACCGTGCCCTTGTTCCCGACCGAGCCAGCGCCCGCGCCATCACGCCCTTGCGGCCGGAGACTAGGCCGCTGGGCGCCACCAGGGCGCTTGTCAGCACCTGTAATCGGTTTGTCAGAACGTCGTGAGAGTTGTCAGAGAGTCACGCGTTCACCTCACCGCGTGATCGACGGTCGCGGAGCGGCTGAGGGAGAGTGCGGCGCCGACAGTTGCCCTTGGTGTCGTGATGCCGCGGAGTCGGACGCTCGGCGAGGGCGGTCCCATGAGCGACGCCGGCAGAGCGTTCTTCCTAGGCGATCGATCCGCGGGCGTGCCGGTGGTGCCGTCGTCAGCGCTCGGACCACTTCTCGCGAGTGCCAGCCCACGACGGTCGACAGCCGCGGCGCTGCGCGTACGGTGGGTGACGCGAGCGGCGCGTTCACGTCTGCGCCCATCGAGCCAGGCCTCGCGGACTCCGTTCATCCGTCGCGTGGCTGGAATTCGGACGCTGCAATATATCGTGACGCGCAGCAACCAGGCGCCGTGGCGTGGCCCTCGGGCGGCGGGTGTCCTTGCGCGGCGTCACAGCTCGGTATTCGTGGCGGCCGGCGGACGGAACGGAGCAAGCAACGGGATCGGCTCCGGCCGGAGCCAGGCCTTGCGACTTTCGCGCATGCAGTTGTTCACTTGTTTGAGTGCAGCCTCTCGACGATCATCTTCGCGTACAGGTCCATCGCGTCCTTGACGACCCTGCGGAGCAGCCACGACGCACACAGCTCGCGTGAAGCGAAGCGCAAGCGCAAGCGTCACCGCCCCGCGCACAATAGCAGTGGGCGTGGCGCACTTGAGCGCGGTCTCGGCGCCGTCGAACTCCTCGACCGCGACCTCCTTGTTGGCTTCGTTCGCCTTGTAGTCCATGAAGAACCGCTTGATCTCCTTCAGGCGGTGCGGCGGCAGCTGGTTGATGTCGCTAAAGTCCTTGTACTCCGGATCGTCGACGTGCACCGCAATCAGCTTGTCGTCGGCCTCGCCGCAGTCCAGCATGTGCATCACGCCGATCGGGCGCGTGCGGAGGAACGCCATCGGCACCACGGGCTCCTACGGCGCGGAAACAGACACACAGACCCCCAATGAGGAACAACACGCGCCTCCCACGGCGTTCGCGGGCGCGCTGCGGGGCGTGCCGGGCGTGAGACAGCGTGCGCGGTGCGAACGAGGCGGACCTGCATGAGCACCAGGACGTCGAGAGGGTCATTGTCCTCGCAGAGAGTGCGGGGGACGAATCCGTAGTTGTGCGGGTATACCACGGACGACGCGAGGATGCGGTCGACGTACAACAGACCCGAGTCCTTGTCCAGCTCGTACTTGACCTGCGGGAGGCGCCGCACGCGTCGTTGGGGCCGGGAATGCCCAAGCGTTGCAGGGCGGGGGGATCCTGGCCCGTGCGTGACGTAGACGGCGTGCTCGCGGGGGAATGAGCGCTGGGGCGCTGGTGGACGGCTTGGTGGTTCCGTCGAGATGGAATGCTCCGCGAGAAAGGGTTCGACGGCGCTTGGCGCTCCGGGGAGCGCGCTGGGGGGAAAGGGCCGTCGTTCCGGACGCGCTGTGCCGGCCAGAGCCAGATGCTGGTGGTTGCCCGCGCATCGGAATCAGTCATGCCGGATTACGGGGAGAAAGCGATCGCCGCGCGCACGAACGACCGCGACAGACGAGTCCTATAGAAACACATAGCTCTCAGCTGCGCGCGTCACGCAGCGGCTCAACAAGCCGATGTCGCCCGCGACCGGCATGAGATCGTACGGTACTGCATCGTAGCGCAGCAATCACGGGCCGCGAACGCCCGTCGAGCCGCCCGCAGCGCGTTCTCATCCCGCGCCCAGAGTTGCGCGCGACGCACCTTGCTGCCGCGTGGGATCTCCACGACCGAGTTCACGATGGCGGGCGCCTCGGGCCCGATCGAGAGGTCGTGCCAGGGGTGCGCAAGCATGCGGTTCATGATTGCAACGTCTCGTTTTCCGGAAACAACAGAGGTCCCACAGTCAGCGGCGTCTTCGTCGCGTTTCCGGCCAAGCCTCAAGCCCATGCACGACTCGTCGACGAGAACATGACCCTGCGCAGCCGCGCGCGGCCGCCTGTCATCGAGATCGCGCCGGCCGGCGGCCCCGCGCCTGTCGGACCAGGTCCGGCGGGCCTCAACGCCCCGGGGGGGGTGCTGGACCTCAATGGACGTACACGAGGCGGATCCCACCCACGCTGCGCGACGCTGCGGGTCTCCTAGAGGAGTCAGGCCCTGGACGGCCGTGATCGTAGGCAGCGAGACTCCTTTCAAGTGACTGAGCAACAGCCGCCTGTGCGAATCGATCGGTGGCCGTCACAGCTCCGAGCTCGGCCGCGTGAGGGGCGCTGTCTCGAGGCCGTCGTCGCTCGACACCCCGCCGTGCCCCTTGCCTCCCCCCCACGGCCCCAGAGCACGTAGCGCCATCGCGCAGATAAGCACCACCAGACCCGCCTGCCACGCCGCCGTCGCCAGGCCCATGTCGTGGTTGGCCTGCCCGATGGTTGCCAGTACCGCCGCGACGCCCAGCAGCCACGCCGCGCGGCCCACGACCCGGTGCGCAGGCTTGGCAGCCGCATGCAACGGGCCGGGCAATTTGTCGTAGAGGCCCACCCAGCGGAACGCCGCCGCTCCGCCGAGAGCCGCAGCGCAGGAGAGGACCAGGCACGCGAGGCCGAGCTTGGCGTGCAGCGTTGCGAAGTGCGGTTTGCCCTTCCGAACCTTGTTTGCAAAAATGGTGAGAAACCCCGCCCCCAGGCACACGACGGCCCCCAGCTGCAGCGCCATGTGCGTCTGCGGGGCAATCGAGGCGCGGACCGTCTCAGATCGCGCTTGCGGGCCGCGAACCTCGCGCTCTCGCCCTCGCAGGCACGCGGGTGATCGGCGACCTGTCCCGCAAGCGCGTGGCGGGCCGGGGCGTCGATGGACGGGCGCGTACCTTGAGAGCGGCGGTGCGGTGCGGCCCGTGGGTCGCGCGGGCCTCCATGGCGCGCAACACCCCCTCCGTCATCACAAGTACAAGTCCGACGGACATGAACAGGGTGTGGAAGGCGAAGAGGGTGGCCTGCGAGACGTTCATCCCCCACCACACGAGGCCGAGCGAGAGCCCGACGCCGAGCGCCAGCATGCGCGACGCGGACCCGCACACAGCCGTGCGGAAGACGTGTCCGGGGGTGGCGCTCTCATGGTGGGGGTGCTCCTGCGCAGGCCTCTGGTGCGGCCTGCGGGGAAGCGGGGCCGCGTGGGGTGTCTGGAGGGTGGCCGCGCGCGTTGAAACGGGGCCGAAATGTCCCGGGGATGCCCGGCGCTGGCAGGCACAAGGTATCGCAGCAGGGTCGCCGTGGGCGGAATGGAGGCGGAATCAGAGCCATATGACGGGCGCGCTCGAGCGCTCAGGATATTTGTGGATTGTGTGCGGCGGATCCGTGCGCTGGCGCGCCCGACCGTGCCGCGGGCAAGGGGCCTCATAGCACGCACATAGGCTCGTGCGCCACGCCCAAGCTCGGCCGCGACGTGAGCTCCATGGTGCCCGCCCGCCTCTGGAAGCCCGCTCGCCCCACTTCGACGCTACCTGCGCGCACGAACTCGCTCGCAGCCGCCAGGCCAAGAGCCCCACCCGCGCACTTCAGGCGCCCGCTCCGCACTGCACCGCGCGCTCTGCGTCGCGATTTTGGACCGGAACGACAGTTCCTCTTTAGAGTGATGAGTTCCTCGGCCGTGAGACGCTACTTGCCCTCCAGTGCGACGTGGGGGGGCCTTATTCCTCAGTGAGACGCAGACGTTGAGCTGGTCCGTCCGGCGGGCCCCCGGCGCGCAGTTTGCCCCGCGACGCGCCGCCGATGACGCACAGCTGGCGAGGCCATTCCGCCGGAGCAGAGCTAGGGGGCGTCACGGGCCCAGCGGCGCGTCGGGCGTCGCCATCAGATACCACTGGAATTTCCAGCCTCCCGGGAGCCCCGTGCGGGCTTGCCTGTCGCGAAAGCTGGCGGGAGCGAGCATATTCTTGCAAAAGGAAGGGATCCGCGGTCCCGTCGGCGGGTGGGCGGTGCTAGGCTTGCGTGGGTCGCGAAATGAAGGCAATCTCTAGCACCGCTGCCCTGCGCAGCACAGACGTGCTGTCCACGTCCAGGTAAGCGTTTGTCAGCCGTATCATACTATAGAATCGTGCTGGCGCGCCCCCACGCCGCGCAGCGCACCGGTGATCATCACACGGGAGGTTCCTGCCCTGCAGAGCACGGCCGCCGTTGCGGGACGTGGCGGCGCTGCACCGGCGCCGCGGCCGGCTCCTGGTCGCGCTGAGTCTGCGGGGAAGCGTCCCGGACGCCGGAACGCCGTTCACGCGCCCGGACGGCGCCGCGGCGGTGCGCGTGGGCGACGGCGACACACTCTGGAACGTTTCGCGGCGCTTCGGGGTCACGGTGCGCGACATCAAGAAGAAAAACGGACTGAAGACGGACACCGTGTTCGAGGGCCAGGAGCTCGTGCTGCCCAAGGGCTACAGGACGCCCGCAGTCGCCTCGCGGGCCCCGGAAACACAAGCAGCGCTGCTGTCCTCCGCGTCCCTGCCCACTGCCGCGCAGGTGCGCCCCCGCCCTGCGCGCGCCGCCTCCCCCGCAGCACCAGCGACGTCCACGTGCGCGGCGCAGGCGGCCGCTTCTGTTCGCGGAAGTGGGCCGCGGAGGCTTTGTGTCGCGGCAAGTGGCACTGCCGGCTTGTTCGCTGTCTCACCGCGCCCGCGCGCCTCGTCCCCCGCGCAGGTCACGCCGTTCGTCGTCGTCCTCGCGGGCGTCGCGGCCGGAGTCGCCGCGGTCTTCACGCTGCGGTCCTCGGACTCTTGGAAAGCGCTGCAACGGAGCGCGGGCGCGCTGTTCGAGCGCATTCTGGGCGCGGCGATCGCGTGCGTGCGGCGGATACGCTCCCTCGTCGACTCTCAACCGCGAAGCGCGCCGTCAACGGCCGCGCCAGCCCCTCCCGCGCCCGCGCTAGACACGCTTCCAGGTCTCGTGGATGCTTACAGCCGCATTCTCGACGCGTACGAGGTGTGCTGCCAGGAGGGCGTCCCGTTCACCAAGGACGCCGTGAAGCACCTCTGGCCGGAGCCCGTTCCCGCGGCAGCGCCCGCGCAGCGTGCTGCGGAGCCACGTTCGGTTGACGGCGGGAGCATCGCGTCGGCCGAGGCGGCCGCCGAGGTGCCCGCGCGCGCCCCCAAGCGCGACACCTCGTACGTGGACGCCTTCAGCAAGCCTCTGGAAGTCGCGAGTGCGCCCCAGGCGACGGCCCCGCCGGTGGTCACCCCTTCTCCGGCCCAGCACGCCCTCCTGCGCGCCCCTGCGCGCGACTTGCGGCTCTCCAGCAACGCCTCCAGCAACGGCAAGGCCTCCGCGCCCGCCGCGGTGGCGCGCAGCGCCCCGGCACCGGCTGCCGCGCCCCACCAAACGACACGCAACGAATGCACGCGTGCTGCGGCGCCGAGCCCCGCGGAGGCGCCGAACGGCGCCGTAGACGCGCTCCTGGTCGAGCTCGAGAGCGTCATCCGCGAGGAGCGCGAGCGGGCCGCGTCCCGCGGCGTCACGGCCCCTGTGGTGCAAGCGGAGCTGGCACGGCTGTCAAACGACCTGCGCGGCCTGCGCGGCGAGCTGCACGCCGGCCCGCGCGGCGCCGACGCGCGTCCGGCGGTCCCCGAGGCAGACGCGGCCCCGGCGCCGCCTCCGGCGACGCTCGCGGTGGATCAGCGAGCTGTCGCCATGCGGCAAGAGGAGGAGGCGAATCGGCTGCGGGAAGAGGCGGCGCGGCTGCACGCCGAGCTCGACCGCAGCACGGGCCGTCTGATGGACGCGGACGCGCGGGCGGCGCGGGCGCGCGAGGCGCAGGCGCGCCGCGTGGCGGAACTGGAGGCGAAAGCGGCGGCCGCGGAGGCGGCGGCGGCCGCCGCCGCCGCGAAGCAGGAGGAGAAGGAGGACGTCTGGGGCGCCTCCGCGGACATGTCGCAATCGACCTCCGGGTCGTTCTGGGTGCGCCAGGAAATCGAGGACATGCGCAGCGCAGCCGCGAGCGCCAGTGAGCAGCCGGGGGGCGCCGCGGCCGAGAGCGAGAGCGTCGTGAGCGGCACGTGGACGGGCAAGGACGTCCGCGCCGCGACGGAACCGGAAAAGGTCGCGCTCGCATCGGCCGATTTGGAGCCGCAGATTGCGGGCGACGGGCTCATGAGCTCTTTTGATGAGTTGGCGTACGAAGTCGACGAGGACACCGCGGAGATGTGGAGCAACTTCGCGGCGGACAGCGACTCCGACCAGGACGCGGGCTCCGCGGCCGCGGGCGCTGCGGGCTCCGCGGTGGAGGACCGCGTCGCGGGCAGCGGCACGCTGTTGCCGTCCGATGCTATTTCCGCGATGGCTGCGGAGTACCGCGACAACCAGCCGCTCGCGAACCACGCGTACGGCGCGGAGGCCGCGGAGTGGCGCTCCGGCGCGCCGGAACCGTCGGTGGACAGCGACAGCGACGACGACGACGACGAGGACGTGGAGGGTGCGTCCAGCGGCGCGGAGAGCGCGGCCGAGGAGCCGCACGTCGAGCCGTTCCACGAGGACCTGCACCAGATGGCGGATCTGTACGTTTTCGGCGAGGACGCGGCGACGTTCGGCGTCTCGGAGGAGTGGGAGGACAATGCGTGGGGGGACGTTGCGTGGCGGCATTCGGAGCGGTTCTGGGAGACGACTGCGGCGTACGAGGACGCGCAGCCGCTCGCGAACCACCCGGACGACGAGGCGTTCGCGGAGCGCCACCACGTGGGGGAGGCCGGGGGGGAGTCGACGTCAGCGCCGCTCCTCGACGTCAGCACGCCCGACGGGGCCGAGCTCGAGCCGGTGCTCGCCGGGGAGGGCTTCCTGATGCTTGGCGAGGATGACGCGGTCTCGCAGGGCCCGCTGACCGCGTCGCCGCCGCGCGGCGGGGGCGCGAGTGCGGAAGTATGTGCGCGTGCTGCTGCGGAGGAGGTGGGCGCGTTGGCGGCGGCCGTGGAGGCGGCGCTGGGCGCTGCGCGCGCGGAGTTGCGCGCGGCGGGCGAGGCGGACGGCGGCGACCGCGACATGGCGATCGAGCGGGCGTCGCGCGCGCTGGACCACGCCGTCGACACGGCACTGCGCGGCGTGGCGGCGGCGGGCGAGATGCGTGCGCTGCTGCGGCAGGCCGACGACGCGGCGCTGTCTGCGGAGCTCGAGGGGCTCGCGGGCGGCGCGGCCGCGCGCATGTCCGCGCAGGTGCGGGGTGCGATGTCACGCGACAGGGAGGGGGGGTCGGCTGTGCGGCTGACGGCCGCGGCGGGCGTGCTGGGCGGCGAGGGGCCGTCGCTGGCGGAGGAGGAGGCGGAGCGAGAGATGGCGGGGGCGACGGCGGAGCTCGCGGCGCTGCTGGAGCAGACCAAGTCAGGGGGGGGGTCTTCGAGCGGCACCGAGTCAATCGACGAGGTGCTGGCGAACACCGCAGCGGACCGCGCGAGCCCCGTGGTCAACATCTGGGACAGCCTGTTGCAGAAGCAGCCCGTGTTCTCGGTGCCAGCGCAGCCGTGGCGGATGCGGCCGGACGACGGCGACGTGGACCGCGGGGCGTGGCAGGGCTCGAACGGTGCGTCGAGCAACGGCACCGGCGCCTACCTCAACGGCAACGGCGCATCTCCGGGCCCCGAACGGCCCGCTGGCCAGAGCAGCAACGGCGGCGCTGGCGCGGACATTACAGAGCCGCCTGCGCTCGACACAGCTGAAGAGCCAGCAGCAGAGGAGCCGCAGCGCACAGCGCGTGCGCCGCCCCCAGACCCGTGGCTCCTGCCGCGGCCCGAGTCGCGGCGAGCGCAGGAGAGCGACGCCGACGAAGCGAGCGCCCCCAGCAACGCAGCCGACGACGTCGGCGCCCGCGAGGACACCGACGCGCAGGCGGACGCGGACGCGGACACCGCCGCCGCCCCCGCGGCACCGGCACAGGGGCAGGCTGACGTCAGCGACCCCGACAAGCTCGACTCCCCCCCCGCGCCCAAGTCGCCACGCGGGCGCCGCCCGTACGGCGCGCGCCCCTCGCAGGCCCCCGACGGCGCGCTGCCCGTCCCGCAGTCGGGCTACGTGTCCTTCGAGCTCCCGCGGCTCTCAGGCGACGACCTTGCCGCCATCTCCGACGTCGCGCCCGCGTGCAGCCTCTACACGAGCGCGGACGAGACCCTGCGCGAGTCGCTCAAGGAGCGCGAGAAGCACACGCCCGAGGTGGACCGCCTGCTCGAGCTCCGCAAGCAGGCGTGGGAGCACATCAAGGCGGCGCAGGAGCGCGCCGAGGCGAAGAAGAGGCTCGAGGCGGACGTGGCCGCGGCGGCGGCGGAGATCGCGGAGGCCGTTGAGGAGGCGAGAGAGGGTGCAGAGCCCGTCGAGGACGCGGAGGAGGCGACTGAGGCGTCGGCAGAGGCTGTGCCGGCCGTTGAGGACGCGGCGGAGGCGGTCGGGGCGACTGAAGCGTCGGCAGAGGGTATGCTGGCCGTTGAGGAGGCGGCGGAGGAGGTTGCGGAGGCGGTTGATGCCGCGGTGCCGGATGACGAGGAGAGAGCTGCGGAGGCGGAGGGGGTGTTGGCTGACGTGGGTGCGGGGGCGGGCGACTGGGACGCGTCGGGGCGCGAGGCGGACATGGAGTGGGCGGACGTCGGCGACGGCGACATCACGGATTCGGACACGTCTGGCGCCGAGGAGGCGGCCCGCGTGCGCGACATACGGTTGGGGTCGCTGGAGCGCCGCGCCGACGTGGCGGCGAAGGCGGCGGCCGCGCAGGCCGAGGTGGCGCGGGCGGCGGCGCTCGGCGCCGCGTCACAGGCCGCTGAGCCCACACCTGCGCTCGCGACCGCGCCGGTGCTTGCCGCGGACTGGCAGCTCCGCCGCGACGCGGTGCGGCGGCGCAGCGGCGGCGCGACGCGCGCCCCGGCGGACGCGGTGTGGCGGCGTGCCGCCATCGCCGCGCAGCAGCGCGGCGCTCGTCGGATTTTGCCGGGGTGGGTCGAAATTGAGGAGCCTGCCGTGTTCCGCGTGGCAGGGCCGCCCGTGCAGAAGCCGGTGAGCGCGGAACCGACCGCTTCGATCGTGCAGCGCCTGTTCCCGGACGCCGCGAAGCCGCAGGCGCGCAAGCCGCCTCCGGCTTCGGCCAGGCCGCCTGCGCCGGCCCGCGCTCAGGCTGCTGCACCGCCACCGCCGCCGCCGCCGCCGCCGCCCGTCGCCGACCCGTGGCAGGCGCCGAGGGAGGAGGCCGTGCCTGGGCAGGAGAAGGAGAAGGAGGAGGAGGCGCCCGCGCCGCCGCCGGTGCCGAGCGACTGGCGGGGGGTGTCTGCGGAGTCGTGGGGGTCTATGGACGGCGACGACGTGGCGACGGACTGGGACGGCGTTGAGGCGGGCGCGGGCCAGGCGCCGAAGCGCGTGTGGAGCGGCTGGAGCTCGCTGTGGGGGGGTCGGAAGGAAGACCCCCCCCAAGAGCAACCGCGTCAGGACTCCAAGCTCGCGTCCACGCCGGCGCGCCCGCGGGCCAGCGGTGCCGCTGCGCCCCCGAAGCCGCAGCAGCCGTACTATACGGCGCCGCAGGCCACGAACGGGACGCGGCCGCCGCCGCCGCCGCGCGCGCCAACCAACAACTCCAGCACCGCGCCGCAGCGGGAACGGCCGCAGGCGCCGCCTCGCGCCGGCGGCGGCTCGCAGCCGCGCACGGACGCACAGACGCGGCGCGCCGCGGGGCGGACGCCTGACCGCGGCGGGGGGGGTGTCATCGAGTCAGGCCTGCGCATCAGCGACGAGGTTCTCGACGCCGTGGGCAGCGAGGTCGAGCGCAGCAACAGCCGCGTCCTCGGCGGCATCTGGCAGGTCGCGCGGTCCATGTTCGACAGCCTCCGCGCCCCGGACGCCCCCCCGGAGTCCCCCGACGAGCGCCCCTCCGGTCAGCGCATCCGGTCGACCCGCAGCGCGCGCCGCCGGCCGGAGCGCGCGAAAGACGCCCCGCTGCCTATCGCGCTGCAGGGCGCCGCCGGCAGCCTCGACGAGAGCACGCAGCAGCTCGTGAACGAGGTGCTGCGCGGGGCGTTTGCCGGAATGGGTTTCGACCCTGCGCCGCCGGGCGAGGGGCGGCAGGACGCGGGCGGCCGCGACAAGTTGTCGCGGCAGGAGCGCATCGACCGCTACGAGGAGGCGGCGGACCGCCTCGAGGACGTCGTCGCGGACAAGGAGGGCGAGCTGCGGCGCATTCGCGCGGCGCTGAACGACGCAGTGGCGGAGGCGCAGGCGGACCGCGAGCAGGCCGCGGTGGCGCGGCGGGCGGTCGCGGCGGCGCGGGAGATCGCGGCGGTGCTGCAGGCGGAGATCGAGGGGCTGGAGCTCGAGGTGGTGGCGCTGCGGGAGCGAGTGAGGGAGTTGGAGGGGTTTGAGAGCGGGGGGGAGTGAAGGGGTGTTGGTGAGGCGCGGGGCTCAGAAAGCGAGCGCGCTGCGTGACGAGAGGACGAGAGCGTCAAGAACGCTGTGATCCATGAACAGAATGATTCCGAGATTATCATGATTGGGCCAGGTGGGTTCCTGGGGACAATGAGCGTACAAGGTCGCCAGCATTGCAGTGGCGCCTTGGCAGCCGGGCGCGTCGCTGCGACCGAGCCGCGCGGGTCGCGGATGAGGGCTGCTGTCCCGTGCCGCCAGGCCATCGTACCGCCAGGCCAAGGTTTCGTTGCTGTCAGTGCGCAATACGGAGCTGTTGCTTAATATCATAGAAAGAACCGCGCGAGCGACGTCTTTTTCCGGGCTCGTATTTGGTCCGACCACTGCCCGCGGGTTCTTTGCGAGGATTGTCTCACAGGTTGCCGTCCCGTAATTGGGAGCGCGTGGAGCGCACACTGCAGCTGTAGATTTGCATGGCATCCAGAGGGCTGCCAATGGCTCCCTGGCTATGTCGATGCGGACGCGTGGGAGCGCCCCTCGCGAAGGCGGCGCTGAAAGTCGGCTCCTAGCACAATCAGATTCAGCGAGCGTGGGTTGCGTGCGTGCCGGAAGAACAAACTGGCCTCCACCAAACGTACCAGCACCCTCGATGTGGGAATCGGGCGGGCGCGCGTCGGGGGCGGAGGGGAGCGAGGTGCGCGGGGGGAGGGAGCGACTTTCCGCACGGTGGACGGCACCGTTGTCGTCGTCAGTGGCCGCCAGTGTTTGTTGTCAGAGTCCTATCTACCGAAGTTCGCTATGTCTTGTTGGCCTATGGTCAGGTCGATGCAACGCGGGGCCCGGCCCGGCGTCGGCGGCAGATGCCGCCGCAGCCCGGCCGGCCGCAGTCATGGACAGAGGGGGTGTGAAACGCGAAAAACAAGAGGGGGCAGGGGGGGGTGTTGGAAATGTCGTTGCGACTGCAGCGCTTCGAGCGCCGCACCGCCTCGTTGCGCGCCGGCACCGTTGCCGACGCGCACTCCTCCTCCGCACTCACGCCGCAGCCGGCGCGGGCGCCCCGCCCTGCTGCTGCTTCGTCGCCATCTGCAGCCCAATCTCGGGCCGGTGGATGCTGAACGGCCCGATGTCGTACGTCGGCTCCTTGCCCTGCACCAGGTCCGCCATGCACCGCCCGAGCAGCGGCGCGAACTTGAAGGCGCGTCCCGAGCCGCCCGTGAACACCACGATGTCGTCGTGGCCAGGCACCTTGTCCAGGACGAATGAGCCGTCCTTGGTCATGGCGTACGGCGAGCACTTCATCTCCAGGCGCTCCTCGAACACCCCGGGCCAGTACTTCTCCAGGAAGTCGTCGATCAGCTTGGTCACGCGCGCGTCGGGCTCGTAGTTGAACTCCGCCATCGTCCGCGTGCGGAACCGCGGGTCCTCCGGCGTGAAGTCGATCCCGACCTTGATCACGGGCTCCTCAGTCTCCGCCGGGAAGCCGTAGTACAGCCCGCCGTCCCACGTACCGGGCTTTTCCTTCAGGAAGCAAAACCACTGCGGCATCTGGTCGCGGAGCTCCGGGCGCACGCGGTAGTGGCCCCAGTGCACGGACTGCACCTCCACGTCGAGCTGCACGCCGACATGCGCCAGCAGGTCGTTGACCCACGCGCCGGGCGACAGGACGAGCTTCTTGCAACGGATGAAACGGTTGCGAGACGTGGTGAGCAGGATCGACCCGGGCGCCTCCTCGTGGATGTCCTCGATGACCTCGTTCTGGTTGAGCTCCGCGCGGCCGGTCGCGGCGGCCGCGGACATGAGCGTCTCGCACGTGAGCGAGGCGTTGGCCGACCCGGCCGTGGCCTCGTACACGCCCTCCATGCCCTCCGCGGCCTTCATCGGCCACTTCGCGTTCAGCGCCGCCGCGTCGTCGTAGTACGTGTGCGGGATGCCGAGGCGCTGCATCACCTCGGCCGCGCCCGGCACCGACCCCTCCACCGTCTCGCCCGTGTCCGTCTCGCCGTAGAAGATCAGCCCGTTCTCCGAGAGCAGCTTCACGCCGTGCTCGCTCTGGATCTCGCCCCACAGCTTCAGCGCGTCCGTCTGGAGCTTCGAAAAGTAGTCGACCGAGTACATCTGACGGTACATGCGCGACGCGCCGTACGACGAGCCGCCCGCGTGCGCGACCGTGCGCGAGTCGATCACGCCGACGGTCACCGACGGGTCGTCGCGCGTCAGGTAGTACGCGCACGCCGTCCCGGCCATGCCCGCGCCGACAACAGCGACGTCGTACTCGACCGTGTTTTCCTTCATCCAGTCGGAGAAGAGAGTCCCCACGGGGACCGGGTCGTCGTTCTTCACCGCCGCCAGGCACATGCACGCCGGCTTCTGCAGCTCCTGGCTCTTCAGCATCAGCTCGCGCGCCTTGGACTTGGTCAGGTGGCGAATGTAGGCGTACACCTCGATCGGCCGCGCCTTCTGGTAGCTGACCGAGTCGTACATCTCGATCGAGTCGCACAGCACGGCGCCCGCGGAGGACACCGCTTCGGGCAGGAACTCGATGCCGCGCTCCAGGAGCCGCTCCAGGGCCGCCTCGTCGGCAAAGGGCACGTTCGAGGCGCCGCAGACGAGCTTCACGCCGTTGGCGGCGAGCTTGTCCGCGGCGTCGACGGTGATGAAGCCCGAGACGGAGCACGGCACGAACACGTCGCACTCGACGGCGGTCCAGTCCTTGTCCGAGACGTTGACGCAGCCCGGGATGTCGGCGGCCGCGGAGACGACGTCGAAGGTGTAGACGGCCTTGGCGCCCGCGTTGACGAGGGAGCGCGCGACGACGCTGCCGACCTTGCCGCAGCCCTTGACCATGAAGGTGTTGCCGCGCACCCCGCCGGGGAAAAACTCGATCGCGCCCATCACCGCGCCGAACACGCCCTGCGAGCGCACGGACGCGGCGGCCGCGGCGCGCGTCAGAGCATGACGCGCAACACACAGCGAGCCACCACGCACAGCAACCAGCAGCGTCGCTCCCTGTCGCAAACAACAACGCAACGGCAGCCGGCGCAAGCAGCCGCACGCCGTGCGCCCCGGCGGCGCCCCGCACACACGCACACGCACACACACGCACACGCACACGCACACACACGCACACACGCAAACGCACAAGCGTCCCTCACCTCGCCGGTGGCGACGTTGGAGTCCGCGGCGCAGTCGATCGAGGCGAGGACGTAGGGAGAGAGCGAGGTGAGGTACTCCATGTCCTGCTCGGACGTGTTGAGGTCGCAGCCGGTGTAGACCTTGCCGTCGAGGTCGTTCAGCGCGTCAGCGACATACTGCATAACCTCCTCCTTGTCGACGGCCGCGGGGTCGCTGGAGTTGAGCACGAGCTTCGCGCCGGAGAAGCCCGTGTTGTACACGTCGTGCTTGCCCGTCATGCCGCGCGAGAGCGCCTGCGGGGGCGGGCCGGCGCGCAGGACCCGCGTGAGGTGCCGCGCCCAGGCCAGCAGTTGGGCGGGGCGCGGAGGGCGCAGACGGTGCCGGCGATTCGATCTCGGCGTTCCCGGGTTCGCGGGGGCGCAGGCGGCCCGGCGCGGCGGTTCGGGGGCCGGCGGGCCGCGGGGCGCGCGGGCGCGCGGAAAAGGCGTGGCGCAGGCGGTCGCAGGGCCACGGGCGCGGGAGGCGCGCGCGGGGGCCCGTGCGCTCTCGGACGCGGCGCGCTGGGGGTGGCATGCGGCGTGCTGCGCGTTGTTTCGCGGGGAACTGCGATGCGGCGTCGCGGCGCGCACCTCGCACTCCTTGCGCGCAGCCTCGTCATTCTTGTAGGACCAGAGGCGCAGGCCGCCGTTGCCGGGGCACTCGCGGGAGAGGTGGCCGTCGTGGCCGACCATGAGGGTGCCTGCGTGCGCGGGGCGGGGCGGCGGGGGCGGCGGCGTTCGGCGGGTGGGTGGCGCTCGGAAGCACTGGTGGGCGGTGTGTGGGGCAAATGCGGGCGCGCGCGGCGTCGAGAGCGGTCGAGGGAGGCGCGAGGGAGGGGGGGAGGGGATGTGGAGGCGGGGCGGAGGGGGGAGGGGGCGCGGCGGAGCGTCGCGGGGGCCGTAGCGGCGCGAGATGGTGGGGGTGAAGGACACGAGGCACGGAGCGAATCCGGCCGGGTTTCCGAGGATCGTGCGCGGGAGGTCGTGAGGCGAAGGGATGGGGGGATGATCGCGCGGGGACGGCGTGCTTGCGCGCGCAGACGAGCGCGGCCGCGGTGCACGCGAGTGCGAGCGGGCGGAGCGGGCTTGCGGCGACGCCCGGCGTCGATGTCGCGCGAAAACCGACGGGGAGTAAAGTTCGAAGTATCGTGGACCCCCGGCGATGCGCGTCGAGGCACCATTGTGGGTGTGCGCGGCGCGGCCGTCGCAACCTGCTGGCAAGCCAGGGCAACCGACAGTGCTGCGCGCTGCCAGCCGGATATGGGCGCGCGTCGGCGCGCAGGCCCGCGAGAGCGCAAACTTGCTCGACGAGCCGCGATGCGGGAGGCGATCGCGGGCGCCTCTATAAGAGATTCAGGCCGGCCAAAGGGTGCTTTTCCGCTCGGCCCCGCCGGGCTCCACAGGCGGCGCGAAACCGGCCGAGACCACCACAAGCGGTTTCCAGGATCGCACGGCGCGAATCGGCGGCGCCCTGCGCCCGCGTTGGACGACACCAGCGCCGGCAGGCGGTCACGCGCTTCGAGGAGTCGACCTCGCGCACCTGCAGGCGTGTCGAACTGCAGGACCTTCGCGCCATCCTTGGGCCCCTGCCCCGGCACCGACACCGCGTTCACGCGCGTTTTCCTCTGCTGCGGCTGCCGCACTTCGAGCCGCTTCGCCCTCCCACCCAGCTTGCCCACCATCTGGCAGCGCATGATGACAAATTACGAGTGAGCGGCCCGAAAGTCACGACAGGCGGTGCTGCGAGTACAGACCGACGCCCTCGCGGCCGCCACTTGAGCCCTGCCCCCGCAGCAACGCCGCCACGGACCCTCGCTTATACTGCAGCAACCATCGTGGCACCCGCCCGACCACTGGATTCCGCTCCAGCCGACGCAATCGCGCGCAGCCCGCCTCCGCCGCGCCAGCAGTCGTGGGCGCGGCGGCTCCAGGGCGCGCACCGCGCATCGACGGATATCCGGGCGAGCAAGCAGTTGCTGTTGCCAGGGCGCAGCGCTCGCGGCGCCCCTGCGCGCTCGCGGGCCGGTGGACGGGCGCGCGTGGCCGCGCAGGCCGTGCACGTGCGCGCGGGCTCCCGGCGGGCCGCGACGTGCCGGCCGCGCGCGCGCACAGGCTCCGCGCGCCCTGCCGACTGGAACCAGTGCAATCGCACTCGGCTGCGCACGAGTGCGAGTGATTACTCAAGCCTGGGGGCCTCTGGGAGGCAGCGCGCCGCGGGCAGGGCGCGCCGGGGCCGAAGGCCGCGGCCCACGGCAGCGCAGGCGCATTTCTGGCCCGAACAGTCCGTCTCGGACTCACAACGACGTATAACGCGCGTGTACGGTGCGTCTCGGCACCAGCACTGCTCCCAAGCGGCGTGTCCGCTGCGCCTCTCCCCAAGGCGCCGGCCTGCCGCAGCAGCCTAGTCTCCGGAGAGCTCCCTGCGATCCCCCGGCGTCTCGCCCGCGTCGCACCGTCTCAGGCACCGCGCAGCGCGCGACGCCTGCTGGCCGCGCACGACGCGTGGCGCACGCGCCCGCTCCGTGCCCGTCCGGGGCACGGCCGGCTGGCCCCACGCAGCCGCGACCTCGCCCTCCCGGCGCGGCGTCCTCGCGGCGCCTTCTGCGGCCCCCGCGCCCCACCGGAGGGAAGCCCCCCCCTGGTGAGAAAGAGCACGAGCAGCGGCGGGGGACGTGGACGCGTCGGCGCGTCGCAGCGCCGCGAGCATGGGGGGCCTCATAGCGGACCGGGACGAGGTGGAGGCGTACGCGGCGGCGCCGCAGGGGGCGCGGAGGCTGACGCCCGCCCTCGTGGGCGTGCTGGCGGAGGTGGCGACTACGGGCCTGATCCGATACCCGTGGAGGTGCGTGCGGCCGATACTTGAGGATATGATCATCAAGCGGTTGACGGAGTTCGAGGAGGGCGAGACCATTGAGGTGAGAGGGCCGACACGCGCTGTTGCCTCCCTCCGGGTGCGAACGCCGCGAGCACGGCGCGTGCGTGGGGCAGCACGCGTCGACGCGGCGCGCAGCTCGTCGCATACCGCGCATGCGTGCGGGTCCGGGCCAGACGGGCCGGCGAAACCCGTCGTGCACGGCCCACGGGCCCGTCGCACGTCGTGTGCTCACGGGCCGCTCCTGGCCGGCCGCGTGCTCTGCACGCCGCGAAAACAGCCCCGCGTGCTTGCTCCGCGAACCAGCTACGCGCATGTGTGGTCCGCCCGGACACACGCGCCCGCTCGGCGGCGCCACGGGCAGGCCTGGGTTGCCTCTCCCGCTGCGATGCGACTCCCGACCCCGCGCCCGCTCCCGCGCGCCCGTCCCGCGCAGGTCGGCCCGCCGCGGCCGATACCGGACGAGTTCCGGGCGGGCCCGGCCTCGAAACGCATCATTCAGGCCCTGCGGGCCTTCGAGAAGGACGCACCCTTCACGCTGCAGCGACTCTGCGAAGTGGCGGTGGAGCCTGGGCGGCAGTACGCGCGGCTCGAGAAGCTGGTGCGCGCAGCACGCTCCCGGAGAAGCCCCTGCGCGCGCAGCCGGCCCGCGCCCACGCCCGGCACCCCCCGCCCGGCGGGGCTCCTGCACACGCTGAGACGATCGGCTGCTGCTGTGTGCGTTCGCAGCGGCTAATGCCGCGTTCCGTGCGCGGCGTTTCGCAGGCCTTCGCGCTGGAGAAGCTGACGTGGGTGACGTCGGGCACCCCGCACGAACAGCGACCGCCCCCCCGCCCCGCATTGGCGGCGCTAGGCAAGGTGAATGTGCTGCCCAGGCCGCCACTGGGGGCGCGGAGCACGCCGCCCGCGGCGTTTCCGGGGCAGCAGGGGCACGGGGCGCAGCAGGCCGAGGACCAGAACGGCGGGGGGGAGTCGGCGCACCAGGGACAGTCGTCACAACAACACTCCCCCCCCTCGGGGCCAGGCGGGCCGCTCCCGCAGCAGCCGCAGCAGACCGGACAGTCGCACCAGCGCGCCCGCGCGTGGCCGGGCGCGAACGAGCGCCAGATGGGCTCGCTCGGACTCGCCGGCGTGTCCCTACGCTCCCCCGCATGCCCGCTGCCCTCGGATCCCGGCGCGATGCGGGAGCGGCCCGCGTCCCCGCCGCCCGCAGGACCGCGGTCCCCGCCGAACGGCACGCACAGGTGCGCGAGCGCACGCACGCAGGCTCACGCGCCAAACGGCCCGGGCGGGGCGCGAGCCTCAATCGCCCGCGGCCGCTCTGCACGCCCCCCGCCACAGCAGCACGCCCATGCACGTGCCGGCCCCGCGTCGTGGTTGCCGGAGCCCGCAGTCTGCAATGATCGTTTCCCGACTCGTTGTCGCGAGATGTGTGTTTGTGTTTGTGCTATGCAGGTCGCCACAAGCTCCGAACGGCACCGCGCACGCCGGGCAGGACGCGGGCGGGCAGCGCGCGGCCACCGCGCAGCGCACGCTCAGCCCGCGCCCCGGAAGCCCCGTCGCGTCCCCGCCCGGGTCGCCAGTCCCCTCCTCCGCCACTCCCCCGGCCCGCCGTCGCCCGGACGCGGCCCGGGGCCGTGGCAGGCCGACGACCTGATCGATATGGGCCTGCCACAGAAGAAGCGCGCCCGTCTCGGGTCCAGCCCTTGACGCCGGTAGGCGGGTGCCTGGCACTAATTGTTGCCAGTGCCTCGCGGGTCGTCCTGGGACCGGATGTGCGTTGCGGCGCCCTCTTCACGAGACGACAGACATCTTTGTGACGCACAGGCCGAGCGAGGAGCACGCGGTGGTCTCAGTAGTGTCTGGTGGCCTCGAGAGTCACTTCAAGCTGGAACTGTCCCAGGTGACTTGATAAACAAGGACTAAAAAACGGTCAACCAGCACGTCTACGAGGCCTCGCACGCAAGGCGTGTCGCCGCTCACCGCGGGAAGCAACACGCGAGCGGCAGGAGGGGGGCGATTCCGGACGCCCCCCCGTCGTTTTCAGTTCGTGGCTCGTGGGGGTGCATGGTCCAGCCCCCGAGCTTGACAAACACCGTTCTACACACAAAGTAGTTGACCACCCGCGCACGCTGAGATGTCATACGAGCCGCTCGCGAAGACGTCACTCGTCGTGCTGCGAATGCCAACTGACGGAGTCACAGGGCAGATAGGACATCGCATCGTAAGATAGGATATTGTATGCTCCGCGCCGCCTCATAGCGTCGACATGTGCGAGGGCGACGACACCCCCACGGACTCCATCAGCTCCGTCAGCACCCGCGGCGACCCCGTCCCGAAGTGCGCGCGGGGGGGTGTCCGACCGGGGGCCTGAGTCCCCCCGCGCTGCGGCACGAACCCGTGCTTGCTCAGCGGCGGCGCCGTGCGGAGCAGCTCGTCCGGAATCGTCGGCCCGCGGCTCGCCTGCGCCCGCCCCGTCCCGAGCAGCAGCCCCCGCCCCAGTGGACTGCTCGCGTCGCGTCGTTTCAGCAGGGACTCCGGCAACACGTCGTCGCGGTCCGCGCCGCCGTACACCGGCGGCGGCGGGCTCTCCGGCGCGCGCTTCGCGAGCCGCAGCGTCCCGATGCCCATCGCCCCCCCGAACCCCCGCGCCGGCGAGAAGAGCGTCTCCGCAGCCGCTGTCGCCGCGGCTGGTCCATCCTTCGCGGCTCGGAGCCCCGCCGGAGGCGCGCCGACGCCAGGGAGCCCCCTGCGCGGCGACGAAGGGCCGCTCGCTTCGCCTCCGAGGCCAGCCGCGACCCCCGGCGACACGTGGTGGGCCTGGGATCCAATCCAGCGCCCCGTCGGGTGGGGATGGTGGCCCGGGGACCGCATCGGCGACCCCCCCCCGCCCAGCATCGACTTCCCCGTGCGCGGCGCGATCGCCGGGAGCCGCGGCGACGCGTGGCCGGTGTCGCCGTCGAGCAGCGCGGCCATCCGCGTCGGAGACATGTTGCGTCTGTCAGGACTGGCGTTGCGCTGCGGCGAGGGCGTGCGCTCCGCCCGCGCCTTCGCGGTCGTGGGCAGCGTGTACCCGTGGCCGTCGCCCCCCGTGATCGTGTGCACCGCGCGCTTGTTCAGCGGGTTCGCTGCGTCCAGCAGCGGGTGGCCGGCCTGGAGCTCGTACGTGGCGTGCCCCTCCTCCGTCACCGTGATCAGCGTGTCCATGATCAGGCCGCACCGGTCCATCAGGAAGCTGCGCTTCTCCATCGCGGCGGTCCGCAGCGCCTGCATCGCGCGCGAGTCCTCCCGCACCGCGTCCAGGAAGTCGGACAGCTGGATGCAGTGCATCACCGTCTCCTCGATGGCGACGTACGACAGGTGGCGCAGGTCCAGCGTGCGGTCGTCCTCCTCCTCCTTCTGCTGCTTCTTTATCCGCTTCTGCGTCTCCGCGATCACCGTTTCCATCTCCCCGAACCACTGCCCCGTAGAAATCACCGCGAGCTCGGCGCCCGTGTGCGCCAGCAGCGTCTGCGTGCGCCGCTGCCGCGCCGCCTTCTGCCGCAGCGCCTCCGCCACCGCCGCCGCGGGCTTCGACCCGCCCACGCTCACCGCGTGCGCCGCCTGGGCGTTGTTGTGCGCCGCCTGCAACGACGCCCGCTTCTTCCCGCGGCCCCTGGTGGTCGCGACCGCTGACGCCATGGAGGCGAAGCCCGCGGTGCCGAGCTTGTACCGCACCGACACGGTGCCCTTCGAGATGAAGTACAGCGTCTCGTTGCCAGGCAGCTGCCCCGGCGCGATCACGTCGCGGCCCCGCGCCACCGTCAGCTCCGTGAACGCCTGCGCGAGCGCCGACAGCCGCACGGGGTCCCACGCGGACAGCCCGGGAATCTTCCGCAGGTACGCGCTCTGCGAGACGCGCTCCTCGGCCTCCACCCGGAACATCAGGCTCTCAAACGCCGTGCGCGGCACCATGACCAGCTCCGCCGGGTCCTGCACGATCACCGTCGAGAGCCGCTTGCACTGCTGCTTGCTCAGCGCCATCTCCCCGAACGACTGCCCGACCCCGCGCAGGTCCGCCGCGGCGCCGTACTGTCCGTAAATGTCCTTTTCCCACGCCTTATTGAAGTGCATGTTGCTGGCCTTGACGTGCACGGAGACCAGCCCGGACAGCACGATGTAGTACGCGTCCGCGACGTCGCCCTGCCGGTAGATCACCTCGTCGGCCCCGCGGCGCAGCAGGCGCATGTTCTGGCAGATGCCTACATGGATGCGCGGGTCGAATCGCGCGAGCAGGCCGCTCCGGTCGAGCAGCTCCGCGACGCGCTCGTTGTCCGCGGGCGTGCGCTGCGTCGGGTGCGTGCGCAGCGCCTTGCGGACCTCCGGCGCGTGCAGGATCGGCTTCTGTTCCAGGAGAAACAACGACATAAACATGTCCCGCGGGACGACGATCGCGCGCGTCTTCTGCTCCGCGATCGCCGACGCGGACCGCGGCTGGCTCTGCTTGAGCAGCCCGTGCTGCCCGCACGCGTCCCCGGGCCCGATCGAGTCCACCGCGTCGCCCATGACGTCGGCGTCGTCCTCCAGCAGGAAACGCCGGACGCGCACGCGCGGCTCGCCGTACAGCGACGTGTCCTCCGCGCCGTCCGCGGTCGCCAGCATCGCGTCCACCTCGTCCGCGACCTTCGACCGCGCCGCGCCCCGCGGCGTCCCCTCCACGCCAGACCCCCGGGGGTCTGATCCCGTCATGCTCGTGCGCGACCCCGTGCCCTTGAGGTGCGTCCGCGACGCCCGCCGCGACGGCGTCGTCCTCCCTTCGTTCGTGTTCGTCCGCGAGTACGACCGCGCCGGCTTCTCCGGCCCGATCCTGGCCGCCCCCGCCGCCGCCTCCACGTGGCTGCCCTGCGCGCCCTCGCCGCCGTCGCCGCTCCCGGCCTCCTTCTGCGCGGCCGGGACGTGCTCCTCGTGCTCGCCTACCACGGAGAGCACCGTGCCGATGCGGTCGTCGAGCGGCGTGCCAGACCCCTTGCCCTCCGGCGAAGCTCCGCGCATGCTGAGCACGGCGCCGGCCAGCGCACTCTGCCCGGTCGTCCCGGACGTGATGCTGGCCATGAGCGCCTTGACGACGTCCGGCTGCGCGCCGGAGGTCGAGAAGGACCCCGTGCGGCTCCGCTGGATAGCCGCGCGCCCAGGATCCCCGTGAGATATGCCAAACTGGTCTACCACGTCGTTCTTCTCTCGAACGACCTCCATGACCTTGGCGTACGCGTCCTCGGGCGACGCGGGCGAGTCCTGGATCATGATCGAGACCGAGCCCTGGAGGATGATGAACATGCACGGCTGCTGCTCGCCCTGTACGAACAGCAGCTCGTTGGCGTCGTACTCCTCCGTGTGCAGCAGCGTCGCGAGCTCGTCCATGTACTGGTGCGGCAGGCGCTCGAGGACGCGGTGCCGGCGGATCAGATCCGCCAGGAGCGCGGAGTCCTCGCGCGAGCGCACCACCGGGTGCGTCGACGCCAGCCGCGCGACCTCGCTGGCAAGCATGATGTAATTGCTGGCCTTGCCGAGGGTGTGGGAGATCTCCGACGCGGGCAGGAGGAGGAGCTCCGAGCCCGGCTGCGCGACGACGGAGTACTGCGACTCCGCGCCGCGCAGGAAGTTCCACTCCCCGAACGACCACGGCGCGCCCAGCGTCATGACGCACGGGCCCAGGCGGTCCTCCGCCTCGACGACGCGCGAGCGCTGCGACACGGGCGAGGGGCGGGGGAGTGAGCGCGGGCCGTGCGGGGTGCGGGCGACCGGGCGCGCGGCGCGGGGGCGGCGGGGCGCGCACGTTTGGTTGTTGCTTGGTGGCGTCGTCGTCGGGCGCCGCGAGGCGCTTCGAGGCGGCCTCGCACGCGGCGAGGCGCTGCGTGAGCGAGACGGGCGCGTTCTTCTTGTGGAAGGTCACGGAGCCGCGCAGGATGAGGTAGATCCCGCGCACTTGCCGCCCTTCTTCCATGATCAACTTCGAGTTGTTTGTCTTCTGGTAGGTCGCGACGCGGCACAGGTCCATCCCCTGGCCGATCGGGAGGTCCGATATCATCGCCTGCTTCGCGACGAGCGCGTAGATCTCGCGCGCGACCGCCGCGGACCGCACGCGCGCGTGCGACTGCAGGCCCTGGTCCAGCTTCCGCAGCTTGAGGCTCAGGAGGTCCGCCGCGCCGGGGCCGACCGCGCCGCTCGTGCCGCGACGCAGCAGATCGATCACGCGGTGCACGACGTTGATGAACCGCTGCGCAGCGCGCCCAGGCTCGCGCTCGTCCTCGTCGTCCTCGCCCTTCGACTCCTCCCCCATCACGTGCGACTCCCTCGCGGTCCTCCGCGCCACGCGCGTCAAGGACGACACGCCGGTCTGCGGGCACCGGGCGCGGCAGCGGTTGTGCGTCGCGGCGGACAGCATGTGCGTTCAACGCCGGAGCGCCGCGGCGGTGGACGCCGGCGCGGGTTGCAGGGACTGCGAGCGGCGGGCGGTGGCGGAGGAGGCGCGCGCGGCGATGGGGAGCGCGTTGCGGCGCCGCAGGCGCGCGACCGAAGTCGCGCCGCGCGGCAGGAGGGTCGTGGCGACGCACCGCGCAGGCCATATGGGCGCCGCGGTCCTCGGCTTGCATTTCGCTTCGGAGGAGAAGGTCCACGAGCCGCTCGTGGCTCTCCTCGTTCAGGTACTCGGGCGGTGCGAGGGTCCCTTGGATGCAGCAGTCCAGCACCAGCGATGGTTTGTCCGTAACGATCTCGTCCGTGTACGAAATCACCGGAGAAGCGGCCGTGGTGGCTCTGCGGAAGCACCGCGGCGCCGGGGCGGGGCGGTTGCGGCGGGAACGGGCGCGGACAGGCCGCGCCGCTGGGCGGCAGGTGGGGCTGCTGGGAGGCATGCAGGCGGGCTGGAGGCGGCGCGATGGCCCGAGCGGGGAAGAGAGCCCGCGCGGGGAAATATTGGTATGTTGCGGCGACGGCATGCGAAGTCGAGACGTGCGTGCGCCCGCTGTGGACGCGCAGAGCACGTACAGGGGTTGTAGAAGCGCGATGGGATATATAATCGCCAGGGGCGGCGCGTAAGGCTATCAACCCCGCATATTAGCGGCCATACGGGGGGAATTACTGATAAAGAAAGGCGTGGTCTGGTTTTTGCGGCGCGTCGCGGCCGGCGGGGCGGCGCAGGCGCGCGGGAGTGCTGCAGGTTGTGCGGGGTCGTGCGGCCGGGGAACGTACGCGTTCATGTGGAGCTTCGAGGGGGACCTGAAGCTGGAACGCTTCGAGGCGCGCTGCGCCTGAACGGCCCCGGAGGAGATGGCAGCGTCGACCAGGTCGGCCATTCCACTAGATTGCTTCTTGGGCACCGGAGACGACCGGCTGGGGCTGCCATGCTCCGTGGCGCTGCCGGGCTTCGGGGACGTCATTCTGCTAACTCGTAGCCGGCGCCAGCTGGGGCGACGTCGCCCGCTGCGACCCTGAAAAGGCCGCGAAAGAGCCTGCCGCTACCTTCGGGGTCCGGCCTGGGCCTGTGACCCGCGTATCCGCCGTTCTTTCAAGACTTGAAGCAAGGGGAGATCGTAACCGGCACGAACGGCGCAGGATGCGCGTCGTAGGTCGCCGCAGCCGCTCCAACGCTCTTGAAGCCAGCGCAACCAGCTTGCTGCGCGCGCGCACGCAATCTGGCCAGGCTACGGCCTCCCTGGCACAGTCGCATGCAACTGGCGCGAGCCTCGAGCAGGGCGCGCACGAGTTCCCGCGTCAGGCGCCTCCAGTCCGACCCAGCGGCGCACAACCCCCCCAACATTTGTTCTTCCGCGGCGCCCGCGGCCGGCGCTGATCGGGCCGGCGCAGCGCGCGGCCGAGCAGACCGTGCGTACCTCGTGCGGCTTCTCGTGCACCGGCCGCCTGCAGATCACCGCCTCAGGCCCCTGGCGCGCCCAGACTCCAAGCAGCGGCCTTTGTGCGGGCGCCCCGCGCGCTGTGCCACGTCAGCGAAGCTGGATGCATCGCTGCCAGGTCGGGCACGATTCGAAGAAACACGGCAGGAGCTGAGGCTGCTCGCGGAGGGGTTTTGGGATCGTTGTCAGCATGGGCAGGTCTGGAGGTGGCCGTGGTGGGCCCGGGGGGGGGTTTGGGGGCCGTCTGCGGCCGGGGGAGCGACCCGTGACTGAAGAGGCGCGTCTGGACATCGCGAGGATCCTCAGCGACTTCCAGGCACGCCCGCAACGCGCTGCGCACGGTGCTGGTCTTGCACAGGCTCCCGCGGGGGGCCGCTCACGCCCACACCTGCCACGTGCGGCCCCGGTCACGCGTCTCCGCCGCATGGACATGCCCCTCCGCGGCAGTCCGTTCGTTGGCACGGCCCATGCTGCCTGGAATCGCCAGCGGTGTAATGCGCACTTCAAGCCCCACCGCGCTCGCGTGCCCGCGCCCCGCGCGCGCAGGCCGGCGACGAGGAATCCTACACCTTTCCCCCATCGCTCAGCAACCACGAGCGTGCCGTGATCCACGCGGAGTGCAAGAAATACGGGTTTGTTTCACGAAGCCATGGCAAGGGCGAAAATCGCCGCCTGACCGTCAGCAAGCCCGACGAAAACGCCGAGGAGGTGTCCTACGCCCTCCTCTTCGGCGATCCGTCCCGCAACGCCCTCCTCTCGCACGCCGCGCAGTGCCCGCCCACCCGCGCAGAGCAACACGCTATCTCAGCTGCGTTCACCGACGCCGCACGCGGCCCCACTGGCGCCCCGGCAGGTCCGCACGCCCACTCCCGTCGCCCCGCGCGCACCCGCCTCTCGCTCGCCGACTCGAGGCCTTCCGGCGCAACGCCAGATACCAAAACAAGTCTCCCGTCGCCTCGCTCCGCCCCTCGCAGCCGCCGGCGGGCGCGCGCCGGACGGCGAAGCCGGCGCGCCGCCTGCGAAGCGCCGGCCGCGCGACGGCGGACGGCGCCCCGCGTGGGCCCTGTCGCCCGACGACATCGCCCAACGGCACGCGGCATGGCAAGCGCGAGTGTCCCCCGGCGGGCCCGCGGCGCAGTTCCCGGGCATCCGCGGGCGGCTGCCGATCGCCGAGCACCGCGAGGCGATCCTGCATGCGGTGCGGTCGCGGCAGGCGCTCCTGATCGCCGGTGAGACAGGCTGCGGTAAAACAACTCAGGTTCCGCAATACATCCTGGAGGACTGTTGGGCGCGCGGGGAGCCGTGCAGGGTGCTGTGCACGCAGCCGCGGCGGATCTCGGCGGTGTCGGTGTCGGACCGGGTGGCCCAGGAGCGGGGGGAGTCTCTGGGGGGGGATGTGGGTTATACCATTCGGTTTGAGAGCTGCGGGGGGGACCATTCGAGCCTGATGTTCTGCACGAACGGCGTGGTGCTGCGGATGGTGACGCAGGGCGACGGGCTCGCGGGCGTCACGCACATCGTGGTCGACGAGATCCATGGTAGGCCAACTCGCGCCCGTTTTGCAACGCACAGCTTGCACAGCACACAACGACCTCACCGGCGCCGACCGCGCCGTTCTGAACGGTTTCCGCGCGCTTTTTCGTTGCCCCTGGTGACGTTGATTGCGCGGACGAGTCGGGATCCGCAGCGGCGGCCTGCGCGGATCGATTCTTGCACGTTGACGCCGAACGGCGCCCTGCGGCGCGCGCGACGACTCACGACCACGCCGCGCGTTCGATCGTTCGTCCGCTGCGTCGCAGAGCGCGACAGGTTCGCGGACTTCCTCCTCGTGCTCCTCCGCGACCTCCTCCCGTCCCACCCGCACCTCAAGCTCGTGCTTATGTCGGCCACGCTCCACGTCGACTTGTTTTGCTCCTACTTCGGGGGCCCAGACGCGTGCCCCGTCGTCCGCGTCCCGGGCTTCACGCACCCCGTGGTGGACTTCTACCTCGAGGACGTCCTGAAGCTCACGGACTACGCCACGCGCGTCGGGGCGACCGAGAACGAGATGCGCGCCGCCGTTGCGTCCCTGCACGGTGCCGGGGGACTCGGGGGCGGGAAGCAGTCCGCCACGGTGGGCGTGAGCGCTGAGGACGCGCAGCAGGTCGAGGACGCGCTGTACGCCGCGTTCATGGGCGGGAGCGACGAGGATTTCGAGGTGTTGTTGGAGGCGACGGGCGCGGCGGCGCTCGGGGACGCAGCGAACGAGAACGCGCTGATCAACCACCAGCACCCGCAGACGGGCGCGACGGCGCTGATGGTCGCGGCCGGGAAGGGCAGGCTGGACATCGTGCAGGCGCTGCTGGCCAACGGCGCCAGCGCGACTGTCGCCAGCAGGAACGGCATGACGGCCGTGCAGTGGGCGGAGCAGTTCGGGCACGCGGAGTGCGCGCAGTGCATCAGAACGCACCTGCAGCACGCCGCGCAGTTCGAGGAGGAGGTGCGGCGCAACGGCGCCCCGAAACACGCACACACGTCGTGTTGCTGTTCCTATTGTTGTCGCGCTTGTGGCTGTTGGGCCGTTCTCGTTGCGCTCGCGCGCAGGGCCGACGCCGCGCACGTGTCCTGCGCGCCTGCAGGCGGGCGACGCGATCGCCGTGTCGCACTACTTGATGACAAAGGACACGGACGAAGTGGATACGGATCTGATTGTACAGCTCATCGAATATATCTGCCACGGCGCGGAGGGCGGCGCCGCGATCATCGACGGCGCGATCCTCGTCTTCGTTCCCGGATGGGACGAGATCCTGCGCCTCAAGGACGCGATCGAGGCGCGGCCTTCCCTGCAGCGCCACCGCCTGGCCGTGCTGCCGCTGCACTCGATGATTCCGCCGGCGGACCAGCGCAAGGTCTTCCTGCGGCCGCCCGCGGGCTGCTCGCGCAAGGTCGTGCTCGCGACGAACATTGCGGAGACGGCGGTGACGATCGACGACATTACGTGTGTTATCAACTCCGGACGGATGAAGGAGAAGTCGTACGACGCGTACACGGGCGTCTCGACGCTGCAGGCGACGTGGGTGAGCAAGGCGTCGGAGAAGCAGCGCCGGGGCCGCGCTGGGCGGTGTCAGCCGGGGGTGTGTTTCCATTTATACTCCCGGCAACGCAGCTCCGCGCTGGTGGACTTCCAGGTCCCCGAAATCAAGCGGTGCCCGCTCGACGAGCTCTGCCTCCAGGTCCGTGGCCGCCGCGCGCGACGACACGCGCCGACACGCGCCAACGCCTCTTGTTCCACCGAGCAGCAAAGCCACCATCGCATGTCCGCCACGCCGCTGCCGAGCACCGCGCACCCTCGCGCTGACTCGCAGACGAAGCTCCTCGACGGCGCGTACAAGGTCGGCCCCGTCGCGGCGTTCCTCGGCAAGATGGCGGAGCCGCCGCTGCGCCAGGCCGTCGACGCTGCCCTGGCGCTACTGGTCGACATCGGCGCGATGGACGCGGCCGAGAACCTGACGCTCCTCGGCCGCCACCTCGCGCACCTCCCGCTCGCGCCGCGCATCGGCAAACTCGTGCTGTACGGCGTACTTTTCGGCGTCCTCGATCCGATCCTAACAGTAGCATGTGCGTCGGCGTACCGCGACCCGTTCGTGGTGCCGATCGACGCGCAGCTGCGGCGGCAGGCGACGGCCGCGCGGCACCGCTTCGCAGACCAGGGCGGCGGCGCGGCGGACCACATGACGCTCGTCGCGGCCTTCCGCGGATGGCGCGCCGCACGGAGCGAGGGTTGGGAGCGCGCGTTCTGCGCGCAGAGCTTCCTGAGCCAGGCCACGATGAACATGATCGACGGCATGCGGCAGCAGCTCATCGGGGAGCTCCGGAACCGCGGCCTCGCGGCGTCTCTCGGGGCTGCCAGTGCCGCCGCGGAGGACAGAGGACTTGTGCGCGCCGTGCTGGCGTGCGGGATGTATCCGCAGGTCGGGCGGCTCCACGAGCACGACCCGAAGACGATGGGCGGCTCGGCGAGCCGGTTCGCGCAGGTCGTGGCGCGGAACAACAAGCGCGTGCGCGTCCATCAGAGTAGCGTCAACGCCACGCTCGCGCCGCCCGGGGAGGTCGCGAGCGGGCTGCGGCTGCCGTCGCTCGTGGCCTACGAAGACATCACGCGCGGCGAGGCCGCGATGTACATCCGGAGGTAGGCCAGGCCGCCCTTGCGGCGCGTTTCGTGCTTTGTGCAACGTGCAGTCAAGGATTGGTGTTTGTTTTTTGTTCGTTATTGGTTGATGGTTTGACGTGTGCGCGCCCGTCCTGTGCGGCCGCGCAGCTGCACCGCGGTGCTACCGCACCCCATGCCGCTGGTCGCGCAGCACGTGCGCATCGAGGAGCCCGACCTGTCGGTCATGGACGCTCCCGAAAGGGGGGGGGACAATAACGGCGGCGACGACGGCGCGCACCTCGTCGTGGACAACTGGCTGCGCTTCGTGATGGAGCCGAGCCTCGTGCGTCCGCTGCTGCTCGTTCGGCACCGCCTCGCGGCCGCCTTCGGCCACCGCGTCTCGCAACCACACGCGCCGCTCCCAGAGCAGCTCGCCAGCGCCGTCGCGGCCGTGCGGACGGTCCTCTCCGCCGAGGCCGGCCACGACTTCATGGAGGACGCGCGCACGGCGCTGCGCGCGTTCGGGCGCCGCGGCGGCCGCGGGGGGGGTCTGCCAGGTCAGGGCGGGTTCCGGGGCCGCGGCGGGCGGGGGGGGTTCGACGGACGCTTCGGCGGGCGCGGGCGAGGCGGCCGGAGCGGGCGGTTCTCGCCAGGGCCGACGGAAACGGTGTTCGTCGAGCCGGTGTTCGGTGGTCGCGGGCGTGGCGGCGGAAGGGGCAGGGGGGGGCGTGATGGCGGGGGAGGGGGGCGGCGGGGGCGGCGGGGCGGAGGGCGGCATCGGCGCTTTGAGGACTGAGACGTGCGGCGGCCAGGACCGGCGTGTAACGTGTCGGACGGGGCGTATTGTTCTGAGTGCGACCGAGGTGGCTTGGGGGCCGGGCTGGGCGCGACGGGGGGAATTGGGGGCGCGTTGCGCTGCTCGCGTGTAGGTCGTGCCGGCTTGGGTGCGGAGCAGCGGTGGTTTTGCGATACGAGCGAGGAGACGAGGGGAGTAGCCGTGGGCACTGTGCTGAGCGTCGACTGCGCCGTGCTCCGTGATTCGACGCGGTTGTATGGCGTGAGCGCCACCGTGGGCTTCTGAGATCCGAAGAGATTTCCCATGGCTGAGTAGGCAACGAGTGGTCGTACGAGTGCGACGTTTGGCGCGTCGTCATATACGGCAGGATGGCGGCAACGATTGCGCCCAGCGAAGGGGCGCCGAGCGTGGTCTCCAGGCACGAGAACATCGACAAGCCCGAGGTCGACAAGAAACTGTACAGGTGCGGATCACGTCGCCGCGCAGCTGGCCGGCGCCCGCGCACGACGACTTCCAGTGCAGTGAAGTCGAAGGATTGCGGCGTCATGAACGCATGCCCCGCAAATCAAAGCACTGCAGCTCGCCAGAGTCAATCGCTAGAAGGATGCGGGCACCGCAAGCGTCGTTCTACGCGGCTGCCGCAGCAGCGACGGCCTGCTCTGCCGAGTAGCGCCCGCAGGTACCTTGAGCTGTCGAATGGGATGCGCGTGCTGCTGGTGCACGACCCGGAGATGGAGGTCGGGTCACACTACGCGAGCAACGCTGAAGACGGCGACGCTGAGGCCGGAGACGAGGGAGACGGCAAGGCAGAAGTGCATCAGAAGCTTGCCGCCGCCGCGGCCTTGGTTGGCGTCGGCTGGTTCAGCGGTGAGCCCCCCCGACACTTCGTAGTTGAGAGCTGCGCCGGCCGTGCCGCACCGCGTGCGCGGCGCTGCCTATGCTGACTTGCACGAGATAGTGTCTTTCTACGTGATGTGCGCGCAGACCCCCTGGACATGCCCGGGCTGTCGCACTACCTCGAGCACATGCTCTTCATGGGAAGCGCGAAGTATCCGGACGAGGCGGAGTACTCGGACTTCGTCCAGCGACACGGGGGCCACACCAACGCGTACACGTGTGGCGACCACACGTGCTACTACTTCGACATACAGGTGCGAAACCGACTCATGCCCAGAGAGAGGCCCGCTCCGCCTGGCCGACACTGTGCCAACATCAAAAGAAAAGAAACCCGACAGATCGCACAGGTCATATATTTTTATTACTATCACTTTATTTTCCCGTCATGGGTATTCGTGCAGCCGTCCAAGTTCCGCGAAGCGCTGGACAGGTTCGCGCAGTTCTTCACGCACCCGCTCCTGCGCGAGGACTGCCTCGAGCGCGAGGTCACCGCGGTCGACAACGAGTTCGCCGGCCGCGTGAGCGTGAACCCGATTCGCTGGCTGCACGTGTGCGAGGCCACCGCGCGCCCGGAGCACCCCGCGCACCACTTCGGCTGCGGCAACAAGGCGACCCTGTGGGACGAGCCGCGCGCCGCGGGCACGGACGTCCGCGCGCGCATCACGGAACACTACAGGACGTTGTACGGCGCACGCAAGATGTGTTTGGCGGTGTACGGGAAGGAGACGCTGCAGGAGCTCGAAGCGCAGGTGCTGGAGCTGTTCGGGACGGTGGCGCCCGGGTCGGGGCCGCGGCTGGTGAGGCCCACGCTGCGCGTGCACAGACAGGGGGCGGATCTCATTGACACCCCCCCTCACAGGGGGGTGTTATTGGCTGCTTTGGCCGCTTGCAGCACAGGCGTGCGCCGGGCACGACGCAGCCTGTGGGTAGGCTTGCTGGTGCGAGCACCAGCGCTCGGTGAACCTCGGGAATATACATATATATATCAACATCTACATCCAAGTCTCAAACACCATCAATTCGTGTTTCCCGCCCTGCAGGCCTACCCTGAGTTCGGCGACCCCTTCGCGGGCCAGGGGCAGCGCATCTACGCGTACAGCCTCGTCGGCAAGGGTCACCGCGTGCTCCTCACCTTCCCATGGCCGCCACTAGAGGACAAGTACAAACATAAAGCAGAGCGCTACGTAGAGCACGTGCTCGGGCACGGCGGCCCGGGGTCGCTCCTGTCCGCCCTGAAAGCGCGCTCCCTCGCGACCTCGCTCTCCACGTACACCTCGATGCACTCCTACGGCTCGCACTTTGTCGTCCAGCTTGATTTGACGGACGCGGCGTTCGCGGCGCGAAAGTGGACGGACGCCGTCGAGCTCGTCTTCGCGGCGGCGGCGTCCGCGCGGGCCGCCGGCCCGCAGGAGCGGCTGTGGCAGGAGCTGCGCGCGCTGGCACGGCTGAAGTTCCTGTACAAGGAGGGCCCTGCGCGGCCGTCGTCGTTCGCCGTCAACACGGTGGCGAACCTGCCCTTCGTGGACCCGCAGCACGCGATCTCCGGGGACTACGTGTACGACGAGTACGCGCCTGCGGCGATCGCGGCGCTGCTGGACCGCGTGCGGCCGGGCGTCGACGGCATGCGCGTGGACGTCATGACGGAGAGCCTCGCGGCCTTTTTGGCAGAAGCCGAGGAGGCGGCAAGCGCTGGGCCGGACAAGTACGGGCTCGGCTTCGCGGGCGGGTGGACAGCCGACCGCGAGAAACACATCGGGATCGACTTCTACGTCAAGTGCGTGCGGCGCGGTCGGTTGCGCGTGCGCGCGTGCGCGTAGGTGTGTGTGCGTGTCGTGACGGAGGGTGCCGCGCTGGTTGCGTTGCAGGACGATCCCTGAGGCCGTGATTGGTTCTTGGAAGGAGGCGCCCGAGGCCGAGGACCTATTTATGCCGCGCGCGAACCCCTATATTCCGGCAGGTGTGTTTTTTCGCTCCTCAGTCATGCGCCCCGGCGCACCAACGCCGTCCGCAACCGAGAGGTTGTGGAATCGACGGGAAACATGAATTCCCAACTGCTGTTGCAGACTTCACGGTCTTTCCGGAGGAGCCCGTCGATGCGCCGCCCGTCCCGCTCGTCGCGGCACCGCGCGCGTTCCCCGCCATGCTCTGCCGCGCCCCGGACCTCCTCGTGGACATCCCCGGCCTCCGACTGTGGCACAAAGCGTGCCCGGCCTACGGCACGGCGCGCGCCAGCATCTCCGCGTGCCTGTGCCCGGCCGGCGCGGCGCACGAGCCCGGCAGCCCCGAGGACGCCCAGCACAGCGCGGCGGCAGTCATTCTCAACGTCCTGGCCAGCGATCTCTCTCTAGAGATGCAAAGCCAAGCGCAGGACGCTGGCATGTCGTTCGCGTTCAATCTCGATCCAGGCAACGGGTGGCTGCTCCAGGCCGCGGGGTTCTCGCACCACCTGGTCGCCTTCGCGCGCAGTGTCGCGGGCGTTCTAGGCGGAATGGCGTCCCACGTGACCCCGGAGGTGTATGCGCGAATCAAGGATCTGGTTCTGCGGTGGATCGCGAATCGAGAATTACAGGTCAGTGGCGGGGTCGTGTTTTTCTCGATTCGTTGAATGACCCGCAAATAACCTGCAGGCTGGATCGTCCAACCAACATCGAGACGCCTTTTACCCCTGACTGTATGCAGCCTGCGCGGCAGGCGTCGTACGCGCTGACGCACGCCACGCTCGTGCACAACGTGCCGTCGAAGCGCCTCGCGGAGGCTACGCGGGACATGACGATGGAGGACGCGCTGAGTCAGCTCCGGGGGGTGTTAAGGGGCTTCCACTTGGAGGTGCTGGCCTGCGGAAACCTGACGCGGCAGGACGCGATCGACACCGCGGCGGCGATCGCCTCCGCGCTGAACCCCGCCGCGCCTGCGGCGCTGCAGTGGCCCGCGGGGCTCGCGCCGCGGCCGGACGCGTGCGGGGACACGGGGGGCGTGTTGCGCGGCGACGGGGGGGAGTTTGCGGCACTCGACGGGGCGGACCGGCCCCGGAAGGAGTTCCTGCAGATGCCTGTCGGGGACAGGGCGATCGATATTCCATCAACCAACCCCGACGAGCCGCAGAGCGCGCTGTTCGTTTTGTATGACTTCGGCGTTCTTGCTGACGAGGGCGGCGCGACGGACACGACGGTGCTGCTGGCGGACCTTGTCGAGCAGATGACGAACACGCAGATGTTCGATCGGCTGCGCACGAAGGAGGAGCTGTGCTACGCCGTGGGTGTTTCTGCGACGTTCAATTGCGGCAGGGTGACGCTCCGGGCGTACGTGACCTCAGGTGCGCCGGCGCAGCGCCTGTGTTGACGTCGCGGCTGGTATGGTCGCGCACGTCCTCGGAGACGCCTGAAACCGCACGAGAAATACTGCTTGATATGATTTTTGTGTTTGTGTGTTTGCAGGAGTCAAGGGACCGCAGTTCCTGCAGGAGCGCCTGGACGCCTTCGTGGAGTCGCACTACCAGACCCTGTGCGATATGAAGGACGACGAGTTCCAGCACCACAAGGACGCTGTGAGGGCGGAGCGCATGCGCGCGGCCACCAGCGTCGTGCAGGAGGCCAACCGTCACTGGGACGAGATCCAGGAGCGCGGATACATCTTCCACTACCGCGAGCTCGACGCCGCCGCGCTCGAGCGCGTCACGAAGGGGGATGTCTGCGCCTTCTACCAGAAACACCTCCTGTCGGGCCAGCGGCGCAGGCTCGCCATCCGCGTCCACGGCAAGTCCAGCGACGAGCCCGGACGCGCGCGTTCGGGCGAGGACGAGAGCGCGGGGAGCCACGAGCAGCGCATGGGCATCAGGGCGGCGGACGTGGATGCTGCGCTGGCGGCACTTGATGCGTTGCGGGCAAAGGCGGAGGTGGTGCGGGCACGTGTCGGCAATCACAAGGTCGTGGCCGCGCCTGGCGCGGCCAAGTGATAGGAGTCTGAGACGAAGAAGGGTCGGGGTGGGGGGGCGCGAAGACGTCGGTGGTTTGCATCTGCTGCAGCGCAAAGGTTGCGAGCGCGAAGGCGGGGGAGACAGTTACGGCTTCTGCGAGGTCGGGGCGTCGCCAATGGTCGCGCCGTGCTGTGATCTATCGCAGGCGGGTGGGTTGGCTCGGGCTTGAGAGCGGGGGCTGTCGGGGGGGGGGAGTGTTTGGCTAATGGACCTGACGCTGGGGCCTTGTTGTTGCGGTTGCGTGCTGGGCGCGAGGCGGCGATCGTGAAGTGGGTTCCTATTCTATTTGATTAAGTTATGTTTTGTTTGGCTGTTATGATTCGTGGTGGACGACCTTGATTTCGCGTCTACCGATCCTGCTCGGAAACGGCGCCATGAATGTGGCACAGAACGTCGCTTGCGACGGAGCGAAAAAGGTTTCAGGAGGCGCGGGCGTATCAATGTTGCGGGGAAGCTGGGGAATGAGAAACGGAGCTAAGGGGGGGTCTATTCATTGAGAAACAACATTCAGTGAGAAGTCAACGACGTGGCAGGGTGCGGTCTCGGAAGTCCTTCGCATTTCAGACCTTCTTCTTCAGGCGGGCCTTCCCGCCGCTCGGGAAGGCACTCTGTTCGACCCAGCGGTTCCCAGCGAGAAGAGACTTGTCTTCCTGCTCTGCGAGCCTGTCCTGCACCTCGCGGATCTGGTCCTCGAGCTCGACGTACAGCGGCGTCCCGAGCGCGCACCGGATCACGCGCTGCCGCAGGCCCTTCAGCCCGCGGCGCCACAGCGGCATCTGCGTCCCGTCGGACACGTCCTGAATGTCGGCGACCGCGCGCAGCATGCCTTCGACGCCCATCTCCATCGGCAGCTCCGACAGCAGCTCCGCGACATGCACGGCCTCCATCGCGGCCAGCTGCGTGAACGGCCGCAGCATCCAGGTGTACACGCACACCGTCAGGAGAACCAGCAAAATGCTGATTGCCGTCACGATCTGCACGACGATGATCTCCTCGTCGCTGACCTGCCGGAACAGGCGCACGGCGCTGTCGATGCCGTCCACGAGGTCGCTGCGCCCGAGCTCCCACAGCAGCCGGAAGTAGACGGATTTCATGCGCTCGCCAACGTCGGGGTGCGACGCCTGGAGGTCGTTTCCGAGCAGGCGGGCGGCGCCGACGTACGCCCGGACGGCGGCGTCGAGGCCCTGGTTCGCGGCCTCGTAGAACGGGTGGTCGGTCGCGAGACACGAGCTCGCGTTCGCCCGCAGACAGGACTCCCCGAATAGCAGCGACTGGAAATTCTTCTTGTGGATCACCTGCCCCTCGGTGTCGAGCGCGTCGTCGCCGAAGACCACGCCGTTCCAGCGGTGCTCGAGCGTCGTCGCGGACGCGTTCAGGAACTCCCGCGCCTTGAATCGCGGCCCGTTGGGGCCTAGCTCGGTGTCAGGCACGGCAGGGTCTAGCAGCACGAGCTCCTGCGCGGCCCACCGGACCCGCGCCGCGAAGTCGCTCATCTCGTCGGTCGCGAGCATCGCGTTCGACGCGCTCCCGGAGTCCTGGATGAGGGCCATGCAGCCGATGTTGAGACCCAAGATCAGCCCAAGCAACACCACCATGGGGAGCAGGATGACGAGCATCGGGCGGATGTCCCTGTTCGGCAGCTTGCGCGTCGTCTTGAGGAAGTCGTACTTGCCGCGCTTGCCCAGGCCCCTCGCCTTGCGCTTCTTCCCGGCGGCTTGCTCGAGGGTGCGTTTCTCTGTCTCGGTGAGTGCCGAGCGCTGCCAGTCGACGTCCTCGTCGCGCTCGCCCTCGCCCAGGCCGACGCCGCGCGTGGCGAGCGTGAGCAGGATGTGGCGCGGGACCTTCAGGAAGACGTCCAGGAGCTTGATGCGCGCTGCCGTCAGTTTGATCGACATGTAGAGGACGACGAACGTGATGGCGGGGACCATGCCGATGCCGAGGACGATGGCGGCGGCCAGGTAGAGGTTCTGCGCGGCGCGAGGGCGGGAGCTCGGTCGTCGGCGGCACGAAAAGGGGGGGAGTGTCAAAGGAGAGCGGGTGGTCTCTCAGGGGCGCGTGGGAGCGGAGGCGGCCAACCGATTCCACCGCAGCGATGCACACCACGGAAGCGTGTCGCGCAAAGCACGCTGCCCGCGCACCTGGGCCAGCTCTTGGTCCTTGTCCTGCGCCGCGACCTGCGCGGCCTGCTGCGCCTGGAACCCGCGCAGCATCGCCTCGTGCGCGTTCTTCTGGATAAAGTCAAAGTGTCGCGAGTCGCGCGACGGCAGCGAGTTGGGCGCCAGCTTGCCGAGGAACTTCGCCGCCGGGAACCGCATCTCGCGCGCAGCCATGACGTAGTTCTGCACCAGGCCGAGGTAGCTGTACAGCCGGGTCTCGTTCTTGTTGTCGAAGAACGCCGCCGAGTCCTCAGGCGCAATGCTGTCCCGGAACCACTGCGCTGGGATCTGCGGGACCTCGTACAGCAGCCGGGACTCCTCCGAGAGCCGCCCCGTCGTTCGCGGCGCGAGGTACGCGCTGCGCAGGTCGTCTTCCATGTCCGCGATCAAACGGTCAAGGTCAATCTCGAATTCGATCTTGGAAGCGACACTCCAGCCCTCGCCGTCGCGCGCGGACTGGATCGCGCGCGTGAGGATCGCGATGCGCTCGATCGCGGCGCCGGTCGACCCCGTGTCCACCGTCAGCACAACACTCTCCTTGTATTGTTCGACCATCAGAATGTTCACGAGGTTGAACGCGAAGCATGCCAGGAAGAGCGCGACGAGGAGCAGCCGCGCGCGGCACTGCAGGCTCGCCGCGATCGCCTGCACCTTGGCCCCGCGCAGCATGCGGGCCAGCCGCCGGAAGCGCTTGGCACGGGAAAAGTCGGCGGCCGCGTGCACGTCGCTGGCGCCCGCCTCGCTCCCAGCGCCGCTCATCTCCCGCGACGGCGTCTCGCTGCCGTACTGCTCGCTCCTCGCGTCGCCGTCGTCGCTCTTCGCCTCCGCGGCGTCCGCGTCGCCGTCGACCGACTCAGGATCCTCGTCCGACTCAGGCTCGTCGTCGTCGTCAGGGGTGTTCTCGAAGTTCGCGAGCGCATCCTCGAGCGCGTCGTCGCAGAGGTTCTCCTCGAGCGCCTCCGCGAAGCGCACGCCGCCGCCGACGCGCCTCGCTCCGCCGGCGCCCGCGGGACCGCTGTCCTTGGAGAAGAGCGCCTCGACGCGCCGGAGGCCGTCCGCGCCCGCGTGCTCCTCCGCGCTGTCCTCACCGAACGCACGGACCAGCAGGACATACTTGCCCGAGTTCGACGTTTTCTGATCCCCTGACAGCGACGCGCCGATTCGCCCAGTGTCCGCGTGCGCGAGCCCGATCTTGACGCCGCGCTGGCCGCTGAGCGCCGTGCGCAGCTGCCCCGCGGCGCCGCTGGACCCCTGCGGCAGGAGGAGCGACAGGGGCTTCCCGAACATCGCGGGAGACGAAAAGCCTGTTATCAGTTGGGCATGGAGGTTGGCGTGGCGGATCAAGAAGCCCTTGTCTGTCTCGAGGTGGCCTTCGAGGAGGTCGGTGCGCCACAGGTCGAGGACGTAGGCCTTGCCGGCCGCCAGCGCGTCGGCGTGCTGGCGGTCCGCGAGGTTGGCGACGATGGCGTTGGCGTTGACGGGCGACTTGTCGACGGGGGTGACGACGAGACTGACGGGAATCGGCGCCGCGTCGTCGTCGTCGTGCGGCTTGAAGGACATCCGCCACGCCGCGAGGCCCAGCTCGCCAGACTTCGTAACGAGGTTCCGGAGGAAAGGCTGGACGACAGTCTGCTCGTCGACGTTGCCGTACAGCTGTGCGTTCCGCACAGCGGCGCTGACGACGTCGAGGTACTTCGCGACGGAGCGGCCGACCATGGTCTCGGCGTTCAGGCCCAACACACCCCCGGGGACCTTGTAGGTGTAACCCGTGCCGCCGTGCACGGCCACGACCTCGCCGTCCTCGGTGACGATCGTGCGCAGGCGCATGCGGAGATTGATCGTCTCGTCGACGCCGCCCTGCGAGAAATCGTCCGCCGGCTGCGCCCGCATCGAGTGCACGACGGCAACCAGGACCGTCTCGTCGCCGTCCCGCATGGGCTTCCAGCGCACGGTCACCGCGCGCGGCTTGTGGTGCCGACCGATGAGGATCGTCGGCCGCCCGGAGAAGCACGGCGCCGTCGTCGCTGTGATGTGGCGCAGGCTCTTGAGCGCACGCATGTGCACCTGCGCGTGCGGCGCCGCGAGCAGCTTGTTGATCTTGAAGTCGTGCGCCATCAGGTGCCCCGGCCTGTACTCGAGGATCTGCTCGGCCACGGCGTTCGCGTACACCACGTGTCCTGACGTGTTGAACACCAACAGCCCCGATTTCGACACCCTGGGCACGAGCTTCGTCACGAGGATGCGCTGCGCACGCGTGCCGGCGAGCGTCACCGTCACGGTGCACTCCACGTCCAGCGCGGCGTACTTGTGCCGCAGACTCCCCCCGAACGTCTTTTTATACTTCTGCAACCCCTCCTCGTCGTCGTCCGTGATCTCGTGCGCCTCCTCCGCGATCCGCGCGAGGTGAATGTCCCAGTCGCCGTCCGCGGGCGCGAACTCGTACAGCAGCAGGCTCACAGTCTCCTTGGGATCGTACCCAAAGCAGTCCTGTGAACGCAGCGAGGAAGGTCAAGCGAAAAGTCAGCACCTTTTTTTGTGACGGAAGGCGAGGCGCGCGGCGCGGCCGGGACACGCGCAGACGTATTCAGGATGGAGCGGGTGCTGCGCATCGCGGCCCGGCGCTCGCACCGTAAAGCCCCGGTTTGTGGCCAGGAAGGTTCCCGTGGTCGTGAGCCAGGCGGTGCCGCACGACAGGTCCTCCTCGACGGGCCGCATCACGCCCATGAACGCGTCCGACGCGTTCGGGTCGTCGGACGGCACCTTGGAGACGGATAGCTTGACGGGAAGCACCGACTTGTCCTTGTGCAAGGCGATGACCTCGCGGACCTTGCCGATGACCTTTGACTTGCCCGTGAGCTTGTAGTTGCGCAGGTAGCCGTTGTGCTGCCCCGAGAAGGGCTGCGGCATCAGGCTGCTGACGTTCGCGCCCTCCAGTTCCCCCACCTGGTAACCGAAGGTACGACACATGACCTTGTTGGCCATGAGGATGACGCCCGTGTCGGTGATGACCAGGACCGCGTCCGTGGTGTCGTCGACCATCACGGCGCCGCCGTCGCCGCCCTCGGGGTCGCCGAAAATAGCATCGCGCGCCGCCTCCGCTTGCATGTCCTCGATCTTGTCGGCCTCGTTGTAGTAGTGCGTCGCCTTCCACGGATCGTGCTTCAGGCTCTCGCAGAACTTGCCGTACGAACGCAGCAGCTTGACGTTCTTCGGGTACCTGAGAAGCGAAAAGTCAGCACCTTTTTGGTGACGAAGGCGAGGCGCGCGGCACGGCCGGGACACGCGCAGACGTATGAGTCATGGAGCAGGTGCTGCGCATCGTGGCCCGGCGCTCGCACCTCTGCAGCATGCCCTCGTAGATTTTGTCGGTCGCCGTCGTTCTGCCGGCGAGCATCGTGAACGACGTGTTGAGGTGCGAGAACTTGAGGTCCGGCCGCAGGAGCGTCCGCCAGAAGGACCGGACGGACTTGAGCGCGGCGGAGTGCGACGAGAGCAGATTGGTGAAGTTGTTCTGGAACTCGACGTACGACACGAGGTCCATCGCCGCGTCCTGGCCGCCGCTCTTCGACCGCTGCTTGTTCTCGCGGTCGCGCACGAACAGCTGGAACTTGTCGCCCATCGACAGCTCGCTCCAGCGCTTCCGCACCTGCGCCAGCTGCTGCGCGGCGAGCGGCGCTGTCCTCTTGTTCGCCGCCAGGTAGTTCGCGTTCAGGATCATCAGGTACGTCGAGTGCGGGAACTGTGCTAGCCCGGCCTTGAGCACGCGGCCCCCGGCCTCGAACCACCCCGGCTCCAGGTTGCCCCAGCGGTCGCGACGGCGCATGCAGCGGGACACGAGCTCCACGCTGTACTCGTCGACGAACGAGTGCTCGTAGTCCGGGTCGTCGAAGAACCGCTTCGCGATGCGCTGGGCCGCCCGCCAGCGCCAGTGCATCAGCCCCGCGAACAGCACGCCCGCGGGAATGAGCCCGCTGTACCACGCCTGCACAAACACGCAGCACGCGGCACGGGGTGGGAGTTGAGTTGAGGAGCTGAGCTGACGATCGCGCTCGCGACGGCAGGTCTGCCGCGGGCCTGTCGTCCGCACGGCGCCGGACGGCGTGCAACGCCGTGGTGCCCGCATGGCAGCGGGAGTGCGGGGGCGTGGTAGGTAGGGGGCGCGACGCACCATGCTGAGCTCGGTGTTGTACTCGGGCGCGAAGACGACGACGAGGAGGATGGCCGCGGTCCAGAAGAAGGTGCCGTAGAGCCCCGCTTGCAGGCAGTTGACCCAGGGGTTGAAAAACGGGGCCTTGCGCAACATGAGGTAGACGAAGAACGCCCCGGCGAGGAGCGCGACGATCCCGAACGCCTTGACGTTGTGGTCGAGGAAGACGCTGAGGACGGTCACGACGGTGATGACCGAGAAGAAGCGCACGTCGGCCACTGAGTCAGGGGACCCCAGGAGCTCCTCAGTCAGGGGGTCCTGGGAGGCCTCCGCGACGGACATCAGGAAGCTGATGACCCCCCCCGCGACGGCGGCGAGGATGGCCAGGAGCGCGGTGATGCCGTGCGGGAACCCCATGCACTTCTTGTCCGGAAATATGTCTGCAACAAATGAACGTGCATCTTTGCTGAATGTTCAATATCGCACCGAACGTGCGACCAGGGCGTCGACGAGCGCTGCAGGCCGGCTCCGCGGCGGCAGATCCTCGCTCGCGAGCCGGGCAGGGCCGGAGGCGCGCTGCTCGTCGCGCGCGGGCGCACCTGCGGCAAGCGCGCCGTCGACGGTGCGGCAGTCCGGTCCGATGGCGAACACGTTGAGCACGGTGATGTAGAACGTGCGGAAGAAGATGGACACGGCGAAGCGCAGGACCTTGATCGGCCAGACGTACGGGAACTTGTTCGTGCGGAAGTTCTGGGCCACGTAGGCGCACAGTGCAAGGCTGATGGCAAGGACGGCGAACATGGAGTAGAAGACGACGTTGAATCCCGCGTAGCCGGCGCTGCGCAGGAGCTCCGGGACGCCGAGGTTGAACGCGACCTTGCCGAAGCCGCCGAGGTCCCACGGAAAGATCCCTGCAAGACGTGGGGGCGGGAGTCGAGACTTGAAGACGTTGCATTCGAGTGACGTTGCATTCGGCGTGGCGGGGCGCCGCTGACGCGCGAGGGGGTCGGCGCGGCCGACGGCGGCGCGGCCCCGCGCGCCGGGGCGCAGAAAGCGCAGAAAGCGCAGGAAGGGCGCGTGACGTGGCACATCCAGGTCCAGGCACCGCCAGTGAGAAACAAAAACAGGTAGCGGCGCCCCGCCGTCCGCGGGCGCGAAACGACGCGACAAGGCTGCGCTGCGGCGTTTCCGTGAGCGAGGCGAGCTGTCGGCGGGCCGATGAGGCCCCGGAGCGCGCGTCGACGGCTCGCGCGCGCGGTGAGGTGAGCCCTGCTAGGGGGGGGCGCACCCTGGGGGAGGAGCAGCAGCATGAGCTGCGCCCAGTTCAAAAACACGTCCGCGAGCGCGAACTTCCAGCTGGTGTTGTACTTCTCCTTCGAGAGCGTGAACAGGACGCCGTATACCGCGTCCTGCGGTGCGGTTAGGGCACCGGAATGCGGAACGTGTGTGCGGCTTGGAGGATCGCATTTGGCGCGACGGTGATGTATCAGGTCGGAGGAAGCGGCTGGGTGCGCGCGCGCTGCAAGAGCGTGGCCCCCGACGGCTCACGGGACATGTTGGCGAGGACAACCGAATTTGCAAGTGGGCGGAATGCGGCCCGATCCGAGCAGCTTCGCGCGTGTTTGCTCCACAAATCAGGAGGAGAGATTACGGATTCTCGAGTACACGGATGTTCGTGCGTTTGCAAGCCCGCAATTCGTCGCAGCGTGGACATGTAGGTCGGCACAGTCGAGCGCGCACCTGCACGGTCGCCCGCTCCGAGCGCCCGAGGGCCTTCCCGCCGCCGTCATTGAACGTCTCCGGCTCGTCGCATACCGAGCTCGCGTCCGCCATCGCGTCCGCGCGGCTGCTGGCCGACCTCGACAACGACGGGCGCCGGAGGGGAAAATTGACTCAGCCGGTCCCGTCGCAGCGGACAGGCCTGCATGAGATTAATCGCACCGGCGCCCCGGCGACCGCAATGTGGGCGAGCCGGGCCCGCGCGCCGCGGGGCTGACGCCAGGTACAACGCCACTGGTAGGACACGGCTTGTGCGCGCATCGCTGCACCGTGGCGGCCGCCGCGGCCACTCTGGTCGCGGACGAAGACGGCAGGCCTGCTGGACCAGCGCAGAGACCTCGGGAGCTGCGAGGAAGAGCGCACGACCGCGAATTGTTCGCCGGTGATGCCGCGGTGCGGTCTTTGACGGTATTCCGGCGCGATGAGCGACGCTTCGGGGGACGAGCGCCCCGCCGCGGACGCGAAGAAGCCCCGGCAGAAGCGCTTCAAGTTCAAGAAGTTCGAGGAGCGGATCAATGAGGTGCGCGAGCTCACATTCTGCCGCCGGGTGCGGGCGTGTCGCCCGCACCGCGCGTACTGCAGCTTTTTTGCCGTTTCGACGCCCGTGACGTCAAGATAAGGATACAGACATCACAGAGGGGTGATCTAGTGCTCGCCATCGCCGCTCTGGGAGGTCCTGTCGGCGCACAGAGTTGCCGGACACGCCAGGCAGCAGCCGGCCACGGCCCTGCGCCTCCCGCAAGTCTTCGAACCGGGCGCTCGCCGCCACGCGTAGACACGGACCACGACGCGCGGCCGTACCGTCGCGTGCCCGCGTGCGCATTTCGACAACGCGGGGCGCGCGTGCGGGCGTAGCCGCCAGGCGCTTCCGTGGCCGACACGACGGCTCCGCGGCTTCATTGCGCCCCCGCCCGCCCCGCCGCCCTGCAGATCGACGTCGACATCCACAGGGCCGTCAAGCGCGTGCGGTCGGACCCGCTCCCGGGCCACGAGTCCTTCCTGAGTGAGCACCTGCAAAAGTGGCGCGACACGAACACCGCGGAACACTTCAATGAATTATACAAGTGCGCGCCCTACCCACGATCTCAAAGCTGCCTGCCACCGCATCCGCGGCCCCGGAAACCACCACTGAGCGAAGCAGGGCCCAAAGGCAACCCCACGCGAGACGTTCGAGCGCGTTGCCGCGCACCGCTCGCGCACGCCGCCTCACGCCGGCCCTGCCCTCCACGGCGGCTACCGTGCGGGCGCGCCGCACCGACGAAACACCCCCCTTATACTTATACTCCCCCCGCTGCGCAGGACGCTCCGGCCGCTGTGCCAGTCGATGCCGCTGGTCGTCCACAACGCGCAGGCGATCTTCGACCTCCTCGTCCGCGACTGCCACCTCGGCGCGCGCCTCTCGCTCCCCGCGACGCTCGGCCTGCTCGGGGTACTCCCCCGAGACCTCCAGGGGGACTTCCGCCCGCTGTTCCCCGCCCTCGTCGACGCCCTCGCCGACCTGATCGAAGCCGGCGGCGACCGCGACCCCGAGGTCCTCGAGCTCGCCTTCACGTGCCTCGCGCACGTGTGCAAGCACCATCACAGGTTCCTGCAGTCCGACCTGCCGCTCGCACTGCGGCAGACGGCGCGCCTGCGGTACTCCAAGGTCGACCACGTGCGGTCCTTCGCGGCCGAGGCCCTGGGGTACCTCGTGCGCACCGCGCCGCACGGCGCCGTCGCCGCGGCGGTGCGCGCCGTGCTGGTGGAGCACGCAGCGATGCCGACGACGGATCGCACGGACGGCGCCGGTGCGTTGCTCGCGGAGGCGGTGTGCGGGGCGGCGAACGGGCTGCACTCGCGCGCGCCGGCGCTGCTCGCGCTGCTGCTCGCCGCGGACCCGATATCGGTGAAGCACTTTAAAAGCGCAGACGCGGTGCCGGAGGTGGGGGTGTTGCGGGCGCGCGTGACGGCGGTGTGCTGCGCGGCGCTGTACCGCATCCTCGAGCACCTCCGCCGCGGGCGCTGCGCGGAGCTGTGGGACGCGGTCGTCACGGCTGCGCGGGAGCGCTTGGCGACGGCGGAAGCGGTGGCGGGGAAGGGCGGCGCGGGGGGGGACGCGGAGGCGAGGGACGCCGTTCCGCACGCTGCGCGCGCGATCGGGCTGCTCTCGCAGATGGTCGAGCACCGCGGGGGGTCTCGCGTGGAGGACTATTCGGTGTTGTTGGGGGTGTGTTCTTCTGTGGCGCTGAGCAAGGCGTTCACGGCGCGGCACGCGGCGGAGGACGGGGGAGATGGCGCGGAGTACGACATTGACGACTACCGCAAGCATCTGGCGCCGACGCTGACCGGACAGGCGCTGCGGCTGGCGGCGGCAGTGGTGCGTGGCCACGCGAAGGTCGTCGGGGCGTCGCGCGGCGTGGCGGCGCTGGCGCCGCTCGTATCGGCGTGGGCGCCGCTGTTCACGCGCCCGCCGACGCGCGAGACGCTGCCGTTCGTCCGCGCGCTCGTCGGCGGGCCCGCGGGGGCTGAGGTTGCACGGCTGATGTCAGGCCCCATGCTCGGCGCCGTCGGGCGCAGCCTGCTCGCCGAAGACGCCGAAACCGACGAGCTCGCGCTCCCGCTGCTCCAGGACGTGTGCGCCACCGCGCAGCCGCGCCCTGCCGGCGCCCCGGGGGGGCCTAAAGCGGGACTCCCCCTCATCCTCACCGCGCAGCCGGGGGGCCCGCAGCTCGCCGCGAAGGTCCGAGAGACCGCCGCGCGGCCGCTCTCGACCGACGACTGCGCCTCTGCGCGGCCCGCGAAGCGCGCGAAGCGCGCCTCGGCCCGCGGCGCGGAGCCAAAAGACCCCCGGGGCGTATTAGACGCTGCTGCGATCCGCGCGTCGTGGTGCGCGGCCCGCTGCCTCCCGTACACCACGAACGACCCCGAGGACGCCCTGCGGCACCAGGACGCGGCGATGGAGGCGATGCGCGCCGCGCTGGCGGCCGCCGACACCAAAGACGCAGCGTGGCGGTCCCTCCACGTCGCCAGCGCCGAGGCGTTGCGGTCCTGCGCTGCGGCGCACGCCGCGCTCGGGCACGCGCCCCGCGTCCAGGAGCTCGCGGACCGCGCCCTCGCGACCGTGCGCGCGCACCCACGGTCGTTCCACGCCCTGCGGGCCGCGGCGGACGCGCGCAGCCACCTTCCGCAAGCGGCCCAGCGCGCCCCGCTGGACCTCGCGCTGCTCGAGGAGCTCACGCCGAATCTGTCCGACGCGTCGCAGCCGCTGCGGCGCGAGACGCTGCGCGTCCTGTGCTCGTTCCGGCAGCCGGCGGCGGCGGCGAACGACACCAACAAGAATGAGGAGCCCTCCGCGGTGCTGAACACGCTGCTGTCGGTGGAGGCGTGGCGGAGCACGCTCGAGAATGGGCGCAAGGCCGCGATGGTGCTCGGGCGCGTGAAGGCGGACATCGAGTTCGGTCGCATCCCACCTGAGTTGCGGGCCGCTGTCTCTCACAGCCTCATCGGGTTGCTGCATATCCGATTCTCGCTGATCTGGCAGCCGGCGCTCGACGCGCTCGCGACGGCGAACGAGCACATCCCGCACGCGGCGTGGCCGCCCACGATCGCGCACGTGACGGCCGCGCAGACTGCGTTCCTGTCGGGGAACAACGCAGGGCACGACGCCGGGACGGCCGTGCCGGGGCTGGAGGACCAGGACGCTCAGGAGGAGCCGGAGAGGCTCGCGGAGCGGTTCGCGGCGCTGGAGGCCGCGGGGGACGCGGCGTCGGGCGGGGGGTGCACGGATGCATCCACTCGGCTTGGGCTGTTGCTGAAGGCGCTGCAGAAGGTGCCTTCGGGGGAGCTGGAGCGGGTGCACAAGGAGTGGCTGCCGCTGGCGCTGGAGTACATTCAGGCGAAGGCGCGGGACGATACGGGGCTGGAGGAGGAGGCGGGCGACGCGGGGGAGGAGGGGGGGGAAGAGGACTCGGGAAATGATGGTTCCGGCGCGGCTGGTGCGGAGGGGGGCGGCGAGGCGGTGGTGGGCGGCGCGGGCGTGAGCGGGAAGGAGTGGCGCGTGCAGATGCGCGCGTGGCTGGACATGATGGCCTGCGTGAAGGGCATTCGAGGATTATATAGGGCCAAGGAACTGCTCGGCATGGTTGCCACGCTGGTCGGGGACGCCGACCCCGCGCTGCAGGCCGCGGCCATCCGGGCGCTGCGCGCGTTCCGCATCAAGTTCCTCACGCCGTACGCCGACCGCCTGCTCCGTCTGGCGGACAACAAAACGCTCCGGGGGGAGTTGGCTGTCTTCATGGTGGCGCCGGACGCGCCCGAGGGAGAGGGCATTCTCAAGCAGCACCGCGCGGGGGTCGTGCCGGTGCTCTCGCGCCTGCTGTTCGCGCGCATGCGGAAACGGTCCGGGCGCCTCGGCGGGCGTGGCGCACCAGGGTCTGCCAGGTGCGCACAGGCACTTTGATCTTGTTCGTTGGACGCGCAATCGATGCAGCTGCAGCCACCCACGAATGCTCAGCAAGCGGGGCAGGCGTAGCGCGTGCTGCGCCCGCGTGCGCCGACCGAGACGGTCCTTGTGCCGTCCGCGTGTGCTCGCAGGTCGGCGATTCTCAACTTTCTCGGCGCGCTCGACCCGTCGGAGCTGGCGCCACTCATCGAGCTCTTCCTCAAGCCCGTCTCAGCGATGTTCGCGCGCCCGGCCCCCGCGTGCTCCGCCCACAAGGACCAAGACACCCCCCCGTGGCCCCGCGACGCCCTCCTCGTCGAGCCCACGTGGTGGTTCGACCACCTCGGCCGCGAGGACGCGCACTGGTGGCTCGCCGCCGTCAGCGCGCCGCGCGCCGCGAAGCTCCCGCACCGCCGCAGGGTCGGTCTCATCAACGCGCTCGACGACATCGTAGCGCACCTGGGCTTCGCCGCCGCGCCGTACCTCCCGACCGTCGCCGCGATCGCCGTGCGCCTGCTCCAGATCTCGACGGACCCGCCCCCGGACGTCGACGCGCTGCCGACCGCGGAGGCGAAGGAGCTGCGCGTGAAGTCGCTGCGGTTGATCACGCGGCTGTTCGAGAGGTTTGCCGACGAGGGGGACTTCGGGCCGCTGTGGCCGTGCATCTTCGCGGCGTGCGGAAAGCTCGCGGAGCGGCTCGCGGCGGAGGTGTCGGCGCCACGGCCGCCTGCGTTGCTGTCGCTGTGTACGGCGCTGCTGTCCGCGCCGGCGCTGGCCGGGGTGCTCGCGGAGCCGCCCGGGAGCGCGATTCTCGGCGCTGCGCTCGCGACGCTCGGGGCGCCCGCGGCGTCGCCGGCGTCGCTCGGGGAGGCGCTGGCGACTGTGGAGGCGGCCCTCGCACTCGAGGACGACGCGAAGGAAAAGGTGTTGAGAACTCACGTCCCCGAGCTGCTCGGGAACCTCCGGAGCTCCGTCGAGCGCGCGTGGGGGGGCAGCGCGGGTCGCGGCGGCGCGCGCATGACGCGTAGCGGGCACCGCGAGCTCGCCATCCTCGAATCCCTCGCCGACATGGCCACCGCGCCGCACGACGCCCGCTCCCTCGTCCGCGCCCTCATCGCTCTGCTCGCGCGGCGCGACGGACGCGGCCGCGCGCTCGCCGCGACGGACCAGGCCGCGAGCGCCCGCGCGCTCCGCACCGTCTCCGCAGTGCTCCGCAGCCCCGCCGCGGGCGCCGCGTTCGACGACGAAGCCGCGCTGTGGGGCCACGTGGACGTCATCGGCCCTCTCGTCGGGTCCATGGTGTCGGACGACGCGCGCAGGGCGGTGTGCGCGGCCCTCGCGGCGCTGGCACGGCACCTCCCGGGCGTCCGCGGCGCGGCCGAGGCGCTCGAGGGGCTCAACGCGGCAGCCGAGGGGGGTCTCGGAGACCCTGACTACGACAAGCGCATGGGGGCGTTTTCGGCGCTTACGGGCGCCGGGTGGACGGCGCTGGGCGCGAAGCAGGCCCCGATCGTCGTGCACCAGCTGCTGTACGACCTCCGGAACCCTGACGATCTCGCGCTGCGACAGGCGGCGTCGCAGGCGCTGTCGCGGCTGCTCGATGCGTCACTCGCCGCGGAGGCGCCAACGGGGCCCGACGGGACGCCGGCGCCGGACGGCCTCGCGGGCGTGGTGTTCCGGCTGCTGCTGCCGCAGCTGAAGACGCGCGCGGCGTCGAGCAACCTCGGTGTTAGGCAGGAACACCTGGCGTTGTTGCGGCAGTCTATTTTGCGAGCGCCGTGGACGTCGCCGGACTTGGTGAGCCTGGTGAGCGCGGATCCCGACGCGGACTTCCTCGTCAATGTCGCGCACCTGCAGCTCAACCGGCGCGTCAAGGCGCTCGCACGGCTGCGCGCGATGCTGGCCGCTGGCGACGACGGCGGAAAGCAGCTGCCCGGCGTGGGCTCGCTGCTCGGGTTCCTCGTGCCGCTCATCCAGCAGATGATCGTCGAGGGCCGCGCGAAGGAGGAGGGGCCGAAGATGAAGGACAAGGACGTCGACAGGGAGGCGAACGTCGTCGATGCCGCAGCAACCGCGCTGGGCGCCGTGGCCGGGCGGCTGCCGTGGCCGCAGTACGATCAGCTGCTCAACCGCTTCATCAGGCTCATGCGCGGCGGGCGGGCTGGCAGGGTGAACCCCGCGACGCAGAAAAAGCTCATAAATGCGGTTTGTTCCATTCTTGACAACTTCCACTTCCTTGCGGGCGTCCGCGACGGCAGTGCGCGGCCGCTCCTGCCGCGCGGCGCTGCGCCGGCGCAGCGCGTCGGCGCTGCGGGCCCCCGGGCGATCGGCGGGCTCGGCGACGACGAGGAAGCCACCGGAACAACAGCAACAAACACCGCTGGCGCCACCGGCGCTGCTGCAACGGGCGCGGACGCGCCGGCGCAGCCGGCTGCGGAGCGGGACAGTGCAGGGGAGAAGGTCGCTGATGGAGCGGGCGGCGCGGAGGCAGGGGCGGCGGGGGAGCTGGAGGCGGCCGTTGTTGTTGACGACGATGGGGAGGACGGAGAGGATCCGGAGGACGTGCGGGGGGTGTTCGACGGCGGCGCGGAGGCGTCGAGCGAGGACATTCTGCGCTCGCTCGTCGGGCGCGCGCTGCCGTCGCTGCGCGGGACGCTCGTGGAGCGCGACGGCGAGCACGTGCGCGCGGGCGTGGCGTTGGCGCTCGTCAAAGTCATTCGCCTTCTCCCGCGCGACATCGAACAGCTCGAGCTGCCCAAGGTGCTCCAGACGGTCGCGAACGTGCTCAAGAGCCGCTTCCAGCGCGTCCGCGACGACGCCCGGCGCGTCCTCGTCGCGGTGTCGCGAGAGCTCGGACCGTATTATATGCCGTTCCTGGCACAGGTGCTGCAGGCCGCGCTGCCGCTGCGGGGCTTCGCCGCGAACGTGCTCGGGTTCACCATCCACGCGGTGCTCGAGGGCGCGGCCGGGAAGGGCGCCCCCGGCGCCGAGGCGGGCTGCCTTGACGAAGCGACCGAGCAGATCCTGCCGATGCTCGATGCGGACTTGTTTGGGGCGGCAAGCGAGACCGCGGAGGTCGCAGCGATCCGTGCGACGTACCGCGAGGCGAGGACGTGCCGCAGCCCGCAGGCGTTTGAGTTGCTGGCGCGTTGGAGCACTTTTGACAAGTACGGGAGGTTTCTGCTGCAGCTGGTGGCGGCGCGGCTGCCGTACGCGTCGACGTCGGCGGCGCTGCGCACGAAGCTGCGCGGGCTGCTCGCGCACGCCGCGCGCGGCACGCTGGCCAACCCAACCGCGACAGCGCAGGATTTGATGATGTTCGTCCATTCGACGGTGGGACGCGCGCTCGACGCCGAGGAGGCCGCGGCGCGGCACGCGGCGGGCGACGCGGGCCTCGCGGGCGCCGGCACGGACGCGCTGGCGCGAGGGAAGAAGCGCGGCGACCGGAGAGCTGCCGCGGGGTTGACGTACCACCCCACGATCGGGCCGAACAGCGCCGAGGCGCGGCGGGACACGAACAAGCAGGTGCAGGAGGCGCTACACGAGGGCGCGGAGGCGCTCGCGCAGCAGCGCGAGGGCGCGGTCGGCGTGGACGTGGACGCCGTCGCCGCCAGCAACAACGGGCACATGCTGATGGACTTCGCGCTCGGGCTGCTGCACACCGGGCTCAAGAAGGGCCCGCTCGACAAGCGCGACGACGCGACGCTCGGGCTGCTCGACCCCATGCTGCCGCTGCTCGCGCGGGCCGTCGTGTCGCGCCACACGTCGTGCGCGTCGCTGGCGCTGCGATGCCTTGCGTTCCTGGTCCACCTGCCGCTCCCGGGCCTCGAGACGACCGCTCCGGACGTCGGCGCGGGCCTCCTCAAGCTCATGAAGCGCTGCGCGAAGCCCTCGCACCCCGTGGCGCAGGATTGCCTGCGACTCATGGGTGGGCTGCTGCGCGACTGCCCGACGTACAAGCCGCCAGCGGGGCACATCCGGTTCGTGCTGTCGTGGGCGTTCACGGACCTGGAGGACTCTGAGACGCGCGTGGGCCTCTTCTCGTTGCTGCGCGCCGTCATTGCGCGCAACGTCGTGGTGCCGGAGGTGTACGACGTTGTGGGCCGCGTGCAGGAGCTGATGGTGAAGAGCCAGCACGCGCCCGTGCGGGCGATGTGCGCGACGGTCCTGCTCCAGTTCCTCCTCGACTTCCCAGTCGGAGAAAAGCGAATCGAGCAACATATCCTTTTCCTATTGTCCAACCTCGACTACACCCACGAGACCGGCCGCGAGGCCGTCCTTGACACGCTCGACGCCGTCGTGCGCAAGTTCCCCCCCGAAGCGCTCTCCCGGCACGGCCACGCCATCTTTCTGGTTCTGGTGTCTACCATGGTCAACGACTCCTCCCCCAAGTGCCGCGCGGCCGCGGCCGCGGTCGCGCGCGGCCTGATCGAGCGGTCCTCGCAGGCCGACGCCGACGCGATGGCCGCGTCCGCGCTCGCGTGGGCCGGCGGCGACAAACCCGGCCTGCGACGCGCGAGCGCGCAGGTCGTGGGTCTGTTCGCGGAGGTCGAGGGCGGTAAGTTCGCGCGCAGGGCGCAGGAGGCGCTCTCGCGCATGCTGCTCATCCTCGCGCGGCGCGTCGAGGCGGAGGACGCCACGGAGAACGAGGCGGGAGACGCGGACGCGGACGAGGGCAACGTGGCGGGGGCCGGGGCGTGGCAGGAGGCGTACTACGCGCTGCTCGCGGTCGAGAAGGTCCTCGTCAAGGTCCCCGACGTCGCGAGCGCCTTCCCCGACGAGTGCACGGTGCTCTGGGAGGCTACGTCAGGTCTCCTGTCGGACCCGCATCTCTGGGTGCGCAAGTCCGCGTCGCGGCTCATTGGACACGCGCTCGGGTCGGAGACTGCGCGCGCGCAGCTGCTCACGCCCGAGCCGGACGCCCCGGCCTGGCGCACAGCGCACAGTCTTGCGTTGTCGCTGCTGTCGCACCTCCAGGCCCCGCAGTGCGACGACGCGCTCGCCGCGCAGGCCGTCAAGTGCCTCGTCTCCCTGCTGCCGGAGATGCGCGACGAGATCGAGGCCGCCGGCTCCGAGAGCGAGAGCGACGCCGAAGACCCAACGCCCGCGTCACGGCCGCCCGGCGTCACCCTCCACGGGCTCGTGCGCCGCATCGTGAAGCTCGCCGAGGACGGCCGGCGCGCGCGCGAAGTCCAGCGCAGCGCCGCCCTCAAGTTCCTCGCCGCGGCCGCCACGCGCCTCGGCCCCGAACGCATCGCGCCGTACCTCTCGACCGTCATGCGGCCGCTCTACCGCGCCGTCGAGGGCCCGCAGGCGGCCGCGACGTCCGAGGCCGTGCGCGAGCTCGCGCAGCAGGTCCTCGCGCACCTACGCGGGGTTGTCGGCGGCGACGCGTCGCTTGCGGCATGGAGCGCTGCGCGGGACGAAGTGCAGGCGCGCCGGGCGCGCCGGAAGGAGGCGGAGGCGAGGGAGGTGCTCGTGGACCCCGGGGCGGCGGTGGCGCGCAAGGTCGCGAAGCACGGGCGGAAGCGGCGCGCCGAAAAGGAGAAGATGGAGGAGCTCAAGCGACGCAAGGGGGCGGGAGTCCCCCTGGGGGAGTTGGCGCCGCTGGCGAAGAAGCGGCGGCGGCAGGCGCGCGGCGGCGAGGTGTAGGCGGCCGCTGCGGGCCGCTGGGAGCGGGGCGGCCGAGGGGGGAGTGTTGCGGCGCAGGCAGTCAGGGTCACATGGTGCAGGGGGGTGTGGCTTTGCGCACGTCGGATTGTTCACTGTAATGGTTCCAGGCTGTCGAGCGATCGTTCGGGGTCCCCCTCTGAAGTATAACCGATGTCTGAGATGTCCAAAACACCACACACCCCCCCCCGTCGCACGGCCGAGCGTCCACACACAGTTCACGCCCCGGCGCCCCACCGCTGCTGCAGCTCCTTGGCGTGCAGGCGCGCCATGAGCTTGTGCGCAGGCTTCAGGTCCTCCAAGACCAGCCCCCCAGACACACAGGCCACCGGGTGCCTGCACGTGCAACAAGGGAGGGGTCTCATGTCTCCGGATGCGCGGCAATCCGCCTGCGCGCAGATCACTGGCCTGCTCGCCGCTCCTCGCGCCGTCGCGGACCGCAGCCGGACGCCGGGCGGGCAAGACGCGGACGAAGGGCACGCGTCAACGCGACGCATTTATGTAGCTCACCCGCACCGCCCCTTGTGCCGCAGTTCGTTGCGGATGTAGTCGACGACGTCCTTCTTCTCGAACACGTAGCCGTGCCCGTCCACGACGGGCTCCCGGATGTCGTTCAGCGCCGAACCGGAGATCGGGCACGCCCGGTTGAGGTAGGTGCCGGCGCCCGCGGGGGCCTGCGTCACCATCATGTCGTCGTCCTCCTCCTCGGGCTGGCGGCCCGCCGCGCCGGGAATCAACGCGCGGACGTCGTCCATGCCTTGGACCCCCGGGAACGCCTCGTTCGGGTTGCTTATGTACCAGATAGCTCCTTCATGGGCCTCAACCTCGTTCAGGCAGTCCTCGGCGCCGACGTGCTTGCGCTTCTCCGTGAACTGCGCGGCAGAGGGATCCGGGAAAGCCGCTCGGCGCCGGCGGGAACGCCGCGGGCGCGCCCTAGGGCAATGGGGAGGGGGGATGGCTGGTGGGTTGGACCGTGGCGCGTGTGCGGTGGCTGGAGCAGCTCGAGGCGGTGCGAGGGAGCGTGTGCGCGGGCCATGGGAGGTACCTCTACGAAGAGTCTCTCCGCGTTGTCCTCGAGCTGGTCTGGGGCGACCGACGTCATGGCCTGCATCGCCGCGCGCATCTTCTGGGACTCCGACCGCGCCAGCGCAACCTCCCGGAAGATCTGCAAGGCGCCACGAGCACGCCCCGATCAGAAAACCCGCGCCTCGGCGACGGCCCCGCCCGGAAATCGGCGCGCGAGGCTCCAGCCCCGCCAGAGACGTTGAATGTGGCGGGAAGCGCGCTGCGTGCCGGAACCGGGGGGCGGGCGGGCGCCGCGGACCTCGGAGCACGTCTTCGAGAGCTCGGTGCGGCCGCTGGCGTGCAGGCCGGCCGCGGCATCGTCGATTTTCGAAAGCAAGTTATTCAAGGCTTCTTCCGTGTCCTTGAAACGCCCTTCCCCGCGCTGGAACTGCGCATCTGTCTCCCTGCGGTCCGCCATCATCGTGTAGACTTCCGCGCCGCACCCCGGGGGGTGTGGGAAGCCGCGGGGACCCGCGACGGGCCCGGAGATGCCCACGGAAGGGCGTGCGCGGTCACGCTGCGCCGTTTCTGTCGCGCTGCGGCCTCGGTGACGCACGGGGCAATGCGGAGGCGGTGCGCTGTCGGTGGGAGGGGGTTGTGGCCCGGAAGCGCGCGCGGGCCGGCCATGGCGACGTCGAGCGGGGGCGGTACGCAGAGCTCCTGGGGGGCCGGTGGAGTCAATCGTATAATTCCATTTAATCGTGCATGTATAATTACGATTAGAATCATACATGGAAAAGGCGGTCGCACGGCGTCGAGCGGAAGGGCTGGCGCCGCGTCCTGCGCGCGGCAGAACGTGGCGCTGGCCAGGCATCGCGCGCGGGCACAGAGGCGTGCTGCTCGGCGCTCGTACGGGCCGCGCGAGGCGCATTGCAACAGTGAGAGAGCCCGCACTCCCACGGAGGCCGTGACCGGAAACACGGCGCATCTCTGGTACCACCGAGTCGCAGCACAGGCGAAGCGTCAGCCCTGGGTTGGTTCAGGTCCGGAGGTGGCCGCGGGGATGAGCGGCGGCGGGCGGTCTCGTGCTGCGGCCCGTGCGGTCGCGCAGCGCTTGTCGACGTGGGCGGGGTCCCTCACGCGCGGGTCCGCGGAGTCCCCTCTGCGCGAAGTCGCGCATGAGTGTTGCTCGCTCACGCTCGCGCCCATCCACGCGCTGCGTAGCGCTCGAGCCCTGGGCAATGCCGGCAGCAGGGCCGCTCCGCGGCGCGCGTACGGCGCGCACACGCACCGCTTCGTCACGGGTCGCATGTACGCGCCAGGATGGAGCCTGCATCGGTTCGGAGCGCTGACGGCGACGGCTGCGGCCAGCGCAGGTGCGCTACGTTGCCTGTGCCCCTCCGCCGGGGCGAAAGGGCCCGCAGACGCGCCGTCCGGGCTTTTGCGTCGGATCGCTCGCGGCACATAGAAGCTGTGTTGATGGGGAACGGCCGCGGGGAAAGAACGCGGTCGATTATGGCCTGAGCGCGTGCCACCGGCAGCGTTTGCTGTTCTTTCTGCGAATGACATTGGTTCCAACGTGCCTGCGCGACGACATGCGGCCGCGCGCCCCGCCCTGGCGCCGTCCCGTCTCCACGAGCGTCCGCGCGGCGTCGGAGTCGGAAGGGCAGCAGCACGACGCCGAAGCGTGAGCATGTTTGTGCGCAGGTGCGAGTGGGGGGGGTCCTGGGTGTCAGCGGCGGGCTGCGGGCGGCATGGCGTCGCCATACGTAATCCGACGGGACAGCGCGGGGTTCGGCAACTCCCTCGTCCCCACCCTGCGGTGCGCGCCCGGCGGTTCCGCCCGCATCTGTTGCGCGCGCCCGGCGGACGGCCACGCGTTCGACCGCGCCCGGGAACCCGCTCCCGCTCAACGTCCTTTTTTTGCGCGCGAACTGCCGCGGAGCACTGCTGCGCGGGACCGCCGCCCGCGTCACACTGTGTCCGTGCAGGGACAGACTGGATCGAGCGACCTCCGTGCGAGACGTCGCCGCGCTGTGCGACGAAAACTGGGACTCTCTGACCACTCCCGACATTCTCTCGGCCGTAGACGCGGCCGCGCGGGTCCTCTCGGCCCTCACGCTGCGCGTCAACCAAGCCGCTAGAGAGGGCCTCCCAGAAACAGCCCGCGAGCGCCTCCAGGCCTACGGAAAGGGCCTCATGCTGCAGGCCCCCGCGACGACCGAAGAGGAACACAAGTGGCTCCAGGACATCATGCTCGTACGCCCCCATGCCCCCACCACCATTACCCTCCCCTTTTCAACCAAACATTCCTAACACCCCCCCTTGCCCGCTCCGACCCCCCCCGCAGGCGGCGGTCGCCGACGAGGCCGCGGTCGCGCCACGCGACTCCGCGAACCTCGCCAACGCGTACGCGGAGCTCCGCACCGCCGACGCCGGCCGCCACCCGCGTGCGCCGGAACTTGAACGGCGCATCCTGGCCCTCCTCGAGCGCGACGTCGGCGTCATGTCGGCCCGGGAGCTCGCCCGCGCCCTCGAGGGCCTGTCCTGGTGGCGCATGGACCTCGCGGGCGACGCCCGGTCGACGTCCCGCTCCCAACACGCTGACGTCGGCGCGGGGCTTCGCCGCGTGGCGCAGATGCGGTTCGCTCTGCTGCTGCAGCACCCGCGCGTGCCGATGGGGCCCACGATCACCTGCGCGGGGGCGCTGACGCGCCTCGGGTGGATGGAGGTGCCGATGTTCGCGCAGGCCGTTCAAGCAGTTGCGATGGAGGGCACCCCGCTGTCGCTGTCGCAGCAGCGCGCGCTGATCGAGTGCCACGACGTGATGTGTATTAGTCGCGGCGCGACGGACCTCGTCGACGAGCTCGGGGGCGATGAGGGGCGGGCGCTGCTGCGGCTGTGTCTCGATGCACATGCCGGGAAGGGGAGTCGCGGGGGCCCGCGGTGCCGCGGTCCGCGAAGCCGCTGGGGCGGGACTTGTCGCTGGTGTCGCTGCCGGCGTACGCGGAGACGCAGGATTCGGTGTGGTGGCGGTTGCGCGACCTGGCAGCGCAGATTGATGCTGCTGACGGCGAGCGGCGGTTGCGGCACCTCGTGTCGCGCGGCGCGTCGTACTCGCGCCCGGACGTCGTCGCGGAGTACGACCACCACGAATCGGGCATCGGGCTGCCGGTGTTCTACCTCGTCGCGGTGCTAGGACGACTCGCCATCCTGAAGAAACACGCACTCGGGTACGCGCCTGCGCCGGCCCCGCGCCGCTTCTCGCTCGGAACAGCCACTTCACGCTAATTTTTCGATCGCATTTTTCGAAAACGTGCACGCGTTCCATGCCCGCCCGCGCTCGTCGCCGCCCCGCCCGACTCCTCTCCGCTCCGACCACGAGGCGCCCCGCGCCCCGCCGCCGCAGACCCGCCCGCAACGAGGAGATCTCGTTATTCGACCGCGTCTTCCAGCTCGTCGGCGACTCCGCGGACTCCATGTCCCCGCGGCTCATCTCCTCCACCATGCGCATCGCGGGCTCCTGGACGCGCATGGCCAGGTCGCACCTCCCCGAGCGCGCCGTCGACAACCTCACCGCCGCAGGCCTCGAGGCGCTCCCGGAGATGCAAGGCCAGGACCTCCTGAAGTTCCTGTGGGCCGCCGCGCGCCTGGAAGGCCCCATCTCGGCCGCACAAGCCACGCTCGCGGCGTCGCTGCTGCGGGAGAAGCTGGCGCTCATGCCGCTGCGCGACGCGTACATGGCGATCGGCGCGCTCGCGAAGCTCGGGCACGTGCCCGATCAGACGGTCGTGAGGCTCTTTGATGAGTGTGCGCGCGCGGAGGTGGAGCTCGGAGACGAACTGCACCGCCCTGACGTGGCGCTGCTGTACGACGTGCTGCGGATCGCGGAGGTGCGTGCGCGGCGGCGGGCCGCGCGCGGCCTGCGCGGCGGCGGGCCGCGGGCAATGACTGCACGTACTGGGCCACTGCGAGAGAGAGTTGCCGTTGCTTTTGAAGTCTTTGATTTCCGAGTGCCGTCGGCGCGGTGCCGGGGCCCTGTCGCCGATCGAGGCGTGCACGCACTGGCGGTGGCCGCTTCCTCTCCGACGCGCGGCGTTTCTGTTTCGGAAGCGCACGTCGTCCGCTACCAGTCGAGAATCCTCGACTGCTTTTCCCAAAACCCATCTCACACCAATCCCCCTCCCTCCCCGCAGGCCCGCGCGCGCGGCCACCGCGCCCTCGGCACGTCCAACGCCTTCGCCGAGGCCCCCGACGACCGCGTCTCGCTCGTCGCGCGCATGACCGACCCCGGCGCCGCCCTTGCTGCTCGCGCTCGCGAGATCGGCAACAGCCCGGACCGGTGGAGGTCCGCGACGCAGGACCCCGTCAACCTCTTCCACCGCGCCCACACACCCGCCGAGGTGCTCGGCCTCGCGCTCGACTTCGGCGTGCTCACCGAGGCAGAAAACGGGGGTATTGTGCCGCCGACAGCGCCGCACTCGAAGGAGGCCGCCCGCGTCGCGAACGCCGCGCTCTCGCGGCTCGGAGCCGTCGCGGTGCTCGCGTCGCCCTCGGACGCAGCCGCGCTCGCGCCGTGCATCCACGGGCTCCTCGACACGCTGTCGTTGGCGCCCGCCGCCTCGGCGGCCACGGCGGGGCCTGTCCGGGCGAAGGACTCGCACGAGGGCGGGGCTCCACCGCAGGAGTCGATCACGCACCTCATTGCGTGTCTTCGGCTCGCGCAGATCGCGCCGGAGGGCACCGTCACGGCCGCGCTGGTCGATCGCATCATGGAGCAGGTGCGCGACGCGGCGCGCGCCGGGGCGCTGTCGGTGCGGGACTTCTCGACGGCGCTCGAGAGCGCGGCGCACTTCAGCCAGCTCGGGTTCCTCGGGCCGAACACGGCCGGGCGCGGCGCGGTGACGGCGCTGCGGGAGGCCCTGGTGACGGAGGCGCGACACCAGCTCGAGCGACCGCGCCGGACCGCGAACTTCGGCGTCGTGTCCGTGCCGTGGCGCAACGCGGTGGCGGTGAACGTGATGGCGGCGGCGATGGACCGGCACGCGAGCGACCGCGAGCTGCTCGACGCGGTCACGCTGTCGGTGGACCTCATCGGGGGGGTGTTTCCGAAATACCACCCCCTGCTGTGGGGGGCGTTCGAGGAGCGCACGCAGGGCGACGCGAGCGCGATGATCCAGCACATCGAGGACCTCCCCGAGCGCGCGCGCCGGGTCCTGCTCGCGTGCAAGAGCACCGCCGACGACCGGGCGGCGTTGGAGGCGCACGGAGGCGCGTTCGCCGACGCGGTCGCGGCGTTCCCGAGGCTCGACACGATCGAGGCGGTGATGCGCGTGCTCGCGTCGGCCGACGGCGACCCGGCCGTCCCGACCGGGTTCCTCGCTGCAGGCCTCTGTCGGGCGGCGGACGTGCTGGCTTGGGACGCGCTTTCCGTCCACGCGATGTGGCGGCCGCGCCTCGACGCCGTGCTGGCGCAGCTGGTGGACCGCATCGACGAGCTGAGCCCCGCGCAGCTCCCGAGCCTGCTGCGTGCGTTCCGGATCTACAACGCCCCGGGGGGACTCATGGCAGACCCCCAGCTGCTGGCGGCGCTCGGCGACGCAGCGATCGCGGCGCTGCCCGTGATGACGCCGCACAACATGGCCAGCACGCTCATGTACCTCGGGCGGCTGCAGTACGCGGTGCCGCGCGCGTATCAGGCCGCGGCGGGTGGGGAGATTGTGGCGGCGGTGCCTGCGCTCGGTATCGCGGAGGCAGCGCGGCTGCTGACGGGCGCGGCGGCGATCGGCGCGGTCCCGAGCCAGGAGCAGTTCTTCGACGCGCTCGACGCCGTCGCGTGGCCGCAGGGCATGAAATCGAGGATGCAATCCTTTGCGCGCGCGCTCTCGGTGTCCGACCAGCAGCGCCTCGCGCGCGCCGTTGCGGCCGTGCGGTCGCGGCACAAGCGGTACGACGGCCGGCCGGAGGAACCGTACGGCCGCTCCGAGCGCCTCGCGACCGCGGTGGAGCGTTGGGAGGACGTGGCAGCGTTGAAGTTTGACGCGGCGATCAAGACGAGAAAGCTCATCTCGTGTTCGCAGACAATCGCGGAGCTGCAGCGCCGCACGAAGCTGGTCTTCGGGGACGACATGGACCCGATGCTCGTCGTCGCGGTCGCCTCCGCGATGACTGCTTCGCTCAGGGAGCTGAAGGGCCCCCTCCTGGCAGGCGCGCGCCGGCCGGCGCCGCTGGCGCGCAAGGCCGCGAAGAACGCGCAGGCGCCGGGCTCGGCGGGCATCCCCGCGTCGTTCTTCGGGCTCGTCAACCGCACGCTGCACGCCGCCAATTCCGTCGCCTGGGCGCTGTCCCCGGGCAACGTTGTTTCGGTGGTCACGATGGCCGGCCGCGTCGCGCGGCTGCCGCCGCCGTCGTCGCTGGACCCCCCGCAGCGCGCGCGCACGGTCATCGGCGAGCGCGTCCCGCCTTCGTACGTCGACTTCTCGCGCGAGGGCACGCGCACGGTGCTTTTACCGCCGCGTCTGACCGAGGCGCTCGAGGCCTCCCTGCGACACCTCCCGCACCTGCAGCTCGGGCACGCGCTCGCAGCGCTCGACAACCTGCAGCACGAGGCGACGCCGGAGTTCCTCGACGAGCTGCGCGCGGCGTTCGTGGCGAACGTGCCAACACACAGCGACGCGTTGGAGCTTTGCAAGGACTTTGGGAACTTCGGGCGGTACCTGCACGCCAACGGGCAGCAGGCGGACGTGGACGCGTTCCGCGCGACGCTCGACCGCGTCCACGCGCTGACGGAGGGCCGTGGGGCGAGGGACTTTCACCGGGTGCTGCATGAGGGGTTGGGGGCGCATTTGAGGGGCGCGGTCGGGTGGGCGGTGGAAGCGATGGCGCAGCGCGGGGAGGAGGTGCCGAGGGAGCACCGGCGGTTCGTCGACGCGGTGCTGGGCGTGGGCGGGCCGCCGCGGCGGGCGCAGCGGGGGGGGGAGTCTGCGGCGGGGAGTCCGGGGGTGTCAGCGGACGCGGACTTCGGGCACGTCGGGGGAGCCGGCGGCGCGCAGTACGGCGCCCTGGTCGGCGCGCTCGCGCGGTACGAAGACTTCATGTCCGCGGCGGGCAGCACGGGTATGCGGCATGACGCCTGGCGCGAGGAGCACGGCGACCTGACTCGCGCCGTTCGGGCCGCGGTTGAGGGGGCGCCGGCGTCGGCGTGGGACGAGCTACCGTTCGCGCAGCTCGCGTGCCGGATCGCGCAGCGTTTCGGGGAGGACTACGTCAAGGCGGGGGAGGCGTCGTCCGTGACTACCCAGGGGGCGTTATGCGGCGTGCGTGAGCCGCTGATGGGCGCGGTCGTGCGGGCGCTGACGGGCCCGGCTGCCGGACAGCTGGCCGAGAAGGAGGTGCGCCACGCGCTGCGCGGCGCGGCGCGGTTGGGTGGGAAATTGGGCGGCGCGGAGGTTGCGGAGAGAATCCGGGGGCTGGTGGAGGGGATGGCGCAGGAAGCGGGCGGAGAGGACTACAAGGTGCTGGAGAACCTCATCGCGACCGTCGAGGCCACGGCGCAGCTCGGCGTGCTGTCGCGGGACGTGTGGGCGCGCGCGACGGAGCTCGCTGCCAACGCGTGGGACGGTAAAGGGCGGGTGAGTGAGGCAGCCCGCGACCGCGGCGCACTGTCTGCGTGGCCGACGTGCGTCTGGGCGCCTGCGTCCTAGCGGCGATGTATATATATGACATGCGATCACATATGAATTTATATTTATATTTATATTTATATTCAAGAACACGTTTCTATTGTGCAGACGGGGACTTCGATGTACCGGGTGCGCGCGGGGCGGCTGCTGCAGGCCTGGGACGACATGTACGCCGAGCAGAGCGGCACGTCGATGGCGTCGCTGGCCATGCGCAGCATCACGGGCGAGAGCGCACCTGCGGCCTGCGCGCAGGAGGCCATCGCGGCGGTGGCGCGCGCGGGGCTCAGCGAGACCGCGCAGGCGTACATCAGGCAGCTCTTCCTGGACGAGGTGAGCGAGCGGGCGGCGCCACACGCGCACACGTGCACGTCGCGGAATGATTAGTCTTCTGTGCACTCCTCTACTCACGTTGCGTCGTCGCGGGCCGTGGGGCCCTGGCGGCCGGTGCGCGCGTTCTTTCTATGCAAGACCTATGTGTCGATGCGCGTTGTCGTTTCGTGCGCCGCTGCGCTGCAGACGAACGGGTGCCTGGCCAAGGGGCAGCAGCAGATGCGCATGGCAACGGCTCTCACGCAAGTCACGTCGTACGCCGACCTCGAGAAGCTCTTGTCGCAGGACGACCACCTGCTCTCTCCGCGGGCCAGCATGGCCGCCGTCCAAGCGGTGCGCCGCGCAACCCCATCGCCACAGCGCACAACGCAGCCGATACTGCTCTCCGCACCTACACCGCCCGCCACGCAGCCTCCCGCCCCAAGACCTGTCCACGTCGGCCCCACAGTCCCTCCGCACCCTCACCTCACACCGACCCCCGCCCTTCCACAAAACACCCCCCTCGACACCCCCCTTTTGCAGCTGTGGCGCATCACGGCCGCGGACGCCGCCGGCGCGCCCCCCGCGGACCTCACCCGGTCCGTCGCGCTCCGCGTCTGCCGCGACGCCGACTCCTTCAGCACCAAGGACCTCTTCCACCTCTGGCACCCCCTCGGCGCCCTCGCGCGCGACGGCCACATCCATTTCCGCCCCTCCGCCGACGGGCACGCCGCGGACGACCCGGCGCGGTCCGTCGCGGCCGCGGAGTGGCGCGTCCTGCGCAACCGCACCGTCGAGCACGCCTCCGGCGCCCCGTCCATGCTCTCCCTCCTCCTCACACTCTACGGCATGGACAACGCCGGCGTCCTGGACGAGCACGCGCTGACGCGGCTGGTCGAGGCGCTGGCGCAGGGCGCGCGGACGCGCACGGAGGCCCCCCACCGGATGTCCGCGACGGACCGGCGGCGCATTTGGGACCTCGTGACGACGCGGTTGAAGCCTGGGGAGATGAGTGTGGGTGCGCGGCAGTGGGTGAGGCTGTGCAGGCCCGGGGCGGTGCGGGGCGCGGGCGGAGGGGCGGAGCGGGCGGCGGTGGGGGCGGAGGGGCGTGGGGAGGAGGCGGAGGCGGAGTAGGGGCCGCGGGCGGCGCGGGGTGTGGGTTGGTGTGGGTTGTGTGGCTGGGAGTCGAGGAATGAGGCCTAGGGAATCTCTGGGCTGGTTGTTTGATCTTGGGGGCCGCGTGCGGCGGCGGAGGCGGTGTGTTGGCGGTGCTTGCGGCGCGAGGGGCGCTGTGAGGGCCGGGAGGCGTCGCGGGGCGGGGCGGGGGGGAGTCTGCGGCCCTGGCGGGCGAAAGCGCTGGCAGCTTTAGGCCCCCATAGGCCGATATCGGGGCCGGGTGCCGTCTAGGGGCGCGCGTGGGCGGCCGTGCGGTTAGTTTGAGATCTTCGAGAACTCTTATTTGCCGTCTGTGCACCGCCGTCAGTGCACAGCTCTTAGGAACGCGTTTCGCCCGTCTGTGGATCGCGACACAATGGCCTTCACCTGCAACGTCGTCAAGGCGCCCGTTGCGGCCACCAAGGTCGCCGGTGCTCGCCGTTCCGTCAAGGTGCGAGCCACTCCGCGCGCGCGACGCCGCGCAAGCCCCCGGGCGCGCGCCCGGAGCGCTGATGCCCGCTCGCTGCATCCTGCCCCCACCGAGGCCCGCTGGGCCCGAGGCCGCGTTGATGCAATCCCATCGCGATACTGGGGCTTTACGACGTTTCGAGCACATCGGGCCGGCCTCGTGAGGCGCTGAAAACCGCGCAACGCGGCGCTTCTAGGCAAATGGATGTAGGCAGCCGGCCCGCGCCGTCGCGTGTGCGCCCACGGCCTCTTCCACCCCTCCACGCGCTCCGAATACCTCTCCCCATCCGGGCGTTCACGGCATCTTTCGCCGCGTGGCCCTCACCAGCGGCTGCGCGGTGCCCCAGTGCCCATCGGAACCTCCACCGGGCCGCTCTCTCCGCGCACGGGCCCTCCTCGCACGGCGCCGCCCATCGCCGCGTTCCCAATTCCTTCCCCGTCTCCCCGCGCCCGCACACACCGCGCTCGACGCGCCGCGCGCAAGAGCGAGCCCGCCCAGCCCAGCTGTCCAGCCACATAGTCCTAATCGCCCCCTGCGCGCCCAACAACCCCCCATCCCCGCCCCTCCCGCCCGCACACCACGCACCACCCCCACCGCTACCCCTTCCGCGCCCCTCCACCCTCGCCACACCCCCCACCACCACTTGCGGCGGGAACCCTGCCTCAAGCATCCCCTCTCCAGATCGCCCCCTCACACCCTCGACACCCCCTCTCCCCCCTTTCTCTCCACCCGGAACCCCTCTCCCCCCACCCTCCTCCCACCCGCGGCGCCCCGCAGCCTCGCTCGCCCCCCCCTCGCCCCGCAAGCCCACCTCCCTCTCCGCCGCCCCGCCACGCAGGCGCGCGCCGCCGCGGCGAAGAACGAGGAGGGCTTCGCGATGATGCGCGACGGCGTGAAGGTCGCGGCCGACGAGACGCTCCTGACGCCGCGGTTCTACACCACGGACTTCGACGAGATGGAGCAGCTCTTTTCTAAGGAGATCAACCCCAACCTGGACCTCGAGGAGCTGAAGGCGTGCCTCGAGGAGTTCCGCAACGACTACAACCAGCGGCACTTCGTCCGCAACAACACGTTCAAGGCCGCCGCGGACAAGATCGAGGGGGACACGCGCAAGATCTTTGTCGAGTTCCTGGAGCGGTCGTGCACGGCCGAGTTCAGCGGGTTCCTGCTGTACAAGGAGCTGGGCCGCCGGCTGAAGACGACGGCGCCCGAGGTCGCGGAGATCTTCACGCTCATGTCGCGCGACGAGGCGCGCCACGCCGGCTTCATCAACAAGGCCATGTCGGACTTCAACCTCGCGCTCGACCTCGGCTTCCTGACGCGCAACCGCAAGTACACCTTCTTCAAGCCCAAGTTCATCCTCTACGCGACGTACCTCTCGGAGAAGATCGGGTACTGGCGCTACATCTCGATTTACCGCCACCTGCAGCGCAACCCCGACAACCAGCTGTACCCAATGTTCGAGTACTTCGAGAACTGGTGCCAGGACGAGTCGCGGCACGGGGACTTCCTCGCGGCCATGCTCAAGGCGCGCCCGGAGCTCCTCAACGACCTCAAGGCCAAGGCGTGGTGCAAGTTCTTCTGCCTGACGGTCTACATCACCATGTATCTGAACGACCACCAGCGCTCGGCGTTCTACGAGTCCCTCGGCCTCAACACGACGGAGTTCAACCAGCACGTCATCATCGAGACGAACGAGACGACCAAGCGCATCTTCCCGCTCGTGCCCGACGTCGAGGATCCGCGCTTCTTCGCGGCGCTCGACCGCGCGGTCGAGCTCAACGCCAAGCTCACCGCGCTCGGCAAGGACGCGTCGCCGCTGCAGAAGCTCCCGCTCATCGCCGGCATCGGGAAGGAGTGCCTGTCGCTGATGCTCATGAAGGGGATCGAGACCGGCTCGCTCGACATCAACCTCGACGAGGCGCAGATGGTGTACTAAGCTCCAGACCGCCCCTGGCTGCGCTTGATAGATCATAGGACGGCTGCGCGGGGCCCGCGCGGTGGTCCCCTCCCTCTGTTGCTTGCCACTGCGTCGAGCGGTGGTGTTGTCTTGGCCCGCTGCGTGGCCGCGCCCGCGCCGGTGAGCGCTGTGCTGCGCTGCGCTGGCGCGGTGGATCGTGGCGCGGCCGCGCCCTCGGACTTGCCGTCGTTTTTGCTCCCTGCACGGCGCGAGGGTGCGGCTGCGGACGGCGGCGGCGGGGCAAGGCGCGCGCGTGGCGCGAAGGATGCCATGTAAACCAACTCGCAACGCTGCGTCGAGCGCCGCACCGCGACGCGTCACACGGGGATGCCGCCCTCGCACAACTGCCTTGCAGCGCCGCGCACCACCGCGACAGCGCAGCTGGTACAAACCGCGCCGCACGACGCAGCGGTCCTTCCGTGCGAGCGCAGCCCGGCCGCCCCTGCCACCGTTGCGCGGCACGTCCCGTCTGCGGGCGATTCCCGTTCCATCCGAGGCTAGCTGCACTGGCGCCAGCTACCCCAGGCCGCGTCCGCTACCCCGCGCGACGCGCCCCACGGCCCTTGCCTGCTATGCTAAGCCGCGGCGCGACAGCGGGGAGGACCACGGGCGTCGTTCGAGCCAGCGTTCACACGCACTGCAGTGTTGTTGCGAGTCCCCGCAGGGCGCAGCTTACTCGTCGACGCTGCTCGACACGCTGCTCTTCGGCTGCGTGCCGTACGAGCTCCCCACGATCCCGCCGCCGGTCGCCTCCGACGCGCGCGAGACCTTGACCCTGCGGGGCGCGTGCCGTAGCTGGCGTCAAGTATGTAACACGCGGCCAGTGCGCACGCAGTGGCCGCAGCTGACCGCTGCAGGGGGCGCCGATGGCGGGGCGCAGCGGGGGGGGTGTTGCGAGCGAGGCTGCGGGCGGGAGCGGGGGTTGTCGTGGACGCACCGTGCGCGCTTAGGAGTGCCGGGGGCGTTGTCGTCGAAGCCCTCGCCGAGGGCGCCGAGGCCGTCGGTGGCGACCTTCTTCGCGATGACGGCGGCGCCGACGCCCGCGGCGCCGAGGGACCCGAGGACTGCGCAAAGGCGGGTGGTGGAGGAGCTGTGTGAGGCTTCTGCGTGCGTCCTCCGCCTGAGACACGTCAAGCCACGGAAAAGGCCGTCGAGGGCGTTGTCCTTGAGTTGTGAAACGTCGGAATCGGGATGAAATGCGAGGAGAGCGCGGTTCGAGGCCGTGGCGCGAGGAGAGAGAGAGGAGGTGGGAGAGCCAAGGAGCCATCCTCGCCCCTGGACGGCGAGTCAGGGGCCAGTCGCGCCCAGAAGCGCACCTAGGAGGGTGATCTCGGCGCCCGTGACCCACGGCGATCCGTTGAACGCCTCGCCCGGCATTCTCGCGACGGCAAGCGACGGAGAAACCCCTCGAGACGGAAAGCACCACCCGGTCCTGCTAAAATGCCGCTCTCACGACGCTTCGAAACGTGTACGAACCCACGAGCTCGCCTAGCTGTAGTGCGCAGTCTGTGCTCTAGTTGGGCGCGAAAGTGGGGCCATGAGACTTGCTGCGTCGACTCCGGGAGCGTAAAACGTTCCTGACTGCACCACAGTACCCTCGGGGCGACGCGCGTCGCGCAAGGACCTCCGCGCGCGCCGGTACGCTGCATTCCGCCGGTAGTTGGCGACCTGTGCTGAGCTGTCAGGGGGCGGAACAATGTCTGTGGCGTCGCAACGAGCGGTGTTTGCATCTCAGCGTGGCGTCCGTGCGTCCCGGCGCGCAGGGGCGACACGCAGCGTCGCGTGCCACAGCTGCAGCAAGCGAAACATTCTCACCGCCGGCGTTGCGTCCCTGGCGTCGATCGGTGCGTGGTCCTCGCGATTTTGCGCGGCAACGGAGATCTGCTGCCCTCCCGAGTCGTTTCACGGCCCTGCACAGCCAGAACATGCCATCTGACGCTTTCAAAACTCGCTCCCCAGCATAGCTCCGTTCTCAACATGGCATCGCGGTGCCACTCAAGCGCGGACTCCCCCCCGCTGCGTCCTGGCCGCGCGCCTTGCATCCAGGCAGCAGTTGCCCCACCGACGCTCCGCCCCGGCCCCCGCAGCGGCCCCCGCGCGCGCCGCCGACTTCGACGAACTCAACGACTCGCTCGCCAGTGGCCTGGTCAAGAAGTTCGTCGACGAGCGCAAGGAACGCACTTCCAAGCTCACCCCCCAAGACGCCCTCTCGACGCTCGCCGACACCCGCCTCGCCCTCACCCAGGTCGTCAAGGTCCGCCCCTCCCTCGCGCCGCGCGCACCACGCCCCCCCGAGACACTCCCCCCCGGACTCCCCCCCCGGACGCGCGCTTTCGCAACGCCGCGTGCGCTCACGGCGCCTGGTCCGGTGCCGCCCGCGGCCGCAGGTGGCGTCGACGGACAAGACGGACGACACGCGCCGCGTCGCAGAGAAGTACTACCCGCGGTGGGCGAAGGCCGTCCGCGGCGTCGGCGACGCCTCAATCTTTCTCGCAGAGACATACAGCCTGTCGAAGCTGAGCGACCGGTACGGCGGGGACCAGGAGGGCGGCGGGCTGAAGGAGGGCACGTCGTTCACGCAGCGGTCCGAGCTGGACGAGATGCTCTATGCGATGGGCAAGGTCATCACGCTGTCGGGGCGGACCATCCGCGAGGAGGCGCGGTGGGACCCGAGCATCGCGCAGGCGGCGATCGAGCGGCTCGACAAGTTCGTGGACAGCATACCGAAGGAGTAGGGGGGCGGTGCCGCGTTGCCGCGCGCTGGCGTGGCGCGCGGCTGCTGTGGGATGTTTGGCGTACGCAAAGGGCGACGGCGACGTCCGCCTTGTCTCGCTTGTAATTCGCTGACTCGGCGTTGTGAGCGAGACTTCATGTGTGTCACATCGTCGCTGAATATCGAGAACACGGCGGTGCTGTGTTTGTATGTGTGTGTTTGTACTTTTTACTTTTTGAGAGCCCGAAGTCAGTCTGAATCGTCAAGGAACTCAATCACGGTCTCCGCCGCCCGCGGCGCGCCTCCGGCGCTGCGCCGCCCCGGCCTCGGGGTCGTGTCCGGCACCGCGAGCGGCGGCGACGTGCCTGCGTCAGGCCGCCTGCGCGCCAGCCGCTCCGCCAGGCCCACGTCGTCGTCGCCGGAGCTGTCCGAGGACGACAGCACGATGTCGGCGCGCGCGCCCGACGTCCGCTGCGGCGGACGGATCCGCGAACGCGTAGGCGGCGCTGGCGTCGCGTCGACGTCGCCGTCGCCGCACTGCGCACTTTCTGGCTGGTCCGCGGCCCGCTTCGTTGCCGTCGCCTCAGCGGGCGCGCCGCCGGCGTTCGGCGGCGTCGGGAGCGTCTGGTGCATTCGCGCCTGCACCTGCAGGAGCCTCTCGCGCAGGGACAGCTGCAGAGGGGGGGACTCGTCGCTCTTGTCCCCCCCCGCCGCTGCGCCGCCCCGCCCCGGCGCCGCCCGCCCGCCCCGACGCACCTCGTCCTTCTCGGGCGTCTCCGGCGGCGTCGGCAGGTCCGCGAAAGTCCCCCACTTCGGGTTCTGCCCGTCGAACATCGCGTAGCCGGGGGACTCTGGATCATTCAACACCCCCCCCTCCGCCGCCCGGCCCTCGTCCCGCCGCGACGGCGACGCCGTCCCAGACCGCAGCCCCGCGCCGCCCGCGTCGTCCTCGACCTGCGACGGGCTGTTGTCGCACAGATCGATCACCGCCCAGTCCTCCCCGAGTCGATTACCCCCCCCTTCACTCCCCCCCGCCGCCGGCGACGCGGCCCGCGACCCGCCCTTCCGCGCGGGCGCCCTGGCCTTCTTCTTCACGGGCGTCGCCTGCCGCGACGCCGCCTCCGCAGCCCCCTCCGCCTGCGTCTTTCGCTCGGACGTCTTGCGCGTTGCGCGCTTGCGGCCCCTCTGCCGCTTGCTGCCGCCGTTGCCCCACCCGACGGACCCGCCGGCCTCGAGCGCCTGGAGCCACGTCCCCGCGCCGCCGCACACCGGGCACGGACCAGTCAGTGGCAGCCCACTGTCAGTCACGGATCCTCGACTGGAAAATACGTCGGCAAGACACCGCATGTGGACCTTTCCGGGACATCCAGGCGTCCCCGCGGCGCACCCCGCCCACCCGCTCGACGCGTCCTTCCCGCACACCGCGCACGGGTGCTGGCAGGCACGCTTGCGCCCCGCGACACCCCCCCCCGCTGTGTCTTGCGTCAACACAACCCCTCCCTCCACGCTCGCGCCCGGGAGCTGCGAGCCGCCCGTGATCAGCCCGCTGTCGCCGAAGAGGCCCTGGTACGACGAGTCCGACTCCCACCCCGCGACACCCCCCTGCGAGAGCCCCGCCATCGAAACGCCACCCCCCTGACTCATCGGCCAGTGCTGCGACAGTCCGCCGTCCTCCGCGCCGAGCACGCTCGTCCCGCCCGACACCGCACCGTCCTCGCCGTCCCCGCCGCCCTGCCCGTCCTCCGCATCCGACGCGTCCAGCGCCACCGGCAGCGTGTCCATCGGACCGCACGTCACCGCCACGTGGCCCGGCGGGGGCGAGCACTGGAGCTGCAGGAACGGGGCCGGGCGGGCACGCGGCGTGATGGCAGCTCGCGAGATCGTTTCAGACGCGCGCGCGCGCGCGTTCGTGGCCTGAGTGTGCGTCGTTGCGGTTCTTGCAGCGTCGTGGTGTTGGTGCGGACCTGTAGCGCCTCGTACTTGGTGTCGAGGATCTGGACGTTGAGCGGAAAGAGGCACCACGGCTCGCATCCGAGCATTTCGAACAGCAGCCGGACCTTGCCCTGCGCAGCGCATCAGGATACTGCTCTGTTGACGTCGCCGCTGCGCTCGAGCGCTCACAGGGCCCAGGGAGATGCCCGCACACATCCACGCAGCCGCCGACGCGTGAACAGCATTCGTTCACGCCCCCAGCACTGAAAAGCAGCGCCCGTGCTACATAACGACCACCAAAGACACTGCATGGCTTGCATCGACCGTGAGCGTCGTGCGACCCACCAGTGTCGTGTTGGGCGTGATGCGGCGCGGGGGGTACGCTCAAGTGCTGGTGGCACGAACAACTGCGGCTGCGCGTCAGTGGCTGTGCGTGTGCGACCACCGCCCTGGGATCCGCGAGCGCCCGAGCGTGCATGCATGCTGGCTGCTTTTACATGCATGCACAGCGCACGCACAGCGCCTTATCAAGAGCGACGGCGCGTCGTCATGCATCAGCCACAGTGAATGCGTCCCTCACATGCTGGCAATTCCTTCAGCGCCTCGTGAACGCGCTCGAGCCGCTCTCTTGCACGCGGCTGGAGCGCATCCTCGAGGCGATGAAGGAGTAGCCAGCATGTGGGGGACGCATTCGCTGCAGCTCATGTATGCCGACGCGCCGTCGCTCTTGCCAAGGCACTTTGCGTGCGCTGTGCATGCATGCGCGTGCGTTCGGTGCCGGAAACGAGGCATTCATCACCAGCGCGTGCGTCCCGCAGGTGCTCGTCAGCCGCACACGCCCCGTGCGAGCCTGACTGTGCGTGCGAAGCGCAGCGCCTGGGCCGCGCAGGGGCGCCAGGGTGGGCCCACGGGGGCGTGCGCACCTGCAGGCCCATCTGCCCGCGGCTGCCGAGCTTCCGCGCGGCCTCGCGGACGGCCTTCGAGCGGTCGGGGTGCTGCCAGGCCCACTCGAACTGCAGCGCTTGAACCTTAGTTGGGAATCCATATACCACGAGGACCATCTCCCAAGGTCTGAGCTTCCTGGTCTTGAACGCGCCGCCCACGATCTCCCCGTTGTGCTTCCGCAGCCGCTGCGCCGGGTTCGGCGTAAACCTGCGGCACGGCAGTCAAGGACCGCGTCAGGGTTGAGCTATATATGCGGCGCTTGCGCTGCAGCGGGCTGAAATGGCCCGGGCGGGCTCGCGAACGGGCGCTGGATGTTTCTGGGCTCGCGTGCGCGCGGTGTCGCAGCATGTCCGCGGCCGCAACGGCTCGTTGGTGCCAGCAGTGCGTGTTGAGAGGGCACTGCGGGCGCTGGAAGCGGCGTCGACTCTGCCACGCGCGACGGCCGCGACGGACCGAAGATGGGGATGCTTGACGCGGCGCTGTTCGCGTCGTTCGGTCCGAGGAGCGCGGGACACGCGACCAGAGGCTGTGTTTTCTGTCCCCGTCGCAGTCTCACGCGAGAACGGGCCAAGCAGAGCCAAACGCGAGCCCACGCGTCTCCTCAGACCGTCCGGGCGCGCGCAGGACGCCCCGGACGCCGCGCACGACGCGGACGCGCTGCGGCCCAGTGCACACTGAGCCCAACCTGGGCGCGGGAACGCCGCAACCGGCGCGGAACCGGGCTGCGACGCTCCTCTGACGGCCGGCAGCGATACGGACGAGCGATTCATCGCGTCTGACGCAGCCAGACCGCCAAAACAAGGCGGCACGACGCACCCGATGTAGGTTCTCCCTTTTCCTTTGGGGTTCAGCGACGACAGCAGGTAGCAGGAGAGGAACCGACCCATGGTGACTGTAGGCGCCAGCGACCCGGTGGCCGGCGCACGCCCTCTCGAGCGCCACAGGCCGAGCGCTCGCGAAAAGATGCTCTTCCGAACACAAAACCCGCGCCCTCCGGTCACCCGCGAAGGCCTCGCGTGGGCCGCGGGGTCCCGCCGCGCTGCCCTGGGCACTGCGGACCCCGCGCGGGGCAGCAGGCACCTCAGCGCGCAGCTCGCGCGCCACGGAAGACACCCCTTGTGTCAGCGGAGCGCGAGACATCCTCCTAGGGACCCCGCACCTGCGTTGTTGCGCGCGTTTCATCGGGCGCGCTGCGCGTAGCTGAGCCGCATTTGCCTTGCACTTCTCGATTATCCCCGTGATTCCTCTCGTGACGGTCGACGGGGGCGAGCGCGGGAGCGCCGGGCGGTGGTTCCAACCGCCACCGCTTCTAGGCACCCGTTTCCCTCCCGCCCGCGCCCTCGTCCCGCGCGCGGCTCGGTGAACACGACAGAGGCTAGTCTACGGAGGGGGGCCACGGTGATGGCGACGCGGCTCGTCGCTTCTCCGCGTCCGCAGGCGCTGTATAGCAGACGGCTCGGCGCGCAGCGGGCGCAGGCACGGACGGCGCCGCGCGCGGCCGCGGCGCCGCTCGTGGAGTTCGTCGCGAAGGTCGCCGGCGACGCGCTGGCGGGGCCAGCCGCGGCGGCGCGCATGGCGGAGGTCGCGGCGACGCCTGGCTGCCAGGTGACCGCTGAGGCCTGGGCGCTCAGCAACGACGCGGAAATCATCTTCGCGTCCACGCTGTACGTCGTCGCGATCCCGTTCATCTCGCTCGCGACGACGATGCTCGTGGACGCCATCTGGGGCGGCGGCGCGCAGGAGGAGGACGCCGACGCCGCCGCACACGACTACGCCCACGCGCCGCAGCGCTCGAGGCGGCCGCCGCCGCACCTGCGCAACTTCGAGCTCCAGATGGCCGCGTACGGCGCCGCGAGCATGGTGCGTTCCCGCCACAGCGACCAGTCTCGGCGTGTCACGCGATCGTCGTCACCCGCCCAGCACACACGCACGCATTGCAGACGCACGCGGTCCATCCCAGCCGCTCCGCGCCCGGCGCCGCGGCCCCCGGGCGCGGACGTCTCCGCCAGGGACGCCTCCTGCGAGCAGCCGCACGGCCGCAATCTCTGGGCCCGTGCCAGCGAACAGGAATGCCGCCGGGGTCATCAATCGGCGCAGTTTCCGCCTCCTGCCGTGCAGGTCGTGGACCGGGCCCGGGCGGCGCGGGCGGCTGCGTCGCGGCGCAAGGCGAGCGCGACGGCGGGGGTGTCGGACCTGACTCAGTCTGTCGACGGTGCGCTGGACGCGGCGCAGCAGGTGTGGATCCGGCACGAGGTGGCGAGCACCGCGCTGGAGGCGGCGCAGGGCGTGCTGGAGACGTGGCACGAGTGGGAGCGGGAACACCGCCTCGACCGGCGCGCCGCGGGGCGTGACTAGCGCCACAGCGCGTGTTTGGGGGGGGGGGGGTTCGGCGAGTGCGCGGGCGGCGTGGGGCGCCGTCGGATGCTGCGGGTCCGATTCCAAGTTGCGTGGCACCGCAGCGCCGAGAACTTGCGTGCTGCGCGTCGCGAGTGGGTCACGCGACGCGACGCTGGGCACGCGAGTCTCTGACGCTGCGGTGCTGCGGAGCTTGGGCGCCGAACCCGTAGCATTCGATGGCGTTTCGCGTCGCCTGGGGGTCCATCGGACCGCGGTCGCTCCGCCAGCGGCCCGGCCGCGGTGAGCGGCGGTCATCGCAGGTCAACTTACGCCGTGGTCGCTGCTGGGCGATGACAGCGCGCGCCCCAGCCGACGTCGTCGTACTTCGTCGTGTGACTCTCGTGTGCGTCGCATGCTGCCTGGCCGGAAACGTCGCCCGTCCTGCAAAGCCGACACACGCAACGTCAAAACTTGAGTCGTGATTTCGTGACTGCCTGCGCGCCGCAGCACAGGGCGCGAGGGAACACCACACGCGGGGCGGTCCGGGCGCGGGTGCAGCGAGGCTCGCTCACAGGGCGCTCCGCACACACACCCGGCTCGATCGTGACACGCATCTTGGTAGAAATATAAATATGGAATCTCGGATTCTTGGTATCTGATATCATTATTTCAACACTGCACACATCACCCTGCCAAGTCGTCACAGGTCCGCGTGCGCAGCCGCTACGATCCCCGCGAGCCGGCCCAGCCCCAGCGACGCGCGCCGGCGCCAGGCCGCCAGCGCACAGCCCGCTCCTGCCCCGCGGCCCAGGCAGCCTACCCTAGCCTAGCCGTCGAAGGGACCACTGTGTGTCAGTGGCCTCTTGGGAGGCCGCGGCCCGGTTCCGCGCCGCGGTATCGGTCCGCGCAGCTGGCCGACAGCGCAACTCTGCACTGTACTCGGAAGCCACAATCGCGCAGAAATACCCCCACGACGACCCGAACTTGGCTATACCAGGTGAGGTGTCCCGCGGCACCTTCGCAGCCCCCGCAAGCGCAATCCGCGGCGTCTACGACGCGCGCGGGCCGTCTGCCGTGACGCTCAGAGCTGTGCGCGCGAGCCCGCGTGTCTACGAGAGTGCGAAAGTGCTCCCCGCGTCGTGGGCGGCGGGCGTCAACGCCGCCGCAGTCACCGCGCCGCCCGGGCCTGTCTGCGACCCCGGGGACAGCCTTGAACGCCCCGCCACGGCGCAGCCGCGAGAGAGCACGCGCTAAACATGCGGATCCGAGGGCGATCGCGGCGCACTGGCGCCCGGTGACGTCCCGGAGGGGCTCCTAGGACACCAGTGGCAGTTGAGACACGCCTAGGGCGCGACGCGCGTCACGGAATCCGCTCTGACCGGCGCCCCCGCCGGCTCCGTGCGCGCGCAGACCCTCGAGCGGACCGCTGACGCGCCCACGCGCCGGGAGGACGGGATCGACCCTGCAAGGGTGGCTGCTTCAACCCTCGGACACCGAACCGCTTCTGAAGAGGAAAAATGAGCGTGCCTTCTTCGGAACAGCTCGACCAGGCACGTCTCCGCCCCGCACCGCGCGGTCCCGCGCGTCCCGCCGCTCCACGCCACGCCTTCTTGCGTCTCCGTTGCATCGAGCGCGCGCACGGCTCGCACAGCGCCGCGCAACGTGCAAGTTTCGCCCCTGCGGAGAGACGGCGCCGACCGCAGCCGCCGCGCGACACCGCGTGCAGGTCGGGAACGAGATTCCCGCGGACCTTCGCGCGACGGCAGCTCCAACGCCCGAGGGGTCGGGGTCGGACCAAATGAAAAGCCTTGAGTGGCCTGCGGCGAAAAAGACGGCAGGGGCCGCGCCGGGCGCCGCCGTGCACAAGGAGGGCGAAGCGCAGGCGTTCGAGGCCACGCTGACCGCTCACGGCGATCCCCGCCACCACGGCGGGACGGTGTGCGACATGCCGGCCGTCGGGGGCGCGGCGGTGCTGCGCATGGAGCACATTCAGGGCGTGGAGATCAAGGGCCCGCCGCCGACGGTCTCGGACGTGCTCACGATGACGCGCGCGTTCCGCGCCGCCGCGGACAACGGCGCGCACAAGGTCCACTCGCCCATCACACACAGCTGGCTTCAGGTGCGGGCCGACCCCCGCGCGACGGCCGGCGACGGCCCTGCGCCCCTCGCTGGTCTACAGAGCCTGTCTGCGGACGCGTGCGTGCGTCGTCCACGGCGCCTCCTCTGGGGCCGGGAGCAAGCAACGTATTTATTTATTATTATAATGTTGTACTCTCAGTCTGCATCGCGCGAAGGCGCCACACGTGGACCACCGCCTGGACGCTCCAGGTCCCGCCGGCAGCGTGAGCTATTATGCACTATGACGGCGTCCAAACCTCTGGGACTGCTTATTTTTCATAGCACACGCACACGTGCTCTCCCGCTCGCGATCCCGTGCAGGCCATGATGGCGGGCGTGTTCATCACGTTCGGCGCCGTGACAGCCATGTTCATCGGGGGCAACACCACCGGCATCGCCGCGACAGACCCGGGCCTGTCGCAGATGATCTTCGGGATCTTCGGCTTCCCGACGGGCCTCTTCGCGGTGGTCCTCACGGGCGCGGAGCTCTTCACTGGCAACTGCCTCGTTTGCACTGCGGCGTGGGCCGAGGGCCGCTGCACGACGCCAGAGTTCCTGCGCTCGCTGACCGTGTCGTGGTTCGGCAACCTGAGCGGCGCGCTGCTCTGCGTGGGCATCTTCAAGGGCGCCAGGTTCGCGGAGGAGGCCGATCGGCTGCACGCCTTCATGGTCAACGTCGCGCACATCAAAACGTCGATGAACTGGGGGCAGTGCTTCCTTCGCGGCGTCCTAGCGAACTTCCTGGTCGACCTTGCGGTCCTGCAGGCCGCCATCAGCACGACCTTCGTCGGGAAGTTCCTCGGCATCTTCCTGGCCGTCTCGATGTTCGCGTCGCTGGCACTGGAGCACGTGGTGGCGAACATGAGCATGGTGCCGCTGGGGATGATCCACGGCGCGGACGTGAGCGTCTGGAAGTTCATCTACGCCAACCTGATCCCCGTGACGCTCGGCAACTACGTTGGGGGGGGAGTCATGATCGGGATGGTGTACGCGGTGCTGTTTGGGAAGTGGTCCGAGAAGTTCTCGAACGCGGTGCGCTGGCCGAAGCGCGCCTTCGACGGCGAGCACCACTAGCGACCGACGCGGCCCACGATACCCCGCCCCTGTCGTCCTGCGCTGACCGCCAGCGGCAAGCCCCTAGCGACACACAAAGTAGTAATTGACCACCCGCGCACGAAACAAGTGTCCGCGACACACAATCCTGCTATGATCGTGGCATGCCGAGCATATGCCAGAACAAGAACAAGATCAAGATGACACCGATCGGCGGTACCCCTGTAATCGTGAGCAGAGAGTGGCCACACGTCGGCCCGTGTTCGCGGCCCACAACACCGACAGCTACCGTACCGCTTCCGTCGACGTAGGTCGGCGAAGTACAGACCCAGCAGCCTCGCGGCGCGGGTGCCTGAATGTCAGCGAACGATCAAACACCAGACAACGCGTGACGTCGCTGTCAGAAAGATGTACATCTCCGCGACCGTTTCTGCTGCAGCACGGGGCGTCCGAGCCGCACATTTGCGCCCCAGGCACCCCCCGCATCAGCGGCTCCTGCTCAGCCGGCGGCTGCAACACACCCCCTCCGACTCCCCCCCAGCACTACCGCGTGTCCTTGATTAGCGCCCCGCGCTCCTCGAGGCACGTGTTGCACGTGCAGAACGGCGTTGGCTTGCTGTTCGACCCCGGCGGCGCGCTCGGCGGCCGCACCTTCCGCGGACCCCCCTCCTCCGACCCCGCAACACCCCCGCGCCCGCTCCCCGACACCGCCGACGCCACCGACTTCTCGTCCCCGTCCAGACTGTCCATTCCCTCCTCCGCAATGAGCCCCGGCAGCAGCATGCCCCCCGGCGTGATCCCGGGCGGCAGGCTCTGCGCATTCCCCAACTCCCCCCCCCCTGACCCAACACCCCCCCTCCCGCGCGCCGCCCACCGCGCCGCCGCCGTCGCCGCGCTCCCCGGCCGCCCCCAACCCGACCCAGACCCCGGCCGCCGCCGCTCCGCCTCCTCCGCGGCCTGCTGCAGTTCCTCCGGGTTCGCCGACTTGGCCCGCATCCCCCCACCTCGCATCCTCGCCCCGAGCCGCGTCGCGCCGACCGCGCCACGGAAGGCCCGCGCGCCACGGCCCCTCCCGCCGCCGTTCTCCGCCCCATCCGCCACGCTGTCCCTGCCGCTGTCTTCGCGCTGCGGCGCAAAGGACAGCTCCGCGCCCGGCGCGCCGTCGCCGGAGTCGCTCCCGGAGTCCCGCGGCGCCGCGCTGTCGCGGCTCCGCCGCGCCACCTGCACGACCTTGAGCGCCAGCCCCGCCGGCATCGCGATGCGCCGATGCTGGCTGCTTCCGGGCCGTTCCGCGTCCTCGGGGAGGGCCTCCTCGCCCCAGTCGTCCCACGCAGGCGTCTGGCGGCCGGACGACGGCGGCTTCGCGGGCTCCTCGGGCGGGGCGAACTTGACCCCCCTCGGACCCCCCCCCGCCGGCTTGTCCGGCGTCGCACGCCCCCCCATGTGGCCCGCCGTCTGCGGGCGGCTCCCGCCAGCGGTCGTCCCCGACGGCGCCCAGGAGACCCCGGACAGCGGGCGCTCCCCCGGCGGCGCGGTGCCGTCGAGCCCGTAGAGCGAAGTCGCCGCTGAGTTGGGCGCCGCGCGCTGCTGTCCCGGCGACGTGTTGGGCTTGTTCGCGGACCGCAGGATCCCCGCCGTCGCGGGCCGCGGCTTCGCGCCGCCACTGACGAGCTTCTGGTACGTCCTGGCCTCCTCCTGGCGCCGGCGGGCGTTCGCCGCGGCGCGCGCGCCTGCGTACAGCGGCGAGACCGACCGCGGGGGCCGCGCGGCGAGCATCCACGCGGGCCGCAGGAGGTCCTCTGGATCCGGCTCGGTCATATCGAAGAGCTCGTCGGTCTTGGCGCGCTGGATGTGCGCGAACGCCTGCCCCGGCACTGCCGCGATCTGCGAACAGTACAGGAGCCACAGGCGCCCCATGGAGTCGACCGCGAAGTTGAGCTTCATGCGGTTGACGACGTACGCCTGCGGGGACACGTCGTGGACGTGCGCCGCCACGGCGTCGCAGATGCCCTTGACTTTCTGGTTGGTAACCTGGCCCGTGCCAGAGTCGATGTTGCCGACGGCCTGCGCGGAGGACGGCTCGAGCTGCCCGACCTCGCAGAGCAGCTTCGAGATGTTGGACAGCTTGTTCTGGACGTGGTAGCGGCTGAGGAGGAACGACGTCGGCGCCCACTCGGCCGTGAGCAGCACAGTGTACTCGTCCGAGCTGGGAACAAACTCCTGAATGATGCCGTCCTCGAGCTGGCGCTGGAGGAGGAACATCTGGGCGTTCTGGGGGTCGAGCTGGAAGAGGTCGGACCCCACGCCCTTGAAGTTGTGGGGGATGTATTGCGCGGCGACGACGTTGCCCTTCCGGCCCACGTCGCGCCGCCGGCGCGTCAGGAGCGCGTCGAGGATCGTCCCGCGGTCGTTCACCTTCTCCGCCGTCTTCCTCTGCGGCCGCGAACGCACAGAAGCAAACGACACGTCAGCTTGCGGCAGGAACGCAGCGCAGCAAGATGCTGCGAAACCGCGCCTCGCGACGCCGCTGCCCCGCAGCTAGGCCGCGCACGCGACGTCCGCGTCATACAAGGCCTAGCTGCGCGCGTGCCGGCCGCGTGCGGGCGCGGGCCGCCCCTGCAGCACTACGTCTTCGTCGTCGTCGTTCGCCGCACCTTCACCTCTCCGTTCTTCGCGGTGAAGAACCACGCGACGGGCTGGTGGTTGTGGATGTAGACCGTGTGCGGAATCCGCGCGGAGTGAAAGCTCTTGCCCGTTTTCGGGCTCGGGGCCCACAGATACCAAAAGAGGTTATGGCAGTGCATCTGGTCCTTGTCATTCACGCCCTGCTGCAGCCGGTGCGAGCTCAGGAGGCCCCCGATGTTCCTCTGCACCGCCGCGGTGCGCTTCAGCCGCAGCATCGCCTCCTCAGGGTCGGCCTCGCGAGCCTCATCCCTGGGCTTTTCCAGCTTGCTGTGCAGGCGCTGCCGGCGCGGCCCGAGGTGCGGGACGTTCCTGTGCGCCGCGGAGTGCCGCTTGGAGTCCGTGAGGACGCTGCGGGCCGGAGGGGCGCGCGCCGGGCGGTGAGCGACGGGACTGGAGGTAGCAACGCGCGGGACGTGCGCGGGTGCGGGCCGGTGCGGCGCGCGCGAGGCTGAACCACAAGCCCTGGCGCGCGGGACGATTTTCGGAGGTATCCGCAGGGTACGCGTGCGCGGGCCGAGCGGACGCAGGCAGCGCAGCTACGGGGCAGTCTACCACGGCAGCGCGGTGCGGCGGGGCTCACCCGACGTCGAAGCCGTCGTCCTCCGGGAGCGAGCCGCGCTTGCCGTCCGCGGGAAACCGCTTCACGATGGACCCGGAGCGCGACCCTGCGCTTTCGCGGTGCGGCTCTGCCGCCGACAGCGGGCGCGACGACTTGCCCTCCTCCTCCTTCTTGGTCTGCGCCTCCCGGTACTGCGCGGCCGCGTACTCCACGGACGGCGGGAGCCGCATGGCGCACACCGAGCGCAGCAGCGCGCTGCCTTCCAGGTGCGCAGCGTCCCTTGGCTCGCATTCCTGCCTCAGGACAGCGACCTCGAGGTCCTTCTGCGCGCCAGACCGTAGTTAAGGGAGTGTTTGAGGGCGGGAGCTGCGCTTCGGGGCGGAGAGCGGCCGTGCGGGCGCGGGAGCGCGGGGGCGGTTGGTGTGGAGCTGAGGCCGTTGGGGCGCCGCACCTCGACCTTCTTCCCGCGCGGCTTGGCGAAGTTCGGGACGTATTGGGAGTTGTTGAAGTGGTGCGGCATGCCCGGGAGCCAGCGCTCGCGGCGGTGGCGAGGACGCACGACATGCTCCAGCTTCGCCCATGCCTGCTCCGCTGTGATTCCCAGGGTGTCGACCACGCTGCGGGCCTCATCGTGCTCCTCTTTGGTGTCCCCTGCGGTGGTGCGGCGGGCGAACGGGCCGTGTGTGACCGCGGCGGCGCGTGGGGAGCGACAGAACGCGCTGCGCAGTGCCCGGGGCGCTCGTGAGGGCGCTGTGGAGCACCAGAGCGGGCAACGCGCATCCGCTGCGACAGTCTGGGGGTGAGGGCTCGTCCTCGGTGCGTCGGCGTCGGCGTGCGACGGCAGGAGTGCGTACGGGAGGCCCGCTGCGATGCGTGTTGCACTGGCAGCGGCTGGTCGCGGGGCAACGAAGGGGATCCCGGCACGCTGTGGACGGCTCGTTGTTGTGTGATGGCGGTGCCGGGATGCTGGGCGCGTGCGTGCCCCGTGGAGCGAGGGCATGAGGTGGCGAGCAGTAGCATGCCTACCGCGCCCGCGTCCCGGCTGGGGCGCAGGAAGTCCGGACGACCCCGCTGAGCCGTTCGACGGTTATTCGAACGAGCGAGTGCGCGCGGCATATCGCGTGAAACGACCGTCTCGCGCCGCGTGGCCGTGTGGCACACGACCGTGCGGCTTCAGACGCGGCTCCGCACCTGCCGCGGAATCCCTTTGCGCCGGCGCCGCGTCCGCATCGTCCCACGCTACCGCCGCCATCCTGCCAGACCGCACCCGGCCCAATCGCGATCGCCCACGGCCGGCGTATCCCGCCCCGGCCCTCCACCAACAACACACCTGTCCCTCTGCGAGGCCTAAGTGCCGCACATCGTCGTCTAAACGGTCAGGTCGCTTCCAAGTTCGCGCCCCATGTACACGCCCTCCAGCTCTGACGTCCGCGCGCCGCGCGCGCAGGCCTCCAGGGCCCGGAAACGCCGCTGTAAGGCATGAAACGTCCCGGAGTCCTGAAGTCAGTCGCATTTCCGGCTCTGTGCCGGCGCGGGAAACCCGCGACGCCAGTTCCTGCGCAGGGAGACGATCGTGAGCGTCCGTGCCTGCGCCGTCGAGCTGTTTTCGCCTGTGCACCCGCGCAGGGCGGGGGGGAAAGCCTCCTCATGAGGTTCATCAGCGCCCCTGAGGGCAAACGTGGGTCTGTCTGGTGGCCTGGGGCGATCGCGGGGAACCTCACGGGACTGACCTTCCTCGCCGCTGTGTCCATCGCGTTCTACGAGCCGTCGCGGGACCTCCCGGGGCTATCGCACCTCTACCAGCTCTCCGACGTCCTGCTGGGCTCGGACGACAGCCTGCGCTGGCTGATGGGCGCGGCGATCGGCGCCCACGCCGTCGAGATGGCTGCCACGTCGTACGTGTGCAAGGCCGGCCAGCTGTCCCTGCCTGCCAGCGTGTACGTCGCCCTACTCACCCCGCCATCTCCGGCCTCCGCTCGCACGCGCCAGCCGCCACTCTGCTCCGCACGCCCTCCACGCGCATACACAGTTCATATGCTATCGCTCACGGTCCCCGAATTCGCGCGCTGGACTCGCGCTGCGCAGATCTCACACGCTGCCGTTGCCTCTGCATGCGTGCCGCAGGTGGTGGGTGGGCCAGACGGCCTTCATGGGGTACTTCGCGCTCCGAGAAGCCCGGTGGGCCGCGCGCCTCAGCATCCGGAAGCAGCGCGCAACAAAGAAGCAATGAGTGCATAACTGTTGCACTTGGACCTGTGTGTCTGTGTCTGTTAGGGCCGCGTTTGTGTGATATTGAATCAAAGAAGCAGTACGACGAGCTCGTCTCCTGGAGATCGCAGTGACCGAGCAAGGGAGGCCGCGCGCAGCGACAGCGTCGAGGCACCTGCACGCCAGAACAGTGGTAGGATAGTGCAACCATACTCGGCCGCTCCTGGCAGCACACGCTGAGCACAGTGCATGCATCTGCCGTCCCGCGGGTAGCACGGACCGCCCAGCGCACGAGAATCGCGAATCCGCCGCAGCCGACCGCGGCCGCAACAGGGATGCACGCCGGTGCTTGCACCGCCCCGTCTGCTCCGTCCCGCACGCCCGAGCAGCGCGCGTCCGTCGCGGCCGATGCGCGCATCCGCGGCAGGACGCCCAGACCGCTCGCGGCCCAAACAACCGGCAGTCTGACTCACAGTCAGTCACTGTAACACTCCCCCTGTTCAAATAACCCCCCCCACTTCTGGTCCTTGCGGCCCATGGCGGCGCGTGAGCAGGCCCCAGCGCACCCCGGAGGCGCACCACCCAACGCAGTCACCCGCGGCCCTCCGCCTGCGCAAGCCGCCGCTTCAGGTCCTTATTCTCCTCCTGCAGCCAGTACATGTTTTTCAACTCCAACTTCGCGACCTTCAGCTCGCCCTCCAGCGCCTCGACGCGCCTCCGCAGCGCCGCGTCGCCGCCCGCCGCGGCCGGGCCCGCGCCGGCAGCGTCCGCGTCTGCGCTGCTACCACTGGCCTCGGTGCGCTGCGCCGCGGCGACGAGGGCTTCGTCGCGCTGCTTCTTCAGCGCCTCGACGGCGCGGACGAGCGCGCGGATGATTTCTTGGGGACTTGCGCCTGACGGGAGCCGCACACCCCCGCCTGCGTCGGTGGCGCCTGCGCCGCCCGAGGGCGGGCGCGCGGCGCTCGGCGGCCGCTGCAGCGACTCCGCCGCGCTCGAGTGCGCCGCCGCAGCGCGCAGCCGGCTCGCGAAGGACCCCGACCCCGCCCGCTGCGCACGCCGCCCCCCCCCTGACTCCACGCTGTCCGTCCCGTCCTCAATACCCCCCCCCTCGTCGATCCCGCGCAGCGCGTCGCGCGCGATGTACTCCAGGATGACGCCACCGGGCTCCTGCGCGCCGGTGGACGCGGGCCGTTCCGCGGGCCCCTGCCCCGCCGCGTCATCATCCCTGCGGCGTGGCGGGGCAGCCGCGCCGTCGGCCGGGGCGCCGCAGAGCTCCGCGCGGTCGAGCGGGTCGCCGTCGAGGGTCTCGAGCGACGGAAGCGCGTTCGCGAGCGTCGCGGCGTAGTCGTCGGACGTCGCGCAGGGATTCCCTGCCAAGTCCAATTCCCTGACTCGTGTCAGACCCAGCAGCGGTATGACGACCTCGCCCTTGAGCCTGCGGAAACGGAGGGCGGCGTGCGGGTCGGCGTGGTCGCTGGGGCGCCCGCAGAGGGCCACCGCGGGGCCGCGATGCAGCGCGCAGTGTGTCTGTGGGCGACGCCGCCATCCTCACGCATGATATCGCACGTTTCACGGGCGGAGAGGGACACACGAAGCATGTTCGTGCTCTCGGGCTGCAAGCGCGCGCGCGCGCCAGCCTCAGCGCGGCGAGCGAGCGCAGGGATGGAGCAGTGCTGGGTAGCTTACTCCGGCACCGAGTTGCGCAGCAGGCACACCGTCTCGAGCCTCGTGAGCTTCGACAGCGGTCCCATGTCGCGGATGCGGTTGTTTGGGGCATATAGATGCGTCAGGGCCACGCAGTTCTCAATCCCTTGCAAAGACGTGAGTGCGTTGAACCCCACGTTGAGGCGTTCGAGCGCCCGGAGGTGCCCGAACGCGGACCCGAGCGTCGAAAGAAGGTTGTGCGACAGCGACAGGATCTTCAGCGCGACCAGGGAAGCCGCCAGCTCCTCGGGCACGCTGGCGATGCCGCGGTGGCGCAGGACCAGGTCTGTGACGCAGCGCAGGTCGTCCTCCCCCGACACCTCCAGCACGTCCTCCGCCGTCAACGCCGCCGGCGCGGCCGCCATCGGCCCGCACGCACCACCCACGCCGTGCCGCGCACGGCGTTGCCCGCACCTCGCGCCCTCGCCGCACGCACAGCGCGCCGCGCCGCCTCCTCGCCAGCCACCTACACGCTCTCTGCCGCGCCGTCCGCCGCAGCCGACACCAATGCTCTGCCACGGCCCCCACAGGGGTGGGTGGGGGGGTCTCTCTTCGCCGACAACAGCGTGTTATACCGGGCCCGCCACGCCGTCTGACGCGCGGGGCGCCCGCAGACAGCTCGCGCGCGGTGTCCGCTGCCGCCCTGCGTGCTCGGATCCGCGTTCGCGCCCTCGGAAGCGCAAAACACCACAGCGCGTGCACGCACGCAGTGTCGCGCTGTGGGAACGCGACGCGCGCGGGCTCGCAGCGCCCTGCGCGGCGCAGGCCTCCGTCTTTGCCCGCCTGTGCTGCCGCCGCGAGCGGCCGCCCCGCCGTCGCCCCCGAGCACCCGTGACGCGGAGACTGCATCATGGCGTAGGCTGACTGCAGGGCATGACGCTGAAGCTCCCCTCGCGTCGACACAGAGGCGTCCGGCTGGCCGTGGTTGCCGCGGGCCGGGACCGCGCAGGGCAATTCTGTTCGCGGCGCACCAGCGGCGGGACGTCTGACCGCTGTCCTAGCGCGACGAGCGCTCCAGAGTGTTGCTAGGCCCGGTCGTTCACGACCAGCTCGGGCTCCCAAGGGGAATCCGTCGCAAATTTTGCGAGTTCCTGACGTTCGCACGTCCCGGGCAGCTCGACGCGCGATGACGCCACCGCAGCGGGCCGTGGCGGGGGCCTGCGCACCCTGCCGTGCCACAGTTCGGCCCTCGCGGGCCGCTCGCCCGCACGCGGCGGCCTTCCGGCGGTCCTCCTGGCGCAGCCCACAGCAGACCAGCTTTCCAGCCGCGCCGCACGGCGCGAAACACTCCAGGTGCGACAAAACGCGACGCACCACCAACCGTGCCCTCGGGCACTCTCCGAGTCGCCGCGGCCTCAATACCCCCCCTCCGCGCACCGCGCGCCCCGCGGTCCGCGATCAGGCCCTACGGACGCCCCTAGCGAACGCTAAGTCGCGCTCCCCGCGCCCCAGCGGCACCCAGGGGCCGCGTCCAGCTAGCCAGCTGCCCAGGGCCATCCGTCAGCCTCCGCCTCTGCCGCTGCTTCCGCGCCCCCCGGGCGCAGTTTCCGGATGCGGATGCTCCGTGCCGTCGCGCGCGGATCGTCACACCCCGACGGCACGTCCTGCGCACGCCGCGGCGCGCCACGGTCCATGGCGCCCCCGAGGCCCTCGCGGTGGCGAATCCAGGGGCGGAGAAGCCTCCCGGGTCGCCGCGGCCGGTCGCTGAGTTACTGGATTGCGTTCCTGCGTGGTTTGCAGCCGCGGACCGGCGCCCCCCGCGGCGGAGCAGTTCGATGCCCCCAACTTGGACGGACCCGCGGGCAGCACGACGACGCTCCCGATCTTCCCGCTCGGTCTCGTGGCGCTTCCGTCGACGGTCACCCCTCTGCACATCTTCGAGGCCAGGTACGCGGGCGGGCCCGACCACGCGCGCGCCGGGACCGCGGCGAACCTTCCCTAGCATCACCCGCGCGCCGGAGATCGAGGGTTCGGGTCTGGCAGCTCACGAATAGGCCTGGAGTTCTCGTTTGCAGGTACCGCGTGCTCTTCTCGACGCTGATGGACGGCGCGGACGGCTTCGACATCGAGGAGGGGCTCGTCAGCGAGGACTCCCCGTTCAAGGGCACGCGGACCTTCGGAATGTGCCTTTCGATGGGAAACGGCAGCATGTGTGCTACGGGCACTAGCCTCTACATCGAGACCCACAGCAAGCTCCCGGACGGCCGCATGCTCATCGAAAACACCGGCGGACGCCGCTTCCGCGTCAAGGACGTCCTCCAGGTCCGCGCGCGCCGCACCCGCACACGGAAACACACGCCAGTGCCCCCAACGGCCTTTTTGTTCACCCGCTCTCGCGCGCTGGCGTGCTTTCTGGGGCGCAGGAGACGCCCGTGCTGGTGTGCGAGGTGGAGTGGATCGACGAGCCGCAGCCGGAGCCGTTCGACCCCGAGGCGGAGGAGCTGAGTCAGGAGGTGCTGCAGACGCTGCGCTCCGTGCTGGACCTGAACTGCAAGCTGAACCAGGCGGCCAGCGACGTGATGGACAAGCTGGAGCGCGAGGCTGCGGGCCGCGGGCCCGCGGAGGTGTCGTACCTCGCGGCGTCGATGTTTGCCGATGCGGTGCGTCGACAGCATCACCCCCCTAGCTTGACACACGCGCGGTCGCAGGCCGCGCGAGGCATTGCCGCTTCAGAGCCTGACCTCGGATTTTCGCTCGCGCGCCGCTCGTCGGCGCTCGCGACCGCCAGCGACGCGGTCGCAGCGCACAGCTGCTCGGAACGCTCACGACGGTGCGCGGCCGTGTGCGTTCGTTGCGTGCAGCCGGCGGAGCAGCAGCAGCTGCTGGAGATGGACACGGCGATCGAGCGGCTCACGCGCGAGCGGGAGCTGCTGCAGGAGGCGGAGCGGTTCTTGTCGGCACAGGTGGCGTTGAAGGGGGTGTTTGGAGAGGGCTCGGAGGACCCCAGCGAGAGCTCGGGCACGCGCCGGCGCAGCGGGGGCTCGGAGGAGGAGGCCTAGGCGCTGCGGAGGAGAGGATGTGCGCCAGGCACGGCCCGCAACCGGGACGGCGGGCGCAAAGATTCGCAGCGCATGTGAGTTGCTCGCTTGTTGCGAAACGCGAAGCGGAAGCCCTGTCACGCCGCGGCGGAGGATACGAGAGGCGGACGCGGCGCTGGAACGCTGCGACTGGCCACCTGTGTTGACCACCAACAACCGCGGTGCAAGCCTACTGCTACTGCTGTAGCCTTCGGGGGCGCCCGATTACTCTACCGCTCATAGCGAGCGTGGGGACAATCGGCCTACCGACGCGACTCGGCCGCCAGCGCTGCGCCTCCGAAAGGCGCGATATGGACTGCAACGCCACGCCGCCTGGATAGATGGCACGCGACACATACGTTCTATATATCATCGTTCGAGCCTAGAGACACCGCTGAAACGCGCGTGGACCAGCCTCGCAGCCCGCTCGAGCCCCGCGATTCCCAGCGCGTCACATCCGCACGCCCGCCCTCAAACACCCCCAACGCCCCCCCCTACGAATAGATGGATGCCGTCTTGCTGCGCAGCCGCTGGATCTCGGCCTTGATCGCGTCGATCTCCTCGGCCTGCGTCTGCACGACCTCGATCATCTGCCGCCGCTCCGCGAGCTCCGCGCGCCGCTGCTGCACGTGGTCCGCGAACAGCTGCGTCTGCACCACCTTGAGCGTGCGGTCAATCGACCGCCGCTCCTCCAGCAGCCCCGCCATGTCCTGCAGCAGGTTCGTGTTCGCGAGCGTCAGCCGCGCCACGACCTGCTGCTGCTCCGCCACGCTGCGGTCCACCTCGGCCAGCTCTCGCGCGAACCTCCGCTCCTGCCGCTTTAGCTCCTCCTGCAGGTCCGGGTTCGCGCGCTGCCGCATCGCGCGGTCCAGGAGGTCGAGGTCGACGAGGGAGCCGAACTTGAGCACCTGGATCTCGTCGGCGCGCGCCCGGAGGTCCCCGATTTCCTTCTCGCGGCCGCCGAGCTCGCGCTGCAGCTGCACGTGGTCGCGCCGGAGCTGCCGCTGCTGCGCGCGCAGCTCCTGCTTCTCGCGCATGAGCTCGCCGATGCGCGCCTTGAGGCGCTCGCGGGCCGTCTGCGAGAAGACGAGCGCGTCGGAGAGATCCCGGGGGAGGTGTCCGTCGTCCAGGTACTCCACTTGATGCATCCGGAGAATCACGTTGGTCGACACCTCGTTCATTTCGCGCTGCTTCTGCCGCTCGAGGTCCATCATGTCCTCCTCGAGCGCCTGCAGGCTGCTCTCGATCATCCGCAGCCGCTTCGACTGCATCTCCCGTTCCTTGTTCACGGCCTCCACGCCCTTCGCGAGCTCCATCAGGACGTCCTCCTCGTCCAGGCGGCGCTCCCGCAGCTCGCAGACCTTCTCGTACAGCAGCTGCTCGCACCCGCTCGGGCACCCGTCCTCGTCCTCGTCGTCCGCGTCCGATCCGTAGTCGGAGCCCGCGTCGCTGTCCGAGGCCTCCGACCCCTCCGCCTCCTCGTCCGCGCCGCCCTTCGAGCGCTTCACGCGCTTCGTGAAGACCTTGTGGAGCTGCTCCCGGAACGGGTGCTTCTCGTTCACGAGCTCGCTGAACTCCTCCGCCACTGCCGCCTTGCGTTCGTTCACCGCGGCCACCTCCTCCGCCTTCTTCTCGAGCCGGGACTCGCACTCCTCGATCTTCCGGAGACCCTCCTCCTGCTCCGCGAGCTTCGCCTCGAGCTTCGCGCGCAGCTGGTCTTCGGACCGACCCAAGTCCCTCAGAATAGCCATCTCCTCGAGCATCACGAGCTGGCGGCCCTGCTGGTACTTCAGGTCGGCCTCCACGACGAACCGGCGCTCGCGCAGCCGCTGGACCTCCTCGTCGAACGACCGGACCATCCGCGCGATCTCCTCGCGCAGCAGCTCGCGGCGAATGCCCAGCCGAGCGCGGTCCACCTCCGCGCGCGCCTCCTGCAGCGCAGTGGGCTTGACCGCGTGCGCCGCCTCCGCGCCCGCGCGGGACTTCGCCGGCGGAGACCGGCCCTTCCCGCCGCCGTACGCCACGGGGCCGAAGCCGGCGTCCTTCGCGCGGCCCGTCGACGACTGCGGCGTCATCTTGCCGGGGGTGTTTTGGCCGGCGGCTCCGCCGCCGCCGCCGCCGCCGCCGCCCGCGAAGCCGCCGAAGCCGCCGGCCTTGCTCTTCGCCGCGGCCTTCTCCTCGTCCGCGAGCGCCTTCTTGTGCGCGAGGATGTCCTCCTCCGTCACCACGAAGCGCCGCTCTGGCTGCTCGTCCGCCGCCATGCGAAGCGTCGGCACCGCCTCCTCCTCGCCGAGGACATGCGCGACCTCCGCGAGCTCCTCGTACTTGCGCGACAGCTCGCCCAGCAGCTTCAGCTTGCGGTCCCGCAGAGACAGGACGTCCTTGTTGAACGTCATTCGAAGATTGAATAGCGCCACCTCCAAGTCCAGCACCATCCGCCGCTTCTTCCGCGCATCGACCCGCAGGTGCTCCGGCGCGAGGTACCCCACGTCGGACTTGAGCTTCCAGTCCCCGAGCGTCCTCTCGGCCTCCTGGATCGCCGCCACGTCCACGGGGTTGTCCGTCTTGTCGTCGGGCTTCCGCGCCAGGAACGCCGCCCACTCCTGCTGCCGCTTCATGCGCGCCTGCCGCCGCTGCTCCTGCTTCGACGCCTGCTCCTGCCGCGCCCCGTCGTCCCCGCTGCCCTGGCTCTGCGCCCCCTGACTCAGCGCGTCAAAGTCCTTGAAACTCTTGGAGCGCTTCGCGCTTCCGATGCCGAACGACTGGTTCTTGTTCAGCGCGACGCGGCGCCGCTCGAGCAGCCCCTCGTCGTCGGCCGCCGACGCGTTCAGCTCGTCGGCCAGCCGCGCTGGGAGGCGGGTGGCGCGCAGCGTCGCCACCGCAGCCACCTCGTCGATCGCGCGGACCACGATGCGCTCGACCTCGAGCGACCCGAAGAACCGCTCGCGCAGCTTCTCCATCGACAGCCGGCACCGCTCGCTCTCCCACGCCAGCGCCTTCCGCGCGTCCCCGATGTCGCCCTCGATGCGCTCGCGCATCATGTCGCGCAACCGCCGGTCGATCGCCCAGGCCTCCTCGGGGAGCCGCTCGGGCGCCGGGAGCCGCGCGTCGGCCTCCTTGAGCGCCTTGAGCTTCCGGCGCAGGTCCTCGATGCGCTGCTTCACCGTCATCTTCTTCCGATCGGCCTCGGCGCGTATCGCGTCCTGCTCGGCCTTCTGCTGCGCCTCCTCGATGGTGTACGCGTCCGGGTCCTTGATCGGGTCCTTCACGGGCATCGGGTCCTCGCCGTACGTCGGGAGCGCGAGGTCCGTGCCCTCGCGCTGCACCGCGCCCTCGATGCCGCTGACGAGGTACGCCACGAGCGTTCCGTCGGCGCCGGCGACGAGGAGGTAGCTGTTGTCGAAGGAGAGCGTGAGCGCGGTGATGCCGCCCTCGACGAAGCTCTGCACGCTCGCCTGCCACATCGACGGGCCCTTGGGGGGAGTCCGGGGCAGTTCCCGGGGGGAGTCGAGCAGGCGCTGCAGGCGCACGAGCCCGTTCGAGAAGCCCTGCACGCAGAACATGCCGTCCTGCGAGAACGTGAGCGCCGTGCGGCGCGCGGGGCAGTTCGGCTTGCTCGGCGCCTCGTCGTAGCGTTCGGCGGGGATCCCCTTCTCCAGGAACGAACACGCAAACGTCGCCCCCGTCATCTTCGCGCCGAGCTGGATGAAGAACGCGTCGTTGTCGTCGCCGCGGAACACGAGGCGCTCCACGGGCCACGGCCCCGTGTCCTCGTCCTTGGGCGGCGCGCTCGTCGCGGTGCGCTCGAGCTGCGCGCCATCCTCGGGGGGGGAGTCCGCGCTGTTCTCCGGCTGGCTCGCGGCCTCGGCGTCGGCGTCGGGCTGCTCGGCGGCCTCGGCCGCGACGGGCTCGTACGGCTTGACGAAGACGAAGTCGTCGCGGGGGAGGAGTGACGTCAGGAAGGACTTCCCGGGGGTCTCGTGCAGCGCGGGGGGGGTGTAGCGGAAGACGTCGCCGTTCTCGCACCCGACGAGGAGCTTCGACGAGTCCGCCGACCACGCGACCGTCGTGACCTTGCTCTCGACCTGCACCATCGCCTGAGGCACGAGCAGAGAGTCCACCAGCTTGAAGAAAAACACCCCCCCGTCCGCGGCCGCCGTCACCAGCCGCAGCCCGTCCGGCGAGCACTTGACCTGCGTGATCGGCTTCGCGTGCGGCTTCTCGCACCCGACGAGCTTGAACCCGCCGCTCACGCGCCACAGTGCCCGCAGCACCCCGTCCGCGCCCCCAGCAAACAACAGCCGCCCGTCCGGGTCCACCGCGCGCGCGCACTGCTCGAGGCACGTCACCGGCGCCTCGAGCTTCATCGAGTGCGACATCGTCTTGTCGCGGTAGTCGTACACGCGCACGGTGCCGTCCACGCCGGCCGTCGCCACGAAATGCGACGCGGGACCCGCCGCCATCCCCACCACGCTGCCGCTGTGGAACCGCATCAGGTCCAGCACGCGCGGCGCCGCGGGCGGCTGCATGACCACGCGCAGCAGCCCGCCGGCCTCGTCCTGGATCAGCATGTGGTCGGCCTCCACCAGCAGCGACTTGATGCGCACGCCCTGCCGCACCAGCGTCTCGGTCAGCATCGGGACGCTCACGACGATGCCGTCCTCGGGGTCCGCCTCGTACAGCTCCTTGAAGGGCCACGTGCGAATGTACCCGTCCGCACCGGCCGTGAGGATCGCGTTGCTGCCCTTGTCGTGGTAGATGCACTCCACGGCGCCCGCGTGACAGGGCTTGTCGCCCTCCGCGCGAATGACCGCCTTGATGAGCCCGCCGTCCCACAGCAGCAGCTCGCCGTACTCCGACCCGGACAGCACCTTCCCGTCCGGCATCTCCACGTACCCGGCGATGTCGGAAATCTCGACTGCCCCAAACTTCCCAATTTGGCCCTGGAGCTTGAGGCCCGTGAACGTGTTGGCCATCTTCCAGAAGCGCACGTGGCCGATGCCGGACGTGTAGAGCAGCCCGTCGAAGTACCGCGAGAACGTCACGTTGAAGACCTCTTGCGAGAAGGCCTTGGAACGCAGTACCGTGGCCTCCGCGTCCCAGTTCCACAGCGTGAGCATGTAGTCCGGGCTGGACCCGACCGACGCGAGCATGTCGCCCTTCGGGTTGAACGCGAGCGCGTTGTACGCGCGCTCCGTCCCGCCGCGCAGCACGCGCTGCAGCTCCAGAGACGGGAACGCGTACACGTAAATGTTGGGGCTGCGCGTCAGCGACATCTCCGCGACGGCCAGCCACTTCTTCGACGGGTGCACCGCGAACGCGCCCACGCCCGCGCCGTCCAGGCTCGGCATGAAGCGCTGCTCCAGCGTCGTGTCCGACACGTTCAGGAAGACCAGCTCGGCGCCCGCCGCGCTGACGACGACGTCGTCCGAGACGTACGCGAGGTTGTTCCGGCGGTGCGCGTTGAGGCCGAGGACGCTGTGGACCTCGCACGTCGACGCCGGGAGGCTGATGCCCTCCTCGGGGGGCACTAGGAAGTCGTCGGGGTCGTAGCGGCCGCGCTGCGGGCCGTTGGCGCCGATCGGGGGCTGGTCGACCGCGAAGCCGTCGAGTGCGCCCTCGTCGACGTCGTCGTCGCTCTCGCGGTCCGCGCCGGGCGCGCCGGCGGACGCCTCCGGCGCAGGCGCGGGCGGCGCGTCGGGCGACGCTGGCGAGGCCGCGTCCGAGGCGGCTCTGACCTCCTCGGCGACGGTGCCGAGGGCCTCGCCCTCGGGCGCGACGTGCGGGTCGAGCTGGCGGTTCGAGACGACGCCCCCGCCGGCGAGAACCTCCTTGATTGACGCGATTTTCATCGGGCTGGGGTTCCCGTGCTCGTCCTCTTCGTCCAAATGCGGGTTTAGGGACCTGGAGGAGATCGCCCCGCCGCTCTCGAGGACCTTCTTGATCGAGGCGATCTTCTGCGGAAGCGGGAGGTCCTCGCGGTACGCATCCGCGACGGAAACGGGCTCCGGAGGTGGCGTTGCGGGACCTGCGAGTGCGTTGCGGCGAGCCTCGCGGTCGGCGCTGGGCTCATTCGACGGATTCGTTGCGCTCATGGCGGGAACGATGGCCTGGGCCGGCGGAACGGGCGGCTCACCCTCATCTTCGGCGGCAACGTCGTCCTCTTGCTCGGCGCCTGGACTGTCGGCCGCTGGGGGGGCCTCCTCCGCGGCTGGGACCTCCTGCGGCTCCTCCGCCGCGGGAGGGTCGCCTACTGGCTCGCCGGCGTCGGACATCTCGGCCTCCCTGCGCAGTCAGACACAGCGAACCGTGGTCTCGCTGGCGTTCAACACAGCCGGGCTCCCGCCCGGCGCACCGCGCCTGTGGCGCCAAACACGGCCGTTTCGGGCCGCTCCTGCGTAGCCAAGCCGTCTGAGATATCGCGAAACGGCCTGAGAGGGACTGGCCGGCACGGAGCGCTCCGCAGCTGCGCGGGAGGCCCCAGAAACGGGCCCGCCGGGTGCGGGCAGCCCGAACGCGGCGTTCCGCGGCCTTCGCGCGGTCGCTCCGGCCAGGACGAGGCTCGCAATGGTCGTGGCGAGCCTCCGGGGAAGGGCGGCGCTCGGTTGCGGCGCGCACGGCGCGCCCGGCGCGTTCACATGCAGGTCGGCCCGCGTCGCACCTGCCTTCGCCTGGGGAGGTGTGTTAGCCCTCAGCGGGTCCGTCTGGGGGTCCGAAGGAACGACAGCCCCCTAGAAACGCGCCAGGGATGCGCCGCGACCCTGCCAGGTCCGCGCTGGCCGCGTGCGGCCCGCACAAGCAGTGCTCGGGTGCACTGGCGGCCTATCTGGGGCCTGGGAACCCGAAACGTGACTCCCTTTCCCCTCCACGCTCTTCTAGGGGTACAGAGAGGACACTTGGCGCGACGGGGCGTCGCGCGGGGCGATAGCGGCGCTGGCGCGGCGGTGGAGGTGTCTCGGGGCTTCCTACCAGCACGAGTTGGTGGTGCGTGTGCGTCGTGACGTCGCTTCCTGGCCCGCGCCCGCTCGCGCTGTGTCGTAGTTGTACCGCGGGTCGCTGCGAGGCGTCGGAAGCAATGACGGTGTCGTCGTAGGACCCTGCAGAGTGACGGAGGTGCACTGAGCTGGCGCTGGGGCGCTGAGCGGGTGCGATGGAGGGAGAGCCCCGCTTCGACCTCAACCTCGGCCTGGTAGTGTGCTCGCAGCAGCCCGACGGGAAATCCTTGCTGTATCCGTTCGACGTCGTCGTCCCAACAGGCAAGCGTCCCCGCGGCACCGAGAGGCGCGCAAGGGAGGCTGCGTTCGCAAAAACCGTCCCAACTTGGTCGCGCCTGATTCATTCGCAGGCAAACAAGACGTCGAGCGGATACTCAGCATATTTCGAGGCATTCAGAGCCCCATCGGTAGGCAAGTACCTCTTCACTGCACTGCCACCCGCTCCAACGGCCTCCCCGCGCGCCCATCTCAGTCCGCTCTGCCTCCCACACGCATTTTATCTACCGTCCAGTCCCCTGCGCAGCTCAGTTCCCACGCGCTGTCCTCGCCAGGCTCTCAGGACGAGTAACAGCCTTCTACTGCACCTTGTGGGCCGCAGGTACCTGTTCCTGCGGAAGCTGTGCGAGGACGACGCGAACCTGCACTTCCGCGCCGTCGTGCAGCACGCCTCCGAGTTCCTGCCCTTCATTTACACCCCCACCGTCGGCGAGGCCTGCCAGCGGTACGACGCTCTACGCATCCGCACGCGCGGCCTCTACGTCACGCTCGAGCACCGCGGACGCATCGCACAGCGGCTCCGCGACTGGCCCGGCCGCAGCGTCCGCGTCATCGTCGTCACAGGTACTCCCCGCCACCTGGCGCTCAATTGCCACGGAACGGAAGTGAATATGGTATCTTGAGTCCTTTTCCATCGATTCCCTGTGTCTCGCGGCCCTCTCCGACCCGGCCTGGCCTTGGCTATATTTTTCTGCAGATGGGGAGCGGATTCTCGGCCTCGGAGACCTCGGGACGGGCGGCATGGGGATCAGCGAAGGCAAGATCACGCTTTATACCGCTGCGGCGGGGCTGTCGCCGCACGTGTGCATGCCGGTGTGTCTCGACGTCGGTACGGACAACGAGAAGCTTCTCGAGGACCCTGCGTACCGCGGGCTGCGGCGGAAGCGTCTCAGAGGTGCGGCGACGCAACGTAGCTGGCACCGTCGCCTGCCTCACGCAGCGCCTGGCTCGAGCATGCCCGGCGGCGGACGCGAGGGCTGCGTTGCTGGAGAGTGGCGTGGGAGCTGAGGCGGGGGGCTTTCACGGCTGACTGCAGGTCCTGAGTATGACGCATTCGTGGGGGAGTTTATGGCCGCGGTGCGCGCGTGGCAGCCGCACTGCCTGGTGCAGTTCGAGGATTTTGGCAACAAGAACGCGTTCCGCGTCCTCGAGCACCACCGCAACGCGCACTGCTGCTTCAACGACGACATCCAAGGAACGGCATGCATCACTCTTGCAGGCGAGCTGCCTCCGTCACTTGCGCGAAACACACCCCGTAATGCCCGCAGCTAAGCTTCCTTGCAATGTAGAAGCTCAGCTGCGCCGCGAAACGAGCTGTTCGACGCCGCGACGTTGCGTTTTCGCAGGATTGTTGTCAGCGTTACAAGTGACACCGAACCGGCGCCTCGGCGCGCAGCGGCTGCTGTTTTTCGGGGCCGGGGAGGCGGGGACCGGCATCGGCGAGCTCGTCTCGCGCGCGATCGCCGCCGAGGAAAACATCCCCCTGACTCATGCCAGGACCCTCTGCAGCTTCATGGACAGCAAGGGCCTCGTCACGCGCGCGCGGCGCGACGCCGGGGATCTCCAGGAGCACAAGCTCCCCTTCGCGCACGACGCGCCCGCCTGCACGGACCTCCTCGAGGCCGTGCGGCGCCTCAAGCCCACCGCGCTGGTGGGCGTGTCGACAATCGGCGGCGCCTTCACGCCAGAGGTCCTGCGCGCGATGGCGGAGATCAACGAACGCCCGATCGTGTTCCCGCTCTCGAACCCGACGCCGCTGGCGGAGTGCACGTTCGAGCAGGCGCTGGAGTGCACCGGCGGACGCGTGGTGTTCGCCAGTGGCTCGCCGTTCCCTCCTGTCGAGACGCGCGCCGCGAACGGCGCGGCGGCGCTGCGCTACGCCGCCCAGGCGAACAACGCGTATATATTCCCGGCGCTCGGGCACGCCGCGGTGCTCGCGCGAGCGGCGCGCATCACGGACGCAGCGTTGCTGGTGGCTGCGCGTGCGCTGGCGGAGCAGGCGTCGACTGAGATGGTGGAGCAGGGGCTGCTGTTTCCGCCGTTCGCGGGGATCCTCGAGGTGTCTGCGCGGATCGCGGAGGCGCTCGTGCGGCATTTCGTGGCCGAGGGCACTGGGGCGGTGCCGCCTGGGGTGCACGCGCGCAGAGACGGCGACGTGGCGCGGTTCGTGCGGTCGGCGATGTGGTTCCCGGCGCGGCAGATGATCGAACGCGATAGGGCGCGCCTGTGAGCTGCGATTGCGATCACGCAGTTGAGACGACGAGATTTTCCACGTTGATTCTCCATTTCCCAATTGATATTACCTCGCCGTTCTATATCTGAGTGTCTCATTCCGTCGGACGACCAATCAGACACTCATCGTGCGAGTGTTCCGGGAACCGGCGGACGGCCACTGCCGCGGTGACCACGTGACAGCGAAACGTTCTCGCGCGTCACACGCGGAACGTGGGCCGTTTCCCGAGGCCCATCGGGCCGCCCTTGAGCCGGCTGCGACGGCTACGCGCGTACCGGTGCACCGCAGCCATGCCGATCGCCGAAACAGACAAGCCGAACCAAGTGAACGCGTATCCCAAATGGTCGACTGGCATCACCGCGTGGCTCTCGAATGCCTCCGGCGCGCGCACGACGGGCAGCGACATGTCGCCTCGCTCCCCCCCGGCGTCCCGCCCCGTCCGACCCTTCAACGCCTGCAAACAGACGCCAGCGAGAGCACACCAACTCATCACATGGGCAGGAACCAGGAGCGCCAGCGGCGCGCGCACGCGGCGAAGCACGAGTTGCAGCCTCACTGCGACCCTGCAGCCATCTGTCGGACAGCTCCGTCGCGACAAACCGGGATCAGAGCCAGTGCTCGTCGCTGCAAGACCGAAAAAGCCATCTATGATTAATTAATTCAACTTGTGTTGTGCAATGATCAAGAAGAACAAGACCTCACCCCCATGCCGGTGTTCGGCCGCTCCTCCACGTACCCGCCCTCCCGCACCACCTCCACCATCGGCGTCGACTCGTGCAGCCCCATCGCCTGCGCCAGCAACGGCACATCAATATAGTGCCACTGCTGCGCTCCCACGTCGTTGGCGACCCCGGAACGCCCCGGGTCCTCGCTGCCGCGCACGAGCCCCTCCACCTCGACGACGCCCGCGGGCTGCCACTCCCCCTTGCGAGCGGGGTCCTGAGCCACGTCAGCGGGAACCCACCCTCTGTTGACTAGCAAGCTGACACCACTGTCCGCGTCGTCCATCGCAGCGACGACGGTGTACCCGATGCGCGTGCGGCCGTCGATCGTGCGCGGACGCGGCCCGACGAGGGCCGTGGTGTCGTGTCGGACGCGCCCGCGGACCCTGACGCGGGTGAACTCCTCCGGGGTACTGTCCAGGTCCTGCGTCAGGGTCGGCGGCCGGCGGACGGGCGGTGGCGCGGAGCGCGCGCGGTGGGGACGCGCAGGGTGCAATACAACGTCGCTGCGATGCCCGGCCTGGTCAGCTTGACTGTGCTGAGAGGGTTGGTGGCGAGCGCGTCAGCCATCGCGTGCGGTGCGGCGCCAAGATCGCCACGGTCCGCGGGCCCGAAGGCGCTAGCTGCGTCCGACGTGCGCGCCGACGGCGCGCTCGCGGAGACCAGGCCGGGCGTCGCCGCGACGGTCTTCTGTTGGGCGCTGCGTGTGGGCGCTGTCCGCGTGGACATCCACGGTGCCGCCCCGACGCAGCCGTGGCGCGCAGGGCATCGTGGCGAGATTGTTATGTCGGTGTGAGGAACGGTTGATATCGTTTTCGTATTTGCTGTTGAACACTTGCGTACCTTGAGAGAGACCGCCGGCTGGTGGATGCGGGCGGCGACGTTCCTGAGCAGCTCCTCCTTCCAGCCCTTGCGCTGCAGCTGCCACGTGCCCAGACCCGCGCACACCACCGCTGGGAACCCAAGCAGCCAGATAGGAATTCCTCGATTGCTGGCTGCCCTTCCTTGTGTCTCAGCGGCAGCCGCAGCCGTCGCGAACCGCAGCCCCTGGGCCCCGCGCGCGAACGGTGAGTGCGAGACGGCTCCAGCGTCCGCCCCGCAGCGCCCCGGCAGGGCCCGCTGCGCGAAGATGCCCCCGGAAAAGGGGGCGGCCTCCGCCAGAGGCCTGCACGCGGTGCCTGCGGCGCGCACAAGGCGCTGCATCGCGGCTGTGCGTTACGCGTGAGCAGAGGACTTGCTTCCGTCGCGCTGGCGTGGGGGGAGTGCGCGCAGGGGGTGGTATTGCAGCACGGAGGCTGGTGGGCCCCGGCGGGCTAGGTTGTGGTCTGCCACGTCAGCCTGGGTTGTTGTTCCGGTGGAGTGACGACTCAGGGCGAGACTCTGCGGTCATGTGGCGGGCGGCGGTGCGTCACCGGAGGGGTTCAGGGCCGCACGCCTGCGGGGGACGTGGAGGAGCTTGTGGGTGTCGTACTGAGCTCTGTCAGCCACCGCAGACTCCCCCTCGTCCGCCGCCCCGTGTCTTTGGTCGCCGAAGCACGCCCAGACCTGACTCGTGACATCCAGATAGGATTCGGGCCAGCTCGTGATCGCAGGGTGCACTAGCGAGCACGCAAGTCGTCCATCCCCGCCAGACAAGCACCGCGCCCTCGCGTTCGCGCGTCACGCAGCGCGCGGTCCGCTCCGCGATGCTGATGCGCGCTAGCTTCGCGCCAGGGCGCCCGTGCGGCGCATCGCTCGGCAGGCCGCGGAACGGACACGCACGGAGACACAGCCCAGTGCTGGTGGTGAGTTCCCGTTCACGCTCTCGAACCACTCACACTCCATCTTTCCTCCTCCCGGCCGCTCGCACCGTCTCTACGACCCCGCACGGCCCCCGCAAGCGCATCTTCGTGTCCCAGCGCGTGCGCCCGCACCCTAGCACGAGCGACCCACCCATCTGCCGTTTTCGCAGCGCGCGGACCCCGTCGCGGCGCCCAGCGGCGCCGCGCTGCAGCAGTGGGCCCAGAACAACAGCATCGAGCTCGACGCAGCCTGCTCCATCGACGAGGCTACGGTTGCGGGCCTCCCTCTCTGTCTCCGGGCCTCAGGCGCGATCAAACGGGGCACCGTCGTCGTGACCGTGCCCGAGGACGCCTGGCTGAAGGCCCCTGCATCCTCCGGGGACCTCCCTCCGTGGGCCGCGCTCGCCCTCGAGCTCGCACGCGGCCGCGGGGACCCAACCGGCGCCGCGGCGTTCCTCCCAGAGACCCCCGCGTCGCCCCTCGGGTGGCCCGCGGAGGACCTCGAGCTCCTGCAGGGCTCCCAGGCGGCGTCCACCCTGGCGAACTACCGCGCGGCGGTGCTCGAGCGGCTCCCGAGCGATGCTGGTGTGTCGCAGGAGGACTGCCTGTGGGCCGTGGCGACGGTGCGGGAACGCATGCACGAGCCCCTGATCGGTACGCACGCACCAGCCACGCACACGCGGAGCCGCATGCTCCCCGCGGAACTCCACGAGCGCTGCGCCGCAGCGGCCTGCGGGACCGAGGCTCAGGACGAGAGCGCGAAACGCGTTGGTTGGGTCCGGAACGGTGCTCGCAGGGTCGGAGCTGGCCGTGGTGCCGGTGGCGGACCTCGTGGCGCACTCGCGCCGTCCGAACGTGAAGTGGGAGATTCGCGCGACGGGGTTGTTTGGGCAGGGTCCGCGGAACCTCTGTGTGGTTGCGACGCGCGACGTGGCGCCGGGAGAGGAGCTGAGCCTCGACTACGGGCCCGAGAAGCTCGAGGGGCAGATCGCGCTGGACCACGGGGCGTATGACGCGGTCGCGGGGCGCGCGGGGGTGTCGCTGACGCTCGAGCTGCCCGGCGACGACAAGATGTTCGACGACAAGATCGACACGCTCGAAATCAACGGGTGCGAGCGCGCGCGGCGGTCTGCCGGCGCCCAGCGCCCTCTCACGTGCCATGCTCTTTTGCCAAAGATCACGCATGTGTCTCTGCCGGACCGTCACGCACCTCGCCTTGTCGGTTTACCATCCAACACCAGACACCGGTCGCGCATGCCTCTTCCAGGCCCGGCGTCTGACTGTCCGACCGCCTAGCCAACCGCGCGCCCCGCACACCCCCCCGCGCAGCTTCGACCAGGCCGTGGCGTTCGAGCTGCTCCCCCGCCAGCCGCCGAGCGAGGACATGCTCGCCTTCCTCCGCCTTGTCTCGCTCTCCGGCCCCGACGCCTTCCTGATGGAGCCCATCTTCCGTAATGAGGCGTGGGCGCACATGTCGCTGCCAGTCAGCGAAGAGAACGAGGCCGCGGTGTGCGAGGCCATGGGCGCCGCGCTGGACGCGGCGCTCGAGGGGATCGGCTCGACGCCCGACGAGGAGTCGGCGATCATCCGCGCTACGGGCGGGCGCGGGCGGGCTGGACTCGCCGCGGCGATTCGGCTCGGAGAGCTGGTGCGTCGCGCAGATGTGGCTGTCCTAGCGCATTGAACGCGCTGCAGTGCACCGGCGCTGTCCGTCGGCTGAGCCGGTTTCGTTGTGCGCGACGCGCGCGTTGCTGCTGGCGAGATGCAGCGCCGTTCCCGCCGGCGTAGCGACGTTCGCGCGCGTGCAGCGGCTATTCAGAATCGTTGCCGCGTGCGGCGCGTCCGAGGCTCTGCCACGCCGGCCCTCTCGCGCCGTGTGCGGTGGCGTCGATGCAACTGGTACAGTGCGGCATTTTATGTGCGCGCAGGAGGCGCTGGGGTCCGCGCGGCGCTGGTTCGCGACGCGCGCGACGGAGGAGGTGCTCGGGCAGCTGGAGTACTACGCGGAGCGGCGGCTGAAGCGGCTGGGGTTGATGGATAAGGAGGGCAACAACACAGAGTAGTAATTGACCACCCGCGCACGAAACGAAATGCGGGTGTGCTATCGTCCTGATCAAGGCGGCAGCGTGCTAGGAGTACTCGCGCGAAATGCCATGTGAGCGGGCCATCATGTGCCAAGGGAAGGCTCTGACCTGCAATCAGTTAGAGTGAGTGGCGGGCGTCGTCAGCAACAACGCGGCGAGCCGCGCGAGTACTGGACGACGCCCGCCAGCCGACGCGCCGAAGTGCTGGTCCACGTCCTAGGCTGCTTGTACCGGGGGGTGTCGGCAGCCGGCTGGGTGACAGCGGTGACTGAGTCTGCGGCATTGTCCGCGTTGTGTGGCGACGCGCCGACGGCTACTCAGCTCTCCTCGTCATCGCCGTCCCCGCGCGTGGCCTGTCATGCGAAAAGGGATCATACCTCGGTCTAGCGGCCACGGAATACGCGCATGGCCAACATGTCAACATCGGGGGGGTAACAGAGTGCGTCATGTGTGCGGGCATGGCTGGATAGTTCCGAGCCAGCTTCGCAGCGCCGGGATCATGTATGAGGGTGACGAGTTGCAGGGCGCCGGGCACGCCCTGTCAGCAGGTTGGCCAGTATGGTCTGCAAACTGCACGTGGCGACGCACGAGGTCAGCCAGGCCCGCCGGCGTGGCAGGGCCAAAATGCGGGCTCGGGTGCGTCCGGCAGGCGGCGCGGTGGATCGCCAGGACCTGTCGCATGCAGTAACCTCGATGCGTACGCATGTAGCGCATCATGGCCGACATCTTGGCTACGTAGCTGTCGCGGTCAGTCACCTCGCTGGACACGCGGATGTGTTCGGTGCGGACGATGTTGTAAAGGTGTCGTCGCAGCAGCGCACGAAGCGTGCCATGTTGGCACCCGACTGGCGGAAACGTCCCACCGCGGAGTCGTGCCTCAAGCACCCGTTCCTGACGGGTGAGGCGTACGACATGTGAGCAGGGACGCGGCCTCGGCGGCTCACACGCGGCGTCGGCGAGTGGGCCGGGCTGACGGCGTTGCTGCGGCGTGTCAGTCGAAGCCACGGTGCAGCTGCGCGCGCGTGACGCGCATGAGGGCCTTCATGAACGCGGCGGTCCGCAGGGGCACCTTGCGCTCGGTGTGGATCTTCCAGAGCGCCTGGAAGGACGCGGTCATGCGGGCGTCGAGCTGGCGCACGATCTCCTCCTCGGTCCACTTGAAGTTCTGCAGGTTCTGCACCCACTCGAAGAACGACACGGTCACGCCGCCCGCGTTCGCGTAGATGTCCGGGAGGACGGTCACGCCCTTCTCGCGCAGGATGTGGTCGGCCTCGAAGGACACGGGCCCGTTGGCCGCCTCGACCACGTAGCGCGCGGCCACGGAGCTCGCGTTCTCGCTCGTGATGACGTTCCCGATGGCCGCGGGGATGAGGATGTCGCACGGCATCGAGAACAGCTCGTCGCGCTTGATCTGCTCCCCGGGGCGGTAGGCCGCGAGCATGTTGCCCTGCCCCACGTGCTGCCGCAGCTTGGGGATGTCCAGCCCGTCCTCGTTGTGGATCGCGCTCTCGGCGTCCGACACCGCGATCACCTTGGCGCCCATCTGGTGCAGGAAGTCCGCGGCCCACGACCCCACGTTGCCGAACCCCTGCACCACCACCTTCTGCCCCTCCACCTTCTCGCCCGTGACCTTCATCAGCTCGCGGATCCCCAGCGTGACCCCGCGGCCCGTCGCCGACTCGCGCCCGAGCGACCCGTGCAGCCACACGGGCTTCCCCGTGACCACCCCGGGCGAGAACCCCTTGTACTTGGAGTACTCGTCAAAGATCCACGCCATCACGCGCGCGTCCGTGTTCATGTCCGGCGCCGGAATGTCCTCCATCGGACCGATCACCTCGCGCATCGCCTGAACGAACTTCCGCGTCAGCTTCTCCATCTCGCGCTCCGACAGGTCCTGCGAGGAAGCGACCGCTCGGCACGTCGTGGGCCCACCCGCCGCCGTGCGCGCCCTGGGCCGAGCGAGGGGCGCGCCGCAGCGTGCGGTGCGGTCGTACGCCGTACCTTCGGGCTGCAGGTGATCCCGCCCTTCGCCCCGCCGAACGGCACGTCCAGCAGCGCCGTCTTCCACGTCATCAGAGACGCCAGCGAACGCACGTCGTCAATGTCCACCTCGGGGTGGTACCTCAGGCCGCCCTGCGACGCGCAACGGGGAGCCGCGTGATCAAAGGGCTCCCAGGACGCGGGAGGCGCGTCTGTCAGGGGGCCGCGTGCCCGCGCGGGGGGGACGGCTCGCCTTGAACGGGCCCCGGGAGCTGTCGTGCTGCACGCGGAATCCGCGGAACGACTCGATCTGCCCGTTGTCCATCTGCACCACGAGCTCCACGGTGACCTCTCTGCACGGCACCAACGGCCCGCGCGCGTTCCGCGGTCGGGTCCCCGGGCTTGGTCAACGGCAGGTGGTTGCGGTGGCGCGGGGTGAAATTTGACGCGGGGCGGCAGTGCCCGCACCTGTAGGCCTCCAGCAGGTGCTTCTGGAGCTTCTGGGGATACTCTAGCTCGACGAACGCCTCCTGAACGAAGCTGTTGGTGTTCTCCGAGTGGGAAGCCATCATGCGGCGCGCCAGCCGCTGCGAGGGCACGCGCACGAGGTCGCAGCGAGGGTCGAGAGCGGGACGGATGACCAGCGATGGGCGGCGCTGCGCACGCGCGGACCGCGCCGCGGCGTGCGGTGGCCGAACGCGGGCCGCGCGCTGGATAGGAGCTGGGAAATCAACCACTTGCTCAGGAACGGCCCGAACCCGCGCCTTCGAGCCGGCTGCGTGGCGTCTGTGCAGCTCTGCCGGATAGCACAGTATTGAATGCCGTGATGCGCGTCGAGATGTCCGGCATCGCGCTCCCGGCAGTGCGCAGCGGTGGCGCAACCGCCGGCTCTGTTTGCACGGGCGCTGGCAGCATTGATCCGCCGTCACAAGCGAAATGCGAGCAACACTCGGGAAGACACATGGCGTTCGTGGCGCAACGAGAGATAAACTATGTGAAACGTCGACTCTCACGCGACGCTTTGACACGCACCTGCAGAGCTGGACCGCATGCCCCGCAATTTGCGCTGGCGACCGCCGCAAGGGCGCTCACGCCAGCGCTCGCCACCCTCGATAGCATATCAACTCAACAAGACCGAGTGCCTCTTGTTCGGGCGATGCTGGGTGCAGTGGGATCCCAGGACCTGCTTGGAGGCCCGGTGCTGTTCCAGCGTAGGGCCAGTGCGATGCGCACGAGTTCGTTCGCAAGAACGCTGCGATGTCTGACAGATGTGATCAAGGAGATTGTCCCAGGCCCAGTGCGGCGCCCGCTCTCGCCCCCCAGCCGCGCTCCGGCACACGCCTGACGTGGACGCTCGCACCGGGTACAACCATGAAGAGGGGGGCGCCGGGCGCGGGGTGATGGGCGGCGGCGGCCCCGGCCCCCGCGCACACCCGCCCAGCGTCGCCCGCACGTCGCCGTCCACGAGCGCTTGAGGTCCACCTGCGTGCGCCCCGCACACACACACCACCCCAAGCATGCAGGCTCTGGCCAGGAATCGGCCAGGGAGCACGCGCCCGGCCGCGGCGGGCAGCGCGGCGCACCAGGCGCGCGCGGCGGTCCGCGCGGCCGCGCAGCCGCACGGGCGCATCTACAACTTCAGCGCGGGCCCGGCGTGCCTGCCCGCGGACGTGCTGGAGGAGGCGCAGCGCGACATGCTCAACTGGCAGGGGTCGGGGATGAGCGTGATGGAGATGAGCCACCGCGGGAAGGAGTACGACGCGATCCACAGCAAGGCGCAGGCCGACCTCCGGGAGCTCATGGGGATCCCGGACAATTACAAGGTGCTCTTCGTCCAGGGCGGGGCCAGCACGCAGTTCGCCGGGGTCGTGCTCAACCTCACCAAGCCCGGGGACGTGGTCGACTACGTCGTGACCGGCTCGTGGGGGAAGAAGGCGCTGCAGGAGGCCGAGAAGCTCGGGTGCAAGGCCAACCTGGCCGCCAAGGGCGACAACAAGTCGCTGCCGCCCATCAGTGACTGGAAGCTGTCGCCCGACTCCAAGTTCGTGCACATCTGCTCCAACGAGACCATCCAGGCGAGTCCCCGCGGAACCAACGTGCCAGCTGCGCGCGTGGTGACGGGCAGGAGCCCCGCACCAGCGCCGGGCCGGCTGAACCCTCGGTTGTGCTGCCGTCGCGCGGCCTGGCCCGCGACGCCGTGCCGGCGAACGCGCCGGCTCCGAACAAAGAAGCGACGACCGACAGGTCAACATGCGACCGAGGCACCCTGACGGGCCCCAGAGTCCTGAATTGCACGGTGGGAGCGCGCCAACCGCTTCGCCATGCTAGAGGCACTTGCGAGCGAACGACGTCGCTGCGCCGACGCGCCGGCTTGCGCGAACATGCGATCATGCTCGTTGCAACTTACAGCTGCAAGGGGCAAGAGAGTTCCCGACTGGCTCGCCGCTCAATGCCGCGCGCGACACACCTGCAAGGTCTAGGGCAGCCGCCATCCCGCCGGACCGTTCCGGGACCGAACCCGCCGTCTACTTCCCCGAGATCGATTTTATCACTCTGTATCACGCCACCTGTAGCCATTCTGCATCGGAATATCCCACACTCGCGCCTCAGTGGGCCCCGATGGCCAGCAACGCAACCGCCGGGCGTTGACCGCACTTTGATCCGTTGTTGCTGACACCTCGCGGCATCTTGCCGCGCCGGGCGTACCTCCAGATCCGCGCGAGGCCGCAGCGCCTGCGACTGCGCCAGGCGCGCGCGTGGCGACACACCGCCGCGAGACGTGTTGCTGTTGCCACTTGCAGGGTGTCGAGTTCCAGGAGGACCCCGACCTGGGCGACCGGGTGCTCGTGGCGGACATGTCGTCCAACATCCTCTCCAAGCCCGTCGACGTGAGCAAGTACGGCGTCATCTACTGCGGCGCGCAGAAGAACATCGGGCCCTCTGGCGTCACCATCGTCATCGTCCGGTGCGACCCCGCGCCGCGCTCCGAACGCGCGATCGCGCGACTGCTGCGGCCGGCGCTGCTGGTGTCGCTCGCCTGGTCCGCTTCGTTCCGTCGTCTCAATTCGCATGTCCTGCAAGTCCCTGGACGGCGTCTTGCGACGGCCGTGTCCGCATCGTCTGATGCGCAGGGAGGACCTGATCGGAAACGCGCGGCCGGACACGCCGACGATGCTCGACTGGAAGACCATGGCGGACAACGACTCGCTGTACAACACCCCCCCCTGCTACTCGATCTACATCTGCGGCCTGGTGTTCGCCAAGCTGCTGCGCGAGGGCGGCCTCGCCGCGTCCCTGGAGCGCAACAAGGCGAAGGCGGGCCTGCTGTACGACGCGATCGACGCGTCGGGCGGGTTCTACAACTGCCCCGTGGACCCCGCGGTGCGCTCCAACATGAACGTGCCCTTCACCATCCCCGGGAACCCGGAGCTGGAGCCGGCCTTCATCAAGGGCGCCGCGGAGCGCGGGATGGTCCAGCTCAAGGGGCACCGCTCCGTGGGCGGCATGCGCGCCTCCATCTACAACGCCATGCCGCACGACGGGTGCGGGGACCTCGCGGCGTACATGAAGGAGTTCCAGCAGCAGAACGCGTAGGAGGCGCGGCGAGTTACAGGAACGCAGCCGCAGCAGAGCGGGGGCCGCCACACCGGCACCACCCTTGTTTGTCCTGTTGACACGCCGAGAGGTCAGCGGAACCTCTCTCGGCTGTGACGACGGGTCCTATCTCGCGCAGGGCTTCTGCTGCGTCTGTCACGATCGTGTCGTCGCTCGCGGCTGCGGCCGTGCTCGCGGTACCTGGGCGCCTCCGGGCTGTGCTCCCTGCTCCTGCTGCGGGACCTGCCTCGGCTCCTCGGTCGCCGAGGCTCTTGGCTGCTGCTCCGTGATCTTCGCCGCCCACGGTGCCTGTCTGGGGACCTCGACCTCCGATGACGGCTGGACTGATGCCGTCTACTGTGATGGTGAACGTCCTGGGCGCCTCTGTCCCGCGGCGGGTGCACGTCGCCCCTGTCGGCTCGTGGTTCCTCGAAAGATCTTGTGCGCTGCAAGGGGTGGTCGTCTCGGTCGCAGGCGACCTGAGCGGCAGCACCGGAGTCGCCATGGCCGGCTGACGCCTGCATCATGCGTCCCACTTGGTTGCGAGCGTTGCGGTCCCGCTCCTCCGACAGCTTCTTCAGCGCCTGCTTGCGGTTGTCCTCTTGAATCGTCCGGTTCAGCTGAGCGGCCATCAAGCGTTTGATCCGCTGTTGCGGGGTCTCCTTGACCCCTGGCTGCGCCCGCAGCGACGCTGCATGCGCGAGGGAGCGCGGAGCGACGGATCGCGGCATGGCCGGAGCACTGGTGCAGGTCCGCGAGGAGTCGGGGCGGGCGTGCTGTCTAGTCGGGGCGCGCACTGCACAACAGGTGTCGGGGCAGCGTGCCTGACGTCGGACGTGCCGCCTCCGGACGAGTCTGACGCCCCGTGTCCTGCCTCCGCTCCCCAAACCGTCGCCCCTGCATGATGGTGCCCTCGACAGGCAGAGCAACCCCACCCTCGGTCTGTGCGGGGTCCTGGTGGCGCGGGTCGATGATGCCCATCGTCCGCCAGTGCCCGGCCGGCGAGCCCACCGCGGGTGAGCTGTGCCCGCTGGCGTTCCCGGGACTCCCGCGCCCGAACTCGTTGATGAAGGTGATGCGCGGCCCCAGATGGACATCCCCGCGAGGGTCCCGCTCGTTCGAGGGACTGCGACGCCGCGCCGATCGATCGCGCCGCTCTTCCTCGTCCGGACGCTCTTGCGGCGGTGGGAGCGTTGGAATCGAGGCAAGGAAGTCGTCTGTTGCTCTGGTGCTGCTTGCGAATGGGTCCTTCCCTTGCCCGCGGAGCCGCTTCGCGCGGCCTCCCGTCTTCCTGCGGGACCACTTCTTGCGCTTCGTGATGAAGTGGCGTCCGAGCTCCTGTTCCTCGGCCTCCTCGGCCTTGGAGAGCATCTCGGTGAACCCCTCGATGTCAAACAAATCCTCAGCGATCACGTCCATCGCCTCCTCCTCCCTCGCAGCGCCCTCGTCATCGGCCGCGCCAACGTAGCCCGGCAGCTCAGAGTCTTCCCCTTCTGCGGACGCAGACGCCGCCTGCGCCGACGCAAGCAAGGAACCGTCGTGCCCTGCAGTTCCGGGGTTCCCGAGCCCGACGGACGCAGCGGCGAGTCGCAACGCGTAGCCGCGGATCTCCCAGTTGAGGTTCTCAGCGTAGTCCACGCCCTGCGCGGGAGGAAGAGAAGAGGCGTGCCTTTGGTAGGTTCCGCCACACACCGTGACTGGCAGCGCGTGGCTGCCGCAGCGTGTCTCGCATTTGCGTGCCAGGCTCTCACCTCGCTATGCCGCTCGTCATCTCCGAAACCCATCTGATACATCCGCACGAGGTCCCGATACGCCTCGAACTGCAGCTGCTCCCACATCGGATCCTGACGCGCCGCCGCCCTCGCGGCCTCTGCGACACACGACCAAAGCGCCTACGGTGATCAGCGGACGCGTGCAGAGCGTCAGCAGTGGGCTGCCACGCGCGTGTCATGCACCAACCTTGGCGCTCTGGGAGGGGCTCGCGGTACATGTCGAGCAGCGCCCTGCCGTCGTATCTATCAATCGTCGTGTCCGCCACGCCCCTCCACGGAATCAGGCCTTCCCCTGCCTCCTGGGCGGCGTGTGCTTCCTGGCTCCGCGTTGTTTTGCACGCCCTCCCATCGATCCGGATCTTGAACATCGGCGCTTCATTCTGCAACCAGATGCGGGGCCTTGGTCCGGGATCTGTGCGGGCGCCGGCGGACGTGTTCCGGGCGACGATGCCGGTGTTTCGCACGGGACCACGGTGCACACAGCACGGCGAGAGCAACCACAGCCGGAAGGCGACACTGGTGGGGGCTGTCACCTCGGCCGCCGCAATTTCCGCAAGACGCTCTTTCTTTCTCCTGGCGGCCTCTTCCAGCTTCTTGAGCGAGTTGTTGTGCGCGCGTTGTTGCTGCACCAACAGGAAAAAGGCGGTGGTGGGCATCGGTAGCCCTGTCGTGGAGCGTTCCGGCGCACGGACGTTGTGCCGCCCTCAGAAGCGTGCGGCTCGGCGACCGCGCCCCCCGCGCGATCTCTGGCAGGGTGAGCAGTGCCAGCTTGTCCCCGGGGCCCGCAGCCGCCCGAGAAGGGCGCAGCAGCCATTCATTATTCCCTCACGAGTAGTCAGAGGACGCCTCGAGAGCAAACTATCGATAGCGTCCTCAGGGCAGAGCCCAGCCACGCGTGTACAGAGGGGTGGGCGTTCCCGCACCTCGTAATACGACATTCTGGACCCTAGCCTGGACGTGAGGGGCCTGCACAGGTGGCTTATTCACCGGGGCTGCGATGCACAGACGCCTGCCCATGCCGTCCCCGCTCGTCGCGGCGGCGGGAGGACATAAGCAGTCCTGGTAGCGGGCGCCCTCAGTGACTGCAACCACGGTCGTGAGGGTCGGCTACGCCCGCTCGGCGAGTCGATCACCTCTCACCCGAGGGAATTGCATTCTGGTGCGGTCGCTCCGGCAATGCGCCACCGGTGTACAGCTGGCGGACGTGCGGTACGACGCCAGAGGAGAGATCCCCGGGAACTCCCCAGGCCGTGCAGGTGCGGCGCCAATGGGCACCAAGGGCACCCCACGACCACAATTCTGCACTGTCAGCGACGTATCACACGCGAACGGACCGTTGAGGCGCGTCCGCGCCTGCCTCGTTCGCAGTAGTGCAGCAAAGGCGGCGAGAATCCCGACAGAAGAGCCGTGACGTCCCTGAAACGCAGCCGTTCCAGTAGTTGTACTCCATTCTGTTTGTGCGGCAGCTCAAGCGGCTCGCGCGCGAGCTTGAGAGGCGCCGCCGGCGCCTAGTTGGGCACAGCGTTGGGCCACCCGACCAGAGCATATGGGCCCCGACGCACAGGTTGGCCCGTTCTCGCCGGGCACGATCAAACGAAAGAAGCCCCGACAGGAGCGTTTGAGAGTCCTCGTGACAGGTGGCGCGGGTGAGTGGTCTGTTCTCTCTCTCAGATGTCATGCCTTTGACCGACGCGCCGTCGCGGCCAGCCCCCCGACTCCGCCGAGGTCAGCCTTCCCGGGCCTGGAAACCTTTCACGCGGGCCCCGTCTTGCGTGCGGACGGCGTTCACGCGCGCGTGGAGGAGATCTGCCAGGGGTCAGTATATTTCAGTTGGCCCACATCGGGTCGCCACGCATCCGCGCAGGGTTCGTCGGCAGCCATCTATGCGAGTACCTGTTGAGGCGCGGCGATCACGTGATCTGCCTGGACAACTTCTTCACAGGTTCGAACCTCGACGCTCACCTCTCTTGGTGCCCTGCGTCACCGTTGCAAACTGCCCACTCCGCGCGACTCGCTGTGGAGGCGGCCACAGCTTGACCTGCTCGACCGGGTGCGGTGCAGGGAGCAAGGACAACATCCGGCACCTCACGAGCTCCCAGCACTTCGAGGTCATCCGGCATGACGTGGTGGAGCCCATTCTGCTCGAGGTGGACCAGGTGCGGAGCGACCCCCGCCGCGACGCTGCTGCGCGCCGCAGCGCGCCACCGACCCTGTTGACCCGGGAGCGCCTCGTGCTTGGCCCGCAGGTGTACCACCTGGCGTGCCCCGCGTCCCCCATCCACTACAAGTACAACCCCATCAAGACGCTCAAGACGGCGTTCGTCGGAACGATGAACATGCTCGGGCTGGCGAAGCGGTGCAGGGCGCGCTTCCTGTTCACGTCGACGTCCGAGGTGTACGGCGACCCCCTCCAACACCCCCAGTCCGAGTCCTACTGGGGCAACGTCAACCCCATCGGGGAGCGCGCGTGCTACGACGAAGGCAAGCGCGTGGGCGAGACGCTCACGATGGACTACCACCGGTGAGCGAGCGTGCGTCGGGCCCGCCACCCGCGCCTGTCCCCAGGCACTTCAGCGCCTGTCCATAGGACGCCGCACGGCCTCGTTTTTTCTCGCAGGGAACACGGCATGGACGTCAGGATCGTTCGCATCTTCAACACTTACGGGCCGAGGATGGCGCTGGATGACGGGCGCGTGATGTCCAATTTTGTCGCTCAGGTGCGCAGCCGCGCCCTCCGCCTCTGGTTGCAAGATGGTTCCTGGCCCTCCGGGCACGAGACCCATCGTCGACTGTCCGCATCCCGTTGCATACAGGCCCTGCGAGGAGAGCCTCTGACCATCTACGGAGACGGGAAGCAGACGCGTTCGTTCCAGTACGTCAGCGACCTGATCAATGGTTTGGTCCGGGTGATGGAGGGAACCGACATCGGCCCGACGAACCTCGGGAACCCGGCGGAATTCACCATCCAGGAGCTTGCCGAGGTGCGCCCAACGTCTGTGTGTCTGGTCGCGGTTCAGAAACGGACGAAAGCTCGAGAAGGGACACACATTGAGTGCCTGCAATCACGTCCCTGTGCGGACTGGTCCCTGCAGGTGGTTCGTGACATGGTGAACCCGAATGTCGAGATCGTCTACTGCGAAGCCACGGCAGACGATCCGAAGTGTCGCCGCCCCGACATATCTAAAGCGCAATCAACACTGGACTGGGAACCTCGGGTCGCCCTGCGCGAAGGAGTGGCGAACATGGTCGCGGACTTCGAGCAGCGCCTCGCGGCTGTCAGCAAGCGGGAAGTGAAGAAGTGCCGCCTCCTGAGCGGCGAGGCCGCGGACACCTCGGGCAGCCCGATCCCGTCCGGGAGCCCCTCGTAGCCACCCGGGCAGGCCCACTCGCCGCGCCCGCGTGCGCGGCTGTAACGGCGTTCTAGAAGATCAAGCGTACGTGCCAGAAGGCAACGCAGCGACGGGGCGGCAGAGGGTACAGATAGACAACTCGCTGGGAAAACATCGGTTGCAACACGGCTCCAGCGACGCGTCTGCGAGGATCTACAGGGCCACTCCCGTCCACATGATCTGCCGCGCCTCCAGCTACCTCGATCTTCTTCGTCATTCACAGTCTCGTCCCGGATGTGTGGTCACCAGGTCGCAGGTGAGCAATCAAGCTGTGGCCTGCATCTCGTCCGCGGCCCTCGCCTGCACGCACCGCGCCATCGTCTTAGACGTGCGCGAGATGATGTCCGTCTGGTAGAAGTTCTCCACGTGCGAGGCCAGCGGCCGCTTGCCGTCCACCTTGTCCTTGGTGCCAGCACCCCACCCCTGGGGGCTCCACAGCGGGGCCTCGAACGCGTCGACGCGCGCGAGGTGCGGCGCCACCTCCTGCAGGCGCGCGCGCATGCCCGACACGGAGTCGTACGGCAGCTGCGCGCCGGCCATCTCGGACAGCGCGCGCACAATCTTCCAGTCCTCCCGTGCCCCGCCCGCGAGCGCCACGGCCGCCTTCGACCGCTGCGCGCGCCCCTCCGTGTTCACCCACGTCGCCGTCTTCTCCGTGTACGCCGCGCCCGGCAGCACCACGTCCGCGCGCGCCGCCCCGCGCTCCCCCGTGTGTCCCTGGTAGATCACGAACGCGTCCGCCGGCACGTCCGCCTCGGTGAAGTCGTCCGACCCCAGGAGGTACACCACCTTGGCCGGCTTGTCCAGCGCGCCGGGGCCCGGCACGAACCCGACGTCCAGCGCGGCGGTCCGCGCGGCCGTGTCCTGCAGCACGTTGAGGCCCACCCAGTCCGGCGTCAGCGCGTTGGTGCCCGCGCACAGGTCCGCCACCGCGCGCATCACCGCCGCGCCATCCGCCCGCTGGTGCACGCCCGCGCCAACGATCACCAGCGGCCGCTTCGCGCCCTGGAACACCTCCTTGTACCACGCGCCCCCGGGGCCCTTCCCGGCCTTCATCGCCGCGAGCTCGTCGGGGGAGTCCCCGAAGTGGTCCGCGGGGAACGTCAGATCCACGTGCGGCCCGACGGACGCGACGCGCAGCCCGTTCAGCCAGCCCTTGCGCAGGCGCGCGTTGAGGACGGGCGCCTCCCACCGCGTGTTGGTCCCCACCAGGAGCACCGCGTCCGCCTCGTCGATGCCCTCGATGCTGCTGTTCATCACGTACGAGCACCGCAGGTCCGCGCTCAGCCCCGCGCCGTTGCTGTCCGTGTACGTCGCCGAGCTCCCCAGCCGGTTGACCAGGTCCTTCAGCGCCACCATCGCCTCCGTGTCCGCCACGCGCCCCGCGATCGCGCGCACCGCCGACGGGTCCACGCCGCGCAGGGCGCCCGCCGCCACCGCGAGCGCGTCCGCCCAGGTCGCCGGCTGCACACACACGCACGTGGGCGAGCGGGAACACCTGGGTCACTGGTGGCAAGGCGAGGCGAGGTGTGGCTGTGCTCGGAGGGGGGGTGCGCGGGCGCTCACCTCGAGGGCGCCGTCGGGGCCCTTGACGAAGGGCGTGGTGAGGCGCTGCGTGCGCAGGCCGTCGTACTGGAAGCGCGCCTTGTCGGAGATCCACTCCTCGTTGACGGCGTCGTTGGGCCGCGGGACCACGCGGATGACCTCCGTGCCGCGCGAGTCGATGCGCACGTTGCTGCCGAGGGCGTCGCTGACGTCGACGCTCTCCGTGGACTTGAGCTCCCAGTTGCGGTACGTGAAGGCGCTGGGCTTGGCCGTGAGCGCCCCCACGGGGCAAATGTCGATCACGTTCCCGGAGATCTCGCTCGTGAGCAGCTTGTCCACGTACGTCCCGATCTCCGCGTCCTTCCCGCGCCCGGTCACGCCGAGTTCGGGCACGCCGGCGATCTCCGTCGAGAACCGCACGCAGCGCGTGCAGTGGATGCAGCGCGTCATCACCGTCTTCACCAGCGGGCCGAGCGACTTGTCCTCCACGCCGCGCTTGACCTCCGTGAAGCGCGACCGGTCCGACCCGAACATCATCGCCTGGTCCTGCAGGTCGCACTCGCCGCCCTGCGCGCCGCGGAGGAGGAGGACCGGGGTGAGCGCAGGACCGGGGGGCAGCGGCGGGGGCGCGGGGCGGGGCGGGCTGCGCGGCGCACCTGGTCGCAGATCGGGCAGTCGAGCGGGTGGTTGATCAGGAGCAGCTCCATGACGCCCTCGCGCGCCTTCTTCACGCGCTCCGAGTTGGTCGTGACCTTCATCCCGGGCATCACCGGCATCGCGCACGACGCCACGGGCTTGGGGGACTTCTCCATCTCCACGAGACACATGCGGCAGTTGCCCGCGATCGACAGCTTCGGGTGGTAGCAGAACCTGCGCGGCGTGGTGCGCGCAACGCACGGTGAGTCGACCAGCGGTGGGGCGGCCCAGCCACAGGGCTGGCCGGGCATACCCTGTCTGTGGGGAGGCCGCAGGACAGGGTCGTCACGGTATGGACGTCGCAAACACACGCTCCCCGGGGCGCATGCGTGGGGCGAGGTGCCCCGCCGAGCACGAATCAGGGCTTCTGGGGCCCAAGACTGAGGCTAGCCCGGTTCGTCAGGATTTCGCGGTCTGGGAACGTCGCGACGGGCACGGCAAGGAGATGCCGACGCGCTGGAACACGACGAAGGCGACAGACTCTGCGAGGCCGCGCTGCGCAGGGCTGAGAGGTGGCTCCTGGGCCAGCCAAGTCCCAAACGGTTTGCTCGTTGCGTCGCCATCACTCAAGGACGGCGTGCCCGGCCTCGGGACGGCCCCCGCCGACATGCACGCTTCCAGTTCCCGCTGTTCTCCTTCGGGGAGGGGCATGATTTCGCGCAGGTGCGCACCTTGGGATGTCTATGCCTGCTGCGTCGCAGGCCTGGATCACTGAAGCGCCTTTCGGCACGTGCACGGCCTTTCCGTCGATAAACACCTCGACGGAATCATCCTGCGGGGCGGCCTGGGCTGCGAATCCTCGCCCTAGACGGCCGCTCAGACTGCCGAGCCGCTCGGGCAAGCTCCCGAGAGCGCGCGCCTGCCGCAACAGCATCGTGCTCGGGACGACCGGGACTTCCTGATGACGAAACCTGCCGTCCTGCCGTGCCCTTGCAGCCCGCAGGGGTCCACGCGGTACCAGGCGACCTGACCACCCCCAGGATGTGTGTCAGGTGCTCGCAGCCCCCCTTGCCGAGCGGCCCGCTCGCCCCCAGGGGTTGGCATCAAACGCCGCGGCCTGCGCCGCGCGCGGGCATCGCGGTGCCGCTCGAACAGTGTGCCGTGACATGAACCTCACAACGTGCGTGCAGCCTAGGGCCGCGCGTCAGGGCTTCGATCCCATCGTGCGCCTCAGTCGCGCCACGCACTCGGTCGTCAGGGCGCGCAGGGGGTCGACCTTTTTCAGGCCCTCGTAACCCATGAGGGACAGTCCCGCGAGACCAAAAAAGGTGTGATACACGTCGGCCATCATTTCCGGCCTGTCCGAGATGCCCCCGTTTTCGTCGTCCTGGCACTGGAGGATGAAGGTCGCCAGGCGCTCCCGGTCGATCCAGTCCAGGCGGTCCATGGCCGCCAGGGCGCTGAGACACCACCACGAGTAACACACGTCCTGCAGCTTCTCCGGACGCCCGTTCAGGCCCCCGCTGCCCGTCTGCCGCTCGCTCAGCCACCACGACAGCAGGTCCGCGTCCACGCGGTCGGATGCCCCAGCGAGATGCAGCGCCCCCACGCACGTGAACACCTGCGCGCGTCCACGAGGGCGAGAACACGCGCGGTCGGTCGATGCGCGACGACCGGCATGCTCGGGGGGATCCTCGCCATCATCCCGTGCTTGGGCGGCGAAACACCAACCTGTCCGCTATGCGATTCGCCCCCCGGCCGGCAACCAAACCCTCCGTCGAAGTTGCAGCAGCGTGCAACGTACTCCACGGCCCCCGGAACGTCGATGTCGTCCAGACGCCCGAGCAGATCGAGACACAGGATTGCGCAGTACGTGAACCGGGTGTCCACTTCCCGCCACCTGTCTCCGTTGAAGGAGCCATCCGCGTTTTGCAATCCTGCACGGCGACCAGACAGCCAGCGTTTCGGCGCCTCGTCTCGCCACGGAATGGCCAGGATGCGATCGAAGCCCTGCGAAGGGTCTGTCAGGCTGCCGTGAAGGCGCGCACCTTTGATGTACCGCACGATGCCATCCACGTCCAACAGGTCCGTCCTGTCCAGGATGGCCAAGATCTGCACCGCTGACAGCGTGTGAAGAATGTGAGGATCGTGTCCTGGGGCTGCGCCGTACCCGCCGACCTCCTCGTGGCAACAGGACTGCACCCACTGGGCGAGCTCTTCTCCCTTCATCTCGTCCACGCGGCCTGCGCAACGCAGCAGACGGTAGCAGCATGCGTCAGGGCTTGCGAGGGCGTTGCGACGACAGCCCCGGCGCGTCGCGTTCCGGGACGGGCCCAACTTCATGTTGTGGACAGAGCAAGCCGTGCCGCCGGCCTGGACAGGACAGGAGGGCTCCGCGCGGGAACCGAGTGACAGCACTGTCCCAGCGCTGTCCGTGCACCGTTGCGGTGTCCGCGGTCGCGGGCATATGATGCGTGCCTGCAATGTCCATGGCAGCCAACCCCCAGTATATTCCGCCCATGCGAAAATGGTCGCTGGCGACCGCCTCGATGCTCTCATGGTCGTCTGCAAGATGCTTGATGTACTCGCAGTGCTTGTCGATGTGGAGCGGAATCATCGCCAGCGCGCAAGGTCGTTTGCCAGATCCCTGCCGCTCCTTCAGGCCAGTACCCGGCGCCTGCACCTCCCCGTGGCTGGCTATGACGCCTTGATGATGTTCGCTTCGATGCAGTCGTGCTGAAAACGAGCCGCCTTCGCAATCAGAGCGGGTCGCAGGGCGCCCAAACCAACAGCTACGAGCGAGGCAGCGCGTGTCGAACGCCGGCGTGTTCGATACCAATTTCGCGTGTGTGCAACGCGGCGCTGCCAGCACCTGATCCTTTCAGCGGCGCCACTCGGCGATCAGCGCCCGCTGGCGTTTCCAGTGACGGGGACGTGAAGCCCTCGCGCCCCCCCTGCTGCTGTCGCGCACCCCCGACGATACGCACACGTTGGCCGGCGACTCGCGGCGCGCCGGCCAGGAACGTGATCGCATCGTGCAGGCTCGATCGCGTCGCTCGGTGTGCGTGTCACATCTGGGCCGCAGACCCACGCGGCGTTGGCCTAGCACAGCGTGATTCGTTCCTCCTTCGGGAACGCCGCGGCGGATCGAACTCCACCCTCTCGACGTCAGCGATACGTCCAGCCATGAGGGTCAATGTCGGAGCGTCGGGCGCCCGTGCGGCGGCGACGCCCGCGAGCCTGCCCAAGGGCATCCAACAGGCTGCAGCGCGCGCAAGGCCCTGCGCCCGGACGCACGCGTTCGCCCGGAACAGCCGCCGCGACAGGGAGGCGACTGCGATGATTCGCGAACCGACTTGCGCGAAGCCGCATCAGACGCTGCAGGAGCAGGTCTCCGGCGTGATCTCGACATTCGGCAAAGCTGCGTTCGCCCTGACCACTAGCCTAGTGATTGTGGCGACGGGCGCTATTCTGCCGAGTCCTGGCGATCAGGCGCTGGCGGCCAATCTGCTTTCGCCGGAGGAGAAGCGCACAGGTCAGAGCCCCTTGCTGCAACCTACTCATGACGAATGTCGCCGTGCACACCGCATTCACGCCCTGCGGTGCACCCAGCCCCTCGATCTACCCACTCATGGATTGTTTGCGGCGAAAACTTTGACATGCCACGGGCCGCTCCGCCGAGGACCCTGTAAAGGGCCCACTGGAGGGACGGAGCAGGCCAGCGCTCGCGCCCGACGGCAGCAGCACCTTCGGCACGCCTGCGCGCAGTGAGCATCTTCGAGCGAGGCACGAAGTCCGTGGTGTACGTGTCGTCGCTCGCGAGGAAGCGCGACACGTTCACGCTGGACCTCAGGGAGATCCCTGACGGAGTCGGCTCTGGATTCATCTGGTGAGAACGAGCGCCTTGACACGCGCCACGGCTCCCTGGCGCCCTGCCAGGCCGCCCCTCGCGCCCTCGCCGCAGCTCCCTGCCGCATCATGCAGCGCACACACACACATGCACGCTCGAGCGCCTGAACCGCACCCACGGCGCAGGGACGACGAGGGCCACGTGATCACCAACTACCACGTCGTGCGGGAGGCGGATGACGTGGCGGTCACGATCGGGAGCGGGGGCGTCACGCAGCAGCTGCAGGCCAAGGTCGTGGGCGTGGACAGCGACAAGGACATCGCCGTGCTGGACATCGAGCGGCCCGACGACATCTCGCTGGTCAAGCCCATCCCCGTGGGGTCGTCCTCCGACCTCGTCGTCGGGCAGAAGGTCTACGCCATCGGGTGCGCCGCACGCGTACAGCTTTGCACGTGTGCATCACCCGAGCGCATGGATCCCGGCGCCCCGAGGCTCACCCCGGCCAATGGCGGTATGCGGTCGTCGCAGGAACCCTTTCGGTCTGGACCACACCCTCACGACGGGCGTCATCTCCGGGCTGAACCGTGAGATCTCCTCGGGCATCAACGGGAGGCCGATCCAGGACGTGATCCAGACCGACGCGGCCATCAACCCCGGCAACAGCGGCGGCCCTCTGCTCGACAGCCAGGGCAAGATCATCGGCGTGAACACCGCGATTTACAGGCAGGTCCCCACGCAGCCGCAAAATGGACGTGCTCGCTACCCCGCCACCCTAGCCTGGCCCGCAAAGGCGCGACCTGCGAGCCCCGTCCTTGATGTACGTGCAGTGCGTCTGGGGCGAGCGCCGGCGTCGGGTTCGCGATCCCGATCGACGTGGTGAAGAACAGCGTGGAGCAGATCATCTCGATGGGCATCGTCGTGCGGCCCATCATCGGCATCACGTTCGCGCCCGACCCCGCGACGGAGGAGCTCGGCATCCAGGTGCGCAGGCGTCGCCGCGAACAGACGCGCGTGTGGAGCCACGGCAGCGACAAGCCACGCAGCACGAGCACTCACGGCGGCCCCCTCGCGCCTGGTTCTCTTGCAGGGCATCCTCGTCCTGAAGTGTCAGCCGGGCGGCCCGGCCGCGAAGGCGGGGATCCGGCCCACGACGCGCGACGACTACGGCCGCCTGAACCTGGGCGACATCATCCTCTCCGTGGACGGCAAGAAAGTGCGCAAGGCCGCCGACCTCTTCCGCTCCCTCAACAACTCCAAGGTGCGCACCGCTGCGCTCGCGCGGCCGTCCTCCGCCATCCGCCCGCCCCCCTCCCCGACGCGAACACCGCCATCAAGTGACAGCCCTCTCCCGGAGCGCAGGTCGGCGACACCATCGACCTGGAAGTGCTCAGGTCGGAGTCGAAGGAGCCGACCCACATCCAGCTCGAGCTCGGCGGGCGTCCGGCGCAGTGACGGGCCAGCCGCGTGTGAGACGAGAGTCACCGTTGCCTCGCTGACACCGCGTGACCGCGAAACGAGCAGTGCGACGTCGCGTTGAAAGCCTGCCCGACCACGACAACTTGCAGGCAGCCCGTTGCCTCTGCCGCCGGCGCGTCGCGGCCGCGGGAACGAATACCCCCCCAGCTAGACAGCACCGGCCCGTGACGGAGGTCGCGCGTCACATGACTGTGCGGCACAGCCGAGGATGGGCATCGTGTCGGTCCTGCTCGCACGGGGCACGTATCCTCTCGGCAACCCGCGCCACCCACTGTCGAAGCAAGGAGTTGGAACCATGAAGCTCTCGGGCATCACCGCCCGCGCCTGCGCCCCCCAGGGCGTGCGCGCCCGCGAGTCGTCGAGGCGCGCGACTTGCGTCCGTGCTGGTGAGCACCTTGCGCCCAGCGTCGATCGGGCTGCAGTACGCGCACGCCTGCATGCCGCGCCTAAAGGCGGTGGCCACAAGTCGTTCCTGTTCGATGCGCTTGATTCCGTGGATCGCGCGGCATCGGGCTCGCGCACGTGCTCCTCTGCCATTTATCTTCGACATCGTTTCGGTCGCGGTCGGCTGAGGAGCGGCATCGCCCCTCAGACGGCGCGATCAGAAGCAGGGACTCAGCGCTGCGAGCTGTGGCCCCACCTCTCTTCTCCAGCGCACAATCACGCCCGCCGCCGTCCCGCACCTGTACGTGATGGGCCTTCGCGCGCCCTCGAAAAGCTCTGTACGATTCCGTGCGCGCGGCGGAGGTTGACTGTTGCACAGATGCACCCCGACTTCACTGACGACTCGAGGGCCCCTCGCGATTGCCCGTGCAGCGCCCGACGGTGACAGCTGGCTGCAGCAGGCGGGGCGCAAGGCGGCCGCCCTCTCGCTCGCCGGCCTCATGACGCTGGCGCCCGTTGCTCCAGGTAAACGCTGATCCCGGCGCGACCACCCTCCGCGCGCCGCTGCTGTGTCGCTCTTGCTCGCAATAGGGCTGTCTGCATCACGAGGGAGGCGAGCGTCTCTCCACCTTGCACCCGATGTCCTCGATTCTGCGCCTACGGGCAGGAATCCCCTGCATAGCCAATGGTGGCCTAGGTCGCGTTTTCTCCGCGCAGCTCTGGCGTCCGAGTTCGACATCCTGGCGGAGGCCGCGCCCCAGGGCACGTACATCGTCGACGACGCCGGCGTGCTGAACACCGTCACCCGCAACGAGGTCAACAAGCAGCTCTACAACCTGGAGAAGGAGACCGGCTTCAAGCTCAACGTGGTGACGATCCGGAAGCTCGAGTTCGACCCCGACGTCTTCTCGTTCTCCGACAAGGTGAGCGCGACCCGGACGCAGCGTCGTCGAGCTGCAGCTCGTGCGCAGTTGCAGGCCTGCAGCGACATGGAGGCCTCGCTGGCAGCGCCCTCGTCGCCGCCCGCGGCCTGCCCTCACACATGACCCGTTCCCGACGTCGCGAGTCCAGGTGCTGGAGAAGTGGTACCCCACCAAGGAGGTCGGCGACAAGAAGGGCGTCCTGCTGGTGGTGACGACGAGCAAGGAGGGCGCGATCTCTGGGGGCCCCGCGTTCCTCAACACCGCTGGCGACGATGTGCTGGACGCGGTGATCAACAACAACATCCCGATCTTCACCGGTGAGGCCGCGTTGAACAGCCTGCTCCCGTCGCATCTCAAGTCGTACATCGCGTCTTCCTGCCGCGCACAATCGCGCCAGCGCCCTCAAACATGCAGAGGAGGAGAAGTACAATGAGAGCGTGACGTCCTCGGTGAAGCGGATCGCCTCGGTCCTCGAAGGCAAGCCTGACCCGGGTGGCCCGGAGCGCAAGACCACGAAGCGCAAGCGGACGTTCCGGTGAGTCGCTCCTCCAACCTTGCCGCGGGAGGGTCCGCAAATGCTTGCCTGTCCGGGGCAGCGGGCGGGACGTTGCCCAGAGGCAGGGCGACAGTGATTCAGCCCAGCAGTGACTGACGTGCTGTGCTGTTCCACCGCCCGCGCAGGACCAAGGAGGAGACGGAGAAGAGCAAGAGCGTGACGTCGACAGTCGTGCTGACGCTGCTCTTCATCTCGGTCGTGGTGCCCATGCTCCAGTACTACGGCTACACGGCCCGCGACTAGGCTGCCGCGGTCAGCCAGTCGCAGCTCCCGCGGCCAGAGTGCGTGTGAATGACGCTCACACGTCATGGCCACCGACGCAGACCGTTGTATTGAACATGCAGTGTGACAAACGTGTCACACCGGAGGTCACGTTGTAACTCGCCCATCCCCGGCCGTGGCGCGGTGGCCGCACCCACTTGCCTCATCCTCAGCGGGCACACCTGCTGTGCTGGATGGACTTCATACTTCGTGCGCCTCGCGGCAAGCCACGTTGACACGCCCGCTGCTCGCAACGTTTCCATCCCTCAACTCGACCGCCTACGTGGCCTTCGTGATGGGCACAATCAGCCGACTCGGCCGCTGCCCACGCGAACGACTGCGCTCATGTGCCAGCTCGCCGGCCGTCGCCAGCGAGGCTGCCTCCGAGGGCAGCTCAGAGGTCGTCCGGCTCGACGCCTGCACCACGGCGTGATCGCGGTCGGCAAGTGTTTTGATCCGTGCTGATGTCCTCGCCGAGCGCAATGCGTGCGCGCCCGGCAACCGAAAGCGAGCAGCAGGGCATCATGCGCGTGCTGCACGACGCCGCACCTCGGAGTCGCCGTGAGGACGTGGTGCGAGGGGCGGGCGTGACTTCTTCGTCAGCTCCTGTCGTGGGAGGGGCCTCTTGTTGGCCGCGACGCGATGGTCTGAGAGCGGTGGCCACTCGTCCACGGCAAGGTGCTCGCACGGAACGCCGTCGCCCGACAACACAGACGCCGGTGCGCAAGGCACGGCTCCGGCTTCGCGGGCGTTGGTGGCGTCGACGCGCTTCGTCAACGATCGCCCCCGGCAGTCGTCAGGCGTTGCGTCAGCTTGCTTGACTCCTGCAGCCGCGCTGTTCCCCCGCTTCTTCTTGGCCTTGCGCGCGTCAACGATGCGTTTGAGCTGGGCCCGCAGCGCTTCGAGCTCTGCAGGAAGTAGTGGAGTCCGATGTCAGGGCAAGGACTGGACAGACACGTCATTGGTCGTGCACGCCGCGACGCCGTGCACTCTTACCTGTCCGCAGCGAGTCGCGCTCACGCTCAAGCGCCCCGAGAGCGTCGCACCCGATCGCCTCTTCCTGCACAACCCGTGCCCCTCCTTGCAGGTTCGCCTCCACGTCAGTTTCAGGTGGCCGCTGGTCCCGTCCCGAACCTTCGCTCGACCACCCAGGAGGCGACGCCTGCACTGCCATGTCCACCGAGGGTGCTCGCGCGCCCTCCGCCCCCCAGGAAATAGGCTGGACTGTCGGAGGCGCGTGCATGCCCGGGTGGGCGGGCGTCGCGTCGCCCGGGCCTACGCTCTGCAAGCGCTCACGGTCTTCCCCGTCATGTCCATCAGAGAGTCCCAGGAACGCCTTCACGCGGTCGAAGTAGCCTGCCCCCTCGCCCACACTGCTCGTCGCTCTGCTTCGAGGCGCGGCAACCCCCGCCGGCACGTGCGCAAGTCCGTGCTGTGGTGGATCCCCGCCGTATCCAGCGCCCTCTGAGCAGCTCGGTCGCGCGGACGACGCGCGGCTGGCCACGGCGCTCACGCGCTTCGACAAACCATCGATGTGCGCCTGGCATGACCCTCGGTCGAGCGGCGCGGACGCCCACGCAAGCGCCTCTTCGGACGCGATGCTGGACCCATCGTCGTCGAACGCCGCGGCAGGTGCCGCCGGTGGTGCGCAAGAGAGGGCACGTCGTTGTGCCTGCTTCGCTTCATCGGCAGCCACGACGGCCGCCACGCCGGTGCGCCGCTCGGCCGTCAGCAGTACCGAGGTATCGTCCTGCGTGCGCGGCAAGTCCGCCCCGGCGGGCGATGCAGCGGCGTGGCACTGCGGCGGACGATGTTGCGCAACATGCGCCGGGCGGATCCTGCTGTTGATGACGCCGTCGGCAGGCGGCGGCGCCGGATGTGCGCGGCGTGGTGCGGGCAGTGCGAGAGAGGTGGAAGGCGCCGGGCGGTGTCCGAAGCCTCGCACTGTTTCCAGGCTCCAGCCCGGCGGGGACGTCGGTGGACGGCGCCAGTGCGCGCCGGGGTCGACCGCCGGCAGGGGCGCCGTGGCCGCTCGTGCATCTCCGAGCGGCGCAGCGGTGGCGGCGGCGGCGGTCCTTCCGCGCAGCATGGAGAGAAGACGAGCGCCTTTTTCGCGTCCCGATATGTCGTCAACCACTCGCGGAGCCACCGCTGCGTGGCCAGCTGGATCGAAGTGGCCAGAAACGCTGTCGAATCCCGCTGCAACGGCGGCGGACGTTGCCCCCGCGCAGCTGAGAAACTGCTCGCCTCTGTGCGGTTGCGTGCCCCGTGCATCGCAAGGGTCAACCTCGGCCACCTCCGCGGGACCGCTGGCTCGAGATCGCGATAGGGAACGCCGGCGCTCGCGGTAAGCTTCGAAAATGCGCTTGCCTGCACGCGTTGGATCGTTTTGGCGCCAGCATCGTTCAACGCCCCGTCGCTCCGAGCATGAGGCATCGTTGTCGACTGTCTACCAACGATGGAAGTTGTTGTCAGACTGAAGCGCGCGGGTCAACGCGACGCAGGCGCGCACCCTGTGGTGGCAGCGGCAAGCGGAGTTGCTCATTGGCAGCGCGCTAGCATCGAGCCAAGGGACATGGGCCTTACCGGCCTCCTGCGCTCGCGCCTTCCTGTCGCTCATGGTCGCGGCAAAACGATTGTCACGCGCAGAGCACTCAGGACTGCCCTTGTAGGTGGTCGTGGCTGGTGTAGCTATTGGCTTTAGGAGGTCGGGCGCTGCAGTGTCCGGCTGTGACCGCGCAGCTGTTTGAGCCCTAGCGTCGACTACGACTTCGCTGCCGTGCCTGGACGCGAGCATCCGCGCGCACAGCTCTGCCCCTCGGCGCCAGGCACGACGATGCAAGCTAGCTCATCATTTGTGTGCGGGTGCAGCGCACGTCCGCACGTCTACAACGCAGTTGATTGGCGGGCAATGTGTATTCGTTCCAGCGGTCCGATGTGGGGGCGCCCCGGGCAGGCAGACCGTCTTGGCAGCGCCAGCGGCGCCTTGCCGCGCTTTTTTGGACCTCTCTGCTCGTCCCCAGCAGCGTCAGCTCCACGGGGCCCCGCAGACGCTCCTCCGCGGCACGGCGGGGGGGGCGTCCATTTTCAGACACAGCTGCAGGCGCGGTCCCCTCGCTGAGTCCCACACGCGAAAAGGGCCAGCAACGCGAGGGCACCTGGTCAAAGAGAGAGAGAGCGCCTTGGGCGGTGAGTTCGATCGCGCCAGCTGCGCGTGCTGCCTGCCCCCTAGAACACGGCACGCACGGAGCCTCCCGACTGGTCGCCGCGCACCCTTCGATCGGGAGGGTGCAAGCCGCAGCAGGCACTGCGACACACGGGACACTGCACGGAGCGGACCGGGGCCGTCGGAGCTGGGGACGTGCAGCGCGGGGGGTGTTGCGCGGTCGACGCGGGGGCGCCATCACATCTTCCTGTGCGTCCGTTTCTTGGTTCGCGCGACAGGGGCCTCTGTTGTTGGCACCGCGAAGGCCTCGCCGATGTCGTCGCCGCTGACGGCCGCGGGCCGCTTGCGAGCGCGCTCGGCCCCGCCCGCGTCGTCGGGCCGCCGCAGCGCCGGTGCGCCGGCGCCTTGTTCGACGAGCTCCAGGAACCTGCTCCCCTCCAGGCTGACGCTGTGCTTCTTGGCCACCTTCCCCACGCCCTGCGAGAGCGCCACGACGACCGTGTCCCCGCTCCGCGCCTCCCGCAGCCCCACCTCGACCCGCACCACCACGCCCTGCTCCTCCCAGTACCGCATCTTCTCGCCAGGCATGCTCTCCGACACGTCGAGCCACGCCGCGTACGCATGCTCCTTCAGAGTCTCGCTCACGCGCCGCGCGTAGTCGACGACGGTCGCCTTGTCTGTCTTGTGGTACAGGGGCAGCACCACGACCTGCACCTTGCCCTTGGGCGCGTGCTTCCCCGTGTGGCTGTCGGGCTTGCTGTCCTTGCGCGCAGGCGCCCTGCCCTTCGGCGCCGCTTCGCGCTCTGGCGCCGCCGCACGCTTCTCCGCCTCCCGCGCGCGAAGGCGCCTGATGCTGCGCGCGCGTCGCTTCATGGACGTCGAAGAGACGTACTGCTGTCCGGCGGCTCTCTTCGCCAGAGCGACCTCACGCAACTTCCGCTGCTTCTCCCGCCTACAACGTCAGAGAGTGATCTAGGGCCGCGTCGCATTCCCGCCCCTGAAAAAACGTCCTGACGGGCCCGTACGCGAGCATTTCCGGAGCCTTGCATCTAGGCGCACCTCGCTAGCTCCTCCGGAGCGAGTTTCTGTTCGCCGTCTGCCTCGCTCCTTCGCCGCTTCTTGTCTTTCGCCTTCCCCTCCGCCATCGCTTGTGCACGGCGCGGTGTCCCGCGCTTCTGCGTCCGCCTGATGTGCAGAGTGTCTGCCAACGCCCTCTCGCCACGTCTCCTCACACGACAAGCGGCGAGACGAACTCCTGAGAGGGACAGTGAGCTGCTGCGGCCTCGGCGCCGGCAATGAGGCCGGGCCCGCACGCGCAGCCGCCAAAGGAGACGGTCCCTGGTGTGAAGGGGGGCGGACCCAGCATTAAGTCTCGGGAGGCCTCCAAGGCCGTGACACGGGCCGCGAAATCGACCTCCGGCGAATCCTGCGAAACTTCGCGTGCGGCAGGGGTTTGATATTCGGCGTCGTCTCACTCGCGTGGTCCGGCGCGGTTCGGCCGCGTTTGCGTCAAACCGGCCTCCCTCTTTTGCAAGATCTCCCGACCACAGCACGTGGCCCGACGCGGGCCGCCAAGGAAAAAGGGCGTTCTGGCCCCGCCACTGTGACCCTAATATGGAGGAAGTCGTGCCATGGGACCAGATTGGCGTCGGAGCGGCCGCTACCCCGTCCAAGAGCGAGGCGAGCCTCTACGCCTGTGCTCTCCGCCCGCTCCCGGCGGCATCCGGGACGGTCCGGGGATTTCCCAACGCCTGCGCTTGTGTCCATACCGGCGACTGCGAGGAGGGCAAATGTCTGTGCCGCTGGTCCCTCGGGGCTGCTGCACAGCGGCGGAGACCCAGCTCCGGCGCCGGGCCGGTTCATGTCGGCGCGCAGCGCCTCTCACGGCTGACAGCGGGGATATTGCGCCCCCCTTGCGGGCATCATGCCGTGAAAATGACCGGGGCTACCGCAGAACTGCCGGAAGGAGGCGGGAGTGTCCGTCCTCGAGGCCAGTCTGCCCTGCACAGCTGTGCTCGACGGCGTGCACGTTGAAGATGGCGCTCTCGCCGCAAACCCGCACGTTTTAGGGGTATATCGATCACGTGAGGGCTGTGAGGCAACCGAAATGCGACGCCAGGTCACAAGGCGCGCGCGCGCGTGCCCCAGTCGCTGCCCATGACATGCCGTCTACGGGCCGTGACGGAAGCTCTCCGACGGAGGACGCCGCGTGACCGCGGGTCAAATATCAAAGTCTCGGCCTCGGTCGAACGCGGCGCTTTTTCGTCGCGGTCGCAGACGCTGATACGTGCTACATCAGTCGCGCTCGTTCCCGCGCAACGCGGCCCCGGGACCTGATCGGCCCGGCAACGGGCTGCGGCAGGCCAGGGCTGGCCACGCGCCGAGTTTCGCGGTCGCCGCGCGGGGTCGGTCAGACGGCGTGTCACGGCCTTGGAGGCCTCCTGAGACTTAATGGCGGCGTCAGGCGACAGATGCGGCCCTGTCGCCGGTGACATCGGCCCAGGGGCGCGAGGACTGGGCTAAGATCGGGCGCCATGCCTGGCTACACCGCGTAGAATCCCGCATGAATGCTGTGCGGGCCTCTGGGCGCGCGTGAATTGCACCTGCACCGCTGTATGTCGTGCTGGAGGCTGGGCCGTCTGCCCGTGCAGCCTGGGACTCGCCGTGCGCGCTGATGGCATGCTGCATGTTGCGCCTGTATCGGAGCGGAGGCCCGCTGTACCACGCAGCGGCTCGACGTCGACTGTCCATTGGCACATCTGCTCCATCGCGTAAGGAGCGATTGCGAAGGAGGCACTACCAGATGGACGGGTACGTGGACAGAAAATGATGGTTGTAGCTTGTCCAGGATCGCTCGCGGCCCGTCGCGTCTGTTCAGGGGGCCGCGGGGCTTGCTCGTTGTGCGCAACACTTCGCAGCGCAGGACGCCCTCACCGCCGGCGCCGGGACTGCACGGCCATCGCCATGGCCGAGGGGCTGCTCCGTGTCGTGCGTCTGAGGGCGCAGGAGCAGGGAGAAGGTGCAGGACCACGGAGGCAAGATCGTGATCTTGACCGGCCCAACTGCTGTCGGCAAAACCGAGCTCGCCTTGCGGCTCGCAGAGCAGCTCGACGGCGAGATCATCAGTGCAGACTCCGTCCAAGTCTACCGCGGCCTCGATGTTGGATCCGACAAGATACCAGTGCCGGAACGACGGTGCGCTCTGATCGTTGCAGGATGGAGCAGTGATGCTTCGGCAGCGCTCGTCCGCCTGACAACCTCGCTGCCCGACCGCTCGCTGTGGCGCAGGGGGATCCGCCATCACATGATCGACATCCTCGACGTCACCGACGACTTTTCAGCGGGCGCTTTCTACGAGCAAGGCCGCCAGATCGCAGACGACATCCTCAGGCGTGGAAAGACGCCGATCGTCGCCGGTGGAACGGGATTCTACCTGCACTGGTTCATCAACGGAAAGGCCGATGTCCCTGAGTCGGAGCGGCAGTGGCAGGTGGGTCGTAGGAGTGGGAGCGCCGAGGCGTGTTGCCGGAACGCGGTGGCCGCCAGACGTGATATCGCGGACAATCGACTTCGGTCTGGAGCACAATGCAGGAAAAGGCGATGCAGATGATCCGGGATGCGATAGAGCGCAATGCAGGAGGCGAAGAATCGTCAGAAGAGGAGCGCTGGGAGGCAGCGTGCAGGTTGGCAGAGCCGGGGGGCCCTTTTGACGGAGGCCTCTGATCCCTGGAAACACCTCGGCGTCACGGCGCCCATCGTTGCAATGTGCGCAGGCTGTTGGACGAGCTCGGAGATACGGAGAGCGCGGACCGGCTGCGTGGAAATCGGAACAACTGGTATCGTCTGCGACGTGCTGTTGAGATCGTCGCTCGCACGGGACAGCCAATGTCGAGCATGGACGTGGACCTCACTCGCGATCTGGACTACGACTTTCGGTGAGGGCACGCAGCTTTCGACGTTGCGGCCTTTCTGAGGCCCTGCAGGGCCCGTGTTTGACGCGCGTTTGCTCCCGTCCTGAACACTTCACAGGTGCTTCTTCCTCTTCCGGGACAGACAAGACCTCTACCGTCGGATAGATCGGAGGGTCGAGCAAATGTTTATCGAGGGGATCCTGCCAGAGTGCGGGCACCTGCTCGCCAGTGGTCTCACTGCGGGAAGCCACAACTCCACGCGCGGGATCGGATACCGGCAGGGCATGGAGATGCTCCAGGCGGTCCTGGAGGAGTCGCGGCCCATATCCGAGGAGGACATCGAGGACACGGTGCGGAAGATCTGGACGGCGACGCACACTCTGGTCAAGCGCCAGATGACGTGGTTCCGGGGCTACGACCTGTTCCGCTGGGTCGACAACGAAAGGCCGTGGCCCGAGGTGCTGGAGGAGATCGTGGCCAACTGCACGGAGGAGCACGTGGGAGGGAACAGCTCAGGTGCGCCGTTGGTCGCCTCCTCCTCGACCTGCCGGTGCGTGGGCCGAACGCGCGCGCGTCCGACGACGACGCGCTGCGTGTGCGACGCTGCTCGCAGATTTTGACATGTCGAAGGAGCAAATCAAGGAGATGAGGAGGTACGACATGCGCTTCGAAGTGCTGAACGACCCTGAAAAGATGTCAGCAACTGTCAAGGTTGCAAACGAAGTCCTGAGCGGCCTGCGCAGCCAACGCGACGCGCGGCAGAGCGAGCCTGCAGTGCCGGCATCAGACGGCTCGTGACGACGGCCGGACGCCGTGCGTGCGCGGCGGGTCGCACACTCGCTGTTGCGAAATCGGTGTGTTGTTCCATCTGGCCACACGGGCGCCGCGCCCGGGGACGTCATCCGCCTCCGCGTCCGCATCATCTCCATTCCGTAGCGCCACCGGGCCCGGGAGACGCGGTTGTGAGCGAACCGCGCGCGGAGCTGCATTCACCCAGCTGCGTCCTGAGATATGTGGCAACGGTGGGCCGAGAGTCGTGGTTCAGTATGTCATGCTGTTGACCGCCCCCTGGGGATTCGCCACGGCGCCATTGCCGTGGGGCCACGCTGCGCGGGGACAGAAACAGCCGCGGAGCAGTGCGTGCACTCTCCTTCACGCACCTTCTGCTCTCCTAACGCGCCAATAGGAGCGCGAGGCGCCGGCTCGGACCTCTTGTAGGGTGCACGTCTAGGAGCGCTGTCTTGCTGTGCAGGACCCTTTTCCCCGGCGCACATTCCGTTCTCGCGTCGACGTCTGCGTTTTCGCGTGAGACGATGAGGAAGGCGGCCGGCTTGCTCGCCAAGGGACTGCTCCGCAGCGTTGGAGCAGCTGTGGAGACTCAGGTGCGCCAAGCCGACGCAACACACCATGCTCGGGCGCGGAGGGGGTTCCTGGCACGTCTTTGGATCCCTCAGGAACGGGGGCGCTGGGTCGTGCGGCGTAGTACGCGCAAGTTGCGGCAGAGTCCATCAGGGACGTTGCCGCTCTCCGACGGTGTGGCGTGGCGCTCATCCCCTTGGTGCCCGCATGCGATCAACGCAGAGCGTTCGGTTTGGCCGCGGGAGTTATGTTCGGAACGTGTGGGCCATGAGTGCCGCGGCAGGGCGCGGGAGGCTGGCAACCCTTCCAGCCGCATCACATCTCGCGACAGTTGGCGTGCCGAGCCCCGCCGTGCAGCCGGGCAGCGGCGCGAGGTCCATGTTCATCCAGACACAGGAGACTCCGAACGAGAACTCGCTGATGTTCATGCCTGGCAAGACGGTGATGGACAGTGGGGCATATGACTTCAGCAACGCCCGCGCTGCGATGGTTTCGCCACTGGCGATCAGGTGCGACGCCCTGGAAGTGCATCACGCGGCGTGCCGTCTCAGCGTCTGCGCAGGCGCGGCCCCATCAACGCACTGCCCCTTCCCTTGCAGGCTGTTTGCTGTGGATGGGGTCAAGGGAGTCTTTTTCGGCAGCGACTTCATCACAGGTGCGTGTCTTTGGCTCCGGCGCGCTCCTGTGCCTCGCCGGCGCAGCCGCTCGCTCGACAGCGCGCGAGATCGCCGTGACGTGCAGCCTTTGCCTGCGTGGTGCAGTGAGCAAGACGGAGGACATCCCGTGGTCGCTGATGAAGCCGGAGGTGTTCGCAGGTGCGCTCCACGGCAGCCGAGCATCGTCGCCGCCGCAACGATTTTGGTGCACGCGCGTGCGGCCCACCACTTCGTGTGCAAGCTCTGCTCCCGACGGCGGTGCGCTTGCCTGAGCTGCAACGTGCAGCCATCATGGAGCACTACGCGAGTGGCGACCCGTTGTTCACGGACGAGACGGACGGCCACATGGACACGCACATCAACGACGACGACTCGGAGATCGTGGCGATGATCAAGGAGCTCCTCGCGACGCGCATCCGGCCGGCCATCCAGGAGGACGGCGGCGACGTCGTCTTCCACGGCTTCGACGAGGAGAAGGGCGCCGTCAAGCTCGAGCTCGTCGGGGCGTGCCGCGGCTGCAGCTCGAGCAGCGTGACCCTCAAGGCAGGCATCGAGAACATGCTCACGCACTACATCCCCGAGGTCAAGGAAATCATCCAGATCCTCGACGAGGGCGAGGAAGAGGGTCTCGAGGCGTTCGAGCGTCTGGAGAAGAACCTCGATGGCGAGAAGAAGCCAGAGACCTCGCCGCTGGAGAAGCATCTCTCGTCGTGACGTGGATGGGAGCGGGAGAGCGGCAAGGTCACCACGTCGCGTGCCTCCCCGGGGCCGCCTCGCGCGCGACGTTCCGCTGTAAACGGCCGTGTCGCGGGAGACGGGCGCGTTCGATGTAGCCGCGAAACCCAGCTCACACCTCCGCCAGCCACACGCAATCACGCATGCCAGCCGTGAGCGCATCGTGCGCGGCAGTCGTGCCGGAATGACTCCTCTACGTGGGCCACGTCGCTACCAAGCGCACCGCTAGCACTACTGCGTGGTGCTCGCCTCCTTTTTCCTCCACGTCGCAGAGTCAGCGAGCTTGCCGCTGTACACGGGCTCCGGGCCGCTCTTCCCGGGCGGGACCTTCCGAGGGTCCATCGGCACGATGTGATCAATGAGCCCAAACTCCTTTGCCTGCGTGGGGAACGAGCCGCCAACGATCCAGTCAGCCGGTGCGAACAGCGCCGACGTGGTCACTCGGACGCTGCGCGGCGTGGCGGCGGGCCTACGGAGGCTTGGGGGGGGAAGCTGTTTGCTTCCCCCAAGAGGTGAAAGAGCCTCTCGAGGCGTCAACGTCGAGCCGGGCCCTTTGTTGCACCGGCCGTCGCACCTGCTCGGGGCTCATGTACGTGTCGCGGTCCGTCTCCTCCTCGATGCGCTCCAGCGGCTGACCCGTGAAGTCGGCGTAGAACCTGTGAATGACTCGCATCGTCCTCGACAGCTCCGTGGCCTGCGAGCGAGGGAACGTGGCGGACGAGAGCTGGTCGTCGCGGTCGTCAGTGGCGCGGCATCGCTCGCGGCCACGGTGCGGGCGAGCCTCCCGAAGAACCACACACACGCAACAGCCACAGGGCGCAGCAAGCAAGCATACCTGAATCTTGACCTCGAACGTGGAGCCGGAAGCGTATCCGAAGGGCTGGTGAATCATGATGCGTGACGTGGGCATCGCGAACCGCCTGCCTTTCGTCCCGGCGGCCAGGATGACCCCAGAGGTGCTGCCCACCATGCCCATGCACACCGTGCTGCAGGAATCGCGGGCGAACGCGATGGACGTGCGTCCAGATGAGCCAGTCGGCGAAATTGTGCGCGGCCACAAGCGAGAGGCCAGACGGCAAGGCAGCGCCGGTGATGCAGGGCCCTGGAGCAACGCGAGAGAGGACACGCGCGAGCGAGCTTGCCAAGCACCGTGAGGCAGCACGGGCGAATGTTGAACAACGTGGCAGTACATTGGTGGGTGGTTCGTAAGCCAGGCCGCGGGGCGCGCGGCAGGGCTGCCGCGGTTCAGCTCCGCACCTCACAGGGCACGACAGCTGCTTCATGACGTCCACGATCGCCACTGCAGCGTACGCCGTGGCGCCTGACGAGTTGATGTAGAGCTTGATCTCCTTCTTAGGGTCGATCGCCTCGAGGGTCAGGAGGGAGGCTACGACGTTGGTTGCGTCGTCCTCGTTGATTCGCCCCGACAGGAAAATGATGCGGTTCCTCCGCATGATGTCCGACATCTGGAGAACCTGTTCGTAGCCAGGTGTTCCCTCCTGCACCGCCGGCCCGATGATTGGGCTGTCCGCGCGGCGGTTGCGAGCAATCGTCCTAGCAGCTCGCCTGCTCGTGCGGCCACCCACTAGGGCGCTGGGAGCCGACTGCAGGGCGCGGCATCGGGCTGCAGCACGAGCGTTACCAGCAGCAGCGTGCGCGGGCGCCTGGGTCGCAGGTCGCGCGCTGGCGAGCAAGCTGGGAGCCATCCTGCCTTGGTGCTCTCCTAGCGCGAGTGGAACCTCGCTGTCACGTGCCGACGCGGTCGCCGACGTGGTGCGTCGAGCGTGCGCGCGCCGCGTCGACCGATGTCGCCCGGGAGGGCGTCGCCGTCTCGCGCGGGGGTCGTCTCGCCCGCGCGGCGATCAGGTCCGACCCGGTCGGACCGGGGCGCCCTGCCTCCGCTCTTGACGTGCTCGTTCCTCCACGCGCGGGCACGTGCGAGAGCTTGAAGCAGCCCCTTCAGCGAGGCGAGGAAAGAGGGATGAGCGGGACGTTCGGGTGGTGCCCAACTGGGCGGGGCGATGGGTCGCACTACTCTGCCAAGGAAATGGAGGAACTCAGGAAGGCAGAAACAAAGATGCAGAATGTCACGCTCCAGGATGGCGGGTGAGCGACCCGCGCCGGCCACGCGCCCAAGCTCTGGCCGGCCGCAGCAGCCACGCCCAGCCGTGCGCGAAGGAGGGCGTTGCCAGGCCGGCGGGGCACTCTCTTCGGTCGTCGGCGGATCCCGCAATGCCATCGATGCGAATGTTCGCGCCTCCAGCCTCGAAAGCTTGCGTCCGCACCTGGGTCGCCGGCGAGCGCGCATGATGCAGCCTGGCACACGAGGTCGTTCCACGTCGCCGCAACGAGCGCTGCGCAGAATGTCGCTTGATGAGCGCTACGAGCTCGTGCGCTCGATCGGGGAGGAATGCATTCAGGAGGACGAGCTCCGCGGACTGTTGGCGAAAAAGCCGGTGGTGACGGCGTACGATGGTGAGCACGTGAAAGGTCGCTCGTGTCGCGGATGCGGGGCGCGCGCGGTGCCTGAGCCTCGGCCCTGATGCGCGCGCAGGGTTCGAGCCGTCGGGGCGGATGCACATTGCGCAAGGGGTTTTGAAAGTGATCAACGTGAACAAGCTCACCAAGGCAGGGATCAACTTCAAGTTCTGGATCGCGGACTGGTTCGCGCAGCTGAACAACAAGTGCGACCTCGCGTGGCCCTCGTGCCAGCGGTCGTGCTGGGGCAGCTGGGGGGCGCTCCTTGCTGGTGCACAGTACGGAACTTCCGGGGGCTGCATTGATGTTCGCACTTGCCATGATGCTTGCAGGATGGGTGGGGACTTGAAGAAGATTCGCACGGTCGGGGAGTACATGATCGAGGTCTGGAAGGCCGTCGGGATGGACCTGAGCCACGTGGAGTTCATCTGGGCCTCCGACGAGATCAACGCGCGGCCGGAGGAGTACTGGACGCTGGTGATGGACATCGCGATCAAGAACAGCCTCAAGCGCGTGGTTCGGTGCTCCCAGATCATGGGACGCAACGAGTCCGACGACTTGGCAGCAGCGCAGATATTTTACCCTTGCATGCAAGCGGCGGACATCTTCTTCCTCAAGGCGGACATCTGCCAGCTGGGCATGGACCAGCGCAAGGTCAACATGCTCGCTCGCGAGTACTGCGATGTGTGCAAGCCGAAAAGGAAGCTCAAGCCGGTGAGCGACGATGACGTTGTGCTCCTGACATCGTCGCTGCGCCACGAAATGCACTCACTGTCCCCGCCGGATCAGCGCCAATCATCGTCGGCCACATTCCCCTCCGCAGGTCATCTTGTCTCACCACATGATGCCTGGCCTGAAGCAGGGGCAAGAGAAGATGAGCAAAAGCGACCCTGAAAGTGCGATCTTCATGGAGGACTCGGAGCAAGAGGTCAAGACGAAGATCAAGAAGGCCTTCTGCGAGCCGCAGGTGCATTGCGGCGGCGAAGCGCGCAGTGCCGTCAGCCAGTTTGTTGGTGTTCCTGTGTCCAATCTAAAAACACGGGCACCACACATGCAGGTGGCCGAGGGCAATCCCTGCATCGAGTACGTGGAGCACATCGTCCTCCCGTACCTGAAAGAGCTGACGGTCAACCGCAAGCCGGAGAACGGTGGCCCGAAGACCTACACCTCGGCGGAGGACCTCAAAGCCGACTACGTCGCCGGCGACCTGCACCCAGCGGACCTCAAGCCCGCTCTTGCGGACGGGATCAACAAGATTCTCGCTCCGGTCAGGCACGTGCTCGCAGATCGCGACCCAGTGAACGTGCGTCTGGTTGCTCCTGGTACTACTGCAGTGTCTGACACGGCGCTCGATGGTTCTGCTTCCGATGCTCGCAGGGATCACTTCACGAACGACCCCAGGGCGAAGGACCTGCTCAAGCGCGTCAAGGCCTTCAAGGTGACGCGGTGAGCACCAAGGGGTTGTCGTGTCGGGGCTGGGTCGCTTGATCGCAATCCTGAGTGCTGTCGGGGCCCGTGAGGACCGTGGAATGTAAGCAGGCCCGTTTCTCCACACGCACGCGTTCCCGCAGCAGCAGCTCCCGTGCCAGCGCCCGCTGATGAAGTTGTCACACAAATGCGCGTCCGGTGTGCCGTTATCATGTATATCGGCAAGTCCTGCGGAAGGCACCGCCCTCCGCTGTCGGCAGCCTGGGCCCTGCGCCGCGCAGCAGTGACGACGCCCCGCCAGCGCTAACTGCTGTCACGGGTGAGGACGATTTTCTCCATCTCCGCGTCCCTCCGTTTGACATGGTCGCCGACACCAGCCCGGCCGCCCGCACCCCGCGCCATCGCTGCAAGGATGCGCGCTCTGAGCGCAAGGCCGGCTTGGGAGTCTAGTTTCTCTGGGCTCGTCTTCGTCAAGTAGTTGTCCAGGCCCCCATACATGTCCACCGTCTGCACGCACGGGTCCGAGGCAGAGGGCCGTCAGTGCCCGAAGAGGTGTGCGGCGGGCATGATCCGTCTGCTGTGCGGACCCACCTTCAACACGCTCGTCGTCACCCGCATCCTGACCATGCGGTCCAGCGCCTCACTGTACAGGCGTTTCCATTGCACGTTCGGCACCCACTTCCTCCGACTCCTGCGAGATGTATGACAAACACGTCCTACATGCAAGTCCGTACAAGATAGCGCAGAACCGCACGCATCGAAGTGCGCTTCCGCGCTTCGAGAGCACCCCTTGCGTGCGCCAGCGTCAGCCGTGGAACCCAGCGAGCCATCTCGCCAACGGGGCAACGCGTGAGAAAGCACTTGACCCAGCTGCCCAGTATGTAATAGACAACGACCTGGTGTGGGGCGAACAAGCCTCAAGGGTGGCAGGAGGCAGAGACAGCGCTGCACGCACTTGTTCTTCCCCTTCTCGCTGATTTTATTCCCAAACTGAATCCTCTTGCCACCGTACAGCCCCCTCTGCCTCCTCTTGAACAGGCCATCCGCCAGCCGCCCTGCAGTCGCGCTTTGCCTAGGTGGGGATGCTTAGACGCGGCCGCACACGCACAGCGCAATGCAGGCCGCGGGAAGCAGACTCGCCCCTCACCTGCTTTCCGTGTTGGACTCATGCTGCCGGCGTCCCGCACCGCCCACCGGTGCGAGGTGGCCGCGATCAAGCTGACAAGCTCTTCTCGCCACGACCCGTCCCCGGATGTGCAGAAAGATGCCTCGTTTGACCTCGCAGGGTGAGGCGCAGGGGCAGTGCGTGATGGTGAGTGCTCGCGCCCTATCTAGGGGCGAGTGCTGACCGCCTATGATAGGCTGCGACCCTGACGGAGCAGTGGCCACCGGTGTAGTGTGCAGTCAGGTCTCACGCCATGGCCCCATCCGGGCAGAGGTCAGTCAGCGCCTGTGCCAGCACGGCGGCGGAACCATGCGCGGTCGCTCCGCAGGCGTCTGTCGCATCCGGCCGCCGGGGGAAAGGCATGGCCAAGACGTGCACACAAGCTTTGGCATTTACCAGGTGGGTTGCTCGTGGGCTGGCACAGTGCCATGCGCGGCAGACTCGCAGGTCGTTCTGCCTGATGCTGGAAGGAGAGGAAAGACACCACCTCGCCCGCGCGCTCCACAAACTGTAGATGTCAATCAGCTGACTATGGCTGGAGCGAGATGCGACACAGCAGCTCACAGGCGCGCAGATCTACCGAAAGGTCGAGAACGCTCGCCGCAGCCGTTGCCGCGCAAGCAGTTGGTCGTACTGGCGCCGACGCTCATGATCGCACAGAACGTTGTACGCCTCCGTCACGCGCTTGAACACGCTGTCCGCCGCAACCCTCTCCTGCACCACATGGTCAGAATTCCCGTCTTCTCTGTCTAGGTGCAACAGACGGACGACGACGGAGGGGCATGTTCGGTCGTGTGGAGGAGTCGACACTCACCGCAGAGGACTGCGCCTTGTCAGGGTGCAGGCGCATCGCGAGCCGGCGATACGCGACGCGCACGTCTCTGTCGGTGGCGCCCTGTGTCAGTCCGAGCACAGCGTAGTAAGCACACTCGCCCTGCATCGGGAGGGGGGGGAGGCAGTGCTGAATTGGCAGACTGCGCCAACAAGGGCTCGTCGGGCGTGTCACGAGACCGTCTCGGGCGCACCTGAAGCCCCGCGTGCGTTCGCCACTCCGTCAGGCGCCCGGATGCTCCGGGGCTCAGACTGCCCCCTTGCTTCTGCCGGAGGTCATGCAGGTCTTGCACCGCTGATGCAAAGTCCCCGATGTGCGCCAGCGAGGCCGCGCGACGATGGAGAGCGCGCCGGTAGGAAGGCTGCAGAGCCAACGCCATTTCACAGTCGTACAGAGCCTCCACGTGGGCGCCCATGGCCTGCAGGCAGAGGGGGAGTCGGCGTCAGTCCCGCATGCCATGTGGTCGTTGCTGCGCCACGCGGGTGCGACCGTGCCTTGCGAGCGCCGCGGACGTACCTGATGAGCTGCTGCGCGATTGCAGTGCAGCACGGCGCGCAACACTTTCTGACTCTCCGAGCCAGAGAGTTCCCGCAAGCCCGCAGCGTACTCCGTGATGGCCTCTTCGTACCGAGATGCGCGGAACAGCTGGTTCCCCTTCTCCTTGTGCTGCTCCGGCTTGGAGGACCGCGGGCGCGACGATCTTCCCCCGGAGCAGTCGTTCCCGAGCCCGGATTGGCTACTTGAGACTTCTTCGTCCTTGTTCGCGGCGCGCGTCGTCGCCGACGAGGCTTGCTCGTACGAGGAGGATACGTCCGACTTGACGTGCGATCCCGGAAACATGTACGGGTTGGGCGTCCTGGGTGCGACACCCGCCCCTCGGTGCTCGGTGTCGGGGGCCTTGCGCGTGCTCTGCTCATGCCTCCCACGGTGATGCGGCGACTCTTTCGGGTGCGGCGTCGCCGCCGGTGGAGACGATCGCCGGGGGGACTGCCCGGATTCATGCGACTCCCCTCCCCCCGCCGAGTCCGCGCACTCGTGCACTGATCCCTGGCTTGACTCAACACTGGTGTCACGGGGCTTCGCGTCGGGCTGCTCCTTGGACGGGGCCGTAGAGGCCCACTGTCGGATTCGTTCCAGCTCCTGCGATGACAGGGGAGCAGTGATCGCGCATTTTCGGCGCCGCCAGTCGACCAACATGGTGGACAGACCAGAACGACGTGTTCTGCCCGACTTGCCTGAAGCAACGCGTTGCGGTCGTCCTGCCAGCGCTTCCGCTCCTGATCCCATCTGTTGCGTTCTGCACGCCACCTCGCCGTGCCATCGGGCGGGTCGCTGAGCCCTGCAGCACCAGACTGTGTTCCGTGCGGGTCCTGTGCTGCGCCGTCCGTACCAGGCCTGGCGGAGCCCTCGGCGTTGAAGCGCGATGTCTCCGCACGCTTCAAGCACCGTCGAAGGGACTCTGCCTCGGCCTGCGCGGCTGCAAGGGCGGCCTTCATCACCGCAGCTTGCGAACGAGCGTCCTGCCGCACTTGGTCCAGCTCCGCGCGCAGGCGCGACGTCTCCTCCTTCTTCTCGACGAAGGCGTTGACCAGGCGGGTGTTCTGCTCCGCCATCTCCCCGAGCGCCTCCCTCGCCTGCGCGGCACAGACAGTTGTTTGAACGTTCGAGTCGAGCACAAAGCCACCCTCACCCTCGCGTGCGGGACCGCCCATCATGGTGACCCACCTGACGCCGCGCATTCAACAGCTTCTCCCGCTCTGCTCGAAGCTCGGCCAGCTCGCCTTTGACTGCCAGGCCCTCCTTCGCCATGCTCTCGTGCCGCTTGTCAAGCATTTCCTGCGGCGTGGGCGCGGCACGTGCGACGGCGCTCTGCCGCGAAAGCGCAAGGGCGAGCTGCGCAACGCGGTCCCGCGCTCGCGACTTGTCATCGTCGATGATGACTCACCTGCCGCTTGTGCGCTGCTGCGCGCTCCGACGTGAGCTCGCTCACCCTTGCGTTGAGCTCGTCCTTCAGTCGCTTGACTTGCATCTCCATCTCGTGAACCTGCACGAGACCGACACGCGCATCGCTACCTCTGCAATGGGCCCGGCAGGACGCATCTCGGCATTGTGTAGCTCAGCATGGCACGGACGGACGCTCTCACCTTGAGATCGCGGGCACTCTCGCTCGCCTTCAGTGCTCCCGCGAGAGATGCATTCTGCCTCGTCATCTCGTCCAGCGTCTGTGCCCGAGCGTCCCGCTCCTGCACGCAATACCCGGTTCAACTCAAATGTGACGCGCTGTCGGCCGCAGCTGGCGTCTCGTCGCTCCTTGCATGCGCAGCACGTGCCATCCGACCTACCTTGGTCAGTTCGGAGATCTCGCCCCGCATTGATCGCTCGCGATCCTGGCAGCGCTGGATCTCCGCCACAAGCTCTGCCTGGCGTTGAAGTGCGCTGCGCAGGACGCGCTGTGGCAGCGAGTAGTCCTCGCGTGCAGACTGCTCACTCGACTCCCGCCCGACGTGACGGGTCTGTGCACCTTCCTCGGTCACCGCCTCGCCGTCAGCGCTCGTCGTCGCAGGATCCAGATGGCCGGCAGGCATCGTGCCGTCGTGGGTCGCTTCGGGGAACGGCCGCGGCGCCGTGCGCGCGCTGACGTGCCCGGGCTCAGGCCGGGCCTCGGCGCTGGTCGCGGCGTCTCCGCCCGAGCTGGTCGGCGAGGACTGTGCCTGGGGTGCGGGCTTGGCTCCGCGGGGGTCCGACGGCGCGTCGGCCGCGGCGTTCCTGCGCCCGCGCGCCCTCTTGCCGCGGCCGGCGTCTTGCGACCCACTCGAGTGCGAGTGAGCGTCCGGGCCCTCGGAGCGGCTGCTGAGACGGTGTTCCGTGAGCAGCGCCCCGATCCCGTACTGGCCCGGGCGGAGCGCGCGCCGCCCGGCCGCGGAGTGCGCCGGGCCGGTGTCAAGCACGCGCGCTGACTCCGAGCGACGTGCGCGGTCCCGCGCCGCGGGTGGACGCGGCAGGTCAGCCTTCTCTGCCGGCGCGGCTTTCTCGCGCTCCGCCGTGGCCTCCTCGATCCTTTCGAGGAGCTCGCGGAACCGCATGACGGAGCTGTCGCCTTGCGCAGCGTGGGGAGAGGGGGTGCTGACCAGCGTCCCGACGGCGCCTCCCACACACATGGGGACCGGCGACGGCCCGGCGTCGCGAGCGGACGCGCGGGGCGACGCAGGCGCGCGGTTGAGAGCCGGCATGGACGCCCTGACATCGAGCTTCGCCGCGCCGCGGGTGCCCTGGGCGGCGGGCACTGCGACGCTGGAGCGCAAATTCGAACTGGTCTCTCCCTCCGGAATGCCGTCCTGGGGCGCCTCGGAGTAGCGCTCCTTGGAGTACACGTCCTTCGCTACGGACTCATGCGAGCCGACGCCGTCTTCCGCCGACGCAGGCGGCGCCCCCGCCGCGGGCTCCGTGCTTGCCTGCTTCCCTGTCCCCACGGCAGCGTCGACAGCGCTGCGAGGGCACGGGACGCGTCGCGGAGTCGTTGCTCGAAGCGCGCACACCGCTGTCGCCGGTCACGTCCCGCACCCGTGACGGCCGGGGCGGCGCTCAAGGCTCTGCGGGCTCGGGTGTTGGCGTCGCTGGCACGGCGTGATTGCACGCAAACTCAGCGGGTGCGAACGGACGGCTACTCGCGCATCCCGGATCCTGTCAGAATGTTGACCTGGGCACGGATCGCCCCCAGCGCGCGCATCGCGAGCGACAGCGCCGGAACACCTTCCAGAGCATGAGCGGGTTCGGCGTGCGTTGCGGCGACACCAACCTGGCAGGATGAGCAGCGCCGAAGTATTTCGACTCCTGATTGCTGACATCGCGCAACGCGACTGGAGCGGAGTGATCGCTGCCGCTGGGAGCGCGGGCGAGGGGGTGCAGCATGCTAGGTTGGGTTGCGGCCTCGCCGCGCTTGACACCGCTCTCCAGCACTTTAGAGCGCCGACCTCCGCCCCGAGACAGGGAAGAAGCGGACACGCTCCTCCCAAGTCAGCGCCGTGCGGCGTGCGCGAGCGGAGGGCAACAGCTCAGCCTGGGCTTGGGACCGATGTGCGGCCTGCTGTCGGCTGTGCGCGCAACAGGGTGGCGTTTGCCAGAGAAGACGTCGGGGAAGTACGAAGCACACTGCCCAGGCGGTTTCCGACAGCAGGGAAGATGCCCTGGGCACTTGCCGCGCCCCGGCGTTCAAACCGCCCCGAGCAGCTGGAGACGGCACGCGTCGCACGGGCAGCCGAGCCGCAGGTGGTGGCCGGGCAGTCGGAATTTGCGAGGACCGCGAGTTGGACGGTGCAGCGCTCTGGTCGCGCCTTGTCCTGGGGCCTGCACGCCCCCGCGGTGGCGTCGGACTGCGTTGCGAAGGGCCCCCAGAGCGCTGAGCGGCTCAGAGCTCGGCGCTTCCTTCGGTTCGCGGCAGGCGATGACATTCCGCGTCAGTCAGGGCTCGAAGACGTGAGAGCGCCTGCTTTGGAGGCGTGCACTGGCCGATCGGGGACGCTGCGCCGCGTTGCCCTCTACGTGAGGCATCTGCCGAATCAGGCGTCCGGGGGAGCCACTGCTTTCGAGGCGCACCCGGAAGCACGGGTTTGTTTGGGTGATCCGATCGCTCGCATCGCGGAGAGAGCTTGGAGGGCGGTCGGGCACGCACGCAACGGTTGAGAATGGCCGGGCATCGTGCAAGGGGTTCGGGCTTCGCTGCGTAGCACCTTGCGGCGTTCGGTCGATGCGGAAAAGATCGCCGCAACGCACGAAGTACGCTTGTTCCGTCGACCCGCCGAAGGTGCCGTGCTCCTGTCCAGCACCGCGTCATGGAGCTGGGGCAGGCAACTCCACGAACAGAGCTGGACGCCATCTTGTCAGCCGACAGCGTCGACCTGGTCCGCTTGAGGCAGTGCCTCACGCGCGCGGCCCTCGCACCTCGCTGTCCACACCGGTCGCTGACGTGGAAGCTGCTCCTCGGCCTGCTTCCCCCGAACAGAAGTGCGTGGGAGGCCGAGGCGAAGCGCGTGAAGGAGTGCTACGCACAGTACGTGCAGGACGTGTCCAGGTTGCTCGAGCGGCCTGCCGATGGGCACGCGTCGGAGCATCCGCTGAGCACGTCGGACTCTTCCCAGTGGCACGCGTACTTCCAGTTCCGACAAGGTCGTTCGCAGCACATCGCACACCTGCACGTGCGCACCCGCATGGCGCGGCTTCACTTGGGTCGCCATGACGACGTGTCAGAGCTGGTGTGTCCGCGTGCAGTGACGGAGGAGATTCAAATGGATGTTGATCGTACGCACAGCGAGGATGCCTGGTTTCGCGCTCAGCGACCGGTCATGCTGGAGGTGCTGCAGGTGTTCGCGCTCACGAACCCAGGTGTTGGTTTTGTGCAAGGCATGGCAGAGATTCTGGCCGCCATCCTGTTCGCACTTGCCCGCGAAGGCGTCCAGGATCTCCCAGCGCAGGCGTTCAGTCTGACGTGCGGCATCCTGGGCGAGGTGCGCGACATCTTCATCGCGGCGTTGGACAAGGACGGCGGCCTGGAGAAGCAGGCAGAGAGCATCTACAGCAACCTCGCACGCGCCGACCCCGGGCTTCACGCGAAGCTGGTGCGCGACCACGTGGACGTGCGATTCTTTGGAATCCGGTGGCTCGGGACCCTGCTGACGCAGACATTTGACTTGGAGGACGTCGTGATGATATGGGACGCGGCGTTTGCCGATCAGGAGGGCGCCATGGCTGCCCTGGTGCGCGTGTGCGCTTGCATTTTGTGCCAGCTGCGCGACGACCTGATGAATTCGGATTTCACTGCGGCAGTCAAGCTCCTCCAGGGCCGTCTTTCGACGCGGATCAACATCTCCGCCCTCCTTGCACAAACGCGCCGTTTGCACTGAGAGGGTGCCAGCAGGGAGGAAGCTGCACGGGCGCCGTGTTGCCCCGCGTGTGAGGCCCGAACGCTGTCGAAGGGCGAACCAGGTCGGGCTTCCGCCCTGCCTGGCGTTGACCTATCGGGAGAGTGACAGGAGTGGTCCCGCCCCGAGTCGCAGCTGCCTGCTCCGGCACGCAGCGAGGGGATCGCTTCCGACATCGTACTCCATGCATTACATGCGTTTGCGCCGAGGTGCGGGCTGAGGATCAGGTCCGCATCCCGCAGCCAAGTCTTGGCTGCACTAAGTTCAGCCACCTGGTCCGTGCGCGGAGCCGTTGCCGAGTTCAGCCATCGTTCAGCTTCCGGTACAGCTCGTCCGATCCTGCGAGGAGGCGTTTCAGCTCATCCAGCTCCACCAGGCCCTTTCCGTCCTCGTCCACCATCTGAACGAGCTCCTCGACCTGACTGGCTTCCGGGTTCTCGCCGACCTTCTCCAACAGCCGCGCGAGCTCCTTCGGCCGCAGCCCATCGTCCTTCCCCTTCCCAAGCAGCTGCACGTGCCGGGGGCGCCGCGCCCGCACACGGTGAGTGCAATGCGGGGCTCAAGGGTTCATTGGGCGCAACCGCGCGCGTCGTGTCTGGGCGCGACGCCGAGTGCGTCATACGCGGCGAACGCTCCGTACCTTGAATAGCTGGCGCGCCGGTTCTTCGAAGTCGCTGTCTTTCATCTTCCTGACCTGAACAGTTAGAAACATGTCGAACGTGATCTCGCCGTCGCCCTCGACGTCGTACTCGCTCATGATGTCCTCCAGCTCGGCTACGGAGAGCTCTTTGCTCGTCACCTGTGCCAGAACCCTGCAGAGGCAGCACGATGCGCGGCTGCATGTCGGGATGGCGCGAGATGTGCTGTTTGGAAGCGTCAGCTACCGCATCGGACAAGTCACGGAGTCTGCTTGTCGCGAGCCACTGTGAAATGAGGACGCACACGTTGTCGTTCGGGTCTGCCCCTCTCGAGGCTGTTTTGCGAGGCAACCGCCAGTTGCTGTGTGGAGTTCGCAGTGCAGGATGCAAGCCCTTTGCGGATTTCTGACCCCTACGCACTCGTGCGCAGAACGAGTATGTTCGGACCACTTGGGAAGGGTTCGCGTGCAACACACGCAAGCAGCGGGGCGCAGGCATGGACCGGCACTGGGACGCTACAGCCAGGTGCTCCTCCCTCCGCGCCTGCCTCACCTTTGCACGTCCGCTCGTACGAAGTAACCACGATCGTTGGGGTCGAACATGGAGAACGTCTGCGCGAATTCCGCCAGCTGGTCCGCGGAAATGCCGTCCATCCTGGCTCCCCTGTCCCAGGGCGCTCGGTGTGCGGCGCGCTCGACCGGGCGCCGAACGCGGGGGCCCTCAGCTCCCGCGTGACACCAGTGAGAGGCGTTGCCCGCGGAAAGCGGCCCTCTTCGGAGCGCTCCTACCCCGAAGGGCACCGGGAAGGGCAAGTTGCAGTGGGGGGAAACAGCGGATCCCTCGCGAACCGGTTCGCTCACGTGAGTGCCCAGGTGTCAGAGAACGGTGTACCAGGGCAACACTGCGCCGCGCGAGGACGCCGCCGCGCCCTAAAATCCGGCCTGAGAGGGACGCGACGCACGCCTGCTGGCAGTCAGGTCCGTCCGCTCCCGACTGGCACACGGGGCTCGCGGACGATGGTGGCCCTGCCCGCCGCGCACGAGCCGCATGTCGTGACACCAGTCGTCTTGCTACGGCAGCACAGCGACCGCTAGGTTATTCGTCGTGCGGCTTTGGTGCAAGGCCGGTGCCGCAGCGCCGAGTCTCCAGCTGCTGCAGATCGCTGCGATCGCACCTGAGCGTTTGTCAGCGCGCGCCCCGTATCAGGCACGATGTCGCTGAACCCGAACAGCGCTGCGTTCAACCCGAACGCCGCGTCGTTCGTGCCTGGACAGCCTGCTGCGCCCGCCGCAGCCCCCGAGCAGCCCGCGGAGTCTTGGGAGGATGCTCGGCCGTCCGAAGCTTCTGCAGCTGTCGATGACGCCGCCTCGAAGATGGAAGCCGTCAAACTCGAAGACAGTGCGAAGAAAGCGCCTGACGCTTCAGGCTCAGCTGCCCCGAAGCCAAAGCAGACGCAGGCAGAGGTGAGCAGCTCAGCCGTCGCGAGGCCTGAATCGTTTGCTCCGATCCACGCATCAACGCATGTCTGGAAGACGCGGTGTCCGGCGCTGCGTTGCGAGCTGCTGAGACGCCGCTTGTGCGGTCTCCCGGACGCGGCCCTGGCTGCGTCCGGCACCGCCATGCTGCGACTGTGCTGGCGGGCTCCGCACCGTCCCACTCTGCATGCCATCAGAGATCGTTTCGCGGGGCCGAAGAGCGATGCCAGCGAGCAACGAGTCTGCAGACTCAGCTGCCTCGGGAAGGACGGCGTGCTGCGCTAACGCCCTGCCTTCGCACGCAGCATGCCTCCACTGCACCTACCGCACATCTCCGTGCGCATTGACGCGTAGTGTCGTGAGCGACACCCGCGGGCCATCGCGGGTAGTTGGTGCCTGTTCATGCAACATTGATGCCAGGCCGTCCGATCATGCGAATCCGTGCACCTCGCAGGTGACCGAGGTGGACGTTCCCACGGAGCTCTCAGAGGACGACAAGAAGCGCATTCAGACTGCGCTGGACCAGCTCAACGCAGAAGATCCCAGGTCAGAGACACGGGCACCAAACGCAGGGGACTGCGTGCATGGCACGCTCGGCCCGTCATTGTGGTTATCGAGAGCAAAGTGCGGCTGCCACGCATGAGCACGGGGCTGCTTGGGCGGGCCGTGCCTCCCGCGCTTTTCGGAAAACATGCCACAGCAGACGCCGCGCAGTGGCGCAGCAGCGGGTTCGTGAGGTGATCAAAGTCGCGCCGCCGTCCTTCCGCAGGGAGCACGTCAACGTGGTCTTCATCGGGCACGTCGACGCGGGGAAGAGCACGCTCGGGGGCAGGATCCTGTTCCTCACGGGCGGCGTCGACGACCGGACGATCGAGAAGTACGAGAAGGAGGCGAAGGAGAAGAACCGTGACTCGTGGTACATGGCGTACATCATGGACACCAACGAGGAGGAGCGGGCGAAAGGTGAGGCGCCTCCTGCGCAGCACGAGAGGAGGATGCAAGGCACCAGTGCCTCGAACCCTTAAAAGGACATGCCACCCCGCACGACTTGCAGGCAAGACCGTCGAGGTCGGCCGCGCGCACTTCGCGACGGACAAGCGGCGCTACACGGTCCTGGACGCGCCCGGCCACAAGAACTACGTGCCCAACATGATCTCGGGGGCCGCGCAGGCCGACGTGGGCGTGATGGTGATCTCTGCGCGCAAAGGTAAAGAGCTGTCCTCGCGTGCTGTGGATGTGGTGCGCGTTTCCCGGATGTCGTTCGGCCACGGTGCAGCGCTCAGCTCTGCCCGGCCGGTCCTTGCAGGCGAGTTCGAGGCCGGGTTCGACCGCGGTGGACAGACGCGCGAGCACGCGCAGCTGGCGAAGACGCTGGGCGTTCAGAAGCTCATCTGCGTCGTGAACAAGCTCGACGAGCCGTCGGTACTCACCCCAGATGGCAAGTGGAGCAAGGAGCGCTACGACCAGATCGTCGCCAAGATGGGTCCCTTCCTGCGGTCGTGCGGCTACAAGCCATCTGAGGTGGTCTTCCTGCCGTTGGCGGGCCTGCATGGACACAACGTCGCCAAGAGGATGTCGAAGGATGTGTGCGACTTCTACGACGGGCCGTGCTTGTTCGAGGTGAGGAAGAGCGGCGCGTGCACCAGCGCATGAGCCGTCAGGACAACCGCAGTGTCTGCTCCTCCGCTGATTGTGTGGGTCCCGGCGAGCGTTGCTGACAGGACCCGCGCTGCACACTGCCAATGAAGGTGCTCGACGCCGTGGAGATGCCTCCCCGAGACCCGCTGGCTGGCTTCCGGATGCCCATTATGGACAAGTTCAAGGACCTGGGCTGTGTTGTGATGGGCAAGAGCGAGCAAGGAATCATCCAGGTGCGGCACGAGCATGCTGGCACCGGGGCGCGGCGCGATGTCCTTGGGTGGCCCTGAGCGACACTCGACCAACGTGTCCTGCAGGTTGGCGACAACTTGATGGTGATGCCCAACAAAGTCCGGGTGAAGGTGTCAGCGCTCTGGCGCGACGAGGACGAAGTTCAGGCAGCAAGGCCTGGGGAGAACCTCAGGATCAGGTGCGCGGTGGCACCGCCTCGAACCTGTTATCCAGCCGCTGCGGATACTCGTCCGGGGACGAGAATGGCGTTCCCGGCGTCTGCGTGCAGGCTCCAAGGGATTGATGACGAGGACATCCAACCAGGGTTTGTCCTGACGTGCATGCAAGACCGGGTGCCGTGCACGAACCAGTTTGAAGCCCAGCTGGTGATTCTGGACCTGCTCGAGCACAAGTCGCTGTTCACGCCGGGATACAAGGCGGTGTGCCACATCCACAGTGCCTGCGAGGACTGCGAGGTCACGAAGATTGTGTACCAGCTCGACATGAAGACGAAAGAGCAGAAGAAGGTCAGTATGCGCTCCGGCATCCATCTCCCCCGCGGCCACAAGCTGCTCCTTGTCGGACGCAGCTTGTCGTGAACATAGGCTGGTCAGCCACGTGTGCGCAGGTGAAGTTTGCAAAGAGCGGCTCCATCATCAAGGCTCGACTGCTGCTGGAGAAAATCACGTGCCTCGAGACCTTTGAGAGAGTGCCTCAGCTTGGTCGGTTCACGTTGCGCGACGAGGGGCGGACGATCGCCATCGGCAAAGTGACGAAGCTCCCCAAGACTGCCTACGGCAAGGGCAAGTAAGCGTGAGCAGAGGCTGGGAGACGAACGGGCCATCGTGGAAATTCTGAACCGATGTCTGCCGTCTGAGCTACGTGTGAGGCTGAGCATCGAGAGCGCAGCTAGTCACTCAGGGTGCCTCCTTGAATGGAGGATGGCGAGTCGAAAGCGTCGGCGAGCATGGCCGCGATAACATACTCTGCCTCGTACGACTCGCCATCGTTCGATGTCAGCGCTGCCCGTCCGGATGCGCATCCTGCTCTCTCCTTGCTGCCGACTGCTGCCCTGTTCCGGGGGGGCGGATGACCGTCCCGGCTGCGAGCGATGGTGGCGGCTCAAGGCAACGGTACGGCGTCGCGCAACGGACGAACACGAGCGTACGAGTACTGCCCAGCACGATACCAAGGCGAAGCTGACGCTGAGCCTGATCTCATCCCTCGGGGCCAGTGTCGCCTGAAGCTTCGGCACCTGATCGGTACACCGCAGCAATGATCGTGAGCGACGACTGCCGCTCGCGTGCGCGTCCGCGCTGCGTCTGCTTCGTCCTTGAGTTGAGAGTCTCACACTTGCCACCGGCGAGCGAAGCCGCAACCTCGCATCCTTTGCGCGTGACAGCCTACGCCAGCTCAGCTGTGGATAGGGGTGCCGAAGACAGCGGCCATCGCCGCCTCCTTGACTGCCTCGGAGAGGGTGGGGTGGCCATGGCAGGAACGGGCAATGTCCTCCGCGGTGGCGCCGTGCTGCATGGCCACGACGCACTCGTGGATCAGCTCGCCTGCACGCAGCACGACACCGGATGCGCTTCAGGTCCGCGGGCCAGGGAGGAGCGACGCGTGCACGTGCACAACACAACCTTGCACGACACCCGTACCTGCGTTGGCGCTCATGATGGTGACCCCGAGGATCTTGTTGGTGTCGGCCTCCGCGACCATCTTGACCATGCCCTCCGCGAGGTCGACGGCCCGCGCCCGCGAGTTGGCCATGAAGCTGAACTTCCCGACCTTGTACTTGAGGCCCTTCTCCTTGGCCTGCGCCTCAGTCATACCGATGTCGGCGACCTCCGGGGCCGTGTAGATGATGCCAGGGACCTTGTTGTAGTCCACGTGCCCGTCCTGGCCGGCGATCATCTCCACACAGGCGACGCCGTCCTCCTCAGCCTTGTGGGCCAGCATGGGCCCCTTGATGATGTCGCCGATGGCGAACACGCCGGGCACGTTCGTCCTGAAGTGCTCGTCGACCTCAACGCTGCACAATGTTGATCGAAGGGCGTCCTGTGAGCGGACGCATGCGGGCTCGTGGCATGTGCGGGTCGAGAGAACACAGCGTCGTGACTGCATCTGCCAACGTACCGGCCTTGCTTGTCGACCGCCACGCCAGCCTCCTCAAGACCCAGCCCCTCCGTGAAGGGCTTGCGGCCCGTGGAGACGAGCACGATGTCGGCCTCCAGCGTCTCCGGCTTGCCACCTGCAGCAAGACAGGCAACAGGACCGTCGTCTCATGCTGGCTGTCCTGACTGCGCGCGACAAGCGACACCGCCGCAAGCAGCATTGAGCACGTATCGCACCGTCGGTCGCGTCGACCTCGACCTTGACGGTGTTGCCCTGCACGGTGGCCTTCTTGACGGCCGTCTTGAGCTTGAACTTCATGCCCTGCTTCTCAAGGGAGCGCCTGAAGTGCCGACGGACCTGCGTCGTAGCCACGGAGCAGAAAACACGTGATGGCGACGGAGCTCGCGCAGGGGCATGCCCGCGCTGGTTGGTTGGAAGCAGGTGCGCGTTCCAGCGCGAAATCGTGCACGCAGCCGCGGAGTGCGTCAGTAGAGCACGTCAGATGTGTGCCGCACCTCGGCGTCGAGAGAGGGCACGATGTCCGGGGTGAACTCCACGACCGTGACGTCAGAGCCCAGTCGGGACCACACGGACCCCATCTCCAGGCCGATCACGCCCCCGCCGATCACGATAAGCTTCTTCGGAATCTCCTTCAGGTCCAGAGCGCCGGTCGACGACACGATGCGCCTGCGGAAACGCGCAGCTCGTGCACACATTCACCAGGGCGCAAAGCATGGTGCAGCGCAGAAGGGCCGCCTGCGATGCACCCGATCGTCACGTCGATTGGTCTGTGAGGCGCACTCTTCGTCGATGGTCACGCCGGGGATCGACGACGGCGCCGACCCGGTGGCCAGCATGATGTTCTTGGCCTTGATGTCCTGGGTGGAGCCGTCGCTCATCGACACGCTCACGTGACCCTGCACCACACACCGCCCCGCATGGCGTTGGGCCACCGTGCCACGGATCGCTGCGTCGCGAACGGGCTCCGCGATCCAGGGCTGAGACAAGCGAGGGTGGGCTGCGACTCACCGTGCCCACGAGCTTGCCCCAGCCCTTGACGTACTCGACCTTGTTCTTCTTGAACAGTCCCTCGATGCCCTTGCACAGGCTCGACACCGCGTTCGCCTTCTGCTGCATCATCTTCTCCAAGTTGACCTGCGGGACGACGCAGCCGCGCCCGGCCCGGAGTGAGGTCCACGCGCGACAGCGGGGAGTGTGCAGGGCAGCGAGCCGGCCGCCGACTGCGCCGCGCGCTGGAGGAGGCGCTCACCTTGACACCGCTGACTTCCACACCATGGGCCTTGAAGGCGTGCGTAGCCTCGTGGTACATGTGCGACGAGTGGAGCAGAGCCTTGCTGGGAATGCACCCGACATTCAGGCACGTCCCGCCGAGCGTGCCGCGGCCCTCGATGCAAGTGACGGACAGTCCCAGCTGCGCAGCCTTGATTGCCGCGACGTAACCGCCAGGGCCTCCGCCCACAACCACCAGGTCCTGCACACGTGTTCACGAATATCGAGCCGAGTTGTTTGTGGTTCCGTTCGGACTCACGTGGGGTTCGCACGAGGTCAGGGGTGCGGCCCAACTGCAGGACGAGGAAGCTACTGCCGCGGGCCTTGGCGAGCGCACCAGGTCCCGGCACTCCATGCGAAGGAGGCCGGGCCACAGGCGCGAGCCATGCGCAGTGCAGGACTAGGTCCTATGAGCGGGCCCGGGACGAACGCAACCGCGAGCAGCAGACAGGGTGCTCCACCTCCGGAACAGGCTGCCCGCCCCCTTGGCATGTCGGTTTCCGCACCCCGTGGCTGAAACATGGGTCACGCATGCAGATGCCAGCGACGATCTGGCGCCTGGCGTGCGGCGGTTCCGGCGAAGACTCGGGGCAACGCCGTAGAAACCTCCGCCGCGCCCCCGGCGCGGTCAAGGGCGCTTGCTCACCTTCTCGGCATCGGACGCGAAGAACCTCGATCCGAGGATGCCACGCTGAGCATGCACGGCCCCGCGGAGGGCGAGACGGCTGCGCAGGACAGACATGGCCATCTTGGAATAGCCTGGCACCGGTGAGCGCACGAAGCTCACCCGCCAACCTGTCCAGCTGCCTTGGACAATGTGGCGCGCGGGCCGCGTGCGCGGACCAAACGAGCTGCGCGTGCAGGCGCCCTGGACTGCCCCCGGGTCCGTGTCGGCGGAGAGGTCCCGGGGCACACCGGGGACGCGCCGTGGTCACGTCGACGCGGCACAGTGGCCCGCCTCCTGGGCCCCCCGACAACAGATTGCGTCAGCTGAGCGCGCGCTCCGTCGTGACACCGTCCGCACCGAGGAGAATTCAAGGCTGCTCGGTTTTCACTCGGCTCCGAGCCGGGCGCTAGCTATCGGGAGGATTGCTCCGCCTCGCGATGGCGCGACGATCCGACGAAGCCGAGCGCTTCCCGCAGGCGAAGGGTTCCGGCGGCGCTGAGACTTTCCCCGCGGACGGGCTGCAGCGTGCACGGCAAGGACAGCCCGAGGTGCGGCGCTTCAACCTCACCAGCGCATCTCCCGTCGCGGCCTGTTGGCACTCGCAGGGCCGGCCGCGAGGGAACCGGGTTCCCATCACGTCTGCCTCAGTGGCCGATCAAGCGTGAGCGGGGCGCACCGCGCGTCCAAGCGGTCGCAACGTGCTGCCACGAGAGCACGGCGTGCGGCCCCGGGGCGCCCCGGCGCGCGAGATGGGGTAGAGCCGGCGGCCTGCGACGTCCACTCTTCGACTGACAGCGACGCGTTGCTGAATCTGCCGAAGTTCCTCGTCAGCGGCGGTGACCTCGCGACATTGTGCAGCCAGCTTTTGTTTCCGAGGCGAGGCGAATCGCGCCCGGCCTTCTCGCACCGCGCAATATCTCGACCACCGCTGCGATTGCTGTGCAGACCACCCCCCTCATCGGAAACCAAGGCCGGCCCTCGCATGAAGTGGACAGCGCTGAATTCCCAGAGGACCACGAGCGTCTGTCTCTGCCGCACGTGGCGAGTCATGAGGGGCGCCGATCGCCGCGGATCGATATGCCAGGGATGCTGCGACAGAAGCTTCCCAAAAAGGCGCTGAGCAGTAAGGTGGCGACCGAATTTTCATTCATGCAAATCACGTCACAGCTCCTGCCGCGGCTCTGGACCGAGCGCTGCGCGTCATGGAGGCCCAACTTGCCGCCGTCTCTCCGCCCGCGCAGGCTCTCGGGTCGAACAAGGCTGGGGCCACGTCAGCGGGACGAGGGCAGCCCAAACCGAAAATGTCCAATCCACGAACCCAGCCCGGAGCGGTGCGCCGCACGACACGCCCCATCGAGTCTGCGCCTCGAGCGCACGCACGTGATGCCCATGCAACAGCGAGGTCCTCGACCGGTGACATGGTTGTTGTGCTCCCTGTGTGTGGTGCAGGCTGGCAGGAAGAAGGACCGCTTGGTGGCTCTACCAGGCAGCGACGAAACCCACGATATGCGGGCGCACTCGGTGGAGCGTGAGCGAATATTTTTCGAGGATGGCACGGAGATCGCGGCGCCTGAGATGCGGGGGCGCGTCATGGTGTACTGCACGGCCGAGTAAGTGCACGGCCGCTCTGTCCCGGCACACCGCGATGCGTCGAGCTGCCCCAGCGTGCGACGTCCCACGGTTTTTACCCGGATCGCAGGGAGTTCGACATGAAAGAGCTCCAGAAACGGCACCGGGAGATATACAACGCTAGCACCCTGACAGTGTATCCGGAGCTGCTTCATGGAGGGCTCTCGGCAGAGCGGGTGGGGGGTGCTGTTGCGGACGTGTTTTATTTCGACTACGGCGTGGTCGTGTTCTGGGGCCTCGTGCACGAGGAGGAGATGGAGATCCTGGACCGCGTGGTTCGCCCGAACTCGATCGACCCGCTGCTGTCGAAGGACATCGAAGTGGACGAGTTCGAGTACGTCTACTCGGTCACGGAGCGCCCGAAGGTGCAGAACGACGTCATCACGCTCTCCGTGTCGATGGCTGGGGATGCCACGGTGAAGATCAGCATCGCACATGCGCTCGCGCAGTCGCTCAAGCTGTGCATCTACGAGAAGCGCGTCAGCCTCATGGCATCGGAGAGTAAGCATCTGCCGGAAACCCTGGCCGAGTCCGGATCCGTGGGGATATCGTCCCTCGAGATTCACAAGCTGATTGGGGAGCTCTTCATCCACCGCTCGGCGGTCAATCTCCTTTCGACCGTCCTGGACACCCCCGAGTTCTTTTGGGACGTGCCAGACGCGCTCCAGGGGCTGTACCGGAAGGTCTGCGAGTACCTCGAGCTGGACACCCGCGTGGAGATCCTCAACGCACGCTGTCAGGTGACGCCCCGCGCGACCCCCCGCCCGACGATGACTCACCGCGAGCGGGGGTGGCATGGCAATGACGCGGATGCTCGTGCTGACTGTTTGCAGGTGCTCGGCGACTTGCTCCAGATCCTGCGAGACCAGCAGAACTTCGCCCACGGATCCAGGTGCGGCCACGACTGCGTGTCACAGAGCCCGTGTCGCCGCGCGCCGCGCGCCGTGGTCTCAAAGCCCGAGTGACGAAACTGTCCGACTGCCGCGTTCCACGTGCAGGCTCGAGTGGATCGTCATTTGGCTCATCGTCATCGAGTGTTTCGTCGGGCTGCTCGAGGTCGCCTCGATGCTCGGCTGGATTGACTCGGCCGGGTGAAGTGTGAGCGATGTTCCACAGCCATACGCGGAGACCAGCGTCGGTGCCTGCTGAGGGGTGTTGCTTGCGTGGGCCCTGGTTTGCACTGAAATGCCTGGCGCGTCCGCGTCAGGAACGACGCGCGCGCTCTGGCCCCTCGTCCGCCGATCACAGGCCACGGCGAGACACCTCCCCGCGGCCGCCGTTTGTGTGTTGAGTCGCAGCACCGCCGCATGGCGCGGCAACAGCTTGTCTGTATTGAACATGCACTGTTAGCGGACACACTTTCGCTGCGACTGTTCACCTCGAAGCTTGCTCACATGCGCGCCAGGCACCTTGCCAGGGCGCACCTGCAGCGACCAGTGGTTGGGGCGGTGCATGGTCCCCACGTCAGACCGATCTGCTTCAAGCAGGAAGTTCCTTCGTGACATAAACCGAGCCCAGCGACTGTTCTGTCAATGCGAAGGAGCCGCGGCGCGATGACGGTCCCGCGATCCCGCGTGCCAACAGGACACCAAATCCGCCGACTTGAGTCATGCGCCATCCGGGAGGGCCGTTCCTGCGAGGGCGACAAATGCGCGTAGCGGTTGGGGCAGCGGTCAACTGTGCACAACGATGGATGCCCCGGCCCAGTCCAAACACAGCGCGTCGACAACTGCCACTCGCCTCGCTCGAGGTTGTTCTTCGTCTCCTCGACGTACTGGCCGAAGACACGCTGGAGCTTGCGGTTGAAGGTTTTGTTCCTGTCGCTGATGGCGTCGACGTCGCGGGATTCCCGGTGCGCGCGCCTCCGCCGGAACTGCTCGCGTCGCGCCTGTTGATTCTCCAGTTCAGCCACCATGCGATCGACGTTCTCCGCTGGCACCTCCTCGTGCTGCACGAGCGCGTCCCCGGCCCGAAGCACGTTCTCGCCACGGGCCTTCGCCGCCTCGTACTCCTCCAAAGCGACGGGGGCGTTCGCCGTGCGCCGTTCATGTGCCTTGTACCCTGCCTTGGTCGTGAATATTTCCGCGCCGCTCAGCGCCCCGGTCTTCTGTTTCTTCTGGTACAGTTTTTCGGCGTTCTCTGCCGTCACGAGCCGGTGCGCCTGGGCTTCTCCGAGGCCACTGTCCTGCAGCTCCTTGGCGTGCCGCTTCTTCTTCTCCAGGTACCACCTGCACCGCACCACACGGTCCGATGGGTCCGTGCCGCACACCGCGCGCCTACCGTAGCAGTGGCAGCGGAGTTCCGCGGGAAAACTGACCTGTACTTGGCCTCATCTGATTCGTGAGGGTCGTGCTTGGGCTTGCTCTCGCGCTGCACCTCAGTGACGGCGGCCTTGTGGTTCATCGCTCTCGCCTCGCCCATCCGCTGCTTGATGCTGAACAGCCGGCGCTGCCGAGGATTCAGTTTTTCGAGCGCTGCGGGGTCCGCAAGGTCGATTTCCGCGTCGTCATCAGACTTGCTGGGAGAGGCCATCCTGTCCGCCTGGTCGCCCTCGGCGGGGGTGTCGGAGGCACGAACCGCGCCGGGAGCGTCGCGACTTCTCCCCTGCGCCGCAAAACCGCGAGGGCCTCGTCGTGCGGCGACGCAAGTGCGATCGCACTGGACGGGCCACCATGTTGCTGGGTGAAGATGCACCGTGTCCATGTCCAATTCGACGCGTGCGCGCAGCCGGACGCACCTGGGTCTCCCTGGTTGCCCGGTTCGCAGTGGGCTGCTCTTGTCCACCCTCGCCGCCGACCGCTCCAAGGCGCTTCAATGCCTCCGAGTCCACGTCGAGGCCGATCGGATCGGAACGGTACTTCCGCTCTTCCTCCATTTCAGCCTGCGATGTCGAACACACTGCGGACGGCGTTGAAGCGCCTCTTGCGACGCGTTGCGAGCGCGTCCACGTTCTGAGCGCCTGGGACGGGCATGCACAGGCCTTTGAGCGCGCGCCGTTCGCGAGACAAGTGCACGTGCGGATGACCGCCAGGTCATTCATACGACGTGTGCGCGCGCGCAGCATCTTCCCGGCGTGTGGCCTTGCCTTGAGCTTGGCGGCGATCGCGCTCTGTTCGTCTTGCAGCACGCCACACCTCGATATCACCGCGAGCTTCTGCGGCTTCCCCGACTTCGAGCCCCACGACTCGATCTTCTTGCACACGCCGAGCCCCTCCACGACGCGTCCGAACACGACGTGCTTGCCATCCAGATATGGCGCAGGGTCGAGCTGCGAGTCAGGCCGGCGGGGGCGCCAGCACTCGAATCACGCGGCTCACGCGCGTCGGACGCGAGGGCGACAGCGCCGGGCTGCGGAACCTACCGTGATGAAGAACTGCGACCCGTTCGTGTCGGGGCCTGCGTTTGCCATGGACAACACGCCGGCTGAGTCGTGTCTTAGCTGGAACGATTCGTCCTCGAACGTCCGCCCGTATATGGACTCCCCGCCCGTGCCATCGCCGCACTCGAAGTCGCCGCCCTGAATCATGAACCTGCGGCGGCAACACCTCGAGGCCGGACCGCGGTCTGCCACGACTCGTCTCGCCAAGGCGCGGAACTTCCCCGCGCCGTCGAGCATGATCGACGCGCGCGCGAGAGCACGGCCCCGCGGCCCGAGCGTCACCTGGGAATGACGCGGTGGAAGGGAGTGCCCTGGTAGCTGAGACGCTTGCCGCTCACGCCTTCGCCCTTGTCCCCGGCGCAGAGCGCCAGAAAGTTGGCGCAAGTTCGGGGCGCCACGTCCGGCCTGCAAGAAGGTTCGATGAGTTGAGCGGGACGTTGCAGGAGAGGCGCGGGCATCGATGGCGCAGGGGGTGGGCTCGCGAACCACTCCGGGGGACTCGCAAGCGCGTGATGCAGCTCGAGGGGCGAGGTCCAGGACGTGGCATGGATGGCCCACCCGAGACGAACGACCCACGAGACGGGGCGCGCACTGGGCGCGTAGCGACACAGCAGTGGGGCGTTTCAGCACCGCTTGGCGCGCTGTGTCCGCGGAACGATCACCCGCGCGCCGTGTTCTGTCGCTCGCGAGCACGTTCGGCTCACCTCAGTTCAAATACGACCCGACCGACTAGCTCCGACCCGGTGGAGACCTCGAAGAAAGCGCGGGGGAGCTCCATGGCCGATACGCGAGGACAGGCTCGCCGCACAAAAATGCTCCGCTACACGAGCATGCGAGAAAGGCAAGTGCGTGGCTGGACGGAGCAGCTGGTCTGCCAGCCGCAGGTGGGCGTGGACTGCAACACACAAGACTAGCAGAGGTGGAGACTCATAGCGACCTCGAAACTTCTAGTGGCCTCGTCATCCGTCTCCTCCCGAGGCCTCTGCCGGTACAGGCGCAGTGCTCGCGGCAACAACGTTCTCGGCGAGCGAGAGCGGACGGAGTCCTCTCTGCCACGATGCCTTACCCCGGTCCGACTTCGCCGTGCGCGTGTTGTGCGGGTCATGGGCCAGCGTCGTCGCCTGTCGCAACTCAGATAGCGCTCCCGGGTCGTAGGGGCCGGCAGCTGCGGACGGCAGGCGCGGTTTCCGAGCGGGAACGCAAGGCCGCGCAACAACGACCCAAGCGTCGCGAACTGCCTGGGTCGACGTGCTTCGGTCGCCCTTGCTGGCATCAGATCAAAGTTCAGCTCAGATTTCCCCCGGACTCACCCGGCGCGTCGCGCACGTGAGCAGCGGGGGGTGGCTTGAGCATGGAGGACCACGAGGTGGAGCTCGGGAAGGGCAGCCAGGGCGCTGCTGTCGTGGAGGACACCGACAACGCGCTTGGCGCCCCTGGGACAGACGCCGCCAGCGCCACGCGGGTCGACGGAAGGCTTTCGGAGACCCCTTCGGAGACGTTGCCCCAGGAACAAGCTGGCGCCCATCAGCAGGAGGAAGAGGCGTCGAACGAGGGCGATGGTGCAGCAGGGGGCGAGCCGACACCGAGCGACCCACCAAGGTGCGCCACCGTGAGCTGGACGCCCCGCAGCGGAGCGCTGAGGCTCGTTCTGCAGTCCCCGTTCAGCACCGTCGGCGCTGTCAGTAGCCGCGGGCGTCGGGGCCAGGGCCTGATGCCAGGAGGCGACAGACTAGTGTCTGGTCTGGCGAGCGTCGGCGCGCGGGAACTTTCGGGGCGACCTCGGGGCCGGCGTGGCGGAAACGCCTGGGCAAAGGGAGGGACTTGCTCGGCTCCCGCTCACATTGGAATCGCTCGCCTGACGCGCAGGTCGCAAAGGGAGGACCTTGCCGGGAAAAGCCCTCCCAGCAGCATTTCTGCGAGCACGACGATGAGCGAGGAGGAGCAGGGCTCGTCCGAAGACCACAGTGAGGCTTCCGAGGCCGCGAACGACGGGCCTGCCGATCCTTTCGCGGCGGAAGCCCAGCCGATGGCCACTCCAGAACAGAGCGCCAACGGTCGCCGCCAGTACAGGCTGCGCGTCTTCACGTCAGACGTGCGAGGGGCTGGAACTGACAGCGATGTCTTCGTCAACCTGTACGGCTCGCGTGGGTGCAGTGGAGAGAGGCAGCTGGACACCGGTCTGCACAACGACTTCGAGCGGGGCCAGGTGCGTCCTGGCGGCGTCCTGGTGTCTCGCGGCCCCCTCGTGTCGCATCGGCACGGTGTGCCCAAGTGCTGCCTCCGCCCCCGCCCCCGCAGGTCGACACGTTCTTCCTCGACACGGACGACCTCGGCGCTCTGAACAAGGTCACCGTGCGCACGAGTGGCCACGGCCTCGGCGACTCGTGGCACCTGGACCGGATCGAGGTTTCCGACGCCCATGCTGGGCTCGGGGACGATCATGCTCGCGTGGTGTTCTCGTACGGCGACTGGCTCGGCAGCAAGCACACGCTCAAGCAGGACATCGTGGCGGTGAGTGCTGGCATGCACGGGGCGTGTGTGGCCGCGAGCGTGGGTGTGTGGGGTGTCGACGCGACCAGCGGGTGCTGCCCCCTCGCTGCGCAGGAGGGCGTCTCCGACCCGATCGCGAGCCGGGAGTACGAAGTGCGCCTGTTCACGGAGGACTACAAGGGCCGCGAGTCCGACGTGTTCGTCGAGCTGCAAGGCAGCAAAGGGTTCGTTGGCGAAACCCTCCTCCCCGCACACGACTGGGATCGCAGCGAGGGATCCTGCGACATCTTTCGCGTCTGCGGCGGGGACTGCGGTCAGCTTGGCACCCTGTGTCTGCGGCTGGTGGCGTCGAGCTCGACGTGGACGTTGTCAGAAGTCGAGGTCCGAAACGGCGCCTGCGACCTCCTGCCCTCGAGGTGTACCTTGCGCGCCCTGCCTCGGAGCTGCACCTGACGGCAATTCACGTCGCTCGCTGCAGGTCGTCGACTGCTCTTCGGGCTCGTCTGTAACTTTCGAGGGCGCGCGGCTGGACAAGACGGCGCCCTCCGTTCGTCTCCAGATCAGAGCTCCGGAAGGTCCGAAGCCAGCGGAGATCGAGCAGGAGGCGCCCGGGCCCCGCTCTGAAGCGAGCGAGGCGGACGCAAGTCAGAGTGGTGCAAGCGAGCCCGACGCCCCAGGGGCCGACTCGAGCGAGCCCCGCCCGAGCGAACCCGAAAGCGCCACGCCCGCTGCAAGTCAGCCTGCCAGCACGCCCTCACAGGCCGCGAAGGTGATGGACAGCGTGATGTCCCATGCTTCGTCCCGGTCGCTGACGCCCATCGTGAACGACAAGGACCTGCAGCAGGATCTCGACGAGGTGTTCAAGGTAGGGGCACGTGCGCGCGATTGCGCCGCAGCTCATGTCCTGGCGTTGCGGTGGCGACAACGACGTCTCCCATCTGCCTTGCTCGTGCAGGTCGACATCACGCCTTCGAGGCAGGCGTCAACGGTGACGCCGCTGACCAAGCTCGCTTCGGGAAAGTGGGAACCTGGCGAGCTCGGTCAGTGGGATCGGGAGGATGCCAGCAGCAAGGCTACGCCCGCAGCTGCTGCCACGACCAGCGGGAACGGCAACGTCGAGGACGATGCCGCCCCTGCTGCCCGCAAGCAGGATCCGGACATCGAAGCCATCGACGCCCAAATGGCGGCACTGGAGCGCGATCTGGCGGACTTTTCGATGCCTTCTGCGCCGTCCGGTAGCCCGTCCTACTTGCGCACAACGGCCGCACAACAAAGTCGCGAGCACGCCGTACAGGTGCGCCGCCCCGTCATCGGTTGCTCGTTGCGATCTCACGTTTTATCGACAGGCTCCTCATCCAAACCTTCATCCCAGCGTTGCAGGAGGCGTCCCGCGTCAAGGGCGGAGGCACGGTCATCCCGCGCCCTGCACCGCAACAGGCCGGCTTCCTCCGGCAGACGGCCGCCTCCGACAGTCGTAAGAAGGCCATCAGCGGCTCGCGGCACACGTCCCCAGGTGCGAAGAGGCTATGCGCCTGATCATTCGTGGAAGCGGCATCGATGCGTGCAGATCCGGGAGCGGCACCCACGCGGAGGTCAATCGGCACACACCCTCCGCCTCCTTGTCCCCATGCAGGCATGAGTACGGCCCGTACCAGCGCCAGGGGGTCTCCGGGGCGCATGGGGTCGCCAGGGCACATTGCCCACTACATGAAGGGCACGAAGGCTTCCGAGGACAGACTCCGGGCTCGTGAGTCGCACGAGCAAGAGATCTCACCAGGCCGTGTGCAGGCCTCGCCTGGCGCGAACAGGTGCGTCGATCATCTCGCGCCGGCCCCTCCACCCCGACAGGAGCACCATGCTGTGCCACAGCAACGCACAGCGCATCCACTGTTCGTCACTCCGCAGGCCGAAGACGGCGTCACCTGGCAAGCAAGGTCCCGCGCCGAGGTTCATGCGGGCGACGAAAGCGCACGAGAGCCGCATGGCGGAAGTTGTGGAGTCCCAGTTGCTGCAGGACGAGCGGAGAGGGTGAGCACGCAGCCCCCCCCGCGGCAGGTCCCTCGGCACTGGTCCGTAGTCAGTTCCTTAGCACACCGAGCGTGCTCGTCTATTGCGCGCAGGTTCGGGGCCGAAGTCAATGTGCGTGGGGCGCGGGCGACGAGACTCAAGCAGCCTGCGGAGAGGGGCATGGCCAGTCGCATGCCTGGGGAGGACCAGGAGCAGACACTGGTGAGCTGGAGCAGTGCGTGTTGCGCGGGCACAGACGGGCTTGCTGGGCGGTCACGTCCTGCTTTCGTCCGATTGCCGTTCCGACTGCCTCTTTCGCAACCTCTTGCCCTTGCTGTCTTGCACCGCAGAAGCGTCTGAAGACTGCGAGGTCCCGCAGCAGGTCGCGGGCCGCAGTGCGCAGTCGGGACCACGCGCATGCCATGGGCACGCAGCAGTTCCAGCCAACTGTTGCGGCAGAGGAGAAATCCTACATGTTGCCCACCGTGAGCCGGCTCCAGGTGCGCCCTCGCACCCCCGCTTGTAGCCTCAGGTGCCCTCCGCCTCCCCAAACATAATCCCAGCACCGCCATTCTCGAGGCCTACGTCGCTGTACGTGCAGGCCATCGACCCTGACGCACTGGGAGGTGACTACGACTGGTCTCGGGACATGCGCGGGGCGAAGAACTGGCACCTGCGCACGCAGTTCGTTCCCGCTACTACGGTAGAAGAGAACCGTGAGTTGGCGACCGCTCTGAAAGAGGAGCACCGGGCGGGATTGAGCCCCAGTCCCATGTACAGGGCGTCCACGCCAGGAGGGGACGAGGATCGGCGAGGCCGCTCGCGCACGCCGAAAGTGCGTTGGGAGGACGGCGATAGGGCCAGGTCCAAGAGCTGCGCAGGGTCGGCACGGAGTCTTTCGCGCGCTCGCAGCAAGTCGCGGGTGTCGCAGGCGCGAAGCAAGTCTCGCGCAGCCACCCACCGTGACCACAGCACGTCGCGCATGGGTACTTCGCAGTTCCGCCCTACCCAGGTGTGCACGTGGTCCAAGGTGTCCGTGACGCGCTTCGGTGGTGCCAGACTGCGCCCGGTTCCGCACCCTGCCAATCTAGGCACCAGCCTAGACTCAACGAGGCGTGCTTTCCGCGTTTTTGCGTCCAGGTCGACAAGAGCCTTGCCGAGAAAGCCTTCATCAAGGACACCGAGTCCCGACAGAGGAAGCTGCATGGCGAGGACATATCGGAAAAGTACAACGTGCACAAGGATCTGCGAGGAAAGAGCCCAGCACCCTTTCGCACATCCACTGCGGCTTCAGCGCAGGGTGCGCGCGGGCAGTCTCCGATGGGTGCACGGGAATGGAAGCCGACGAAGCCCATACTGAAGGAAGGGACGCGTTTTGCACGGCCGACAACGCAGTCGCAGGGCAGGGTACGTAGCGGCAGTCCCCCCCCACACCTGTTTCGCGCTTCACACGCAAGTGGCGCCCGATGATGCAACCATGTGCGCTGGGTCGGTGTTTGCTGCAGGTGCGGGACAAGAGTGTCTCGCCGGGGCAGTCGAGAGGGTTCCAGGTTACGGACTCGCGCGTCATCCTGGACAACCTCAGCTCGCCGCACCGGGAGCGTAACAGTGCTCCGCGGCCATCGTGGAACAGCTCTGTCCGCACTCAGGATCTCGAGACGCAGCTCTGGTGGTCGAGGGTGAGGGCCAGCGATGCTCGAAAGACCAACGTGCTTGCTCCCCAGCTTTGCTGTTGGCTTGCCGCACACTAACCGGTTCGACGGCGTCACTTACGCAGATACCGCAACTGGATGCTGTGCCGGCAGACGCGCCGGGAGCGGGCTATCGATTCGCTGCCAGCCCAGGAAAGGAGCGAACAAGCTCGCGTCGGACAAACCTTGAGAACGCCAAGGTGCAGTTCACGCCGCACTTCGTGCGCGCTTCGCGTATCGAGACGCTTTCCCGCGAGCCACTGAAGCACCTTGCCGTCTGCCGTGCCGCAGGTTTGGGAAGGTCAGTTGCGGGGCTATGCCGCGTCGGGGAGCACCACACAGCGCAGCCCGGGAAGGTCGTCGCCGGGCCGGTCGTCGCCGGGACGCGTCGTCTCTCCTGGGCGCTCTGCACAGGCGTTTCAGCAATGGATCGCCCGCCAACAAAGCGCGAAGGTAAGCCAACTGGTGCATTGAATGACGCCACGTGTTCACGGTGCGAATGGGCGATGTCTGATGCATGCGACCTATGACGTTCGACGCGGTGGGCGCAGGCCGTTGTGGCACAGAAGACGGATGCGCGCGGCGTGTGGGAGAAGCCGGATCCAACGGCCAAGCCTGGCATTGGGCGGTCAGGGCAGGTTGCGGAAGACAACGACGGTGCAGAGGGCGAGGAGGACGACAACAGCCCCGCTGTCGACGAAGTGGTGTTGAATGTCGTGCAGAGTCGGAAGCTGGAGACTCGTTCGAAGGTGCTTTCTTGCTGCAGCGCCAAGGGCAAACAAGCGCCGACCCACTCGCATTCTTCATTCTCACTCTCGCACTGGGGACATGCCGTTGAGCTTTGACGTACCGTCGCTCCTTCATGCAGGCGTACGAACCCCAGGACTCCCCGGAAGCACCGCCAGCCAAACCAGTAGCAGTCGCACGAGATGATTTCGGTCCAGACCGTCCCGATGACACTCCCGAAGCCCGCGGGCGGCTTATTCAGCTCGACGCGAAAATGGTCGTTGAAGACGTGACGCCCAGACCTTCGAATGCCACGCCAGTAGCAAGAGTCGAAGGTGCACCCAGCTCCGTTCTTGCGGCTGGGGCTGCCTCGGTGGACAATGCCTCCAGCGCGATCTCGAACGCGGGGGCGGTGCCTCCTCGAGAGATGTCAAATAAAGAGAAAGCATGCCGTCAGGTCAGGCACTTGGGGGCTGTGCGTGCTCTCTCAACCGAGCTCCCTGCTTCCCCAACCTGATGCGCGCGCGCATGCTCACTTCATCCTGCGCCTTCGCTATACCGCAGTGGATGATGCGGCTCGGGATCGAGGTATCTCCGCCGACCTCGGACCCCATATACGACCCCTTCCGCAACGGGCAGGTCCTGACCCATCTGGCGCATCTGCTGTCGGGTGGGGAGCCCAAAGAGGTGTCCGGCGACGTTCCACAGGTGTGTGGGACCTGACACCAGCGGCGCACCCGGTCCCCCCCCCAAGTTCGACAGACTTACTCATCCAGACCCTCAAGTGTCACTGTGTGCGCAGTCTTGGGAGGAAGCGAAGCGGAACCTCGCCCTATCTCTTGACGTCTTGCAAGAGTGTGGGCTGGAAGTGTCCGATGGTGTGCGCGGCTTGGCGACCGTGATCGACCGCATCTGTTCTGGTCAAGGCTCGACGATCTGGGATCTCATGACGACGCTTCGTAAGATATTCCAGCGAGCCGGGCACGTCCCCGAAGCGGGGGGCAAGGTTCTCGAGGCTGACAAGACCAGAGCATTCATATCAATGCTGAAGGTGAGAGGGACATCCATGCGCTGTTGACCTGTTGGCACTGCGACAATCTCAGCCCCGCAAGTGTCTGAGCGTGCGGAGTGACCCATCAACTTGCGTGCAGATTCGCATCGCCCCGAGCGACGAGCACTTGCCGTTACTGGACAATCCCTTCCGGAACGGCACGCTTCTCTGTCGCCTTGCGAACGTGCTGGGCAAGGGCGACCTGGTGCAGGGCTACCACGCGCATCCGCGCACGCTCGAGAACGCGCGAGAGAACGTCACTATCGGCATGGTCGCGCTGGACTTGATCGCCGGAGTTGCGCGCGTCGACCTTGAGGTACGCCTCACCGAGGCAAATGGTGAGGGCAACCGGCACCCCGAGTGACTCCGGCGCGAGAAGTTGACGATGACATCTTTCTCTTGTTGATGCAGGAGGAGGATGTGGTCGAACCGACCTTTGGTGAGGTTGAAGCCATCCTGAAGGGCAACCAGGCGGCCATTTGGACGACCCTCAACCTTGTGCGGAAGTTGAACGGCCAGCGGGCGATCCAACAGGCGCGTGTACATGCAGATCGCGACTGCCGTGATACCTGCGTGCCTGTCGTGCCCCCCTGATTGTCGAGGTCAGTTCGCGAGTGTGCAGGCCACACCCCGGTCAGTGGAGCGCGTTGCCTCCCTTGAGCCATCTGCTGTGCCTGCCGAGGATAGTGCTGGAGGCATGGCTTCGGCCCGCGATGACGGCCCGACCTCTCATCGCATCGCCGTGATGCCGGAAGAGGCCGACATGGTGAGTGGCGCGATGCCTTCGTGATGCATGGCGACCTGCTGCATGGCGTGCATGTGCTTGGTGTATTCAGACTTTTCTTTCGCGAATGCCGCAGATCGAAGAAGCGCGCGGCTTGATGGAAACGAGGCAGTGGCTGAACAGCCTGGACATTGGCGCTAAGATGCATCTCAAGGTTGGGGAGATGCTCTCTGACGGAGTCATCCTGGCGAAACTGCTTTCCTTGCTCGAGGGCCAGGTGCTTGACGGTATCACTTGGAGAGCTGCGTCTCGCGCGAGCGGCCTCTTCAACCTGCGGAAATGCATCAACATTTTGCACAGGTGAGCTTGCAAGAACCTCGATAGGTCCTCGACCAGGAGGTCGGACAGCATGTGTCTGCCGCCACCCGGCGCGCTGCGGCCTGCTTTGTGTTCTGGGCAGCTGGGATCTGCGTTGCCTCCGAAACATGGTCTCGCCCCGGTGGCTCATCGTTTGCAGCAAGCGCGAAGTTGACATGACACTGCTTCCGGCTGGTCTGGAACAAGTTCTCGCCAACGAAGACGATCGAGCAGCGGCCGCACTTCTGACGCAACTTCGGGAGGGTTTCAAGAAGCAGTGGTCAAGCATTGTCCCGCAAAGGCGCGCCGGGAGCTTGAAGCTTACCCGTGGTCCAGTTACGATTTAGTGTTCCGCGCCGTTCGTGCTGCCGAAAGCCGCCGCTCGATGCAGTCACCATGCCCCTGCATGGTGCGAAGCACGCCTGCTCTACAGCTTTCGATCTGGCGCGTCTGCCGAAACCCGAACAGCGCGGCAGCGGCTCTGAGCTGTGTGATCGCGAACTCCCCCGAACATGCCACGGCAGTCGCCCGCGACAGTCTGGTGGCTCGACGCTCGATGGTGTCAGGGACATGCACGCGCCATGCGCCTCTTGGCGATGGTCAGGTGCTAAGCTTGCGTCCGAGATGTCCTGGAGCTGGCGCTGAACCCTCCTCATGAGGCACGGAACTGTGGCTGGGACACTGCAGCCTCGAACATCAATATAGACGCGCACTCGAGCGGAAGTTGTGATGAGTCGGACGGGGCCTCGTGACAACACGAGGCCTAGATGGTGGTTGCGCAGGGGTCGTCCGCCGGGCCTGCCCCCGTTCGGTCAGACCCGGTCAGACTCCGCACTGCTGAGCAGGTGCCCCGGGGAGGGTGGGCTCAAGGTGCGTCCGCGTGAGGGTGCAACGAAACACCAGCGAGAAACAAGAGCGCGCAGGCCTGCAATCTCTGCGACAGCTGTGCAGGCCAACGAGGGGCTGAGATCGCGTCGCTGCACGACTGGGATGCGACATTCTTGCGCGAGTGTCAGACGGTGACATTCAGGATAGCGTGTTTCCCGTTTCGAGCGTCCCTTCCCAGCGGGGGCAGCAGCGCTGTCCTCACGAGCGCAGGCAGGTGAGCGGCCACGTCGTTTCCCATGGTCCGCATGAACCTTGCCGCACGTGCGGCGGCGACGGGGACTCTACGCTCTTTGCGCCCTCCCGAAGCACAGAGAGGGACGTACCAGCTCGTCCGGGAGGAAGATCGGTCACTAGGCGCTGGCGCCAGGTTCACGCTGCACACCCGTCCGTCGATGTTAACCGCAGTCCACGACAAGGGCGACTCCTGATCGGATAGCGTCAATCCCCTGCGATCATGTTCGGGCGCGGGCGCGGGAGGGGCCGCTGGGGCCGTGGGAGCCGCATGCCACCTCTGTTGGATGCCGATGGAAATCCGATCATGCCGTCCGATGGGCCGGCTCCGCTATTCCCGGTACGCTGCCCAGCTCCATCGGATGTTCGACGCCCACTACTACCAGTTGAACTGGGGGCCGACGTTGACGCGATCAAGACGCAGTAGCTGTTGCCGGTGGTTGAAGTGGACTCAACGCGTGAAGCATATGCCGGGCGAGCCTGTCCCCTTGCCAACCTCTACATCGGTCTTGCGGCGCACAAACCTGCCGGCATGTCATTTTGACGAACCTCAAGAAGTTCGTGTTGTCTCGCGCGTTCTGGAGCACGGGGCGACCCCGAAAAGTTTTCGAGTCAAAAGAGCAGGAAGTCTCGGGCCGCGAGCATGTTCCGCTTGTCGCCGTACCCCGCGGGTCAGTTCTGAAATCACGGTCGAACCGGCGCGTCTCAGATCCACGAAAGGTGTCCTTGAAGTGGGCACCTGACCTCTGAAGTGACGTGTCATGAAACTTTTATGCAAAAGCAAAATTTGCTTTGTAGACCACTGCAAGTGGTCGGTGATGACGACTTCGTGCGTGGTTCGACTCGGACCTTTCTCATGTTATTGCTGGTTATGATCTCCCGAGACGAGTTGCGCTCACGTGACATCATTCTTTCACTTGGATATGCAGACGGTCCAGCTCCCTCGCAGGCCACCAATCGACGAGAGCACCGGTGAAGTGTGCGTTGCGTATCCAGATTTCGAGATGGTGTACCGAAGACGTAATCTCCTGCAGCTATGGGAGCGGTCGCCTTTTCACGTTCGCAGCGAATTGCGAGGAACATCTGCATCCGAGCGACGCGCACAGTCACAGCTGAACGACACAGCCTTGGCCGGGGTGGCTGCTCTGGACCCTTACTACGTACCCGAGGTGACTTGCGCCGCCGATGGTCTCTGCCTGCTTCGGACACGCGAACCAGCTTGCGGGACGTGGTCAAAATTAGCACTAGTCGAAAAGGCAGTCGCGCAGAACACCTCGCTGGACGGTCAACTGCGCTGCTGTGCAGGAACTCTACTCTGCGCAGATGCGTCGCGAATCCACCGCGATGGAAGGCATTCAAAAGGTGCATTCGAGCGGGCAGCAGGGCATCCTGGATCTCAATAAATCAATCGACAAGTTTTTTGCCCAGAGGTCACACACAGTCGACCCTGACGCGCCAGGCGCACAACCTGGTGAGGGACAACGGAATCGAGCCAGCAACGGTGCAGAGGATGAAGTGGCCGAAGACGAAGCGCTTGAAGACGAACACGACGAGGAGGACGACTACATGCAGGTAGGAGTCGCATACGAGAACTTTTCGACGACTGTAGAGTGTGTTCGTCCGCTACGATGACACTGCATAGGGGGGGCCCAACACCACGTGCCGTTTTTTGTGTCGCAGGGCGAGTATTTCGATGACGACGAGGAGTACGGAGACGATCTGGAGGATCGGGCCGACGGTGACTGGTACTGAACAGGGTGAAGCGAACATCGCCGCGGACGAAGCAGCAAGGCGCCTTGGACGTCAATGGCTGTCTGGCAACGGAAGCGCACGTCGCATCAAGAGTGCGAGTTGGAGTGTGCTGCATGCGTGTGAGCTTTGCACGCTCCGTGATTTCGGACGCTTATAGCTGCGGTCTTTCATGCACTTGTCTTGGGCCTCGTTCCTGCCAAGTGACACTGAAAGACCAACTTCGCACTTGCTTTCATTCGGCAACTCAGCTTTCCTCGCTCAGGCGAGCTCCACGAAATTTGTGACAGGTTGCCGTACATCACTACGTGTCGTTTTGTTGCGTTCTCGTCGTGCCGCTGTGCCTACACATCGTCGGCCGGTTCGGTGCGCAATGCGTGGTTGCAGGCTCTGATCCAGAGAGTCGGCTTGAGTAAAGCACGAAGCGCCCTCGCGGGAGGGAGCTGTCACGGACTAAGTGATGCCATTTCTGTCTCGCTGCTGCAGATGGCGGTATGTCCCATCCTGGCCGAAGGACTCTGGTCTTTGCTCAATGACTTCTGAGGGCGCTAGTGCACACGTGTCGCTATCCTGCCCAGTCTCCGTTTGCCCGCAGTTACCGCTGGCTGGAAGAATCACGCTGCTGTTACAAGCTGGTGCTCAACCAACATCGTGATCCTCCCGAGCGCGCGGCTGAAGAAGCGGTGGTCAGCACGTGCCTAACATGGATCTGATGAGAGTCAGAAGTGCGTCGCCAGGAAACCTTCCGAGAGCTCCTCGAGCACAGGTCGCCTCCGTGAATGCGTTTGTTGCAAAATTGCGCTCGTTCTGCTTCGTAAAGCCGCCTTCATGCGCCGACGATTCGTCTCCGGTCGGAACGGGCCCGAGACACTCGTACGCGGCCCTGACGACGGACATGTCGCGTGCAACGTCACTGATGTGCGCTGTGCAAATCGGAACCGGCTCATGAGAGTGATCTCCAAAAGTCACGGGCGTCGAATGATCGCCAGTAATCAGCAACGTAATATGAGAGGCTGTCTGCTCGTGAAGGTCATGACAGTGCGCAATGATCTGCCCAATCATGACATCGACATACTCCAGCCACTTGACTCTGCATCGAGAGGGCCGTTGGGTTGTCACGAAGTGCACCCGCAACCTTAGTGCGGTCAAACTCAAGCAGCAGATCGGGGGCGAACCTCAGAGGTGCATCGCGGTCGTGACCAGCATCATCCACCGCTTTGACGTGACAAAAAACAAGGTCCAGTCCGTCTTGCAGGCAATTTTTTACCGCAATGCCCTTCGCATCGAGGCGAGTCAAATAATCCCCTGTGGCACCAGATACTTCAACACACTTGATGCCGAGGCTCATCCCGAGCCCTCTGATGATCTTGGTGGGCGCGATCATCCCCGCTCGGAGCCGATGCACTGCCTGCAATTCCCATGCGAAAGCAGCACTAAATATTTGTGCGATGCGGCGCAAACCGTATTTCCGATGTCGTAAACCGGCGCCGACAGTTCCATGGAGCACGCACCTCAAAGTCCGGAGCGTCGATCCGTGCCCCACAGCCACGAAGCAGCACAGCGTTGGCGGGAATTTTGCCTTCCCGCACTCGTTCCTCGTTCAGCCAGTGCTGCCCCAGCTTCCGCCTGAACAACTTATCCACTTCAGAAACTATGTCGGCCGTCAACTCTGCCTGCGCACCGACCGGCAGTCCACGCATGAGCTTGCGCTGTTCGGCTGAAGTGTCCCTCACGAGTACAGGGAAATGACGGCGCACCTCGACAGAGTCGTCGAGTGGTCGAGGTTTCTGCAGCTGCATGTGGTTCTTTAGCGGATCCGTGCCTGAAATCCTGTCGCACAATCCGACGCCATGGATGACCACACCACACCGATGCTCTGCGAATTTCAAAGGCGCAGTTTGAAACAGTACGCGGGGTTTGCACGACGCAGGATGGTCTCCCTCGCTCTCTTTAACGTTCAGCATCGAGCGCCACACCTGTGGCGTACTTGACTCGAACTTCGTGATTCGGATAGCCAGGAATCGCAACCCGATCCAGATCGGCGCAGAGAATCGGCCCTGCGTCGGAAAAGTCTCTGTCGGCTCGCCGGTTCACCACCACACCCTCTTCGTCGACGAACGCAAAGTTGCACTTGAAGGC